GTCAGTGAACGACCTGTATCAGCCATTGAACGAAACAGTCAGTGAACGAAAGTCAGTGAATGAAACAGTCAGTGAACGAATCAGTCAGTGAACGAATCAGTCAGTGAACAAAACAGTCAGTGAACGAAACAGTCAGTGAACGAAACAGTCTGTGAACGAATCAGTCAGTGAACGAATCAGTGAACGAAACAGTCTGTGAACAAATCAGTCCGTGAACGAATCAGTCTTTAAATGAAACAGTCAGTGAAGGAATCAGTCGGTGAACGAAACAGTCAGTGAACAAAACAGTCAGTGAACGAATCAGTCAGTGAACGAAACAGTCAGTGAACAAAACAGTCAGTGAACGAATCAGTCAGTGAACAAAACAGTCAGTGAATGAAACAGTCTGTGAACGAAACAGTCAGTGAACGAAACAGTCAGTGAACAAGTCAGTCTTTGAATGAAACAGTCAGTGAACGAAACAGTCAGTTGAAGAAACAGTGAACAATGTGTATCAGTCTTTGAACAAAACAGTCAGTGAACGAAACAGTCAGTGAACGAATCAGTCAGTGAACGAAACAGTCAGTGAACGAAACAGTCTTTAAACGAAACAGTCAGTGAACAAAACAGTCAGTGAATGAATCAGTCAGTGAACGAATCAGTCAGTGAATGAAACGTCAGTGAACGAGTCAGTCTTTGAATGAAACAGTCAGTGAATAAAACAATCAGTTAAAGAAACAGTGAACAATGTGTATCAGTCTTTGAACAAAACAGTCAGTGAACGAAACAGTCAGTGAACAAATCAGTCAGTGAACGAAACAGTCAGTGAACGAAACAGTCTTTAAACGAAACAGTCAGTGAACAAAACAGTCAGTGAATGAATCAGTCAGTGAACGAATCAGTCAGTGAATGAAACGTCTGTGAACAAAACAGTCAGTGAACGAAACAGTCAGTGAACAAAACAATCAGTGAACGAAACAGTCTGTGAATGAAACGTCTGTGAACAAAACAGTCAGTGAACGAAACAGTGAACGAAACAGTCAGTGAACGAAACAGTCAGTGAACAAAACAGTCAGTGAACGAATCAGTCAGTGAACGAAACAGTCAGTGAACGAAACAGTGAACGAAACAGTCAGTGAACAAAACAGTCAGTGAATGAATCAGTCAGTGAACAACATGTATCAGTCAGTGAATGAAACAGAGAACGAAACAGTCTTTAAATGAAACAGTCGGTGAACGAAACAGTTGTGAACGAATCAGTCAGTGAACAAAACAGTCAGTGAACGAATCAGTCAGTGAACGAAACAGTCAGTGAACGAAACAGTGAACGAAACAGTCAGTGAACAAAACAGTCAGTGAATGAATCAGTCAGTGAACAACATGTATCAGTCAGTGAATGAAACAGTCAGTGAACGAATCAGTCAGTGAATGAAACAGAGAACGAAACAGTCTTTAAATGAAACAGTCAGTGAACGAAACAGTTGTGAACGAAACGTCAGTCAGTGAACGACATGGTGAACGAAATGAACGACTTCCGAATGACTTGAGTCAGGCAGAGGAGGGAGAGGTGTAGCGTCGTTCACTTCCTGCTGAGCAGCGGTTCGTTCTTTGAGGCTGAGATAAAACAGGTCATTATAGTTTCTTTACATTAAAACACGTTTAAACTTTCCTGTAAGAAGATTTAATTTCAGATGATGTAAAGAAATACGATATATTTATTCCCACTTTTCTGCGATATAAAAGAACGACAACTCGCGCTGGTTTAGCAGCGTGCTGCTTGCTGCTGTGTTGTTTCCGCCGACGGCGACACACAGAGAGTTTTTCAGGGCAGGGGAGTGATTCTCCCTTCAGGACGTGGCGAATAAACGACACGAGTCACCCAGCGAACGACGCTGTGACTTCAGCAGCAGGGGAGGGGAGGGGCTAATGAACGAACTCGCCGCTGTGTCACCCACTGGTGTACTGCAGCGACAGGACGGGGCTCCAAAAGCACTGGCTGATTCAGTGAACGAGTCTTTTAAACGAATCCTTTTAATGAACTGATTCCAAAGATTCAGTCAAAAGAACTGATCTTCCATCACTGGCTCTAAACTGAAGAGATGCTGACTGCTGGATTCCTTCAGAGCCACTAACTTTTTTGTTTTTAGTCCCTTTATTCCTTTCAGGGGCGGCACAGTGGTGTCGTGGTTAGCGCTGTCGCATCACAGCAAGAAGGTCCTGGGTTCGAATCTGACTCAGGGCGTTTCTGTGTGGAGTTTGCATGTTCTCCCTGCATCTGCGTGGGTTTACTCCGCTTTCCCCCCACATCCCAAAAACATGCCTAAGTGGGGTTAGGTTAACTGGCCACTTTCAAATCGCCCATAGGTGTGAGCGTGACCGTGGATGGTTGTTCGTCTCTATATGTCAGCCCTGCGATGAACTGGCGACTTGTCCAGGGTGTCCCCCGCCTTCGCCTGAAGTTGCAGGGATAGGCTCCTTCCTCCTGCAACCCCGGGAATAAGCGGTAGAAAATAAATGGTTTGATATTCCTTTCAGTTCCACTTACTGCAGGTTTTTGTCACTTAAGATAAAAAAACTAAGGGGGCGTCACACAGACCAGTGTTGTGGTCCACTACCAGAGCTTGTTAGTCAAGCGTGCGTTAATAATAACAGTCATTATCGAGATTTCGATAGCTGCTTATTTTGGTGGACAGTGTGTCTTTTCTATAAAAACACTGTATGGAGACAAATCAGTTTAAAGTGAAAATGACGTTTGATTCAGGAGAAAATGACGGTCCCTATTGACCGCTCAAGGCTAATGTAATCACCCTGAGGCCTTTCAGCCCGGTCTCAGGCGTTTAAAAGTGGCGATTTCAGAGATAAGTAATGTACGGCTGATTCAGAGCACGTATGTCTGCTCTGATTTTCTTTTACAGCAGAAAATGCCCTTGATCAGGCCGCCCCTGATGATTATAATGGGCTGAATTTATTCTGTTTTGCAGAGGATTATGGGACTGAGGACCTGGGCTTGTCCCTGAAGGTTTGTGTACTGCTGATGGGAAGCCATCACCACAAACAGATTTATTGGCTTTTAACCTCCAAATTGCCTCCTCTGTTTTCTCAGCAGTAATGGTCTGCTGTTGGCAGCTCTAATGAACTGAAATACGTCATTTCAGCCCTGAGCGCTGGATGTACTGTAAGACGGTCTCTAATGAGTCCTGAGAAACCATCTCAGCAGCGTCTCCTCCTGGTGGTCTGGGGTTTTTAATCGTGCCTCCCTGCCTTGGCTTTGGCAGAGACCCCTGACGCTGATTAGAGATTAACGTCTGTGAACGACTGAGTAAATGTGGTCCTCATGAGCGTCTACCTTCAGTCCTAGAAGCAGTTTTGTAGATCATCATCAGGATTGTAGACGTTATTACATTGTGTCAATTTTTTACCTTCTGGCCTCCAGAGTCAGAAGGTCCACTTTCACAGGACAGGTTTTTGTCCTGGTCCCCTTAGGTTGAACTTGATTCTCCTGCCCGATCCTTTCAAACACAGCAAATATACACACATATTTTTTTTTTCAGGACAACCTCAGCTGTCAGTTGTCAAAAACCACATAAATCTACAGTGACCAAGACTTTTCTCACCTGACCATCATTCTCTCAAGTCTTGTCTATCAGGGGAAGAAATATTGGGATTGGAACAAACACACAACAGAAACTATTGACATATTTACACTCATTCTTCCAGGCGTTTTTGACTATTTTCAGTTGTTTCTGCCACTCCTGGGATGAGACAGAGGACCACATCATACTGCTCAGAATCTCTTCTTTACTTGTTTCCGAACATTGAGGACCATTATTTCTGATTTTACAGACAAGCAGGGAACTTTCTTGTCTCTTGTTGGACACAACCGTCAAGGGAACAATAGAAGCTGAGAGTTAAAGAGCTTGGACCTGATCTTTGCAGGAGAAGATGAGGGTCAAAGAGCTTGGACCTGATCAAACAGACATTAAAATAAACCTGCATTCATTTGACCGAGGGAGGAAGTGCAGTTTATGAATCTTTAGGATCCGGTTCACTAAGAATATGAGAAGAATATGAGACCATGTAATTGGTTGAAAGTTTGACAGAAAGAGACGTCATCAAAACTGCTCGTCAAACCCAGAAGACATTAACGACATTTAGAGATAGTGATCTTTTTTTATCACAACAATCTGATCAATAATCCTGTTTTCACCGGTATTTCACTGCGGATTCACCATCAGACGTCTCTGATCAAACTGTGGCTGGATTGTAAACCTTGCTGCAGGTGTAGAAATGTCTGGAAACCCTCGATAGATCGCCAAAAGGGTAAACTATTGAACAGTTTTTATCCCGTAGAGATACACGGTATAGTTCCTGATGAATCAAAATCTAACACTCTTATGGAATGGACAACTGGACTTACTTGTGAAGTTTCGCCTAAGTCCAGTTGTCCTTTCATTGAAGAACTGGAAATCATAGATGCTGCATCCTCAGTTTTAAAGCAACATCTACATCCATCTAGACAACGACTTTTTCAGGGACGACCTTCATATGATCCCTCTGATCAAACACCTATTTTTGAGGCTGGATTGTAAACCTTGTGGCAGGTGTAGAAATGTCTGGAAACCCCTCGATAGATCACCAAAAGGGTAAACTGTTGAAGACTTTTTATCCCGTAGAGATACACGGTATAGTTCCTGAGAAACTGTCAGTTCTCTAGCGGAGTCCTAAGTGTTAAAATTCAAGCCGATCTTTCCTGGACGTCTCTGATGGAGATCTGAATGTGGACTCTGGCGCCAGGTCAGCCATCATGAGGGTAAACCAGACCTTCTATCGGTGTACGCAGATCTGAAGGAGGATTTGAATAATCCAGGATGTTCCGCCTCGCACCGCCAGCATCATGGGAGTACCGGGCCTGCGGAAATCCTTGAAAGTTTGTGAATCTGGCCTTGAAGTGGTTTTCTTTCAACGGCTGCATGGTCAAGGAGCTTAACCACAGCGAGGGGTCTCAAAGCGCTTTTCAGCCCATGAACCGTTTGATACAGTCATCTCTGCGCCCTCCGGCTCAGGACCGTGAAGAGAAATCTGAGCTGTTGTCAAAGAAAAGGGTTAGGACCGAGACTAAAAGCCGGACTCTGCTTCAAACCCAAGGCCTCAAGGACGAGGGATCCACGGAGGAGAGATGCAGGGAGAGCGCCGTCATCCTCACATCGGGGGTTTCTTTGTAATTGAACCCCCCTGTGGACAGAAAGTCATTTTTAATGGCTCTGAAAAAAGAGGAAAGACGTGATTTAAATGTTCAGCTCGGTGACTTTACAAGACTCTGTGACAGAAACAAGAGGAACCGACAGGAAGAAGGAAGGGGATGAATTCGTTAGGCACTGTTAGCATGGTGGCAAGTGTTCAGAGTGGGAGGCTGGGAAAAAAAAAACCCACCTGAACTATCTCCGGGTACAAGCTTTCTGTGAACACCTGTTATCTTCACCTGCAGCTGTGAGCTGAATAGAAATCACATCCTGCTGCTTCTGCCGGTGGACATTATGGATGGAAACAGCCGAGCGTATTTAACACTCCTGCTGTCAGTGTGTGAGCGTTTACACGTCTGCATACAGAGGAAGGTCTCCGCAAAGGAAATGGAATGTCATAAAAAAGAAAAGAGAGATTGTCTTTATATATGCATTTAAGTGAATGAATATTTATGATCTGTTGAATTATTCACTCTTACAGGACTTCTCAGTGTGTGCGACTCTGTCTCCACGTGTCCAAAACATATTCCAGTCCTCGGGATGATTAACCTTCGTGCCACAGTAGATCCTGGAGTAGTCAGAGGAAGAGGAGGATGAGGAGGAGGACTTATTCTTGTACGCTAATATTAGACCCTTTATCGGTTGAACAACAGAAGCTGCACCGTGGTTAGGGTGACCGTATTCTGAAACCCAAAGCTCAAAACTTCCAAACACAACCCGGGACATTTGAAGGATTTTACAAACTCCCCCGGACAAGGCCGGACAGCCCCCCGGAAAAGAGGACATGTCCGGGTAAAAGAGGACGTACAGTCACTCTAACCACAACGCCAAAACCCCAAACTGAAGAGGTGAAGGTCTAACCCCCAATCTCCACCTTCATCCTGATCGTCTCCTAAAAGGTCGTATCCTCCGATCGTAGCTGATCGTAACCATTCAAGTTAACGTGTCAATTTACACCGACTTCTTTCCGTTCCTCTGCGGATCGCCGGACTCCTCAGCTGATCACAAGAGTTCTATTTTTTTCGGACGCCGGAGCATGGCGGATAAATTCAGCACAGATTAACCCGTGCTGGAAAGGAAGTCGGGCACAGACACAAAATAAAACATCCGGCTTCTTTTCAAAATAAAACACTCCGTGTTTCAGGAGGATCGTATTTCACACCATGCAAACGGGCGGAGACGAACAAGTGAAAGGTTTTTAGACGTCATTTCACCCCGATGACACCATGGATGAGGAGATGCTGATTCTAGAAGTCTAGAAGTAGATTCCCTCCTCTGGAAGGACACAATCTACTGCTTATATGTCTATGTAGCTAAAGACAACTTGTTCATGATTCCTGCTGTCCGTAATCCGCCACAAAATTTGCCTCTCAAACGGATCTGGTAGGAATCGGCATACGGCAAAAAAGGCTGCTGTTCCGGATGCGGTGGAAATCCTGCGTAAGAGGTTAGTCACATGACCAGGTATGAAGAGGACATGAAGAACCTGGACTTTGGTCAGGCCGGTGTAGGTACCAGATGTATTCCAGCTGCCAGATCAGCTCAGGGCCCGGAGCCTGTTGATGACATCACGTTATATGATTGGCTGGAAGTTGGTTGGGATGACGTACAAGATCGTGGTCGGTCCGGACATTACAGAAGTGGTTTTCTCCGGATAAGTGTCATGGGATTGTAGTTCTTTGGAGAAAACATGGATGAATTCTACAAAGAAATCTATCGCTACTTATCGAGGGGGACTTAGGACAGCCGGACTACCGCCTCTTTTTGGGAAATGTGAAATAAAAGCAAAACTATCGATTAACTGAGATCCTGAGAACATTTTATTTCCTTTTTCCTTTAGAGAAAATTAAAGTAGAGTAAGTTGTAATTCTCTGTTTTATATGGAGAAAAAATTTCAATGAACAAACGGAAATAAAGAAAACCTCGGGGGGCTTTTAACCGAGCACACTTGACCTATTAAATGGAGCGCAATGCGGGACGTCTTCCTGAACACATCTGGTACCTCCAGTGGATGGAAATAAGAGGAGGTGTCGACATTTTGCTGACGATACTCTGGTGTTTTTTAGTTCCTCTGATTCAGAAAGCGGTCAGTGACAGGAATGAAAACACGCGATCATCAGTGTGTTGTAGTTTCCTCTCATGTTTAAAGAGTCTCTTTGTATCAGGCCTTCAGGGAACTCATCATGGACACAGAAGAGCTCTTCAAACAAAGCTGCTCCCTCTTTTCTCTCATTATCAGAATCAAAGATGAAAAGAGCAAAAAACCATGTCTGATCAGAGGAAACCGCCTCTATCTGAAGGATGTCATTCTGTTTGATTAAACTGATCACACACTTCAGTTACTCCGACGCAGTTCACAGATCCGAGGGAGTCTGCTTTGTTTGCCGAGCGGTGTTTCTTTTGGCGCTAGTCCTTTAACGACCGAAAACTAAAGACGGTCAGCTTTTCAACGGTAACCTGAGGAACACATCGGAATGACCGCTTTAAAGATGACGTGGGTTCGATCCTCTTGACTTATAAAGGACATGAGTGAAATCCCAGTTTAGCAGGCAGCAGCTTCGGTGTAAAGGTAAACCGAACTTTAATCTTCAAAAGTTGTTTTTATTCTCTCCGTTTCTGGAATAACTTGTCTGCGAATCTTTAAAGTCTTGAAGAGCTAATTTCCTTTCCTCGGAGGCTTCACTCCGTCTTAATTATTCATCCTCATTATCGCACCTGCCTTCATCCTGATTGGTTTATCTACTTCCTGTATCGACAGCTACAAGAACATCATCAGTCTTAGCAGCTGGTCCTGGTTTGAGGAGTGTCAGGACATGAGGATTACTGAGGGTATTTACGGGGTAATCAATAGATGGGGGGGATGGTGGGCGGAGTCTGTCAATAATGAGGTCTTAATAGAACGAGAGAGTGAGAGGTGAGGAAGAGGAGAGAGACGGACATTCAAATTAGAGCTGTAATTACATTGACCTGTTTCTGAGAGGAGGAGGAGGAGGAGGAGGAGGAGGAGAGGAGGATGAAGAGGAGGAAGGAAAGGATCAGGGACGAGGAAACAGAAGGAGGAGGAGAGAAGGATAAAGAGGAGGAAGGAAAGGATCAGGGACGAGGAAACAGAAGGAGGAGAGGAGAGAAGGATGTAGGGGAGGAAGGAAAGGACCAGGGATCAGGAGAGAAGGATGAAGAGGAGGAAGGAAAGGACCAGGGATGAGGAGAGAAGGATGTAGAGGAGGGAGGAAAGGATCAGGGATAAGGAGAAGAGAGAAGGATGAAAAGGGAGAAGGAAAGGATCAGGGATGAGGAAACAGAGGGAGGAAAGAAGGATGAAGAGGAGGAAGGAAAGGCTCAGAGACGAGGAATCAAGGATGAAGAGGAAGAAGTAAATGCTCAGGGATGAGGAAACAGAAGGAGGAGAGAAGAGAAAGATGGAGGGGAGGAAGTAAGGAAGGGTTCAGGGACGATGAGGAAAGAAGGATGAATAGGAGGAAGGAAAGGCTCAGGTAGGAGGCTTCAGGAGGATGAGGAGTAAATCCACAGCGTGTGACCTCTGAGAACGAAAAAGACGCAACATTTTTAAACAAAGATCAAGATAAAAGAAACCGTACGTTCTTGAACGCAGCTTCATTTACGATCCTCACGACTCTTTTATAGTTAAACCTGTTTTTTTTCTCGTGTTTTGTCCGAATGAACGTCCGTGTTTATAATTCTCTGTACGTTCAATTAAAGAGAGTAAACGCTGCTGAGATTAAACAACAACAAAAACATGAACCAATTAAAGTTACGAAGGCCCTCAGAGGCAAATGTGAGACTTTAGTGATTACGGACAAAAGAGGTTTGATTTTCCAGGAGCAACAGGACCCCGATAAAGAGACTGAGAGAGAGAGAGAGAGAGAGAGGGGGGGGGGGGGGGGGACAGAGAGAGAGAGGGAGAGAGAGAGAGAGAGAGAGAGAGAGAGAGAGAGAGAGAGAGAGAGAGAGAGAGAGAGAGAGAGAGAGAGAGAGAGAGAGAGAGAGAGAGAGAGAGAGAGAGAGGAGAGAGAGAGAGAGAGAGAGAGAGAGAGAGAGAGAGGAGAGGGAGAGAGAGAGAGAGAGAGAGAGGGAGAGAGAGAGAGAGAGAGCAGTCAGAGCAGAAACCACAGTAGACCTGAATATAGAGATGTCTGTACACACACACACACACACTCAGACGGGGATCAGTGTATGATGGAGCTGAGCTCATAATGATGGAGAGAGGAGGAGGAGGAGGAGAAAATCATATCTCCAATAATCTGAGAGAGAGAGAGAGAGAGAGAGAGCGTGAAGAGAGATGACCGAGAGTGTGAGGAGGAAGGTCAGACTGAGAAGATAATCAGAGTTGATTTAATAGGTTTTAAGTTTTCATCACACACACACACACACACACACACACACACACACACACACACACACACACACACACACACACTCTCTCTCTTTATCGATTGGTCGTTCCTGATGTGTGAAAACAGATGGAAACTGTACGGTGGACGATTCCCTCCCCGACTCGCTCGAACTCGCTCCTTTGTCTTCAGATCGGCAGAGATGTCGCTAAATCGGCGTCAACACGACCGCTCCTGATCAGCTGATCCTCGACTGCTAACCGTAGCGCCGTCACGTGACGTCATCAGGTTTAAAAACATCGGGTCTGATCTACTAAAGGTAGCGCACGAAAACCTGATCTGCACCAAGGATTGCATCCGTCAAATGAGCGAAACGGCGGCGCAATCGATTTAGCGTGTTTGCCCTCATGAACAGAATGTATGTCGATCATCAGAACGCGCATCGGCATTGCGGTGTGGTCTATCGAACACGGAAAACGAGTGCGGTCACATGTTTGAAAAGGCACATGGAAACTGGCGCAGCGTTACGTACGGTCGTCGTGGAAAAAAAGGAGGCAGAAACGCCATGATACACGATTAATTTCGTTTTTCTGGTAAATGTCGATTTTCATAAATAATAAAGTCAAACACGGAACAGACGCTGCATTCGCTTCGTGTCTGTATCGCTAATCTTCACAGTCGCATCGGTTTTTCCACGTTGTACCGCATTCTATCGCGTGTTTCCGAGGCGTCTTGGATGCACCATCACCAGTAATCATGGCGGAGGGAATCAGCAACGCCGCCGAAGAAGAGATTTTTAATGCTCCGCAAAAGTTCAAATCCAACGTTTGGAAGTTCTTTGGATTTTACAAGAGAGATGGTCAACTTGACAAGACGCACAATGCTGTGCTTCTAAACCTCACAGCGGCAGCACGACAAATATGGCCGCTCACTTGAAGAACGTGGTATCGATGTCACGACAATCGCAGAGACCGGAGTGCAGGAGGCGAACAGAAAATCACAAAACACTCAAAAAAACAAAATCGGATTTGAGAAATTTATTAATTTCTTTTCACAAGTTGTAAAAATGTTCGTACAAAAGTATAAGTGAGATAAAATGAACGTACTGGGATGGACGGTGAATCGTATCGTATTGAGAACGGGTGAATCGTGGAGTATCGTATCGGCAGAGATTCAATGTATCGCAAATTATATCGTATCGTTGACAGACTTTTGAGCGCTGTGTACCTCAGACAACCGGTTCGAGGTCAGTCAGCACAACCGGAATTCGTACAAAAGGCACCGAGGATTTTTTTAAAAAAATGAAAGGATTTTAAGTTCGCCTTGATCAGATATATTTGTTTCAGCTCTTATTGTGTCTTCACTCTCTCTCTCTCCCTCTCTCTTTTCTTTTGTTTCTTCCTCTCCTCCTCCTCCCTTCTTGGTATCTCTCTCTCTCTCTCAGATGTAGTTTCACGTTGATAAGTCCGTTATCTCTCCCCGCAGAGCCGACTTCTGAAGCTGACAGGATGTTTATTATAACAGGATCCTCCGTCCCCAAACTCTCCCCCTCCTCTTCTTCTTCAGTGAAGTGCAGAAATAAAAGAGTTAAAGGTTTTCATTGAGGGCGATGTGGTCTGATGAGGACGACACCGAGACGCTCTTTTTGTGTTTTTTATGGATAATTTGTTCCCGAGTTTCTCCTTTTTTTACGAGTCAGGAAATGACTTCGACCTCGTCTGTTTATGTAAAAGACGAAATAAAAAAACAGGCTTTTATTTCCAAAGGCCACAGAGGTACACTTTTGTTTTGGATGATCAGACCCGCTCGTGTCGTCAGGCGGCGTTAGTTCAGCTCCGGGCTGTAAAAGTGAAGCTGCAGAAAATGAGAACTTCTCTTCTATTTCACCTCAGGGTTCGCTAAATCACGAGGACGCCGCTCCGAGTTTTTGGAGCTCTTCTCCAGGAGGTCAGATCTGCTCCTTCAGTCTGAGTTTGAGAATTTTAGCCGCACCACGTTTCCCACGTTGCCCTTTGTCACCTGTTCTGTTCACAACCTTTATGGAGGGTGTCCAGTTCGGCTTTTTGCGGATGATGTGGTTCTTCTAGCTTCGTCGAGCACTGACCTTCAGCTCTTGTTGGGGCGGTTCACGGCCAAGTTTGAAGCGGCTGGGATGCGAATCAGCACCTCCAAGTCCGAGGTCATGGTCCTCAGTCGGAGGAGCGGTCCTGCCTCAGGTGGAGGAGTTCAAGTATCTTGGGATCTTGTTCAGGAGTGAAGGTAGGATGGAGCGGGAGATCGTGATGCGGACGCTTAACCGATCAGTGGTGGTGAAGAAAGAGCTGAGCTGTAAGGAGAGACTCTCGATTTACCGGTCGATCTACGTGCCGATCCTCACCTATGGTCATGAACTTTGGGTAATGACCGAAAGAACAAGATCGCAGATACAAGCGGCTGAAATGGGTTTCCTCCTCAGGGTGTCCGGGCTCAGCCTTAGAGATAGGGTAAGGAGCTCGGACACTCGGGAGGCGCTCAGAGGAGAACCGCTGCTCCTCCACGTCCAGAGGAGTCAGCTGAGGTGTTAGGACGCCTTCTGGACGCCTCCCGTTAGAGGTGTTCCAGACATGTCCCACCGGGAGGAGACCTCGTGGCCGGCCCAGGACCAGGTGGAGGGATTATATTTCTGGGAATCCCCCCGGAGGAGGAGGTGGAAGTGGCCGGGGTGAGGGCCGTCTGGGCTTCCCTCCTGAAGCTGCTGCCCCCGCGACCCGGACCAGGATGAAGCGGAAGAAAACGACAACGACGACGTTACTGATTCACAGGGATTCTCTTGAAGGTGACACAATGCGCTTACATCACCGCGGTAGAAGGAGGAGTCAGCGCTGTTTAGGTTTTGCGGAACGGAAAAAATAAATGATGAGAGGCGCTTTTCTTGCGGTGTTGCCAACCAAGCGACTTTCCTTGATGAGGAGTTGGCAACATTGTTTTCTTCTGCAGAGCTCCAGTCGCTCATTAGCAATTCGCCTCTGAGTCGTGGGCGGAGACAGCGCTGCTATTAGCCTAACATTGCTGGTGTCGTAGCAGAAGCGGGTAACATCGGAGTTATCGAGCACGGACACTAGTGTCTTTGGGGACATGATGAAAGTTCATTTCAATCCGCTCACGGACACGCTTGTTCCGCGATCGTCCTCCATTTCACCGAGTCTGACCGTCATTGCAGGGCTACAGGAAATCTAACTTGATGTGAGTCTGCCGTTTGGGTCCAATTACTCGAGTAGTTGGTAGGATATTCGGTAGAATACTCGATTACTAAAATATAGCTCTACTCCTGACAATCTCTCATGGCACACTAGTGCCACACAGGTTAAAAATCACTGCTCTAGTGGACACAGAGGGAACTGCAATCCTTTACTTTCCTGTACTTTTACTTTAACTCTCTCTCTCTCACACACACACACACACATACACACACGCACACACAAACACACACTGAGTGCGATCACGATTAAATCAGCTGGGTGTCTCTAAACTCTGCCGAGGTCCACTGGGTCCTCTCTGGGTGTCTGGAAAAGTCAGCAGTGCTGAGTCATGACGCACACACACACACACACACACACACACACACACACACACACACACACACACACACACACACACACACACACACAGATTGATTTCCCTCTCACAGAAACATCCTGACTGTAAATAACTTTGACTCGGAGCTGAAATTGAATAAACTGGAGAATAAATTTGAGAATAATGAGAAAAAAATGAAAAATAAATGAAGGAGGAGGAGGAGGAGGAGCGGGAAACTCTCCTCAGACTTATCAGCCTTCACACTCCGCTCAGAGTTAATCAAAGTGAACTTTTCAAACTTTTTATTCCCCGGAAAAGTCAGAAACGAGGAGATGATAAATATGAATGTGACTCTTTTTAACCTCAACTTTGACTTCCGTAGTAATCTTCATATTTTCACTGAACAGGTTTGAAAACACAGATTCTGTTTTTACACATAAATCTGAATATCATTGAAGAACAAGATCCAGGTTGTTCGTGAAGTGACGACTCGTGTCAAAGTCACAGATGGTTTTTTTAAGTGTTGAACGGTCGAGCAGACAGAGAGGGAGGAACTCGGACGGCCTCTACAACAAACTTTTACAAACTCAGAGAAAAAATAAAAGTTTTTCATCTTTGCTGAAGGGAGAAAAACTCAACATTTCAATTTATATTTTATAAACTTGTCTTCCTGTAAAATCAACACTGAATAAATAAAAACTACGACTCTGCTCTGATCAGAACTCTGAAAACTAAAAATGTGTTTTTACAGAATCAAAGTTAATCCGTTCAAACAGCGACTTCGACATTTTTAATGTATTTTTAAATAATCAAATATTTTTAAATATTTCACTAAATAACTAAATCATTTAAAAACATTTTCATGAAATAAAAAGATTTACTAAAGTTTGTGGGGTGCCTAATTTACACCCATTTATCACCACGGTGGCCGAGGGCAGCCACTGCTGCAAAAAAAAAAATGAAGCCACAACGGAAGTTACCGATGCAAAAAAAGTTACTAATTGCAAAAAATAATAGGATGCAAGAGAAGAAAAAACCCACAACGGAAGTAAATGAAGCAAAAAAAAGTGGCGATGTAAGAAAAAAAGAGTTACTTACTGCGAAAATAAAAGGATACAGATATTAAAAAAGCCACAACGGAAGTGAGCTGTAAGAAACGTTTTTTTTTGGCATCTTCACTTCACTGCATCGTTAACTTCCTTTTTTTTTGCATCCTGTTTTTTAAAGTAAGTAACTTTTTTTTTTTTTCATTGGTACTTTTTTTTAGCGTCATTAACTTCCATTGTGGCTTTTTAAAAAAAATTTTTTACGTCCTTTAATTTTTGCAGAAAGTAACTTTTTTTTTTTCATTGGTACTTTTTTTAGCGTCATTAACTTCCATTGTGGCTTTTTTTTTTTTTTTTAACATCCTTTAATTTTTGCAGAAAGTAACTTTTTTTTTCTTACATCACCATTTTTTTTGCATTGTTAACTTCTGTTGTGGCTTTTCTTTTTGCATCCTTTTATCTTTCACAAATAGTAACTTTTTTTCGATCACCACTTTTTTTTGCATCATTTACTTCCGTTGTGGGTTTTTTTTTTGGCATCCTTTTATTTTCACAGTAAGTGACTTTTTTTTTTTTTGCATTGTTAACTTCTGTTGTGGGTTTTTTTGCATCCTTTAATTTTTGCAGTGAGTAACTTTTTTTTTTTTTTTTTTGCATCATTAACTTCCTGGCTTTTTTTTATGGGCATCGTTGCTTTTTTTTTTATTTGCAGAGGGCTTTGGCTTCTTTTTTTTTATTTTTTTTTATTTGCAGCAATGGCGTTTCTAGGCCACCGTACTCCACCGCACTATTTCGTTCCTTCATTCAGTCACACCTGCTTCGTTTCCACACCCACAAACTCCAAATCCACCAATCACAGCACGGCAGCCGGTCCGTTTGAATTCTGGACGCCGGAAGTGTTTGTAACTCGGAGAAGAAGAGAGAAGATGGAGGGATGAGAAGAGAAGGAGAGCTGAAGACAAACAAGTCTCACCCGCGGGTTTATTTCAGCCTCTTTAACCGGTTTAAGTCCGTTTTTAGCGCCGTTCGTCGGACTCTTTTATCCGGGTTGTTTACCGGAGTGATCCGCGGATCGGCGGAGTTTATCCGGCCAACATCCGAGAGGATTTCTGGGGGATTGTTTCTATTCCTGTGTGGAAGTTGGGAGCCTGAATCCTGGAGGAATTATCAGCAACTTTCTGACTGACTGACTGAGGATGGATCCGTGAGTACAGACTGTCAGAGTTTCTGTTTGTTTATTTAAGGAGAGACACAGAGCCGCCGAGCTCCCGTTTTCTTCTCTGTGGGTTCAGCGTTAATATCGGGATTAATATCGGGATTAATATCGGGATGAATATCGTGAGCAGAGGACTCTTGTTGATTTGTGTTGAGCTGTGGATGTGGGACTGGTTGATTAAACAGAATTTTTTAGTTTTTTTCCCCAGTTGTGGACAGACTTTAAAGGGATATTCCGGTGTAAAATAAATTTAAGGTCACCGCCAAACATCTTTTTAACTTTGACCAATTTCTTTAGCAAAGAGACTAAACACAACTCACCTACTCTCTTCCAGCAGCCGCTTGTTAGCGACTCCATTGACTACAGCGGGGTGCCGCAGCTCAAGGAAGAACATTTATGATTATTAGTTTATTCAATATTTTCTTTCACTTTTTAATTGGATGTTTATGTCGCTGAGATAACCACTCTTAAAGTCTGTTAAATGTGTTCGTCTGATTTTTATTGAGTTGTCTGAGATTTTTCGGAGCTCATTAAAATGTTTCCGCTCTTTAGTGACATGTACTGTATTTTTCGCACTATAAGGTGCACCTGATTATAAGGCGCACCATCAATGAACGCGTCTATTTTCTTACATAAGGGGCACCGGATTATAAAGCGCATTTAGCCAAACAAAACAGATAAGTCAAACTTTATTAAACTCATTCAATAACTCAGTGAGGCTACACTTAAAAAGATTTTAAATGCGCCTTATAGTGCGAAAAATATGGTATTTGAAAATCATGGTGCTGTTCTGTAGTTGACCTTTCGGGCTACCGTACACTGAACCCTTCCTTCTCACCCACTCTTCTAAGAAACAGTCAAACTTAAAGCAGAAAAGACTTGAAACCTTCGTTTCTCGATAATCTGTTCTAGAAGAATGAAGGTCCCCGATAAAGACCTTCTCCCTCTTATTGCTTTGGATAAATCAGGTGAAATTAAACCCCAAACTCCTGCAGTCGGAGTGAAATTAAAGCAACACAGATGAAGTTTAATCAGGAGTGGTTAAAGAAGCTGGGGCTCACGGTCGCGGGGGGAATGAGGGGAGGAAAAAAACAGGTGTGTTTTAATGAGGGACTGAGGAACAGGTGCGCGGAGTCAGGTGATAAAGGGAGGAGAGGGAGGCATAAATCTGGGGACGGTCGCAGATGGAGAGGGGGTGGAAAAAAACCTAACGTCCCACAAATGTAGATTCATCAACTCAAACATAATTAAATACACAAAGAACTGCAATAAAAACTCATGTGAACATCTTTTATATGTAATTATGAAAAAAAAAAAAACATGATCTCGACTTCTTGACTTTTCTGTATGATTAAAAAAAAAGCATTTCAGTGATTTCTTTCTTTGCTGGAAGCTCCGAGACTAAACTGTGTGTGCATATGTTTGAGACGGGAGGTTTAAATTGGTTTAGCCACGAGGAAGAGGAGCGGGAAGAGTCTGAGTGAATATATTTAAACATATATATGTGTGTGTGTGTGTGTGTGTGTGGGCCCATTAAAAGCCTTCTTCCCGCCCTAAAGGAAGAAATCAGTCCTGCTCTAATTTATGCGGTCACACACCTTTAAAATGAAGCCACGCACACACACACACGGTGGGGGGTGTGACATTAAGACAGTAGTGAAGAATGCCTTCGCCCTCATGAATACTAACCACTCTTAATCCGTCCCCTCAAGTATCCGGCGGCCTGTTTGTGTGCGTCTGTATTATGCTAACGCCTCGAAATGAAATATGGATTTCTGATTGAATTTTTCCGCCTGTTTTTCTGCGGACAGGAGGAAAAACCAGTCGACACAGTAAATCAAATGAAGTGTTTGGTGGCGGAGCTGGCATTAACATTTAAATGGTGTGTTTGGATTGTATTTGACTCCTGTATGAGTTTCACACTCTGGTATATAAAGGCCGTCAATGAGGATAAGAAACGCGTGAAATTACCTTCACACACCTGTTAGCTCACCTGAAGGAGCGGCGTGATCTGAAATCTGATTAAATCAGACGGATGAGTTTGACTCTGATCGCCCCCCTACACACTCCCCCTTCCGTTTGCGCGTCCCCACGGAGGCGCCGCCATAACCACAGAGTGCGGAGGGCGAGTGGACCGTTCAGCACTCGAATAACGATTCCGCACCTGTGCTCACTCATGGCAGGATTTGCAGGTAGTGTGCCGGCAAAAATGGAACAGGGGGAAACAACATACAAATGTAAGTTCTGTTTAATTTTATTTATATTGTGCTTTACATCTGAGAAACTGATCTCAAAGTGCATACATTGTAGAAACAAACAAAAAAAAAAGGTCTGAGGTGGTCAGGAAGGTCGTTCCACAGACGGGGAGCAGCAGCCTCAAAGGCCTTGTCACCCGTGGTCTTGAGCGGAGTCCTGGGCGGGTGCAGACGGTGCATTTGGCCTGACCGGGTTCTGGCCGAGGTGTTTGGGGTGAGGAGTTCAGTGAGGTAGGTGGGGGCAGCACCGTGAAGACAGCAACGGGTGTGGAGGAGGGTTTTGAATTCGATGTGAAGGGGGACGGGGAGCCAGTGCAGAGTGCAAAGGTCCACCTTTGTCTCACTGACAAACCCCTTCCCTCCCAATAGACGTCTCACTCTGTGCTGAAGTTTGAGTTGATTGGTCAGGCAAATGTCAAATAGCAAAGGGGTTCAAAGACGTGTGGAATCACTAACAATCAGAAGTTTAATTCCGCTCCTGTCACTGTAATGGTTGCTGGATTTACAATTTCAGAGGGACAATGAAAAAATGAGGCAGCCGGTGCAACTCAGAACTGAACATGATGCCATGATGCGTCCCATACCTGCCCATCTTGTTTATACCCTCGGATTTCAATTGAGGCGCACTCCACAGCTGAGTGTGTAGGAGGTGGATTAGGATTGGGCCTTAGTCTGGTTCTGCTTTACCATTCCCCTTCAGCTCGTTACTTTTGGGAGGACTGATCAGCGAACAGAGGAAAACTAGTTCACAGGGTCTGCCCAAAGTGGACTCTGCTGGATTTGAAAGCTTCTTTGAGGACAGGGTAAAGCCATGGAAACTCGACCGGAAGCGTAATGATCTTGATTCTAATTAGCAGACGTTCTGTCATGGCATCGGCTGATCAGAGGAGAACATGAAACATCCTCCACACATCACGGGGAATCAAGAACATCTTCGAAACAGAGAGAGAGAGAGAGAGATACCCGAGGAGGAGAAGCGCTCCAGGCTCCTGATCTGACGCTGTATTTGTCTCCCAGAAGAGACACAAAGAAAGTCTGAAGCTGCTCAGCAGGTGGTGCAGCGGCGCTTTAATCTCCTGACAGACCTGATGACGGCTGAGGTGTGCCTGAGAGTGGATCCTGGAGTCCCTCAGCTTCAAAGAAGATCCGGTCTCTTCTCCCATCACTCATATCATTACCTCTCATTTCTCGCACCAAAAAGCCTAATCATCATTTACGCTCTCGCCCACGGCTCTGAACGGTCCTCCTTTTATTTCCTGTCCTCTCTGTTCCTTCCACTCTCTGCTCAACATACGTTCACGAACAAAGACAGGCAGGTTCAAACACCAGCGGGGCGACGGGGGATCTTCCATACATCTGGTCTGTACAGGGATCCTCCATGACATGATGAGAAAAATCAAAAAGTTTGAGTTTGAGCCTACGGCAGAAACCACGAACACGGCCTTCAGATCCTTTGACGTCATTAACCTGCGATGACACAGCTTCAGTCCTTCAGTACTTCCTCACTCTTCCTGCGGGAGCCGGTAAATGTTCAGGTTCGAGGCCGAGTCTGTGAACTCTGATCGTCATGACGACGTGGAGGCTGGAGCCACAGAGACCATCAGGCCTTGACAGAGAGGTTCCTTCTAATTTGCTCCCCGGAGAGACGCGCCCATGGACTTCAGTGGACGTCTCCGAGGTGCATAATGCGTTTATGTTTCCAATCGTTTCTTAATGAACGGCGCTCTCATGTCGTCGTACTTCCTCTCTCGCACGACAAAAGAAGAGTGAGTCAGTGTGAGAGAGAGGACCTTCAGGGTCTATCTGAGGTCAACGGCCTTGTCAACCTCCTGCAGCGCTCCTTTATTCCCTTCAACACACGAGGACTGAAGTGGACTGGCCTGGGCCGGTCCACAATCTCAGCTGTGTTTGAAACAACTTTATATTTCTGTGCAGAGAAACTCAGGAACGTGTTATTCTTGACCCGAGTTTCCTGAGGGCATGCCTTTTCCTTTTCAAGAGGAGTTAGCGGCAGGGTTGTTGTTTATTTTCCTTTTATTCTTGCAGCCTGTGATAAGCTGGAACCGTGTGAATCAAAAGGGTAAAGTGGCCTATTGAAATGTCTCGTGTCTAAGAACAGCAGAAGGTCTTGAACTGTGAGTGGGAGTCTCCAAGCGTACCTGCCATATCGATTTGCGCGGCAGAACAACGAGTAAAAGAGCCGGATGAAGTTAATCTCTGTGAGCAGATTTCTGCATATGAATAAAGACACTTTGGTATCAGAGGCGTTCAGGTCTCTTTCTGTCGTTTTCTGTTCTGAGGGTTTGATGCTTTTAAGAACAGCAACGTCTGGAAAAACACCGACTTAGAAAAAAAACTCATTTTTCCTGCCGAATCAAAAACAAAGCCGTTTATTCAAAGACAGTGAGTGCTGGCGCTAAAGGAAACCAAGGGTAATGATCTTATTCGACCTTTGAATGATACTATCCTGGGATTACTGACAGCGGTAATTGCGAGAACTCACAAGAACCTGCGGATTTACGTGCAATCGCGCAATAACAAGTTGTCTGTAACCATAAAAGCAGTAGATTGTGTCCTTCTTACTTCCTTTCCAGCACGGGTTAATCTGTGCTGTTTTTCTACGCCATGCTCTGGCGTCAGAAAAAAAATAGAGCCCTTGCGATCCGCAGCGGAATGGAGAGAAGCCGATGGAAATTGACACGTGAATGGTTACGATCAGCCGATACGGCCTTTTCGTAAACGTTCCAGATGTGGTGGAAATTGGGGGTTTCTCTGTCTCCATGAGATCTGCACGCCTGACTGTCTTCCTTTACTTTAGCTCCAAATCAGGGCTCTCATTAAAAACCTGCTCTGGTGATTCTGACCTCCGAACAGACATCATGGAGTAATGATAATGTCACTGGAGACTAATTGGCCCCTAATTAAGGGTTCCCGGTCTCATGTGCAGTTTTCTGCAGACTTCCCAGCTCTTCTCGCGGCCCCTTGCTCGACATCGTCATTAATTCAACAGGCTCGGCTTGATTCCCCCGAGGAGTGCTCGACATGAGAGCCTCACTCAGATATGAAGTTTGGACCTGAAGGAGGACTGTTGAGGATAATATGAGGGGACAGATGGAGTCTGACTCTGCATGTAGAACAATCCGGGCCAAGACTGGGTGCACGGCTCACAGAGAAATCCAGGTCTGAGGAGCTGCAGTGCAGGTCCAGTTATGAAGAGTGGGACTCAGATCAGAAGTCAAGTGTCTGAGAGTTTTATTTCTGTGAATACGCTTTATTTTCATTGGACGCTGGTTTCCATGGAGCCAACTCTCTTCCTCTTATCCAGGCTCTCTCTGGGCCTCGCGTCCCTTTACCTCCATGAGGATCCTGAAGCATTCCCAGCCCACTTAATACATCTAATCCCTTCAGCATGTCCCTGATCCATCTTGGGTTCTGGTCTCAGTTGGACATGCCTGGAAATCCTCCAAAGACAGGGACCCAGGAGACGCTAAAATAAGGTGTTTGAACTTCCTCCTGGGGAAACTCTCTCCAGCTCGTTTCTCAGATCTCTGCGCTCATGACTACGGGGAAGACTGGGATGTAGGTCAGACCCAAGCTTTACCCAGCCCCCTCTTTTGAGTTAAAACCACCGCAGCAGGTCTTAGTTTTGTCATCCTGACCGGCGAAGAACAGGTGACCCGAGGATACTTTAATCCTTTCCTTGAGGCAGTGATTTATTCTCCAGGGTGGAGCCATAGCCTGGGGAGGGGTTTAAGGAGATAACCCATCTTCACTGCCTCAGGTGAAAATCCCCACAGAGCTCCAAGGAGGCCGCGGTAGTCTGAAACCAACCGGACTGTATCATCTGCAAAAGGTGGAGGCGCAAACTTAAAGTCCTGGTTGACGATCTGAGAAGCAGCTGAAACAAACGGAGCCGTTGAGGCAGAGTTGGAAAAACGTCCCACCCCCCACACACAAACGATAACTCTCCCCTGAACCTGTATCGCCCTCCCCATGACACACCCCCTCTGCACTAGCTTCAAATAGGATTCACCATGTCGGATTGTTAGTGACTAGCGGCAGTAAACGCCAGCTCTGCTAGCGAGCGCCGTCTGCAGCTGCCTGGACAGCTACCGTGTTGACATGTCAGAGACTAATCAGAGTTATTTATGTAACATGAGCCGCGATAAAAGGAGATAAAAATGACCTGTTCAACTAAAACTCTGCTGTCTCAGCGTCTGTTTTCTCCACTGCTCAAAGGATGACCCGATGGTTATTCACGTTAGATTCCTCGCTTGGTCACATTTCCTCTTCGTCTCCGCCCTTTCTTCTGTCGGCTTGCGTTTTCTCCCCACTTCTGGCGGTGTGGCGAGCAGAAGTGTTTTTTTTTGCGTCCTTCTCCATCACAGCTCCTGTAGCTAAGCTGCTACGCTACTTTTAGCCGCTCAGAGCTCCAAGGAGGGCCGGGAGAGTGGGAGGGGACGAGTCTGAACTACGGGAGAGAGGTGTGTCGAATACAGCGAGGTGATTGGATGGAGAGGCGGAGCTGGAGATTGACCAATAGGAGCTGTCCGGGACGGATGGCTCCCATTGTTCAATGTTTTTGCAGCTCTGTACCTGATAGGGTGAACAGGGTGAACGGCAGTTGCTCAGGAAGTAGAATGGTTGTCCAATAACTGGAAGGTTGGCGGTTCGATTCCCCCTATCCCGAGTCTATCCGTTGTGTCCTTGCGCAAGATACTTAACCCACCTTGCTCCCAGTGTGTGTCCTCCACTGGTGTGTGATTGTGAGTGTTGTGTGGTTGTGGCAGCCACGTTTCCGTCAGTCTGTGACTACTACGGTAGTTTACCGCCACCAGAGCGTAAAGAGCTTTGAGGGTCTCTGATAAGGCGCTACATGAAATCTGATGAACTATTAAAATTATAATTAGTAAACTATCTTTGTGGCTCATCAGGACTTTATTCAAGCCTTTTGTGGGACATGGATTCAGGTGAGATGAACCCCGGATACCTCAGGACGCCTAAACACTGATCCACTAGGACTGTCAATCAACCTCAGGATGGGGAACACGTTGTTGTTCCTGCTCCTTGTTTTTCCCTCTGGTGTGAAACTCCACAGACACTTTCACTTTTGTTTACATATTTTTTTTTTTTATAGGACTGAGGAATAATTGATCGTTTTTTGGCACAGGGATCCTTCCAGTCTGGATCCCTTTGAGCCAGGCTCGTGGGAAGAAGACAGATCTGTCAGCAGTGTAGGACGTGTGCTCTAGTTTCTGTAGACGGGGATAATGTCGGTGTTATGTAGGACAGATCCATCATGGGTTCAGCCTGATGATGGAGATGTGCACTTTCACCGAGGAGGGGGTTACGGGGTTAATGTAACTGTTATTCAACCAGCTACCGTTATCTGAATCCAGACCCATTAGTTTAGGAGACATGTTGGTTTCTTTAAAGACCTGTTGAGAGACGAGCAGGTGAATGTGAAGGCGGTGTTTCTGTTTCTCTGGGTTATACATAGAAGGACGGAGTGGGATGGATGTGAACGTACATTAAGGGTTTATCTGTCCATATACGCTTCTTTCTGCACATACAGCGTTTTTTTCTATGAGCTGAATAAACCCAATCTTCTCTCTGTAATTGAAATCTCTGTGGGTGTAAGTTTCTACCCATCACTGCTGTGTTGGCTCTTTATTCCGTCTTCTCCTTCTTCCATCAGTCCAGCTCTTTTAGAAATCTCTCTCCATCCTTGAAACACTTCACTGTCCACCTTTTGACTTCCACGCTCCTCTTCGTCTCTTTCTTATTACTGTTTTTTTTCCCTCCTTTTACTTTCTTAAATGTGGTGATTTCATCCTCGCTGAAAAGCGCCCTATCACCCGTACCTTGGAAAATTGCCTTAATTAGGGAGGATTTGTAAGTAAATGAGACGGGATAATTACGCATTAAAGTAAACAAGGATTTATGTTTGCTGAAGATGCTTGAGCTTCCGCGACATAATGTACAATTATGTAAATCAGTGCGGTCCCTGATGGAGAGCTGAGGGCCCCGGTGTAGGACGCGGTGTGTGGAAATCTGTTTTGATAAATGCTCTTCCATTTCGGAGAGTGGTCTGCATGTATTCCCAGAGGAAAGCTTTCAGTTTCATTAAAAACACAGAAATGGACAATCTGTTCAAATTCGCCGTGCCGTTCTTAAAACTGTCTTCTTCGTTTCCGCGCCCCATTTCTCAGCCTTTACCAATTAATTCTGTTTTGCTACACCAAATAAAGATATTAAAACTCTAACGCTGCCGTCGGAGACTTCTGTAATGAACTCTGAATCTTTTTTTTTTCTTTGCGCAGCGTTCGAAAGCCTCCCTGGGGGGGAAACGTTGCACGGCCTCTGTAAATTGGTTACCCTATTAAGTTTTTCACGGTGGTCTCTTGAGGGATCCAATCAGAAGGAAAAACCACAAAGTCCTGCCCCCGGGACACGAGGAGGAAACAAACTTCTGGACCAGTCAGCGCTGTGAAAGTGTTCGGAATCTCAAATGAACTCGGCAAGTTCTCACCTTCGTGCTTACTCAGGTGTGATCCCGCTCGGAATCCCAAATACAGTACAGTCTACGTTTGCAACTAAAGCACTTTTCGGCCCCCGCCTGACGACGGCGGTGATCCCCACAAACCGAGACAGTCCAATCACCCACACGGGAACATGGACTCTTGAAACTGCTGGTGAATGCTGCACCTCGGAGCAACAAGTGGGACAATGCGCCCGTAATCCAGCACGACGTTTCTGTCTGTCAAAGTGCAGGAACTAAGTGCACTTAGAGTTTCTGGGTCAAGCCTGTGCGGTGAATACTATATCTAATCAAAAGGACTTCAGCACCAGCTCATTAAGATTCCAGTCTGCCTGACGTTAACACACATCAGCTGAGAGTGTGTGTAAGAGTGTGTGTGTGTGTGTGTGCGGTAAGTGCTGAATGGGAATATATGCCCGTGATGATTGGTCGATCATTGTTGTCTAAAAGCACTTTTATTCCGCCGTCCTGTTTCCTCCTCCTGACTCTCCCTCTCATTATCTCCTCTTGGTTTGTTCCACCGATCTTTAATTAACCTCACATTTATCTCTCCATCTCCTTTTACTCCCTCGTATTTCACAGATAGCTCTATCTTCTTCACTGCCTCCACAGCCCTGACTGCAGAGTTTGATAGGATTATCTTTGTCTCGTGGAGGATTCTCAGGTTATAGGGAATGTGTCTTCATTTACAAAGTTTACTTGTGCTTGTCTCTGTCTCTCTTTCTGCTCTGCTAGGTTGTTTTAGAAACTGTACTCCCAGTCAGCTTGGGGTCTGTAGGTAAATCAAGCTCCATCTCGGCCTGTACAAAACAGGCATGTTCTCACCAACTGTCTGTATGCAAATCAAACTCCTTCTCAGCTGGTGTCTGTGTGTAGATTGAGGATCCTCTCAGCTGATATCCAGGGGTAAATCAAGCTTTACTGTAGCCAATGTGAGAGTAAACCAAACACCATCTCAGCTGGTGTTTGTGGATAACTAGCACTAAATAAGCTGGTCTTTATCTACAAATCGAGCGCTATCTCAGCTGGTGTCTGAGTGTCAATTGAGGACCCTCTTGGCTGGTGTCGGTGGATAACTAGCACTTAGTAAGCTGATATCTGTCTGCAAATCGAGCCCCATATCGACTGGTTTCTGTGTAATTTGAGGATCCTCTCAGCTAGTATCCAGAGATCAATCAATCGATGTGTGAGTAAATCAAACACCATCTAAAGAGGTGTCTGTGTTGGTGGAGAACTAGCACTTAGTAAGCTGATATCTGTCGGCTGGTATCCAGGGTAAATAAAAATTGTAGCCGATGTGTATGAGTGAATAAAACACCTTTTTAGCTGGTATTTGTGTGTAAATGGAGCATCCTTTAATCCACTGGTGTCCTTATGTTAATCGAGCACCATCTCAGCTCATGTCTTTGTGTAAATTGAGAATCCTCTCAGCTGGTACCTAGGGGTAAATAAAGCTCTATTATAGTCGATGTGTTTCAGTAAATGAAACACCTGTTTAGCTGGTTTTTGTATGTAAATGGAGCTTCCTCTCATTCACCACTAACACCATTTGACTTCGTGTTGGTGGATACCTAGCACTTGGTAAGCTGCTCTTTGTCTGCAAATTGAGCACCATTTCAGCTGGTGTCTGTGTGTAGATTGAGGACCCTCTCAGCTGGTATCCAGGGGTAAATCAAGCTTTCTTGTAACCAATGTAAATGAGTAAATCAAACTCCTGTTTAGCTGGTATTTGTGTGTAAATGGAGCTTCTCCTCATCTACTGGTGTCTGTATGTTAATAGAGCGACAACTTTGAATGTAGATAAGATCACTTTCTATAAAGACCAGCCCCTAAAAACAAACATAGATAACAGGTCCGTTTAGGTTTTATAGCAGGTTTCTAACAGAGTGATTTCTTTCCTCTTTGTTTCTTCAGACGTCTTTAAAAATCTTAATTCATGAACCGTTTGTTTCATTTATGACCTTGACTTCTTTCAGTATAAGTATGTTCACTCCAGCACAGAGTACTGTCTCTTTCCCCGTTAATAATAACTGATCCTGATGACGTGATGTTCGTTAAAGGTACTTTACAGCTGGTTCAGACATGCGTCCGGTCTCCGTGAACACATCAGACCTCAGAGTAAAAGGGTCCGCAGGCTGATATTTGCTCTGATTGAATCATTGCATCACAGCTTGATATGTGGACGCTCGGATCAGAGCATGATGAAACGAGCGGCTCTGAGTGAACGCATTAATGCGCTACAATGAGGGGGTGTTACATCATCATGTTACCACCTCCTCCACACCTCTGCTTTCACGTGAATCCTTTTTTTATCCTTTCTCCAACAACTGCAGGGTCTAAAGCTGAAAACATTGCGTTGTTCCGTATTTGCTCCGTAGAGCAGCGTTGGGTATCTCATACAGGATCAGCGTATTTTGAGCGTAGCAGCAGCGTGGTGCGGCCGCGGTCAGCTGGACTCAGTATGGAGGGAACAACATGCTCACAGCAGGTTTTTTTTCCTTTCTGTGGTCGATTTCCTGATTATTCTGATATAATTCAGTGACTGTCGAGCCTCTACTGTCTGTGAAAAAGCTTTAAAGGATTTTACAGTAAATATGTTCCTTTATTAGGGTTGGGAATCGTTTGATTTTGAACGATTCCGATTCCTTGTTTTGATTCCGGTTCCTAACGATTCTCTATTCCGATTCTTTTGAAAGGAGGGATATTAAAAAATAAATGCTAAACTTCTCCATGAATTTTTAAATCATATTAACTTTTTAAGAACTTTACTATGAATGTCTCACATTTTCAACAAGTATATAAATATCAGTTTTTGTTGTCAGGTCGTTTGGCTGTGAAAAAGTATGAGGGCTAACGTTAGTATAATTTGTTTGCCACTTTAATTTTAGCAGAAGACAAAAGTTATTTATTGTTTCACTTCTCTGATTCTGGCTGGTTTGTGGAAGACCGGCGAAGAACGTCAAAGACGAACACTCGGGTATTTCTCCTCCATGAATCCTGAGGTGTTTAATCATGTTGGTCGTTTACCCTCCTTTACATGATATAACTGTTGTTAATGTTGCACTGAGAAAAGAATAGAATAGAATAGAATATTCCTTTATTGATCCCCCATGGGGGAAATTTTTTTGTCACAGCAGCATCACAGACAAAGAAAGTGCAAAAATGCCGTTATAAAAATAAAGATCCTAATAATAAGAAACTTAAATAAATGTAATAATTAAGAAAAAAAGGGAGAAGAAAAATAAAATAAAATAAAAATAAAACTATCTACAATATACACAATTTAAATGCCAGCGTAGTGGTGGTGTAAATCCAGTTAAGAGTTCATTCATCCTGCTAAAGTTAGACAAACTTTTGCAGTGCGCTCTCTCTCTGTGACTTCGTCTCATAATCTTCGTCCTTTCTGCAGACTCCACCATCGAAACTTGGAATCAAATTTTTAAAATTTGAACGGTTCCTGGAGAATCAGAACATTAGTCCTGGTCCCCAATGTTGCTCAAGTCTCGATGCCCAACCCCACCCTTTCTGCTGCGCTGTTACCTTCAGACTGAGTTAGCAGGTCACAGTCCTGTTGGGGTCCACATGGATCAGGGATTGACCATCAGGTTGTTACTGATGAATCCAGAACCAGGAAGGATTCCTCATCTACACCAACTGATCCACAGTCAGGAGTTTGAATATGGACGATCCTCTCTTGGTGCGATGACGCGCATTGGACTCGTAGAGCAGCAAAAATCGACTCGCTGCGTATCTTAACCGGTGCTCCTCTTGGTATAAAGCTCCTGTACGCTTCGCTGCGTCGATGAGAATGGAAACCTATTCGCTGCGTGATACGTGACACTGCTCCAAATACGCATCAACCGTGTTTGTCAAACTCCTAAAACCCCCACGGAGGAGAAGAGTAGAAGAAGAAGAAGAAGAAAGAGAGGTACAATAAAGAGAGAGAGAGAGAGAGAGTGTGACATATTTCATGGTAGGATATGGGGCCTATAGGGGCCGTTAATCCACAGAACAGAGCCGCGGGAAAAAGCTACAAGACTGGCGCTGCAGCCACAGTGTGTGTGTGTGTGTGTGTGTGTGTGTGTGTGTGTGTGTGATGACAGTTGTACTTGGTCTTTATTTTGAAGGATGACACTGACAGAGACAAACAGACTGACTAAATGCCAAGAGATTCCCTCCCCCAACAACAACGCCGTGGTGTAACCAGGCTTCTCCACCTCCTCCTCCTCCTCCTCCTCCTCTCCGGGGTGAAGGCCGACGATGCCGAGGCTGATATGAAACAGGAGAAACAGCGAATGATCTTTGGGCATCGAGGGAGAAATTTGCGTCTATTTTTATTTTCCTTCCCTGTCTGCAGAAAATCGAGGATCTGGTGGAGTCAGCGGGGACCCTGATGTTGTCTCAACAGGAACCACAGGAGCTGGAATAGTCCTCCTCCTCCTCCTCCTCCTCCTCCTCCTCTTCATCATTCACTATGTCCTACATATCAGCGCTGCCGGCCTTTGACAGCGGTGATGGCGGCCCATCAAACCCCTCACATGAAGCGCATTATGATGCAATTACCAGCAACATGGCGATCAGATAACCAGGAGAAAGCTGCTTTACGTCAATATCGTGTAACATAGATGTCCTATACGGGCGATCGAGAGAGAGAGAGAGAGAGAGAGAGAGAGAGCAGATGATGGAGGCCAGGTGGTTTCAGCAAAGACCTTTATACTCTGACGGCTGGATGATGATGTTGGTTCTCAGGTCGGGTTGTTCTCTCTCTCTAGGTCATTTCAGATCAGATGTTGGTTCGATATCATAGAAATTCATGCTGTAGATCTCCCTTCACAGCATCCTCTACTTATAGAACCACCTCCTGTCAATATTCCGATTCCGGGACCAGCACAGTGGTCCAGTCGGGTCGTCTCATCGAGTTCTGGTCGTAGCTTGATTTAACCGCAGCATGGAAATGTACGGAATCTCAACCTCTCAACCCGGTAAAACTCACAAACTGTGAGATATTTCCCCAACTGGCGGTCGCTCATTGCTCTTGCTCACGGTCACGACCTTCTTTCTCATATTTGGAGAGGGAGAGACCACCAATCAAGACTCAGTATCTGATCATTAAAGTCCTGGTTGACGATCTGAGAAGCAGTTGAGAAAAACTGAGCCGTTGAGGCAACCGGAACGGCTCTGATCTGAAACTGCGGCGATTTTCGCTGTTCCTACCGGGTCCGGACAGCAGGACTCACGAGAACTCACAGGAACCCGCGGATTCACGTGCAATTCACCATGTCCGATTGCTAGCGACTGGCGGCAGTAAACGCCAGCTCTGCTAGCGAGCGCCATCTGCAGCCGCCTGGACAGCTACCAGTCTCTGCGTCTGTTTTCACGACCGAATCCTGGCGGCGCTTTCTCCACCGCTCCAAAGATGACCCGATGTTTATTCCTGTTAGATTCCTCGTTTGGTAGCTAAGCTGCTACGCTACTTTTAGCCGCTCAGAGCTCCGAGGAGGGCCGGGAGAGTGGGAGGGGACGAGTCGGAAACATGGGAGAGGGGTGTGTCAAATACAGCGAGGTGATTGGATGGAGAGGCGGAGCGGGAGATTGACCAATAGGAGCTGTCCGGGATGGATGGCTCCCATTGGTCAATGTTTTTGCAGCCCTGCACCTGATAGGGTAAACTGATTTTTTCCGTTCTTTTTTCTCTTCACTTTGTGGAGATCGCACTATAGGACCATGATCGCCATAGAAACGAGGTTCATAATAATTACCAATCCCTCCAATCGTCAACCATGACTTTAACGAGGGTCCTTCCAGCCCTGAGGATTCATGACATCCCTGTAGAAGGTTCTGGATCATCTGGGTTTTGGTTTTTCAAAATAATTTCCACTAATAATGTCGATTCATGACGGTAATGAAGCGCCTGGTCCAGTCTGAGTCCTTTTGACTGACACCCGACATCTCCTCTGACACATTAATCCCCCCCCTGCTGAGTCTTTCACATCAGCACGCCACGGCGGAGCCACAACCCCCCGGAGAACAAATTAACAATGAATCAAGTCAGTAGGTGGGTTTATAGAAGCAAAGAAGACGTTCGGAGTGTGAGGCGGGAATTCGGCGTGTCAATCAGGACGACAGCGAGCTCCTGCCGAGTAAACCCACACATCTCTGCTCAGAGTCAGCTGACTTTAATGTCGCTCTGTTTAGAGAGGAGACGTGGGATTAGCAGAGCTCGTTCATCTGCGGATCACGGCGAAGAGACGGTTTCAGAGACCGTGTCCCATCATCAGATCCGTACAGGAAGTGCAGACGGCTCGAGCAGAGCATGTCTTCAGATTGTGTTGTCCTCTCCGTCTTCTCCGCGGACGTCTCTCTCTCTTTACATGCAGCAGTAAATAAATCTAGTGTGTCCCTGGAAACGGCGTGTAAATCCATTTAGAGTTTTTTTTTGTTGAACAGACACAGAATTCATCCCTTCAGGCTGCACACATTTAGATAAGACCCACTGTGGTTAACACACAAACACGGCATGTACACACAGCGCACATTAACACATGCACGGCATGGAGGTAAACAAACTTTGCAGAGTTTGATTGGGTTCAAAGGTCACGTCATGAGGTGGTCTAACTGTAAAGCCATGAGCGCAGGATAAGACGCCGCAGTAATGGTGTCTGTGAGGCAGGACTGTCAGAACGAAAACATGTTTATGTTTACATCCTCGCTCACAAACATGACTCCAGGGGCCTGTTCTACGAAGCAGGTTCGACCTAGCGAGGTCGCCTTGGAGCTACCTCGCTCAACTCAGCGCGGTAGCCAGCGGTCCCGCGAAGGACAGCGTACTTTACAAACGAGGAGCAGGAGACGATCATGAGAAAGTCTGAAGAATTCAAATAAACCCCTAAAGCAACGCTGTCGCCGCTGCAAAAGACCGGAGGGAACGCTGGCAGAAAATGGCCGACAGTCTCAATGCGGAAGTGTAGTGCGCAAAAAATCTTTGATGCCATCATCGCCCTGAAGTAACGCTGTTCAACATGCGCTTTTAACATGCACCAGACATGTTTAATTCAAGGTGGTCATCCGGAAAAGGAAGTGGGTCTGTGCAGTCCCTGAAAACTCTCGTGAGCCAGAGTGCTCCTCCTCAGACAATGCGAGCACCGAGGTCTACAGGATCCTCCAAGAACAGACAAGCCATTTTTCGAGAGAGCTCATTGGTCAGTGGGCGGGGTTTTTATATTCGGTGACCAGCTAACCTGCCCCGGTGCAGCGTACGTTGCCATGGAGAATCGCCTCAGTAAGAAGTAAACCGGCGTCATAAAACAGGAAACTCTGAACTTACCCTCGAAGTTACCTCGCTAAGCAGTAATCCTGCTTTGTAGAACAGGCCCCTGGACCCGGTTTGACCAGGATTACACGCTGACCTTTTAAAGGACACCAGAGACGGGGTCGAACGCTCGAAGGAATCATCCCAGATCAGATCCAGGTCAGGGCTAACTTCCAGTTCTTACTTTCTCTCCAGTAACAATAACGTTCCTGTGGAGACAAATCGGAAAAAACGAAAACCAAAATGTTCTGCTTGAGCCCCCAAAAGTTTTAAGATCCTCTGTGGTCCTCGTGATAAAAGTTCATCTTGGGCATAGATTTAAAGATCCATCTGTTCCTGTTTGGACCATAGACCTGATCTCAGTGGTCACACCTGCGGGGGAACTTTAGTACCTCCTAGTCTGCACCTACCAGAGGTGGGTCTTCAGCCAGGTCTTCTCCAGCTCCTTGTCAGTAGGTCAGTTTTAGGTGTCTTCTTGATGCATGTGAGATCAGCAGCTTCACAGACGTGCGGTCAGTCTGCAGACATCCATTTACTCTGTTTTCCAGGATGAGTGTGGTCAGTTTCCTGTAAGGCCAGATCTGAGTCGTCACAATGACAGGAACTGAGCGGACACGTGGGCTGGATCTCCTCCGCCCGAGTGTCAGACTCTTCACAGGTCCATTTCTAAACATCTTATAGGTCCGTTTCTTTAACAGGAGTGTGGGAACTATCTTGACGGACACGACGTCAGGTCCAAGCTTGTTTGAGGTCATTTACTTACAAACATGTGGTCGGTTTCTTTGCATGAATAGAGGTCAGATCCTAAAGAGATACAAAGCCAGTTCCCCAGTCAGTCCCTGGCCTTTCCTGAGCCGGAAACCTATCCGTGTCAGTCCCTGGACCGGTCTAAGGTCATGCATGACTGAAGGTCAGTGCCTTGGCAGACATGAGTTTTGGTCCTCTTGCAGAAAAAAGGCCGACCTCCTGAAAACCTAGAGGGTAATGCGGGATTTTCACCGCATCCGGAATCGCCATACGCCAATTTGATTTGTGAGGCGAATTTCGTGGCAGATTACAGACAGCAGGAATCGCAAGAGATCACAAGAACCTGCGGATTTATGTGCAATCGACACATAGACATACAAGCAGTAGATTGTGTCCTTTCAGAGGAGGAAATTTCTAGACTTCTAGAATCAGCATCTCCTCATGGAGTGTTTTATTTTGAAAAGAAGCCGGATGTTTTATTTTGTGTCTCTGCCCGACTTCCTTTCCAGCACGGGTTAATCTGTGCTGAATTTCTCCGCCATGCTCCGGCGTCCAGAAAAATAGAACTCTTGCGATCAGCTGAGGAACAGAAAGAAGTCGGTGTAAATTGACACGTTAACTTGAATGGTTACGATCAGCTTCGATCAGAGGATACGACCTTTTCGTAGACGATCAGGATGAAGGTGGAAATCCCGGGTTAGTCCTTTAGCTCGCACAAGGACACTGTTGGGGATCCATCGGGTGGGCTCCTCTGAAGATGTTCTCCTCCAGATGAGACATTTAGCATCAGTAATAAGAGCAGGACACAGCTTTAAAGGAAGGATCTAGTGTCATAGATCTATGAGTCTGTTTCTGATCCTGACATTAAACTCACTCACTCTACAGATGACTTCCTCTACAGAGGACTGGCTCTCAGCCCATTCGCACAAGTCATGCTTGGCCCTCAACCCTCTGACATTTCCAGTCACTAAGCAGATTATAAAGACACATGTGTGTGTGTCTGTGTGTGTGTGTATATAGAGCTGTGTTTAAGTAGGCCAAGCAGGTCTGAGAACAGTCCTATTTACAGCAGAAGAAGAAAACGTCGATTTATGAAGCTGTCAGAACAGAGAGTCGAAGAGGACAGCGTGATCCACCTGAACCATGAGTCTGATCTTCATGAAGTCCTGAGGTTTGCCTCTCTGCAGATAACTGGACGGACTCATGTGACTCTGACTGTCACTCTGACGGGGAATAATCCAGAAGATCTTTAAATGTCAGGCTGTGTGGTCCACTTCCAAAAGAAGAGAGTCAGGAGTCAGTCCGGGTAAATGAGGACTAAATCAGGACACGATCACCGGGTCTACAGGAGACCGGGTATCACAGTAAACCTGACTCTGGTCCAGCTGATCCAGATCTCCTCTCTGAAGGTTTAAACCCACATTAGTCAGTCTAAGTGTTCTTAGTGCCGTCTTCACTCTGGTACTTTTCCTCCTTTTCTCCCTCTAATCTGTGTGTCTTCAGGGCGGACTTACTGAGCGCACTCAGTCAGCACTGCTCCTCTTAACACTCGCATTATAGTTCCCTTTATGTGTGTCTGTGTGTGTGTGTGTGTGTGTGTGTGTGCATTTCTGTTTACATCTGCATTAGAGTTTAACAAAGTGGAGGTTTTCATCTGTGGTTTTTCTGCCTCTGTGAGGACAGGTTCGGCCTCGAGAGAGCGGACTTTTTTTGGAGGTTGTTTTATGGTCGCGAAGTTAAGATGTTTAACGAAGGGATCGTTCTGTGGGTTTGACTTCTTCAGACTTCAGCAGTTAAAACCACATCCTTCAACTGAGGACATGAGCAGACATATTTAAGGGATATTCCGGCATAAAATTAATTTAGGGTCAAACTCGCCGTAACACCGAGTTAGACCCCCCCTCCAGAGATGAATGTTGTCGACCGCTTGCTTCTCTAGTTTTACCAACTTTAGGATAGCGATACAGAGAGCCACGCGCTCAACCAAAACGCCACTCTATAGCCACAAATAATGCTCAGAACAGCACCTAACTTCATCAACAGGACATATAGGGTCACAGCCATAGTACTAGACACCAAACATCTTTTTAACTTTGACTCATTTCTTTAGCAAAGAGACTAAATGAAAAGGTAAAGGTGTTTTTATTGAGCCGAATTATCAATAAAATCATGATTTTGTTAACAGGTATGAATATATGTGCTGTCGAGTTAATATATTTGAACAAGAGCACAGTAAAGTTAAATCAGCTAATTTTCCAATGAGGTTCTGTTACTGAATGGAACTACACCATGTTCTACTGAGGTTAGTACATATAGTGTCACAGCCATAGTACTAGACACCAAACATCTTTTTAACTTTGACTCATTTCTTTAGCAAAGAGACTAAACACAACTCACCTACTCTCTTCCAGCAGCCGCTTGTTTGTACTACAGCGGGGTGCCGCAGCTCAAGGAAGAACATTTATGATCAGAAAACTGTCAGAAAAGTTAATTTAGAGTCCTGAGAGTGACAATCTGCTCTCAAACCCACTAATACTTTTATTTTTCATGGGAAAGTGGAGGCCGACCTGTCAGTCCTCTCTCCTTAATCCTCTCAGCAGCAGTGAGATCTTTGGGGGGCCACTTAGCAATAGGGATGGGAATAGAAAACCAAATGGTTTAATCCATCGACATCATTTACATTTTAGCTTAACGATTCCCTGAACGATTTCTTTCTTCTGGTTCATATATGTTGATAAATGATCATATATGTTTTTCCTTGAGCTGCGGCACCTCACTGTAGTCCCTAACAGACTGGCCTGAGGTCTCTCTACAAACAAGCGTCTGCTGGAAGAGAGTAGGTGAGTTGTGTTTAGTCTCTTTGCTAAAGAAATGAGTCAAAGTTAAAAAGATGTTTGGTGTCTAGTACTATGGCTGTGACCCTATATGTACTAACCTGAGTAGAACATGGTGTAGTTCCGTTCAGTAACAGAACCTCATTGGAAAATTAGCTGATTTAACTATACTGTGCTCTTGTTCAAATATATTTACTCGACAGCACATAAATCCATACCTTTTTAACAAAATCATGATTTTATTGATAATTCGGCTCAATAAAAATACCTTTACCTTTAGGGAGTGTCTAACTCGGTGTTACAGTGTTTGATCCTGACTTACTTTTACGCCGGAATATCCCTTTAATATAGATCTGCATGCACAGCTAGATAACTCACTCTGGTGCTGGGCGGTTTCACAGCTTCTCTTGAAAGTCTCCGTCAGCATCGATCTGCTTTGGTGCATTTAAAGGTGCATGTGTTTTTGTTTTTCATGTTGAACAGTCAGATCTGTGTGTGATGAATGTTGATCTTGCGTTCCCCGGCTCTTGTTCTCTGCAGACCAATCAGACGGCAGGGAGACCTGCGTCTCTGCCAAACACCATTAAAGGCATTAAAGACTGGGACTGATAGTCCGTCTCTGTGTGCGAGAGCGTGGACATTTGCGTCAGAGCGCCTGTGGATCCGTGTTTATCACCCTTATCTCCTGGTCTGAGCGGCTAACAACACGGTGCTCTGATAAGAGGCAGATCGAGGAGTGATAGAGCGAAGCAGAGAGGTGACACATCTGGAAACACGCGGAGGTAATGGGAGGAGAGTCGGAACATTTGCTTTGCTTCCTCTCTGACCTTTCGTGGAGAAGAATCAACGGCGTTGGAAACCACTCTGAAAAGGTCCTGAATTATTTCCACGCCTGTTAGAGAGGAGGAGATGAGATTTCTGTTGTCGTGGGAAGTCGGGAAAATGGGGAAGTGTCTCGTTGTTTTTGTAATTACAGTAATCTGGGTAAACGGCTCTGTATCTGGTGGGCTCGCCCTCGCGCGTGTGAAAGGTCAGGTCCTGCCATTAACGGCTCCATTAGACAAACTCACCGGGTTTTCTTCTTCAGGACTAAAAAGATCAGATAAGAGGAAAACACGGACCTGTCACCGCCGAGGGGATCTCGGAGTGACGGGGTGGATGAGATAGAAAGATGCAAAGATACGAGAAACATCCAGAACGATTAGAAATACATTAGAAAGCCTCCGGGGTCAGGACCTTCTTCTTCTTCATGTAGGAGGACGGATGTTTTATGGTTTTAATTTTAGCTTCCAGACTCAACATCATTCACCTGAGAAGAGAAACCGCCGACAGCAGAGACGACGCTTTCTGACAGGAAATCTATTTAGATCTGAGTCAGCGGCAGAGAGCCGCCCTCTCAGGTTACACTAAATAAAAACGGAATAGTCATTTATAAAACTGCAGAAAATAGAAATGAGTTTAATCCTTTATCCTCCCTACAGCTGCCGCTAAATACTCATTTACTACATTCAAATGTAATCCTCTTATCGCAGGTGTCAAAGTCCTGGACCCGGACCTAATCCCCACAATTATACTGCGCTTCCACAAAGTTCCTTCAGTCCTCCCAGGGTGAGAAATCTGGAGGTGAAACTGAAACAGTCAGTCAGACCTGTCAGTCCTCTCTCCCTGATCCTCTCGGCAGCAGTAAGGTCTTTGGAGGGCCACTTAGCAAGACCGGTATAGGGGTAGGGTCCAAAGGGGCGGAAAATTTACGGTAAATTTCTGTGGGAAGTTACGCTTGGGAATTTTGGAAATATTCCAAATTGGAAACTTTTCATGGGAATTATTGGGAATTAACTGGAAATTGGGGGTAATACAAACAAACGGTATCATATCCGAACGTAAATGTAAATATTTTTGTTTTGTCATAAGTAGACCGATTTATCGGCAAGTTGATTACATTGGAGACTAACCGGTAATTGTCTAAAACTCGCTGATTTTCGCCGATATTTTCAGAAGTAAAATGCAGAGAATAAGATTCGGTTTCACTTCGAAAATGTTCCGCCATTTGAAAAGTTCCCCGACTTACCCTGTAGATGGCGCAGTGACCTCATGATAATCTTCATCCATTAACTACCTCACATACATATTATACTGTAGATATTTACTGTATATACATATTCTTTATAACTTCATAAAAAATTTTAAAAATCGGCCGATTAATAATCGGTATCGGCATCATTCAAAAAATACTTACATTTAGTAACTATTTTTATTTCATTTTTTACAGGTTAAATATCAGACTGATATGGATTTTTTGGGGCCGATGCCAATTCGGATAATTAGGGGGAAAAAAATCAGATTAGCGGTTAATTGGATGATTTAAAAAAAAATTTATTAAGTTATAAAAAATACACATATACTGTAGATATCTACTGTATACTATGTAATGTAGATATACTGTAGGCTACTGCTCTTCAGGAAGACCGACTGATCAAACTCGGACCAGAAAAACGTTTTTAACTCCGCCCATCGGTGCCTCGGCGTCTAAACTCCCGTTACTCATTTCCGGTCCGGTCTGATCTGGAGACATGCAGCTGTAGCGCCATCTACAGGATAAGTCGGGGAACTTTTCAAACGGTGGAACATTTTCGAAGTGAAACCGAATCTTATTCTCCGCATTTTACTTCTGAAAATATCGACGAAAATCAGCGAGTTTTGGCCGATTACCGATTAATCTAAAATGGGCTTATATTGGTCAGTCTAATCAGCTCGCCCCTAATATTTACCCCATAATATTAACATCATTATATAGACGTGGACTCTAATGTCTTGGTCTTTGGGCTCTCAAGTGTGTTCAAGAAATCAGAAATTTCAGATTTATTCCTGTTAATTCCCACGGAAAGTTTCCGACTCCTGGATCCCCAAAGGCCAGAGGACCGAGGAGGATCAAGATTTCACTCTTTCTGACTGTTCAGACTTTTAAAACTCCTTAAATTGGCGTTCAGGTGTTGAACAAAAGATCTTCCTGCTGCTAAACTTCGGCTCAAACTCCTAATCGATGAATTAGCTTCTTCCGCCTTCCTCGCAGGTTTGATGGCCACCCACTTTGTTTTGGTTTTCCTGATTAGCCGAATGCTAATCTTTTGCTGCTTTTAGCAGAAAACAGAGGCGGGCCGGGTCTCACGTGGACCCGGTTCTTCAGAGCTTGTTAAAAATAAGTCCTTGACATCAAAGCAGCGGCGGCACAGAGCAGTTTACCTGCAGCAGTGCATTAAAGGCCATTAATTAGCTGGCAGGCTGACACCGGTGTCAGGCAGGAGGGGGAATTAGGCATGAAACGAGGAAGAAGAGAGGAGGGATAAAAGCAGAGGCATGAATTAATGAAGAGTGGGAGAAGAAAGGGAAGAAGAGGGGAGGAAGAAAAAAACACCGAGGACCCACACAGAGAGGGACTGAGGTTTGATCTGAGGGAGCACAGATTCAGATTAGGGGGACGAGAGTCGACGATTACACCGTGTCAGAGAGAGGAGTATCCGATCCTCAAAAACTCCCATCACTCAAACATCTCCAAGGCGTCCTCAAAACACATTCAAGGACTCGTTCAAGGTGCGTTTGTTAGCCGGGGGGGCGGGGCTGCTCGATCGACTCTTTCTGAAGCCGGCGAACCAGTCCTGACGCTATCGACCACAACAGACAAGATCAGAACTGCAACGTGATTTAGCCTAGCATCCATGCTAGGTAACAGGTAGTAATGTGTTATTAGCAATGCCGTTACTTTATTCAGTAGCTAATAATGTAACACATTTTTTTTTTTAATTCAGTAACTCTGTTCCCGTTACCAAACGCTGCGTTCCTCCGTTCCTTTCGGTGAGGTTTTGTAACGGCACAACGCGACATTTCGGTAACATGTAAACTGTGTCCCGGGTCAAAAATCCTTCCTTGCGGCAAACAACGGCAACAGCAATCTACTTCAGCACCTAGAGACGCACGCGGCGTGCTTCGACAAAGTTTGCGGCTAAGGTGACGCAGCATCCGCGACCGAGTGTCACAGCAGCGGTTGGAGTTCGGAAGATGGACCAATAGCCAGGCGCAACAATAACAGGGTATGTTTGATTGTTTATTTGGATCTTTTTTTTTAGAGATATCAGGCTGATATTCCAAAAGTCGGATGCGGGTCACTTCACGGACGCATTCCGTTCACATTAGATGCCGCATTCATTGTTGTCATGTGAACGACCGCACAAAAAGATCGGATTTAACAAAAAGATCGGATTTATCAGAACCTGCAGTGACAGGACAGGATCCGTGTTTGTTCATCGTGTTTTCAGCGAGTAAAATCAGCTGTAAAAAAAAGAGGCAAACGGTCAATCATACGTACATTTATCATCAACAAACACGGACATTTCTGCACAGTCAGCGCTAAATCCTGAGTAGATTTTGATTACGACACTTAAAGGCGACCTGCCATAAAAATGTAATTTTTCTGTGTTTTTTGTGTCAGATAAGGTCCATATTATGTTCGTCTTATGTTGTAAATGTGAAAACAAACCGTTACGTCGTTTGCATTCTGTAAAGGTTTAAAATAAAGGAACGAGTAAACCAGGCCAATTGAAAAAGCAGGTCAGTGTTACGTTGCGTTGACGTTGCTCATTATAATTCACGAGCTCGTCCTCGGTGAGCCGTGCCCACTCTCTCGTTCTCGTACTCAGTCACAGCCAGAGCGAGACCCAGCTACCGCTGTATCCGCTATGGGTCTCTTCCAAACGATCGGTGTTTCCTTCGGTTCACTGCCGGGAAAATGAACTTAAAGCTGGGCAGAATGAATGAGAAAACACCGCTGGAGATCTCCAGCTTCTTCCTCAACTTCCACCTCCTCTTCGGACTCGGGGTCTAAAATATATGGTTTAATACCTGCCGTTTTTAGCCTTTAGCATAAGGTGACCAGACGTCCCCGATTTCCGGGGACAGTCCCCGTATTGGATGACCTGTCCCCGGCAAAAGCTGTCCCCGAAAATGTCCCCGATTTAAGCGTTTCATTAATGAGAGCAAAAATGTTGCGTGTGGGCTCGAACAACGGTTATTACAGTAGCCGAATAGGTAGGAAGCACAGGTTAGCAGTCCTGAACAACAGTTCTTACGGGGTTATTACAAGGGGCATGCGCTGCTACTAAATAGTACCGAGACTTTGTCTGTGATCACACAGCCCCTGCAGCCCCTGCACCGCCGCCGCCGCCGCACCGAATATCCCCGGATATCATTACAGACATCTGGGCACCTTACTTTAGCATACATTAGCATATGCTATTAGCATTAGCATAATAACAGTGGATAAACCGAAATCCGAACCTCCACTGCTGAGCCAATCAGAGCACAGTAGGCTTCACAGCAGCGATCCAATCAGAGCAAAGCTCATTACCATAAATGTTAATGAGCCAAAACCAGTTGGTTTTCCTGTAAGGTTTTTTAGGCATACTAAAACAAACCATCAAATAACTTTTCAGCTAAAATTATGTTGCAAACATGATCAGAGGACATCAAGGATTATGAAAAAATGATAAAAATGGGGATGAAGTTTTGGTGGCAGGTCCCCTTTAAACTTCCACAGAGATCTGAGGGGAATCTCCGCTGAACGCCGACTTGTACTTATTAAAGTGATTTCTACACTTTCATCAGTTTTCCGACTTCTGTTCTGATGAAATCAAGTTCCCGCCCTCTTCATGCTGCTCGTCTTTATCTTGCGCTCGCACTCGCACAGGCGGCTCTGTGGCCTACAGGCTGTACCGTCTTATTTACAGTAGAGAACACAGACACACAAATCTATATTGTTACGCCGCCTCCTACAGAAAAACACAATACTGTATATTTAATGCACACTTCATGAGTGCACTGAGAGATAATCCGTGAGATGCAGATAAGTAAATGTGGGTCAGGAAGCGTTCCAGAGGCGTGCTGGATTTATTTCCCCTGCTGAGGAGGAGAAACCTCTTCAGACGGGGTTTATCTGCTCTGAGGGGTCCGGAGATTTGAGCAGGAACACACCTCACACTCCTGGAGGGTTTATGCGCTATCGCCACCGTCTCAGCGCCTCATCCTGCCCATTATAGATCCAAACTCCTCGACAAAGCCGCAGATTTTCTCTCTTATAGGCGTCACAATCCTCGGGGACTCTCTGATCAGATTATACCAACTTTCATCTTGATACTCAAACCTCGGCTCTTTGACGCCGTTATACAACAGGCGTAGATCAGACCCCGCTCGTGATCAGAGGAGTCCTCTCAGTCCCGGTCGAAGGCCTGGACGGGTTTCTGCGCGCCGAGTCCGAGCCCAGAAGCTCAGCTAAAACTCCTCCTACTCTCCACCTACACAGCCACGCTAGTTCAAGGCCCCTGGGAAGCACAGAAGAAAGGCATTCTGGGTATCTTCAGAGGATAAGTGGACGTGGTGGAAACTGTATCAACATCATTTCATCAGGACATAACAACACGGGGACGAGTGGATCTGACTGTGTAAACCTCTGCATACTTTCCGTCCTACTACACATTATCCAGCTCGTTACCACGGCAACCGGCCATAGATATAAACAAGCTGACACCGACCGTTCGTTAAGAAGAGATCGTATTGATTGAAAAAAAAAAAAAAAAGAGGGTAAACACTCTCTCCTTCCTCTTCTTCACTCCTGATTGGCTGGTAACCACGGATCGCGCTCCTTTAAGGTGTCAGGATATATCGTTTGAGCATCGTCATGGCGATAGTCACATTGCCTGGGATGTCGGAGGCGAATGAACTCATCTCATTTCAAGGGTAGCTGACTGACTGCCAATCAGACTACCCTGCCAGCCGTCAATCAAGAGAGGAGGAAACCACGCCCCTGCACATGGAGTGAGTCGCTGGCGCTGCCGGTGTTGTGCCGAGAAACGCCGAGAATGACTTTGGGAACATTCCTCATCACTGTTGAGAACTGTATGGGTTTTAAATTGTACATTTCCGTGGACCACTCGACTATAAGCGGTATGCGTGTGGCGAGGTGGATGCAATTCTCAGCGGGCATGCGTTTCTCGGCACAACAACGCTAACAACAACAACAACGATTGCAAAATGAGCGACAAACGAGAGATAACCACCGAAAATGAAGATTTGTTACCTAAAAGAAAAGCAACGTCACTTACCTGGAATTGTTGCGGTTATAGGAAGGATGATGTCGACTAAAACACCTGTTCTGTGTTCATCTATTTCCAGCACGGCCGCTGTTGTTTAGCGGGCACACATTTGTTCCCTCCGATGGGGCGTCGCAACAATATGCTTTTCGATAGTCACCATTCTGACATGTTTTGGTAGATTATTCGAATAGCCAATGAAAAGGGGAGTTGCTCTGGGTCCGCTTCATGTTCTGAATTAGAACCAAGTAACAACCAATTGTAGCGTCGTAGCAGACAGCAGCTCCACCCAACCATAGCACTTTAACAGGTGAAGCCGACAGCACTGTTGGTGAGAAACAAAGAAAATGAGTGCTACCCCCGACAGAAATGACCATGAAGGCTCAACAGATGACCACATCAATGTCAACCACAACACTGGCGTTAGGAAAACGTCGGTGGTGTGGAGGTATTTTGGTTTTTGGAGGTCGGACATGAAGCAGAGTAATGTGGACTGTAAATTATGTCGAGTACATGTTCTCACAAAGTTGGGGAATACCTCAAATCTTTTTCACCACCTGAAGCAGCGCCACGCCGCAGAGCACGCGCAACGCCGAAGGTTACAAACCCCGAGAGGAGCGAGGAGCCAAAACAGGCGAGCATTCAGTCGGCTTTCTCTAGAGCAACGCCTTACGACAAAACGCCAAAGAGACACAAAGACCTCACAGATGCAGGAGATTATTGTGTTGGAAAAGACATGAGACCAATAAACACTGTTACATTTTTATATCGTGATATTGATCGATATCAGCTGGTGAGGTTCAGAGTGTTCGTTCATTAGTAAACTAAAACCTTCACCTCCTGGTTCAGTTTTCTTCACCTCCATGACGCCTGTGATACTGCTGATGAAGCACTAATCCACCGATCGATTGCGCCCTCCCTCGTGTTGAAGACCCAAAGAAACTCGAGGTCAAAGACTCGACCCAATTAAAGACGGAAGGTCATTGTTTTCCAGTCCAGAACCATGGACTCAGACCTTAAGGTGCTGACTTTCTGTCTTTATACTGCTGGAGGTCGTGACTTGGAAGAAGACGAAAAAACCACATCGTCTGCAAAGAAAGAAAGATGGAATTTAGAGGATCCTGAACTGAGGACCCTGGAGACCCCTATCCTTGAATGTCCTGATCAGATGCAGAGGCGGACATGATCCGCTGCAGGCCAAAGCTGTTCTTAGCCTCCACAGAAGTCTCTGAAGTACGCGCAGATATGGAGGACCAGCGAGTGTTTCCCTGAGTGTGCATGCATGGAGAGGCTCTCTACAGTCTAAGTGCATCTAACAGCGGGAGGAAAACAGGCCAACATGACTCCTCCAAGAGACCAGTATCTGACATGAAGGGGGTCAAAGGCCAGAGGTCACTGTGCTCCTTTGAGTGTGGAGGTGGACTCAGAAACATGGACTAGTTTAGAGTTTCTTAGATAGAGGGTTCGATTAGGGGAACATTTAAAAACCTGCAGACAGGACATGGAGGCGGGTGGAAAAAAAAAACACCTAACCTAAAAAATTCTAACAAATGTTTCTCAGCTGTTTTTTTTTATAGTATTAGATGTACTTAATAAAAAACTAAAAGTTTGCCAAAGTTTGACCACTAGAAAGGCGTCATTTTCAAGATGGCGTCCATGATGGGTTGGAGACCCCCCAGGTGAATAGGGTAAAATTTTAAACTAACAGATATAACCATGAAACTCACCAAGTTTATAACTGACATTAAGACAAATATTTTTCATATTACAAGTTTTTTCAAATGTTATGTTTGAATATGTCAATGAGGTCATATCTAATTAAATATGCACTAATTTACAGATAGATAGATAGATTTATTGGTCCCCGTGGGGAGATTTGTCTTCACCAACTGTACATCACATGAAAGGACAGAAACGCACATCACATAAGACAGACCTTAAAGAACAGACAACTAATGACAAACACCCGGACAACAGCAGTCGGCAACAAGCAGCAAGGAGGCAACAGGGGCCGACTATTCAGGGCATCTATAGCTGCAGGGACCAGGCTTTTCCTAAAGCAGGCCTTGCGAAACCTCAGGGTTCCATACCTGCGCCCTGAGGGTAGGAGGTTGGAGTATTTTTTGAGTGGGTGTCTTGTGCTGTGGAGTTTGCTATGTGTGTGATGGACCTGTTGTTCAGTTCTGTGAGGTTGGGTGTGGGTAGACCATTGCTCCTCCGGGGGGAATTCCAAGGCACTCCCAGGCCAGGCGAGAGATATAATCCCTCCACCTGGTCCTGGGCCGACCACGAGGTCTCCTCCTGGTGGGACATGTCTGGAACACCTCTAACAGGAGGCGTCCAGAAGGCGTCCTAACCAGATGCCCGAGCCACCTCCAGTAAACCCATTTCGGCCCCTTGTATCCGTGATCTTGTTCTTTCGGTCATTACCCAAAGTTCATAACCATAGGTGAGGATCGGCACGTAGATTGACCGGTAAATCCAGAGTCTCTCCTTACGGCTCAGCTCTTTCTTCACCACCACTGATCGGTTCAGCGTTGATCCGCCTGTCGATCTCCCGTTCCATCCTACCCTCACTCATGAACCAAAAAAAAACCACCCCTTGAAAATTCAAATGAATATCACATGATCTAAACACAAATCAGGCGCCGGTATTCCTGGTCTAGAATGAAAACAAACGGTCGTTTTAAGGACCTGGAAAAGACACTTCTTTAGGGATGGTGAGAGTATTTCCTCATTTACAGAGCGATAAAAACAAACATCCAAGTCGGACATAAACTCAGTTCAGATTTCATTTATTCTTCATGAATGTTATTGAACGTGTTTTTAACCGATTAAATGTAAGTGCAGCATAAATATTACTGCATGATTTAGAGGAAAATTCACTGTCAACATTTCTAATATATTAATATATTCAAATTTCAGCGTATAATGGATTTCATCACTAATATCTAATGATACTGCCTGAGATTATACTGCAGTGTGAGTATTACATATGAAGAGACAGTGAAGCATGAATAAAACAGCAGATTTAAGTGGATGCTGCAGCAGCAGGACTATTACTGCACACTTAATTCATGACACCATGAATATTATCGCACTGGAAACACGATGAACACTTCAAACTGAATATTAACAAACTATAGATATGTTTGATAATGACATACAGTTCATATATAAGAACATGGATGTCTGATGTTTCTCCTTTTTTCCTTCGTCTGTCTGCTCAAAATCTTTCAAAAAACAAATTCTTGGAGAGCTGGATGAAGTTGCCTCATTTTTTATCACAAAGTTAAATTATTAAATAATTGACTAACATAGATTACCATTTGAAAAAGGGCGCAGACAAAATTAAAGGTCAGCAAAAACGAAATTCACCTCCAATGTGGCTCCAACACACCGGTCCCCGATCGTTTTCTATAGAATCAACTACAAACTGATCCAGTTAAAGAGTAAAGGAGCCAAGAATTAATATTATCATTAATATTAGTATTAATGAGTGTACACTTTACATCGCTTTAGGGTTTCACCTTTTTATATCTTGTGTTCAGTGTTTGGTAGACAACTTCTTTTTTTAGTCATCGGTACAGGTCCAGAGAGAAACTGGAGAACAAACTCTGAGGACTGTCTTTTAATCCCTCAGAACATATACGTTTATTTGGTGATATTTGTGATATCACCAGAAAGGCTTTTTATCACCTCAAGAACATCTCTAGAGTCCGCCAGTTTCTCTCTCAAGCCAATGTGGAGACTCTTATCCGTGCTTTTATTACCTGCAGAATTGATTTTTACAACGCTCTCCTCTCTGCTCTTCCTAAACAGAACATTTGTATTTTATCCGGTATCCCCTGATCCTCTCCTTCTTGTGTTCTTTAATGTACAGAACTTTGTGATACAGTCCATGTATGAAAAGTCCTTTATAAATAAAGTGATTGATTGATTTGCGCTCTGCCTTCTTGTCCAAACGCTACGGCGCGCTGCTGATTACCCGCGCTGTGAATGTTTACATGCGCTTCAGTTGTCCGGTCTTAATCGGAGTAAAGCGGTAATTCATGTAAACGTTCTGACCGTCACGCTGCAGTAAACAGACTGAGATGATTGATAGTTTACGGCTGTTTCCTGTAAATGTCTTATTCCTCCTCAGACTCCATCCTCAGAGTGACTTCTATCCACCTGTCTTTGTGAGTAATCACAGGTTACCATGTCTCATATCACTGAAATGTGATGAGGACTGAAAACGACCGTTTACAACCGCGGCGGCGGCGACGGCGAGATCAAATCCAAACCTGTGAACATCTTGTAAAAAAAAAGCAGCTTCACAGAATCGTAATAATGACGCCGACTTTGTTTCCAGCGAAGCTCAGGGGCAGATCTGAAGTTGTTTCCTCTCAACACCACAAAGGCCGTTACATAAGGAGAGCAAGTGTGCCAACATTAACAAGTAGGACACACAACAATGCTTTCAAATGGAAATTAATGCTCCCACTCACACACACACGAGCTGGGAGGCTGCCACCGGCTTGTACGTTTGTGTTTTATTTGTTTATTATGAAGCTGAGAACTCGCCCTCCGCACGCCGGCGCGCCCTGACACTGATGGTACTAAAGATGACACCGAGTACTGAAAATTAATGGGGAACATTATTCCTGCTTCCTGTTTCCCTCTGAGGAGACACTCTCAGAGATATTCCGCACACCTCTGCGAGATGGCGACGACGTTACCTTCACCACGAAGACAATTTCCTGTCGCTCTTCCTGCTTTGTTATTTTCTATCAATTCAGAGATGGAGGACGACCCCGGAGGAGGTCTTAGTTTTCCATCTCCCCCCCTACATATCTATACCCGACATCTTCAAACCGGCACTTTAGTTGGATTGTATTTCAGGGGGAAACAGATGTGTGTCAATATTGGTTCAAATAGACTCTTTTGAAATGTCTGTTCACCCCCCACTCCCACTCCCACCCCCGTCATACGGAGCCGGGCCTCCTTCCCCATGAATCCCTGTATCAGTCTGGCCTGGAGTTAAGGGTCTTATTAAAGCCCAGGTAGGTCTGATAGCGGTCTTCAGCTGGTCTGTATTTGGGGGTCAGATATCCCAGAGGTTCTAGATGAGGTCAGTAAACGCTGTTGGCAGGTTCTAGGTCCAACTGGAAAAAACATCCTCCCTTAAATCCCGCCAGCGTGAAGGTCCCTAAAATCTCCTGGTGGGATTTCCACCGAATTCCGAATGGCAGCGATTTTTGCCGTACGCCAATTCCTACGGGATCTGTTTGTGAGGGAAATTTCGTGGCGAATTACAGACAGCAGGAATCACGAGAACTCACAAGAACTTGTGGATTCACGTGCAATTCCGTGATAACGAGTTGTCTTTAGCCACATAGACATATAAGCAGTAGATTGTGTCCTTCCAGAGGAGGAAATCTACTTCTAGACTTCTAGAATCCGCATCTCCTCATCCATGGTGTCATCGAGGTGAAATGACGTCTAAAAGCCTTTCACTTGTTTGTCTCCGCCTCTGTCCTTGTCTGACTTCCTTTCCAGCACGGGTTAATCTGTGCTGAATTTATCCGCCATGCTCCGGCGTCCGGAAAAACTAGAACTCTTGTGATCAGCTGAGGAGTCCGGCGATCCGCAGAGGAACGGAAAGAAGTCGGTGTAAATTGACACGTTAACTTGAATGGTTACGATCAGCTACGATCGGAGGATACGACCTTTTCGTAGACGTTTCGGATGTGGTGGAGATTGGGGGTTAGTCTCTGTTGACCCTAGACTTTTTTGCAGCAGCATCACTACAGAAGTCCTAACATTCAAACACTCTGGACTTATTCCGGACCTCAAGACTCTGGACCTTGATTTCCAAAAGAGGACTTTGGTCCAGCTGTTGGTTTTTGGTTGGGTCTTGACTTGGTGGTAGAGTTTATCATCTCTCAGGTTCTGCTGTCCACACGCTCTGAATTATATCATGAGTTTCTGTTCACTGAACCTGGACTAAGACTATCAAGGACTAAGACGAAGATTTACCTTTATAGCGGTTTCATCTCTAATCACAAACCTTTGGAGAAGGAGAATCTAGATCAGATTTTCACGCCTGAGACTGTTTCCTAAAAAACTTCATTTGTTTAGTAATTTTGTGTTTTTTGTTTTCGGCTGGTTGGCTCTAAAAACTGGACAAACCAACACTGTTCTTACCTTTGAGTGGAAGAAAAGGGGAAGTGAAGTCCATCATGCTCAAAAGAATAAAACATGATTCCCGCCGTCGGGATATTTTGAAGTCGTACACAAAAACAAGCCGAGTTGGAAATGGAAACCAGACAGCAGGGCGGCATCTTAAATCAAGTCTTTGAAAGATTTCTTCTGAAGGAATAACCAAACAAATCCTGCTCCACGTGGACTCGCAGACCTCTTTGTTCCCTGAAGTTTCCATTATTCACACCGAGCTTTGCTTCCGGACGTGCCGACTGAGTTACAAATATGAAATCAGTGACATTTAGTTTTTTTTCCGCTCTGAGTGACATTTCCAAATAAGTCTTGTTTGATGTTTTGGCTCTTCCCTTTCTCTTATCAAAGTTAGTTTGAAATGAAACAACCTTCTGGAGGCGGCGATGCCCGACGTCCGACCGACCACTTTGGTCAGAAATGAAGTTTCTCCGTCAGGATCTGAGTTTAAAAAAGTTCACAAACAGAAGCTCGGCTGGAGCAGACGTTTGTTTTTTCTGATGCCAGATCATAAAAGTGTTTTTCACTCTGTTTCATCATTACACTCATGAAAAAAGGTGTAAAATCCACATTTATGGACCTGGAACTGAAGAGAGAGCTGAACACAAATCCAAGAGCAGAAAAACAACATCAGTAAGCCCAACAGACTCTATACTTGGAGCCGAGTATATACCCAGATCTCCGTCTTGGTGCGTCTCAAACCTTAAATTTCAGTTTCTCTATAATACAGCTTAGCTCTAAACCTTTAAATGCTTAACGCAGCTTTACATTTAAAGTAACGTTTGTGGCTGAAAACGGAGGATGTCTCCCAGATTACAGGAGGAATACAACCGCTAACTTTGTCTTCAATCCCGTCCAGAAGTTTCTGAGACTCATCTTTAATCTAATACCCTACATGTGTTCATGAACATCATTCCAACAAATCATCCTCCTCCATCAGCGCCTCTTAAATAAGCTGCTTTTCCTCCACGCCTGTGAGAACGCCAGCGTATATACACATTTAGACATACATTTACATCTAATCTCCATGTTCGCAGCCGATGTCGTCTCACAGAGCACGAGCAGAATGAGCTGAATCTACGATATAAGAGCGGCGCCATCTCCTGAAAGTGGCCGAGACGTCAATCTTGTCCGAGACAATTCTATATAATCGGTGAGGAGTGACCTCTGCGCCCCGACGGTCCGGGAACGGAGATGAAATGAGCTGAATATGCAGAACGATGAAAGGTTCTTCTTTCGAGCGCCGTCTCATCAGAAATAGATGACTTTTGTCTCGGCATCATTACTGAACCCTCCGACGGCCTTAAGCTGCAGAATCAGTCATCCGTACAAACATTCATCTGCAGACGCTCTTAGTAAGCAGCCGGGCCGCTCAGGCGTGAGCTGACAACATGCAGTAGGTATTTAGAAAGCAGATCAGGTGAGAGCGAGCACACAGTCTTCAGCCATATGCTTTTATTTGTGCAGCGGGGGTGAAAAGCTGCTCTCTGCTGTATGTATTTGCATGTCATTAGTCCGGGGCGGCACATGCAGCGGCGGTCTGAACCGTTTCAGACTGCATGACTCTGTGGGTTTGATCAAGGGTGATGGGAACATGAACGGATCGAGGATTCAAGGGGCGGCAAAGACCTTAAAGCGGGTCAGCCGGTCCACCGCTTTGGTCTTGAGCTGATTCTGCAAACATGACGGATCGAGGATTCAAGGGGCGGCAAAGACCTCTTAGAACTCCGCAGGGGATCCCACGTGACGCCATTAATATTGTTTACAGTTTCTCAGGATCTATACCGTCTATCTCTACGGGGTGAAAAGTGTTCAATAGTTTACCCTTTTGGCGATCTATCGAGGGTTTCCAGACATTTCTACACCTGCCACAAGATTTACAATCCAGCCTCAAAAACAGGTGTTTGATCAGAGACGTTTGATAGTGATATACCGGTGAAAACAGGATTATTGATCAGATTATTGTGACATAAAAGGTCAAGATCGCTATATACCGCTAATGTCTTCTGGGTTTGACGAACTGTTTTGATGACGTCTTTTTCTGTTAAACTTTCGACCTTCTTCTATTGTTCCCTTGACGGTAGTGTCCAATAAGAGGCAACCAAAGATCAACAAGAGACAAGAAAGTTCCCTGCTTGTCTGTAAAATCAGAAATAATGGTCCTCAATGTTTGGAAACAAGTAAAGAAGAGATTCTGAGCAGTATGATGTGGTCCTCTGTCTCATCATAGGAGTGGCAGAAACAACTGTAAATAGTCAAAAACGCCTGTAAGAATGAGTGTAAATATGTCAACAGTTTCTGTTGTGTGTTTGTTCCAATCCCAACATTTCTTCTCCTGATAGCCAAGACTTGAGAGAATGATGTTCAGGTGAGAAAAGGCTTGGTCACTGTAGATTTATGGGTTTTTGGAGAAAAGTTCTGTTGGGATCAATTTCCATTTTTGTTTTTTTGGTTGACTTTGATGGTTCTGAATCTGCTGTTACATTCATTCATGCTGAGGTTGTCCTGCATAGATTTTTACAAAAAACAAACAAACAAACAAAAAAAAAAAACCCCAAAAAACCAGACGGACCAAAATATAGCTGGGAGTTCCGAGGGTTAAAGAGGGTCAGCTAATCCACTGCTGTGGTCTTAAGCTGACCCTGCAAACATGAACGTTTTCAGTTGAATCCAGAGACTCGGACCAGGTCGAACGGTTTGGAAGGTGGACTGTAGAGTCTATGATGTGGACTCTGACCGAGGAAACCTGTTGATACCAGAGGGGGCTGTAACAGCGAACCCACCAGAGTCCATCCTGACCTGGTTTTCCTCGTCGCTCCATGAAACTTCAACATCGCTTAACACACGAAGAAGAGCGGCTCTGACTGTAGAGGTCTGAGTCCAGCTTGGAAACAGTGGCGTAGACAAAGTTCTCCAACCCCAGACCAGCTGTTGGACCAGCAGAAGTCCAGCGATGCTCCGATCCCTGTCAGTCAGTTTGTTCAAAAATCTGGATCTTCAGGGTTCATGTGAACTGGACTAAAGTGGACCTCTAGATACCCCAGGATCAGCTCCTCCTTCATGTGCCATCATTATACAATCGATCAGCTGATGTTGCCCTGCGGCTTCACAGCGGCATCTGTTAGCATTAGCATAATTCCACAGGTTAGACGCGCCAGATGGTTGTTAGTTTCGGTTGAACGGCTTCAGGGTTCAATCATAAGTAAGCCGAGACCACCTCCTTTGGGTAATTTGTTTGCGGTTGCTGCCTTCACACGTGAACAAAATACCCATCCTGGGGGGACTACAACCCTGGGGTGAGAAGACCCTCATCAGTTCTGGTCATCTCGTAGTTTAACCAAATTTATGGACGATTCTCAGCTCCATCATTTCCACAGCTGTTGATTCCGCTCAGTCACCACCTCTGGAGCAGGTCTGACACGTCCCCCCTGGACTTATTCTGGTCTCAAACCTCAGCCAATCATAATGAGGTTTCCGTGGAGACCGGATCAGCTGTATGGCTCCAACAGAGGCCTTCAGCTGACACTAACACGAACCCATCTGAGGTGTCTGATGGAAATACCGATCACCCCTGACTAATCAATCAGACTGTTTGACACCGTTTCCCCCTGAACCCTGAGGAGCCTGATCGATGTCGACTGCAGCTGTGTGAAAAACGGTATGTTTTTTCACCCTGTAAATTCAATTAATATCTTAAAATAACCAAACTGTCACATTTGTTCATTTTCTTTTTATTTTTAAACTCAGATTTTTATACAAACACAAACAAAATGTCCAACCAGTGTGGCGATTTTTTATAATATGGCGTATCTTTGGCGAAAGACTCTGCGAAGCTCTTTTGTGTTTCATCTTTAGGTGGTGGAAGAGGTTGTTGGTGTTTCCTCCTCCACCGACGACAGCCACACGACACTCTCTACATCATTTTGTTTTTTGATCGTTGTCGGATTCTCTAAATCCGAAGAATCTCCAGACATCAGATGTCGCGGCTCGCTGCCTTTTTCAACATGAGTTCCTCCTCCCCTTCTTCGTGTTGGGTGGGTCGGGCTGCTTCCGTTTGCTCGGTACTGCCACGAATTTCCACGTCCGCCATGACCACCACCAGTGAAGCAGTCTGCTGGACACGGTGGTGATTATAGGGAGCGCACCCAAACGGATGCACTCCGGCTTTCCTGTGAGCGAACGCAGACAACTGCACACTGACTCAGAGAGACGCAGCAGACATCTGCTCGCTCTCTCTCCAGTTTAATCGGTAATCAAAATTCCTACCCTCATATCGCCCAACACTAGACTGAATGAATTTTTGCCTCCTTGAGTTTATCTTGGACCCACAATCCTGCTGCAGCCCCTCTACATGATGGCTTTGTTAACATCTGGAGGCCTGAGCGGAAAAACCTGACCGGCAATTTCCACCGCATCCGGAACGGCTACGAAAAGGCCGTGTCCACCGATCGTAGCTGATTGTAACCATTCAAGTTAATTTGTCAATTTCCAACGGCTAGACTCCGCAGCTGATTGCAAGAGTTCTATTTTTTCTGGACGCCGGAGCATGGCGGATAAATTCAGCACAGATTAACCCGTGCTGGAAAGGAAGTCGGGCACAGACACAAAATAAAACATCCGGCTTCTTTTCAGGAGGATCGTACTTCACACCATGCAAACGGGGCGGAATCGAACAAGTGAAAGGTTTTTAGACGTCATTTCACCCCGATGACACCATGGATGAGGAGATGCTGATTCTAGAAGTCTAGAAGTAGATTCCCTCCTCTGGAAGGACACAATCAAGCCTTTGTGGCTAAAGACATTGCGCAATTGCACGTGAATCAGGGGTTCTTGTGAGTTCTTGCGATTCCTGCTGTCGGTAATCCGCCACAAAATTCGCCTCACAAACGGATTCGGTAGGAATTGGCATAGGGCGAAAATCGCAGTGGAATTCCGGGTGAGGGTCCATCCTCAGTATCTCCTGGCGCTCCTCCTGAGTCCACATTTCAAGACGATGTTGCACCAGAGTCTGGACCTGCCGACATGCCAGTATCGGTAGACCCACTTCCTGTCCCAGTGGTTTGTTAAAGGGGTATCCTGCTCCCTTTAAGTGAAGCCCATCACAGGATACAGAGTAAACACTGTGAACACATGGAAACAGAGACAAACAGAGGAGGAGGAGGAGGAGGAGGAGGAGGAGCGGGGGATGGGAGGACATGTCATTACCATACAAACACAGGGAGGATTCCGAGTTGGTAACACGCATGATCCTGGCTTTATTTGACACATCAGCTGTGATTCACAGAGGACAGGTTTTTACATCCCGGTGCTGTTATAATCCGCCAACGTGACACTCTGTAATTCTGACATATAGCATGTACAGCCTGGGGGTGTGGAGGGATTATGTGCAATTTTGAAATGTCACAGATCATCTTGTTGTCCAAAACATGGGGAGCGTGTGTAAACATGAAGATGGAGGTAACGGATGAAATGATGGATGGATCGATTGACGGACACATCTCTCCACGACGACGGCGGTGATGGAGAGAACGATGAAAACGACAGAGTGATGAAAGAGCAGCCGAGGACGAGGAGATTACTCCAGCAGAGATATGCTCTCAGTTTTACAGCCACACACCATGAATTAAGAAATACGGCCTGACGCTCATATAAGCTGGAAAATCTCCACCATGCTGCGCGGAGATCAAACTTTAAAGAAACAGGAGTTATCCGAAGATGCTCTGACTCGGGAACAGCAAAAACTTCAGGAGATACTTTACATTTCTTCTGTTCTTGTCGGCTTTAGTGCCAAAATTAGAAACGAAATCACCCTGGAAACCTTCCAGTTCAGATTCAGTGTGTTTTAAAGAGGCTTAGAAAGAGCTGCAGACGATAGAAACTCAGATTAATGATAGATCTGAACAGATCAGATCTGCTTACCGTGGATTTGGATGCAGATGTTTATGTAACTAAATGGATCTGATCAGGTTGATGCGTGGTGGATCAGTTTGACAGTAGGAAGAGGAGAGTTTGGGTAAACAGGTGTCTGACCTGGCATATCCGACCCGGAATGGCGGCAATTTTCGCCATACACCGATTCCTACCGATCCATTTGTAAGACGAATTATGTGGCGGGTTACGGACAGCCGGAATCGCAAACACATAGACATATAAGCAGTAGATTGTGTCCTTCCAGAGGAGGAAATCTACTTCTAGACTTCTAGAATCAGCATCTCCTCATCCATGGTGTCATCGGGGTGAAATGACGTCTAAAAACCTTTCACTTGTTCGATTCCGCCCCGTTTGCATGGTGTGAAGTACGATCCTCCTGAAAAGAAGCCGGATGTTTTATTTTGTGTCTGTGCCCGACTTCCTTTCCAGCACGGGTTAATCTGTGCTGAATTTATCCGCCATGCTCCGGCGTCCAGAAAAAATAGACTTGTTTGTCTCCGGATGTTTTATTTTGTGTCTGTGCCCGACTTCCTTTCCAGCACAGATCGGATGTAAAGAAGTCGGTGTAAATTGACACGTTAACTTGAATGATTACGATCAGCTACGATCGGTGGATACGACCTTTTCATAGCCATTCCGGATGCGGTGGAAGTTGCCATTTAGAGCGCTCTGTCTCAGTCTAAACTTTGACATCTAGTGTAAAAGAGCGTTTGCATCTGTGTATGTCAGCGTGGTCACTCCGGCGCCCGCTGTTCCTCAGACTGACTTCTTCAAAGACGTCTCCGTGTCGTCGCTGTTATAATCTGATTTGTAAACACGACCGGCTGTCATCTTCGTCTGTCATTAATTGTTTCCTTATCACCTCCCCAATAATCCAAAGCTACGTGGGGCATCAGCAGAAAAAACCTCTAATTTATGTAAATCTATTTAAAGCAGAGTCAAACCAGGAGAATATTTGATCAGTCTGAGCCGTGTGAGGATGTGATCGGGTTTCCCAACCAGAGTCAGAAAGAGGAGGATGACAGGAGAGGAGCCGGTGGAGAGTTTCCTCTAAAGAAGGGGTCCGGGTTTTGTTCAAGACTAAATAATGGTGAGAACAGTCTGAGAGAGAGAACTGAAGGGACTCCAGAAATACACGTTTATGCAAAGTGAGCGAAATCACCGAGAAGATGATGAAACTAGATCTGAAGAAAACGGTTTGGCCTGGTGGGATGCGATCTCATCAGGAACCGTCTCTGACCACCAAATTCACGGTACATTATTAATGAGGACTTCTCATCCGCCCTGTAGCCTCAATAAATGGATTAGGTTTCATCAGAGTCACCGACAGAAATATGAAACGAGAGGAATTGGCTTCAATCTGGTGGAGTTAATGCTGCGTTCCAGTTACCTCAGAGGTCGGATGTCAGAGCTGGGAATGTTGTTACACCTGAGTTGATGGCGTTCCAGTAGACAAGTCGAAAACCAAGATGGACGCCTACTTACTCTAACAAACACCATAACACCGTGTTCATAGACGTTGGACAGTAAAAGATAAACCACTTATTTAATTTCACAAAAACTAAACAGAAGTGCTAATAAATAAACATTAAGAGAGCTTTTACTGTTACTTACTGCCATCTTGAATTATGACCTTGTCGTCAAGTCGGTGTTGGCGAGGATCGTCTGGCTTTCCGAGTCAGAAATCCGACTTCAGGGGGGCGTTTCAGACGAATTTCTGACTCGGCGCTCAGAAATCCCAACTTCCGAATACAACTGGAACGCAGCATTAGTCCAAGTCCACCATCCTTCATGATGCAGTGTTTACAGGTGTCAGTACGGGTCGGTTCACCTCAGTACCCGGGTCTGCTTATGTCTTATGGGGCTTTCAAAACCAAGCGCAAGTAGAATCATCTACTCGCTTAATTCACATGTATCTAGACGCGTGAATGAAAAGTATGTACTCACTTCTTTCACGTGAATGATGAGCGCGTCAACAGAGAGCTCAAAAGTTAAGAATAGCCGGTTATGCTATGTGGATTGCTGCTTTGTTTTTGTTGTGAAAGGCTCAAAATCGTCTGAGATGTAGGCGTCACTGTGTCGCCCAAATGACTGCGATTGCCAGCGGTATTTTCGAACCCAATGTGACGACCTGTTGGTGATGGTTGGTTCCAGGATATCCCTCCAGGATACCGATTACAGGCGCTCTATCTCAGCTGCAGAGCGCCTGTCCATCTGTCTACTGTGAGTAAAAGGAGTTGTGTTTCTATTTTCACACTAGTAAACATCTTCCACTCTGTTTTCGTACGACACCAGAGAACCTTCATGCTGATTCGTTATCGCGACACGAATATTGGCTGGAGTTTAGATCTTTTCAACTCTCACAAATTTGTGTCCCCTCAATTTCATGAATAACTCAATCAATTCATGTCATTCGTGCTTCCACAGTAACACGAGCGTATAATCGCATCTTTGACTTCACATGTAAATCATTCATGTGAATGATTTTACTCTAGTGTAGTGTATGCAGGATGGTTTTTCCTCTGATCACTGTGCAGGTGCAGCCCTGAGTGGATCCTGCAGGTGTGCTGAGGTTCATTTATATGACAGCCTTTGAACCGTCACATCACCGTCTTTGTGTTTTAGGGCGATGAAACGATAACGATATATATTGAAAATTAATTTCCCTCGATTTCAATATAAAACATGATCAATATGTTTTTGGATAGTCGGCATTCTGACATGTTTTGGAAGACTGTACGAACAGCCAATGAAAAGGGGAGTTTCTCCGAGTCCGCTTCGTGTGCTGAATTAGAACCAAGTATCAACCAACTGCAAAGTCATAGCAGACAGCAGCTCCACCCAACCATAGCACTTTAACAGGTGAAGCCGACAGCACTGTTGGTGAGAAACAAAGAAAATGAGTGCTACCCCCGACAGAAACGACCATGAAGGCTCAACAGATGACGACCATTCCGCTTTCTCTCACGTAACGCCCTATGACAAAACGCCAAAAAGACACAATCGACTGATATGAAAAAAAAATGTGATAAACTTTTTCCCATATCGCTCGAGGCCTTTTGTGTTTTCATCATCCAGGAAAGTACCAACTGTTACCAGGTTCAGGTCCAGGTTGGCAAGAGGACTTGGGTCTTTCCCAGCTGTAACTGTGAGAGATGGTAGATCCTGGACTGGGGTCTCCTGCCCGACTCAAGGGTCAAACCTTGAACCTTCTCGCTGTGAGGTTTCTGTTCTACCTCTAAACGGCCGTGAGGTGTCTGCATGATGAGATAACCCTCTGATGGAGTAATGGAGCGCTGCTGGAGGTGGAGGAGGTGATGAATGAGGGTCCACATCTGACACTGATGATAAGGAGTGGAGGTGACCGAGGAGGAGGAGGAGGAGGGTCACATGGAGGGTCTCCAGAGAGGAGAAGAGAGCCGAGTTTGACAGGAGCAGGAGGATTGTGGGAATACTAAGAGGTGTGAATGAATATGGATCAGTCCGCCTGCTCGGACCTCGGAGCGGATTAATGATCAGAAATGAGTCACTGCTTCTAATTAACGAGGAATCTTGTTGGAAATGAGGCGACCATGAAGGAGCGCCAGATCTCCGTTTTGCTTCCAGTCCTGAGTTATTCCTCATGTACCGCCTCTGTGATTAATGACCGCGCTGATCAAGTTTGTCTCACAGAAATGAGGAACCGTCCCAAAACCGGTCCCTCCATCAGGAACAAACACCTGGGTCTCATAACTTCAAGTCTAGGCGGACAAGAACAGGTACTTCCTCGCCGACTTTAATCCACCTGATGTGAAAGAGTAGAAGGTGGAGTTTAGAAGATAACTCAAAATAAACTCAGGTTAAGTCCCCGGAGCAGAAACACGTCTAACATCCTGAACACGTTCGTGTCGCTGTTGTTAAAAGCCGATCAACGCGCCGCTGCCTCGGAACAGAAAACTAAGCGTGCTGCGTCCGAACAAACGGCGTTTCCATTTCAAAGTGCTCTCCTGTGTACCGACTCTTTTCACTTCTGCTCACGCTCTCCTCTCAGCAGGTCAGAGTTGGCGTTTCACAGCCCAACTTCACTCCCCGCTGCTTCTGTTTTTTTTTTATTTTTTGGAGCGTGTTCACAGACCTGCTGGGATCCAAGAAAAACTCAAACCAGATCCAAACCGCGAGAAAAAAATGCATAATTTACTGGAGTTTAAAGAAGAGTTTCTAAAGGAAACATCTTCATGTTCTCCTCCTGACAGCTCCTTTACTGAGGGATAAAAGTAAAACATAGGATAACAAGATTAAAAGACCATGAACCCATTACCATCGGAGGAGCTTAAGCTTGAAAAGTCATTGGATGGAAGTCAAATTGAGCGTGTACGGGGGAAGGATAAGGCCGCGTTGTTTCCGAGGGTTTATCTTTGGTTTTTCTTACAGCAGTGTTAGTGATTCATCTACGGATAGTGTACATTCTATACAGTTACTGTCTATAATATGTAGAGTCAGTGTCCATTCTATACAGTTAGTGTCTATACTATACAGAAAGTGTCTAAACTATATTGTCAGTGTCTATTCTATACAGTAAGTGTTCATTCTAAACTGACGGTTTCTATACAATATACGGTTGGAGTCTATTCTATATACAGTGTCTATGCTTTACAGCGCCCATTCTATAGAGTCAGTGTCCATTCTTTACAGTTAGAGTCTATACTGTACAGTCAGTGTCTATTCTATACAATTAGTGTCTGTACTATACAGTCAGAGCCCAATCTATACAGTTAGTGTCTATACTTTACAGTCGATGTTTATTCCACACAGTCAGTATCTTTACTATGCAGTCAGAATCTATATTATGCAGTCACTGTCTATACTATACAGTCACTGTCTTTGGTATACAGTCAGTGTTCATTCTATACAGTGAGCATCTATACTTTATAGTCAGTGTCTATACTGTACAGTCAGTGTTATTCTATACAACTAGTGTCTTTACTATACTATTAGTATCTATAGTATGCAGTCAGTGTCTATTCTATAGAGTCAGTATCTATACTATATAGTCACTTTTCATTCTATACAGTCAGCATCTATACTAGAGTCAGTATCTATACCATACAGCCAGTGTCTATTCTATACAGCCAGTGTCTATTCTATACAGTCAGTGTCTAGTTTATACAGTCAATGTCTATACCATAGAGTCATCTAGAACACACAGGTCTTTACAGCACTTTACTTTTTTGTCTCCAGTTTTAAACACGTTTGTTTCAGATACTTTTACTTTATTTATATTTGATTTTTTAAACCCATAATTTTTTTTTACCTTAAACTGTATTTATATTTAATTTTTCACTGAATAAACTCTGAGTTTTTTTTTTAAATCTTAAACTGTATAAATTTTTTTAAATTAATTTTTGTAACTGTAATTAATTTTTTGAACCTTATAAACTCTGAGTGTGTTTTATTTTTTATTTTTGTCACTGAATAAACCCTGACTGTGTTTTTTTTAATCTTAAACTGTATTTATATTAAAAATTTTTTTACCTTATTATCTCTGACTGTTTTTTATTTAATTTTAAACTATATTTATATTTAATTTTTTTACCTTATTATCTCTGACTGTTTTTTATTTAATTTTAAACTGTATTTATATTTAATTTTTTCATTGAATAAACTCTGACTGTGTTTTTTTTAAACTTAAACTGTAGTTATATTAAATCTTTTCACTGAATAAACCCTGACTGTGTGTTTTGATTTTTTCATTTCCACAGCTGCTCTCTCTTCAGTCTCACATTCCTTCACATCAGAATTACAAACCCGCTCACATCTGCCTCCTGCCCCCTTTTTATCAACTCCAATCCTCCACGACCTTCACCAGTCCCTCCTCCCGGTATGTCAGGAATGACACACACTTACACACTTACACAATCAAACACACACACACACACACACACACACATACGTATGTATTTCCGTCTATCCTCAGGATTATTCCTCCTCCCTCCTCCTCCTCCGCTCACAGACCAGAAAACAGTTTCTCCTCCTCTCCACTCGCAGCCCTTCCTCCTCTAATGTTCCTCTGATCACTCTGAGTGCTGCTCTCACTCACACGTATGTAAGGACTCACACACATGTACGAGGACTCACACACATGTACGAGGACTCGCACACGCTCTCTAATGTTACGGTGCTTCGATTCAATCTCGTTTTAACCTTTATGTCACCCTATTTGTTTCCTCTCCTCTTGTTGTAATTGAACAGGAATGATGGAGGATTTCATGTGAATTGTTTTTAAATGGAGGAATAATCGACTGTAAATATCAGTGAAAATACTTTATATTCATGAAGAGTCCGGAGTAGATTTAGTGACAGTTTAAACGGTGAAGTATGTTGTTAACGGAGATCCAAACACATCTGAGAAAATTCACACTTCAAGCAGAGGAAGAGAATCCGGACGTCTTAATGAATCTCCCCAGATTTTACCGAGCGAAGCAGCTTCTTCTTTGGGAATTCAGAAACTTGTGACTCTAAGAAGTCAATCAATTCACACAGAAGAAGAAGAAACATCAATATTCATGCGGAGACGGGCTGCCAAACTCACCAGCCTGAGTCCTCCTGGGTCCAGAACTCTCGTGTTGGTGCTGCTGGGAGGAAGAGATGTTGGCAGACGGATGACAGGCTGGGTGGTGAAGTGGGTAATGTGAGGTTTTAAAAGTTTTAAAGGTATCTGTGGAGGTTCGGACGGGTTTTCTCCGCTCATGCTTCATGAGGAATAAGACCGTCAAATCTTTTAAACTTTGTGTGTTTCTAAAAGTTGATCCACTCTTTTCCAACTTCCTGTAACAGGCAGAAACCTCGAGCAGGACCAGACTGATTATGGACAGTAGGGCAGTTTAGAGGACCAGAGAAAACTACGGAGGCCGACATGGTTTCGGCGTATTCACACACCGATTCCATGTTCAATTTAGTGGCTACCGACTGGCGGCGCCGGGAGTCATTAACGCCGACATGTTTTACAATGTTACGGAATTTACGTTTAGCCTTTGCCAGCAGTTTTAAACTACCTTCGATGTCGCCCGCTCGCTAATTTCACATTTCAGACTACAGAGTCTAATGTGGGCTTCTTAGGCCTGCTGCTATTGCTTCCCTTTCACAGTAACCCAACCACTACTACATCACGGCTACTCGGGATAAGCTAAGCTAGGCCGACCCGCACCGGCTACCGGGTCCTGGCTGGCTACCGCTACTCTAGCGTACTCTAGCATTGCTCCGTGTCCGCTTGGAGCTGAACCAATCATGTGCTGAATTAGAGCCAAGTATCAACCAACCGCGTTATAGCAGACAGCAGCTACACCCAACCATAGCACTTTAGCAGGTGAAGCTGATGCTACCCCCGACAGAAATGACCATGAATGAAAAATTGATCATGATAAATTTCTTCCCGTATCGCCCAGCCCTATTGGACGGTCGTCTGGACTGGACTGAGCTGGTTTTAGAGATTTTACACGCATGTTCACGTCCTCCAAGCTCTCAAACGTTCCCTTCATATCAACCTTTAATCGTCTCCAGAGAAACACCGCCTCCATCAGAGTCGAGGTGGGCGTAGATGTATAACAGTAGAGAACATACAGACATCTGTTTATGGAGGCTGGACAGTGGACCATCTGCCTCATACACAAACACAATCATGGTAACTCCTCTGCTTCTGTTCAGCTGTCACAGATCCGCTCCAATGACAGGAAACCTTCCCACACGTCCAGAGAGAACAATCGAGGCGTGTTCAAACGAGAGCGGAGGAACATCTGAGCACCTGGAAGAAAGAAGAACTTCATGAAGATCGACTCTGTTTGTTTGAGAAGGTCAGTTTTTATTCATGAAGATCGACTTTGTTTGTTCTGGAGGAGTTAGGAGGAAAGTTTGACATGAGTAGAGGATGTTCAGAGTTATCAAAGTTATCGAATTAGTCCAGTTTAGCAGACAGCAGAACAGATTCACTCTTGTGTTTCTCGAAGACGTGTTTCTCGTCTGTGAGTGAGTCCGCAGGTCACTCTCATTTCCACTTCCGATATGGGAAAAAGTTTATCACAATATATCGTTTCCATATCAACTGATATCGATCAATATCAGGATATAAAAATCTAACAGTGTTTATTGGTCTCATGTCTTTTCCAACACAATAATCTCCTGCATCTGTGAGGTCTTTGTGTCTCTTTGGCGTTTTGTCGTAAGGCGTCGCTCTAGAGAAAGCCGACTGAATGGTCGTCTGTTTCGGCTCCTCGCTCCTCTCGGGGTTTGTAACCTTTTGCGTTGCGCGTGCTCTGCGGCGTGGCGCTGCTTCAGGCGGTGAAAAAGATTCGAGGTATTCCCCGACTTTGTGAGAACATGTACTCAACATAATTTACAGTCCACATTACTCTGACGACAGACTTCGCGAGGCCTTCCCTGTGAGTGACAAGAGATTGCGCGAGACCAACTTGTGGAGCGAATGTCGCCAACCAAACGTCGAGCTGGCAGACCTAGGAACGGCGGACGAGCAACCATCCTGACCGTCGAAAACCAAGTCCTGTCAGCGGGCCTCACCACCGCCAAACTCCAAGTCCTACGTCACCACCGACGTTTTCCTAACGCCAGTGTTGTGGTTGACATTGATGTGGTCATCTGTTGAGCCTTCATGGTCATTTCTGTCGGGGGAAGCACTCATTTTCTTTGTTTCTCACCAACAGTGCTGTCGGCTTCACCTGTTAAAGTGCTATGGTTGGGTGTAGCTGCTGTCTGCTATGATGCAGTTGGTTGATACTTGGTTCTAATTCAGAACATGATTGGTTCAGACCCGGAGAAACTCCCCTTTTCATTGCCTCTTCGTATAGTCGACCAAAACATGTCAGAATGACGACTATTGAAAAACATATTGATCATGTTTGATATTGGTATTGAGGGAAATCAATTTTCGATAATATTGTGATTGATTTATTGCCCAGCCCTAGCCTCCCCTTAAAGCTCGTTGCTGTCTGCGGGAAGAAAGTTGTCGCTCCAGAAAAGAAAGTCTCTCTCTCTCTCTCTCTCTCTCTCTCTCTCTCTCTCTCTCTCTCTCTCCCTCTCTCTCTCTCTGGTCTGTGCTCGTCTCTGTGTTTTAATCTCAGACTCAGTCTGAGTGGCGGCCTCATTACAGCCGGGCTTCAAAACCCGCACCAAGTGACTGCTTGGGGGGGCGAACATAGACCAGGAGCTGTTATCGAGTTTTCAGCAGGATTACATGGAGAAATGTTTCTGAGAGACGAGACAAAGAGGGTTTTAGTGAGAGAGTGTTTACAGAGCAGTTTTTCTGACAACCGTGGGAAATGACTGACGGGTCAGAACTGATCCAGAACTCCTCAGCTGGATGGAAACTAGGACTGTGTCCGACCAAAGTTACGCAAGAGCTTTTGTGGAGGAGCGTAAGCCGCTTTTCACACTGTGCTGTCGGTCTTGACAAGTGGATTATGTTTTCTAAAGGATTCGGGCCGCCCCAGAGTCCTGCTGCTTCCTCAAAACCAGGAAACCTACACAAGGCCGCAGCAGCTGCGTCTAAACAGGGACAAGTCTAGACCCACAGTCTGCTCGTGGACCGGTTGGAGCAGGCAGCAGCTTCGGCAGACGAACACTGATTATCTCCAAGTCCACCAATCAGCCTGATGAATCTCTCTCTGATGACTCGGGTCTAACCGGGTCATGAAGATGAGTTCGTCGCGTCATCACAGCTCAGTGGATGTCGGGCTGTAATCTGGACCGAGCTGAACTAAAGGTTCTGGTCCGAGGCAGCTCTCCGTTTGGGGTTATTTCTGTCTTACACAGATCCTTGACTGGTGACTCTGGAGAGAACTCCAGGGGGACACCTTGGAGATCTCGGACCTTCTGAAACCTCAAGATTCATGCGATGTAGAGAAGAGCTAAGACGGGTCTCACGAACAAGTGAAAGGTTTTTAGACGTCATTTCACCCCGATGACACCATGGATGAGGAGATGCTGATTCTAGAAGTCTAGAAGTAGATTTCCTCCTCTGGAAGGACACAATCTACTGCTTATATGTCTATGTGTCTGTCTTTAGAGAGACAACTGGTTATCATGCGATTGAACGTGAATCCGCAGGTTCTTGTGAGTTCTTGCGATTCCTGCTGTCCGTAATCCGCCCCGGAATTCGCCTAACAAACGGATCCAGTAGGTATTGGCAAGCCGCCATTCCGTTGTCTCTTCTGATGTCCGTGTCGTTTTAATCGCTCAGACGCCAAACTGAAGCGTGGAAGCAGACATCATGTGATCATGGCTGTCAGGATCCTGTGAGCTGAAGAACCGTTGGCGCTCAGCAGCTCTCGGCGTCTTTGACTTAGTACCGGGTCACGGGATCCCTCTTGGCGCTCTGTCTGGTTGTTTCTTGAACTTTTTTATCTAATTAAGAACAGCTGAAGGGGAAAACGCTCGAAGAAGAAGAAGGCCGGCTGGGGAGCTGTGGGGAGGTTCGGTGTCATCGGTTCAGAAAGTGGTTTCAGATTTTCCATGAATGTTAAATCTTCAAAACTCCGTCTTAGTCTCACTTTCACTCGTCACCAGCTCTCTGTTTTCCTTGTTTATTTTCACCCACGAGTTCAGCGAAACCGAGACTTTGCATAATGAGATCCAATCTAAATCCATCCGTCTATATCCTGGTCCCAAACCTCAGGTCCTGAGGTCTGTGACAGCCTCAGGACGAGTTCTTGCTTAATGTGCCGTATTTTAAAACCCTGATTAAACTTTGATACGGGCGCTGAATAAATGAAAACATTTAAATGCATTTATAAACGGACGGCACAAAAACATCTGAGTAGAATACAGAATCACTCCTGAGCCGAGAGTCCAGCTCCCAGCAACGATCGGGGACAGAGGGAAGTCCTTTACTCGGCGTGGACATGAGTGAAGACTCGGCTCCACAGCGTGATGATTAATTAAAGACCACCATGGACGAGCGTATCTGACTAACAACTGAGAGGCCAGAGCCCCTAATAGGTCTTTAATGAGGTCAACCCCTGAGCTGCTGAGTTATCTATTATAGATCTACATCAGGCAGATGTTGGTGCGTGAGGAAACAAAGGTTAATCAGTCTCACTCTACACAAACAGAGTCTCTCTGGGCGGTGAAGGTCATAGATACATGAAAGATAGATTCTCACATACAGTTGAACCACATCGCCCCCGGCAACGACAGCTGGCTGCCGTCATCGTGGAGGTCCGCTGCAAAGCTGAGGGATGGTCCATCAGTTAGTGTTTCATTAGTGATCCGACAGCAGAACCGGCATTAAAGGGATAATCCGGCGTAAAATTAATTGAGGGTCAATCACATCGTAACCCCGAGTTCACTTCTGTGGTCTATAAGCTGGGCCAATAAACTTCTACTATAGTAAAATGAAAAGGTAAAGGTGTTTTTATTGAGCCGAATCATCAATAAAATTATGATTTTGTTAACAGGTATGGATTTATGTGCTGTCGAGTTAATATATTTGAATGAGAGCACAGTAAAATTAAATCAGTTAATTTTCCAATGAGGTTCTGTTACTGAACAAAACTACACCATGTTCTACTCAGGTTAGTACATGTAGGGTCCCAGCCATAGTACTAGACACCAAACATCTTTTTAACTTTGACTCATTTCTTTAGAGAGACTAAACACAACTCACCTACTCTCTTCCAGCAGACGCTTGTTTGTAGTGAGACCTCAGGCCAATCCATCATGGACTACAGCGGGGTGCCGCAGCTCAAGGAAGAACATTTGGCACTCGCGAGACCGTTTTTCAAGGCACCCGGAAGAAAGAAATCATTCAGGGAATCGTTAAGATAAAATGTAAATTATGTCGATGGATTGAACCATTTGGAACCGGTTCTCAACAAGAACCAGTTTTCGATTCATATCCCTATTGCCCCCCCAGTGGCCCTCCCAAAGATCTTACTGCTGCTGAGAGGATCGAGGAGAGAGGACTGACAGGTCGACCTCCACTGTTCCATAAAAAATAAAAGTGTTAGTGGGTTTGAGAGCAGATTGTCACTCTCAGGACTCTAAACTAACTTTTCAGACTGTTTTCTGATTATAAATGTTCTTCCTTGAGCTGCGTCACCCCGCTGTAGTCTGTAATGGACTGGCCTGAGGTCTCTCTACAAACAAGCGTCTGCTGGAAGAGAGTAGGTGAGTTGTGTTTAGTCTCTTTGCTAAAGAAATGAGTCAAAGTTAAAAAGATGTTTGGTGTCTAGTACTATGTCTGTGACCCTATATGTACTAACCTCAGTAGAACATTGTGTAGTTCAGTTTACCAGCAGAACCTCATTGGAAAATTAGCTGATTTAACTTCACTGTGCTTTTGTTCAAATATATTAACTCAACAGCACATAAATCCATACCTGTTAACAAAATCATGATTTTATTGATAATTCGGCTCAATAAAAACACCTTTACCTTTTCATTTTAACTACAGTAGAAGTTTATTGGCCCAGTGTATAGACTACAGAAGTGGAGAAACGCCCCCGCTTAAGTTTGTGTTTTCTTAGGAGTTAGAACAACTCTGAATATAGTACTATGTCTGTGACCCTATATGTCCTGTTAATGAAGTTAGGTGCTGTTCTGAGCATTATTTGTGGCTATAGAGTGGCGTTTTGGTTGGGGGCGTGGCTCTCTGTATTGCTATCCTGCGGTTGTTACTAAAGTTGGTATAACTAGAGAAACAAGCGGTCGACAACATTCATCTCTGGAGGGGGGGGGGGGGTCTAACCACGGCGGAATATCCCTTTAAACTCCCAGACCGCTGCCTTTTGATTGTGATGTTGACTCTTCTATCCAAATCCTGTTCTTCCACAGGAAGACGGATCACAGACACCTTGAGCGTGATCATACAGTCTTTGTAGATTTGGAGTCATCAGCAGATCTTTGTGGATTTGATGTGTTTAGTTTAAACCCTTAGCTGGACGTGGATCATGGAGACTTGATGCGTTAGCCTGGAATAGTTCGTTACAATTCAACTTCTCTTCTCTAAGGACGAGTCCAAACCACACGGACCTTTACAGGAAAGAAAAACCAGGACCAGCCGCCTCATTCGGACTCAAACTCATCACCCAAACCCGGTCACTTCAGCTCCCGTAAAAATCAAACCACCGTGACAGGAAGCAGGATCAACACGAGGCTGTATCACGGTCGCCCCGTTCAGGATTTATGCGAGTCCGTGACGTGAATATTCTCCGGCTTCGTGCTGGACGCTCTGCTGAATCCATCTACTGGGATTTTTCCTGTAACGGCATCACACACCGCCGCTGAATGCCAAGTCCAAACCGTGTGGTTCTTTTCACTTTGAATTAGCACCGTGCCAAGACAAACACACACACACACACACACACACACACACACACACACACACACACACACAACACAAACACACATCCATGTATCATCAAACTGAACTCGACCACGCCGCAGCAATATGCAATCTCCTCCTCTCAACACGCCTGCATACACACAGCACGACCGCACACATCCTCACACACACAAACACATCAAAGAGCAGCGCTGACACAAACCAGACTCCTGCTGACACTCACACAAACAGCAGCGCGCCAACTGAACAATCAGCAGATACTAACAAACAGGAAACGTCAAGACTCTACTCAGTTGTTCTTCTGCTCGATGGAAACACAGAGGAGGTGTTAAAGAACAGGTACGAATCTTTACAGAAAGTAGGGCTGCACGATTTTTTTCTCTGAAGACTCGATTTTGGATTTCCAAAAATTGACTAAAGACAGAAGAAGAGTACTGAGCATGTGTAGAACCCGGGATTTCCACCGGATTCGGAACGGCTCCGATCCGGAATGGCGTACACTAATTCCCACCGGAATTTAGTTGCGGATTACGGAGAGCAGGAATCACAAAAACTCACCAGAACCGGCGGATTCACATTCAATCGGTCGATAACGAGTTGTCTCTATAGAGACAGACACATAGACATATAAGCAGTAGATTGTGTCCTTCCAGAGGAGGAAATCTACTTCTAGACTTCTAGAATCAGCATCTCCTCATCCATGGTGTCATCGGGGTGAAATGACGTCTAAAAACCTTTCACTTGTTCGTCTCCGCCTGTTTGCATGGTGTGAAATACGATCCTCCTGAAACACAGAGTGTTTTATTTTGAAAAGAAGCCGGATGTTTTATTTTGTGTCTGTGTCCGACTTCCTTTCCAGCACGGGTTAATGTGTTCTGAATTTATCCGCCATGCTCCGGCGTCCAGAAAAAATAGAACTTGTATGATTACAATCAGCTACGATCGGCCGATAAGGCCTTGTCACAGCCGTCTGGATCCAATGGAGATTGGGGGTCAAGGTTGTTTTGGCCGGACACGATAAGGCGCCATAAAAGAGTTCCTCTGTGTGTCACATGATCGTTTCCAGAGATGCAGATAGACATCCACACGGGGATGAAATGGTCGTCATTCACGGATTTATTCACTCTCTGACCCGATGTCCACAAGTACTGTTTACAGTATCCAAATTTCTCCTGAATTCGTTTCCGTGGTGACAGGTTGATACCGTCTTCAGACAGACTTTACAGCGAGGAGTGGTTTGCTCTTCGTCCGACGCTGTGAAGTCGTACCAATTCCACACAACTGACTCGCTCTTGTCCTATTTAACCACGAAATTATCACCTCCTTTTGCAAACGCCATGTTTGTTTACTTTCTGGTGTGTGTGGGGGAACCGGGGAGTGCTCCCACAGGATGGGTGGCCCGGAGGCGCGAGACATGACAGAGAGGAAAATGGATTTGATGTCGGAAACATCTAAAAGCTGAGACGATGCAGAGATACCTAAAAATAGATGTGAGGACAGCTTTTAATCAGACTACAAGGACGCCTTTACACTGGTCCTTCGAAAACAAACGCTGAGGATGCCTTAAAGCGACACCAAAGGTTTCTTTAGAGGGTCCTTGAAAACTGGGGAGACCTTGAAACTGACATGTGAGGTTTTTACAAAATACACTTAAAACAGAGTAAAATAGGGCGTCTATGAGAGTGACATCGTAGGGAACCTTAAACACAGGGTAGTTTATAGATGTGTTTCCAAACGTCCTTTTGTCTCCTGCGTCGTAATTACCCGGTCTACAGTTAACTCCACACGAGTGTTCAAATTCTCAAATCTACAGACCACAGGCTGCAGGAGGATGTCTAACATCAATAACTTCATAGGTGGCCGAGCGTGTAATTGCTGTGGGGATTCACTGCCTCTCATTTGCTCACTGAACTCCTCCCACTCTGTGTTCATGTCAGCAGGCAACACTGCAGACAGCAGCTTCGAGTGACTGAGGACTGTTAATGAGCTCATTACCCTCCACGGGCCGCACACGGATCACTTCAGCACCAACAAACTGTCACACTGGGTCAGAGGAGCGGCTCTAAATCTGAGTGGAAGTGACGGACACGTTTGAACTGCTTATTTCACGAGCTTCCTTCCGATCAAATTAGATCATCGTATCACATCCGTAAAGTCGGCCTGTTCGGCTGATTTGTACTAACTATAATGCAGGAAAGGAGGATTTTATTCTGTGAGAACCAGATCCTGGACTCCCCTGGAAGCTTAGACCTTGGGTCAGGTTTTGCCGCCTCATTAGTGCCGACACTGAGGGATGGGCCCACCTGGCGGCTCTGACAAAGACACACCCACCCAGACGGTTGAGAGGCTGTTTGACCGCTCAGCCTTGTCCTCCGCTCTGCACCTCAGCGGTTCAGTCCATACCTGTCCAGGAACTTTTCAGAACCGCCCTAGATTAGTGCAGCAAGTGGGGGTGGGGTTCATTTGTTAATTCATCGTCACAGATCGCGTGTCAGTGACAGAGTTCAGTTCGGAGAAGCGGAATACAACCTGTGTCGTATCACACAGCAGCTACACCCAACCATAGCACTTTAACAGGTGAAGCCGACAGCACTGTTGGTGAGAAACAAAGAAAATGAGTGCTACCCCCGACAGAAATGACCATGAAGGCTCAACAGATGACCACATCAATGTCAACCACAACACTGGCGTTAGGAAAACGTCGGTGGTGTGGAGGTATTTTGGTTTTTGGAGGTCGGACATGAAGCAGAGTAATGTGGACTGTAAATTATGTCGAGTACATGTTCTCCCAAAGTCGGGGAATACCTCAAATCTTTTTCACCGCCTGAAGCAGCGCCACGCCGCAGAGCACGCGCAACGCAAAAGGTTACAAACCCCGAGAGGAGCGAGGAGCCGAAACAGGCGAGCATTCAGTCGGCTTTCTCTAGAGCAACGCCAAAGAGACACAAAGACCTCACAGATGCAGGAGATTATTGTGTTGGAAAAGACGTGAGACCAAAAATTTTATTTTATATATATATATATATATATATATATATATTCTCATATCCTGATCCTAGAGAATACTAATACGGGAAGATGGCGGGAAAGAAAGAGCGGTAAGTTACAGATGTTTCCCGGTGAAAACAGAATACTTTGATTCAGTCTGTCTTTATTTTTTGTCGTTATTTTTAAGTTTCAGCAGTCCTCCCTCTGAGGGCGTGGCTTTAACCCACAAGCTCCGCCTCCTTTTATATCAGGGTGAAGAACCCAAAACAAAATATTCTAGTTCTGACAGTCACAGTTTTAAAGATCATCAAATTTGGTGAGAGTTCTTATTTTTCTTCATATTAAAAAAACAACAACAACTCGGTGTCTCCTGCAGTTCTCTGTCGCCTCATCTTAGCTCCACCCACCCTCCTTTGTCCCTCAATCGGCCAATAGATTTCCATCAAAACCAGTTTATTTTGAGCGTGTGTTTACGGCTCCATAACAACATATTCCAACCTTTTTTCCTGCAGTCAGTCGATCAGCAGGGCTCTAAATTCTGACTCGTATTTACATTCGTCGCCCTCGTCTCTCGTCGTCTCAGACTCCAGCAGCGTTTTGGACCGACTCCCTCTGGCTGACCTGGACGGCAGCTGTGAGGAGGACTCGCCGTTCTGCTGAAATAGTTTGGCCGGCGCCTCTCTCTCTCTCTCTCTCTCTCTCTGTCTCTCAGAGTTCGTTCCTGGCTGACAGCGGACTGCTGGAAGGCTGCGAGTGTGAAGATGATAAAGTACGAGATGAAGAGGAGAGCAAACAGCGAGGAGGGCTCTGCGGAGCTTCAGGTGCTTTTCCGCGCCGCTCAGTCCTGGTCCAGTGGACTGGAGCGGACTTATTAAATATGACTGACAGCTCGTTATAGCTCCGTTCGCTGTAATGTCTTTATGCACGGCTTTGTGTGATGATGAACGAGGACAGGCGATCATTATGCATGAGTGAGGCTTATCTGAGTCCCAACAGTCAGTCAGTCAGGCTGAAAACGGCGTTATTGAGTCTGTGGGCGTCAGCGGCTGAGGTCAGGAGATAATCAGGACTCTCAGCCGGTCCGTTTCCATGACACTCACGGAACCCGAATTATCGCCTTATTACGATTAAGACCAGACAACTGAAGTGCATGTTAACACCTTAGTCCGACGATAATCGGAGTTTGAGAACTCCCAGATGATGCGATTGGAATTCGATTTTCTCGACCGTGTAACCGGCGAAGTCGGAGTATGATCGGAAACTTCCGTAACCCCGGAACAAAAACACCAGAGAAGAGGAGAAGCGTTCATCAGTGATGGAAGATCCGTTCTTTTGACTGAGTCTTTAGAATTCGTTCATTAAAAGGATTCGTTCAAAAGATTCGTTCACTGAATCAGTCAGCGCTTCGGAGCCCCGTCCTGTCAGTGCAGTACGCCAGTGAGTGACACGGCGGCGAGTTCGTTCATTAGCCCCTCCCCTCCCCCGCTGCTGAAGTCACAGTGACCGCATCGTTCATTCGCCAAGTCCTGAAGGAAGGATCGCTCCCCCGCCCTGAAAAACTCACCTCTCTGTGTGTCGCCGTCTGTCGGCGGAAACAACACAGCAGCGAGCAGCACGCAAGTTCTTTAATATCGCGGGAAAGTGGAGAGATCGCTGGTTGTGTTTCGTTCGCCAAAGAGTCAAAGGCGGCAGTTCCACTCCCGATCAGCACGCCAGGCTCGCGGCTGAAGTCGGTTTCGGCTCTGACCCGGGCAGCGGCGATGCAGACCTTGGTGTAAACAGACTCTTTTATAATCCATCAGTGTGTTTGCTGTTCGTGGTCGAGCTGTCATGGCGGCAGGCGGGCGAGCGGGCAGAGAACGAGCGTATCTCATATCCTTGGACAGAAAATTGCTCCCTGATTGTCAGGAATGTAGCGCCACGCAGTCAGAGCGTGCCGAGTGGAGTAAACATCATATTTACACATTCACAGGAGCTGGAGAACAAGCGCACACACCATCCCCCTACACACCCACACACACACACACACACACACACACACACAAACACACACACTTGCTGACATGTGTGTGTGTGTGTTTGTGTGTAAAATGATGTGTAAGTTCCTGCTGAACGCCTCAAGCATCAGATTTGTCAGGAGGATTTCTCTAAGTGTGAGCCTCAGAGCAGATCTATATTTACTCCATCATTACAGTCAAACAGGTTCTGACAACAGGGACCCGTCCGTGAATCAGGCGGTACGGACCGGATCCAGAACCACCTTCCCTCAGTATGGATGTAACAGAGCGAGTTAAAGTCATGATTAATCAGACGAAGCAAAAGAGGGAAAATAATTACAGGAGGGAGATTTTTTTAATTTTCATTTTGAGATTAAATCGAAATTTTAAAAAGTTGAAATAGAAAAAAATAAAAATTTCAACATTAAAGTTGAAAGTTTGAGGTTAAAAAAACTGAAATTATATAAAAAAAGTCCAACTTTAATTTTTTTTAAATCTCAGAATTTCAACATTTCTGACGTGTCGACATTTTGTAATCTCCAAATTTGACTTTAATGTCAAATTTCATAAATGTTGAAATTTCAAGATTCAAGTCGATATTTTAAATTTTTTAAATGAAAAGAATAAAAATTTCAACAGTTAAGTCAAAAGTTTGAGGTTAAAAAAATTAAAATTATGTGAAAAAAGTCGAAATTTTAACTTAATTCTCAAAATTTAATTTTTTTAATCTCGAAATTTCAACATTTACGACACGCATCGACGACTTTTGTAATCTCCAAATTTGACTTTAATGTCAAATTTCTCCTCATTCCTCCTTTCCTCATTTCCTTTCCTCACCTCCTCCCTCTTCTCCCTCAAATTTGACTTTAATGTCAAATTTGGTGAATGTTGAAATTTCGAGATTCAAGTCGATATTTTAAATTTTTTAAATGAAAAGAATAAAAATTTCAACGGTTAAGTCAAAAGTTTTAGGTTAAAAAAATTAAAATTATGTGAATAAAGTCGAAATTTTAACTTTATTCTCAAAATTCAAATTTTTTAAATCTCAGAATTTCAACATTTACGACACACGTCGACGACATTTTGTGATCTCTAAATTTGACTTTAATGTCAAATTTCATAAATGTTGAAATTTCAAGATTCAAGTCGATATTTTAAATTTTTTAAATGAAAAGAATAAAAATTTCTACATTTAAGTCAAAAGTTTGAGGTTAAAAAAATTAAAATTATGTGAAAAAAGTCGAAATTTTAACTTTATTCTCAAAATTCTAATTTTTTTAATCTCGAAATTTCAACATTTACGACACACGTCTTAATTTAGTAATCTCTAAATTTGATGTTCATGTCAAATTTCATAAATGATGAAATTTTGAGATTCAAGTTGATATTTTAATTTTTTTAAATGAAAAAATTAAAATTTCAACATTAAAGTCGAAAGTTTGAGGTTTAAAAAAGAAATTATATAAAAAAAGTCCAACTTTAATTTTTTTTTTAAATCTCAAAATTTCAGCATTTTTGACACGTGTCGACATTTTGTAATCTCTAAATTTGACTTTAATGTCAAATTTCATAAATTTTGAAATTTCGAGATTCAAGTCGATATTTTAAATTTTTTAAATGAAAAGAATAAAAATTTCTACATTTAAGTCAAAAGTTTGAGGTTAATAAAATAAAAATTATGTGAAAAAAGTCGAAATTTTAACTTTATTCTCAAAATTCAATTTTTTTTAATCTTGAAATTTCAACATTTACGACACGCGTCGACGACATTTTGTGATCTCCAAATTTGACTTTAATGTCAAATTTCATAAATGTTGAAATTTTGAGATTCAAGTTGATATTTTAAAAATTTTAAATGAAAAAATTAAAATTTCAACGTTAAAGTCGAAAGTTTGAGGTTTAAAAAAGAAATTACGTGAATAAAGTCGAAATTCGAAGTCGAAGTTCTGTTAAGCGCGCTCAGCAGCAGAAACATTCCTCCCTTCCTCATTTCCTTTCCTCACCTCCTACCTCTTCTCCTTCTGTTTTCCTCTCTTCCATCCTCACTCCTGTCTCCTTCTCTCCCTCCTCTCTCCCCGGTCTCCTCCCTCTCTCTCTCTCCTCCTCCTCCCCTCACCCTCCACGCTGCTGTTTTACGCGCCGTGCGTAAAGTGCCTCACTCTCGTGTCCGTGTCCAGAGCGCACGGACGGAGAGGAGGGGAGCAGCTCGCTCATGTCTGACACCGTGGGGTGAGCGCCGTGGTCTCTTCCTCTCCCACTCTTCACGGGGATGTTTCTGCACGCGCGGGGGGGATCAGCTGACTGCTGTCCGCGCGGATTTCAGCGCGACTCTGAGGCGGAATAAAAGCGAGAAACAGAAACAGGAGATCCGGATCTGATTTGATTACCGATCAGCTCTGAGCGCGAGAGCGGAGGAGCGGAAAACCTGCACGTGCGGATCCAGATAATGATGTGGATTTAAACCCCTCCGAACAGCTGGTTCTGACCCGGTTTTAATGGAACCTAGGATCCGCGGGAGAGTCCGGATCTAGGAGGAGCGATCCGGGAGCTGTGAGGAACCCGACCCGGGAGAAACCGAGAGGTCAGTGTGTCAGCCCTTCGCGCGCACACGCACGCGCTTGTATTTACTTCATCATAGCGGACCGTCGAGACAGAAGGAGAGCTCGGGTTCGGTTCGGTTCGGAGGAGAGTTGGAGGGCAAACCTCGCGTGCAGGGATAGTCACGGATAAATCGATATTTTTATGGATGATATTCCTGATGTGGAAACAAACTGATGCAGAAAAGTGGATAAAAAGTCATTAAATCTCTTTAAAAAACTGAAATCAAACTTGATTTAAAGTAAAGATAAAGATGATAATGACTCCTTATGTATAAAGTAGACCTTACAGTACAAGTATATTTTCATTTTCTGCACATTAAGTCAATTATGATCCGTTTATTGTCTGAAAATGACCTTTTTTTTTCTGCTTGGTTAGAGTCCATTAGTGCGCAGAAATGTGCTTTTTAAAGAGGGTGGTAATCTGCGGTTTAATGAACCACATGAGTACCGGACACACTCCACGATAAGGACTCCGTTTAAACATTAAACCTCCACAGGTGATTCACGCTCAGAGAGGAGAGTGAACGGACGCTCCCCTTAGAGAGGGAAATACTCTGAATCTGTTTGATGTTTATCCCGAATAAATCATTTTATCTTAGCCGACAGCTGCTGACCCACTTCCACCAGAGCATGATTTCAATATCTTTACCCACAGGAAGGTGGACTTTGACCCCAGATATCTAACCCCTGACTGGGAGATTTGAGAGGATTAATTTCTGGATGTTCTCCTCGTTTCTCTCAGAATTTTCGATCAACAAGTGAGCGTCTGTGTGGATTTGGAGGGTGGTGAAGAGGTCATAGTGAAGGGTCACCCCCTCCAGAGATGGATGTTGTCGACCGCTTGCTTCTCTAGTTATACCAACTTTAGAATAGCGATACAGAGAGCCACGCGCTCAACCAAAACGCCACTCTATAGCCACAAATAATGCTCAGAACAGCACCTAACTTCATCAACAGGACATATGGCGTCACAGACATAGTACTATATTCAGAGGTTTTCTAACTCCTAAGAAAACATAAACTTAAGCAGGGGCGTTTCTCCACTTCTGTAGTCTATAAACTGGGCCAATAAACTTCTACTGTAGTTAAATGAAAAGGTAAAGGTGTTTTTATTGAGCCGAATTATCAATAAAATCATGATTTTGTTAACAGGTATGAATATATGTGCTGTTGAGTTAATATATTTGAACAAGAGCACAGTAAAGTTAAATCAGTGAATTTTTCAATGAGGTTCTGTTACTGAACGGAACTACACCATGTTCTCCTCAGGTTAGTACATATAAGGTCACAGACATAGTACTAGACACCAAACATCTTTTTAACTTTGACTCATTTCTTTAGCAAAGAGACTAAACACAACTCACCTACTCTCTTCCAGCAGACGCTTGTTTGTAGAGAGACCTCAGGCCAGTCCATTACAGACTACAGCAGGGTGCCGCAGCTCAAGGAAGAACATTTATGATCATTTCTTTATCATTTCCTTGAAGTAATAATCACCATATTAATCATTTTACAGACGCGGTAGTTCTTCTGTCTTAGCGTCTCGGTCTGATTGCAAAGAATAACAAGAAATTCAAAAAACAACGCTAACCAAGACAAGAACAAGAGACAAAAACGAATCCAAAACAAACAAACTAACAAACAAAGTATCAGTCACAGCTGTTTAAAATGAATGGTAAGGAATGTTGTCGCTTGGTTGTGTAGATGAGTACAATGTATGTTACATTAATTATGTAAAATAAAAATCAGAATAATAATAATAAAGAAAAACCAATTAACAGTTTAACCCGAAAGAAAATAGGATAAAATAACAACAACAACAACAAAGGTGATGGTAATAATAATATTTATTATAATACTAGGTCTGATTGTATTTCCATGATAAAAATGATTATAAATGTTCTTCCTTGAGCTGCGGCACCCCGCTGTAGTCGGTAATGGACTGGCCTGAGGTCTCGCTACAAACAAGCGTCTGCTGGAAGAGAGTAGGTGAGTTGTGTTTAGTCTCTTTGCTAAAGCTAAAATTATGTTTGGTGGCTATGGTTTGGACCCTATATGTACTAACCTGAGTAGAACATGGTGTAGTTCAGTAACAGAACCTCATTGGAAAATTAGCTGATTTAACTTTACTGTGCTCTTGTTCACATATATTAACTCGACAGCACATAAATCCATACCTGTTAACAAAATCATGATTTTATTGATAATTTGGCTCAATAAAAACACCTTTACATTTTCGGAATATCCCTTTAAATCTTTGACGTTGGATCATCAGGAGCCGTCAGTCTCCTCAGTTGGATCTGTAATGATGGAGGCTCGTCTGTTTGGTCCTCTTACAGTGAACCCTGGTTGGTCCCCCTGGTCAGTCTGGTTCCCTTTGAAGTGGTCTAAGAACTCATTAAAGTTCTGATCCAGGTGAACTCCGGTCCACTCGAAGACAGGGGTCGTGGTTTTTCTAATCTACTCCTGGTGCTGCTGCAGGTTCGTGGCGTGAAAGCAGAGCAGAGCGACTTCGAAATCAAAGGCAGGAGGTTTTGTGAGGAGCAGTGCATCGTGGGTCAATATCTGTAGGTCAGGACCTCGTGTAGGCTCCAGGTCGCGGTTCATTCATGTCCTGCTCACCTGCGGAGGTGACCTGGGATGGAGAGACCTCAGAGAAAACCTGATGATCTGATTGGTTTAAAGCGGCGTTTGCTTTGCCAGAGCGCTTCCTCTAAAACATGTTTCCTGGCGCCAACTAACTAAAGAACTTTTCTCGTTTTCTCGATCTCAGCTAGGGCTGCACGATTAATTGATTTTAAATCATAATCTGAATACCGTATTTTTCACTCTATAAGGCGCATTTAAAATCCTTTAATTTTCTCAAAAATCCTCACTGCGCCTTATGTACGAATTCTGGTTGTGCTTTCTGACCTTGAACCGATTTTATGAGGTACACAGCGCTCAAAAATCCGACTTCGGTAAGCAACAAAGACGCATAGCCTGATGGCTTGTTGGAATAAAGTTCGACTTATCCGACTGTTTTGTTTGTCTTAATGCGCTTTATAATCCGGTGCATTTTATGTATGAAAATAGACGCGTTCATTGATGGCGCGCCTTATAGTGCGAAAAAATATGATAACTATTTTATGGCGCCTGTGCGTGTCCGACCAAAACAACATGCTCTGTACTCTTCCTCTGTCTTTTGTGCATTTTCTCGGCAACGTTAAAGCTAGGGCTGGGCGATAAACCAAAAATGTACCGATACCGAAATTTTACGACGATAACCGACGTCATTTTGCCCATATCGGTATATTCAGCGTCAAAAACGTCTTAACTACTTAGGCGAACTTAGGCGAAACGTCTCAACTAAGTCCAGTTTTCCTTTCAACATAGAATTAGAAATCACTCAGTCCGTTTCCATGACACTAGAGAAAACCGAATTATCGCCTTATTCCGATCAAGATCGGACAACTGAAGTGCACGTTAACACCTTAGTCCGACTATAATCGGAGTCAGAGAACTCCAGATAAGACACCCAGATAATGCGATTGGAATTCGATTTTCTCTACCATGTAACTAGCGTAGTCCGGCGTAGCATGCGCCACGCCAGAGTAGAGGAGTAGCGTTGGTCTCATTTTTAGAAAAAGTAGCGCGTCCATCATGTCAGACAAAAACAACGCTGTACGATGCTCCATCTTCTCGTTTCTCCAAAATGCCCAGCAGCAGTTGTAGACACTTCTGATGTAAGAAGTCGGAAACAGCGCTGCTCAAAAGACCCATATCGCCCCCTGGTGTTGGGGAGGAGGACACGTTCACGTCAATAATTCCATTTTCTCAGCTGCATGTAAACGAGGACAAGGAGAGAAGTCTGATTTAACGAAAAATAAACAAATTATGAGTTTAGTCGGATTAAGATGTAAATGCACCGACGGAATAAAAACTCAAAATCAAAAATCAGAGTTTTAAGAGAAAGAAATCTGGATTTTATCGTGAAAATCTACAGATTATTACATGAAGACTCTAAATAAGTTTTGAGCTCGGTGACGGAGAAGTTTCAACCTCTCTAAATAACCTAAAATCTCTCTAGAAGATTGTCGACAAACGCCGACAGATTATCTCCAGATTAGCGCCAGAATGTGAGCGAGCCTTCACGGATGTTGAGTCGTGGTTGGAGATCCTCTCGGCGTGGAGGAGGAGGAGGAGGAGCGCTGCGGCTCCTTCAGCAGACGCCTCACAGCTACAACACTATCCCTTTACATGGATCCACCAGCCAACAGCTCTCCTGCTGCGCCCGGGCTCCGCCGTCGATTGTCGTTTAATGGCCCCCCGCTGCTGTTGTAGTTTATTGGATACGAACACACACACATTTACACACACACACGCACACACTGAAAAAATAAAGCCAGCATGTGTGTGTGTCTTTGTTTGTAATTGTCTCACTATCTCTCCCTCCTAATGAGTGTACCATGGATGCAGATGTCGGCCAATTAGCTCGCAGTGTGAGCGCACACACACACACGCGCTCATTTATAATACCAACAGGGGACCACGGCTGGTTAAGCCGACGGACGGGGACCTCATTTTCAGATCATTAAAAAAAGACGTGAAAACAATAATAACAAATATTTCTGTGAGAAAAAAACAAACGAGCTCCGGTTTCTGTCGGGTCTGACCCCCTTTCTGCTTTACTTTGGTCGCATGATACCGAGGGTCCGGATCCGCCACGGTCTTAGGTGGAGAAGTAAATGCAAAGATGTAGATTTTCCCTGTTTTTGTTTATTGGGGCGCTGAAAATATCCTGATTTGTTTGGATCCTGGAATCGTAGCAGGATGGTCCAGAAGCAGGAGAGTAGAAACTCGTAGGAAACACCGGGGGGATTGTAAATCTCAAGGGTCGATAAAAAAAGAAGAGTAGAGATGTGGGGAACAACAACGAGAAGGAGAGGTAATTTGGAGGAAAGGAAAGAAGAAGAAATATACGCTCCTCGGTTTGTTGCCGTGTCTCTCTCCTCTTCTTATTCTTCTTCTTCCCGAAGTATCGACAGCATGTGTCCTTCATCGATTCGCTGTTGGATTGTGTTTTTCCTCCTGGCTCAGAGCATCGAGGTGTCGTGGGAGGGGACGTGAGTCCTGATGGGATTTCAGATCCAGAGGAGGATCTGGAAATCCTTTTTGATGGGTCCTTGACTTTAGATTGAGTTTTGTACCTGATGCCGGATCTGAAGGGGGACGGACTTGTTGGATGTAACCGTAGTCATCGTTGTTTTCTTCCGCTTCATCCTGGTCCGGGTCGCCACTTCCAGCCACTTCCACCAGCTCCTCCTCCGGGGGGGATTCCCAGGCGCTCCCAGGCCAGGCGAGAGATATAATCCGTCCACCTGGTCCTGGGCCGGCCACGAGGTCTCCTCCCGGTGGGACATGTCTAGAACACCTCTAACATCCAGAAGGCGTCCTAACACCTCAGCTGACTCCTCTGGACGTGGAGGAGCAGCAGTTCTCCTCTGAGCGCCTCCCGAGTGTCCGAGCTCCTTACCCTATCTCTAAGGCTGAGCCCGGACACCCTGAGGAGGAAACCCATTTCAGCCGCTTGTATCTGCGATCTTGTTCTTTCGGTCATTACCCAAAGTTCATGACCATAGGTGAGGATCGGCACGTAGATCGACCGGTAAATCCAGAGTCTCGCCTTATTTTTAAAGTAATCAAAAAGAATTCAATGTAGGTATAACACACAAGCATAATATATCACTGAATAATCAATATTCAAATACTCAATCAATAGAAAATATCAATAATTCAAGTTCATAGCAGTCTCAGTGCACTTTAAAAAATTCCCAAAAATCAGATATCACAAACCCAAGCAGAGATAAATAACAATCTAGTTGCGCAACATTAATATAAATCATGGAGCGATTATCTGGTGATCGAGTTCAGCCTCAACCAAACCTCACTGCAGTTTAGCATGTATCTAGTAAAAGTGCTAAAGCTGCTCAAAATTAACGCGTTTCAGGGGGAAAAAAATTATTGACAGCAACGTCAAACCATCGGCTACATTTCGGCTTTCTTCTTTCAACAACATTAAATACATTAGTCTGATTTTCTTCAGTTATACTCCCTCCTTCTTTCACCGCCCAACAGCGAACACGACTGAAAACTCTGCGAGGCATTAATTGGTATCAGTGACTGCTCTACAACAACATCATACAAAGTTTTTAATGAAATGACACGACGCTCGTGCTCTTTGTGAGACGCAGATGACCGGCGTGGATGCAGAGAGGGGAGTGAACAGGTAAGCTCCCGAACTTAAAGGAAGTTGGTACAACAACTATTATATAACGAGTTATAAACTTGGGAAGTTTCATGGTGATGTCTGTGACACCTGACTAGAAATGGCCACACTTCTTTTCTCGGTTGTGTGTCGTCGGTTTGTGTGCGAGGATCAGAAAGAAGGTCAATGGAATAATCCCGTTTATGTAACCTTTTGTGCCGCAGCCCCCTCTCCGTGGACAACACCTCGCTTGTTACGTGACTTATGGCGGTTTTTGTGTACGTTGACCTCCTTTTAAAGACGATCTCCAGGTCTGAAAGAGGAGTGAGAACGAAAGGAGGCTGCGGGGATAATGAAGAGGTCAGATTCAGCCGCGGATGACAGCGGCGTGCTTGTTATCGCTCTGAACGCTCCCTCTTGTGCTTCACCTCCATCTCTCTCCTCCTCGCCTCTGATGGAAACGTTATTCGAAGGCTCTCAAGATGTTGAACATTGTTTGAACAAGATTCTTCTCCATCTTCGCCGTCCCCAAAGGTCTCGATGGGGTGGGTAAGGTCAGGGCTCTGGACAGGACCGCCTCGTTCCGGAGGAGAATTTTGTTTGATGAGGCGGCGCCGTGCGTGGAGGTGCGAGGTTGTCGTTTAATGATGTGGTCAGCGAGTGTCGGATAAAAGACATGCTCAGAAGGGAGGGAGGGCGAGGTGTCAGGAGGCTGGAACGAGAAGGCGTGATTGGAGAGGATCAATCCGTGTCAGGAAGTCAGAGAGTTATGTAGAGAGGTCAGAGGTCACGGAGAGACACTTGAAGTACAGAGCGGTGAAAGTACCCTTGGCTGTGTCTCTTCTTTACCTCACACCGCCCCTCCCCCGGTTAATTAAAGCCGATATTGTCGTTATTGAACCAACATGGTTTGATCCTTCAGCCGTTAAATTACCGTGTTCATCTCCTCGTTACACACACACACACACACACACACACACACACGATCAGCCTATCCAGTAACCTCACAGACATAGCTCAACGTCACCGTTCCGGTTTATTGCGCCGGTTTTCTTTAAACCCGATTGTTCTGGAAGGTTAACGAGTTTCGTTCTCACTGATGTCATGACGACAGGAAGTGGATTCAATCTTTATTTTGTTGTTTTTGTTGTCTCTCCGTAAGTCCAGGAGAAGATCCTACGCTAGCTTTAACTAGGATCCACCATGTCGGATTGTTAGTGACTGGCGGCGGTTAATGCCAGCCTTGCTAGCAAGCGCCGTCTGCAGCTGCCTGGACAGCTACCGTGTTGACATGTCAGAGACTAACCTGGGATTTCCACCGCATCCGTAACGGCTCCGATCCAACATGGATTCCATGGACAGCAGGAACGGATTTTTTCCGATCTGTTTTCTCTTCACTTTGTGGAGATCGGACTATAGGACCGTGATCGCCATAGAAACGAGGTTCATGATAATTACCAATCTCTCCCGTCGTCAACCACGACTTTAAACCTTTGGTTCTGTGTCTAAAAAAGTCTGCCATCGTTCTTCATGAGTGAATTTACTGGTCAGGTTTGTTGAGTCGAACCCCAAAGGACGAGGGTCATATTAAGAGTCTTCTGGTTGGTCTGAACCGGTCCTCTGATGGTTCAGGGTTCCTCTGTTTTCTTTAATTTGGTTGAAGTCCTCACCTTTCTCCTTTTGTGGTCTGGTGATTTGTCCTCAGTTTTTGGAGATTGATGAGAATATAACCGTAGAAATATCCTCAGAAACAAACATTTGTGTCCCATCACCAACTCAATCTTCGATCGAGGGTCTAAATACGATCATGTCTTCTGGTTGGTCTGAACCGGTCCTCTGATGGTTCAGGGTTCCTCTGTTTTCTTTAATTTGGTTGAAGTCCTCACCTTTCTCCTTTTTATAATCTTTCCTCCTCTCATCGTTGTTCCTTCGCTGAAACAAACATTTGTGTCCCATCATCTACTCAGATCTTCGATCGAGGGTCTCGGTCCTTTCACGGTGGATTTGCTCTCTCCTTCTCTCTCTCTCTCTCTCTCTCTCTCTCTCTCTCTCTCTCTCCGTCTGTCCTTCTTTAATCCTCTCCCTGTTGATTTCTTCCTCTTTCTTCTCCTTGTTTTCTCTCTTGTTTAATTTATTCCCTCTCACAACCTTTGTTTATTTCTTTCCTTTTCCCAATCTCGCTCCAACCTGTTTTTCCCTCCCTTCCTCCTCCTTCCTCTGTTTAATCTCCTTCCCTCCTTGATTCCTTTTGTCCCTCCTTGATTACTTTCTTCCTCGCTCCTTACAGCCTTGATTTATGACTGTGGTCCGCCGCTCACCTGGACTCCTTCATCGCTCTCTCTCCTCTTGATTCCTTTTTTATTGTTTCCTCGTTGTTTTCTTTCCTCATTCCCTCGCTCTTCTCCTTCATCCTTCAGTAAATTTGGAGTTAATTGGATTTACCCTCGAGTCCTGTATCTTCTGGTCCCTCTTTAGAAGTGGTCTCGGTCTGGTTGTTCGGTCCGCACTAATTGAGAGCTTCACGTTTCTTTTATCGTCTCTGACCAGGTGAGACGTTGAGCACCGAGCTTCGCGTTAGTCACAGCTGATTTATTCCCAGAGCTCCCCGGGTTGGCGTTCTCGTTTCAGGGTGATGTTGACAGTTTAATGAGCTGTAAAAAGGTCGCCGCGCATCTGCGGGTAGAAAAGCGACAGAGCGCCGCGCCTTGTAAACACCACACTCACATAAAGCTGCTGACATTTCCTATAACCCTGAGTCTGATTAGTCTGTCTTCTTCTCAGTCCCTCCTGATTTCACTGCCTCAGTAACTCCAGGTTACACTCGCTGTCACAAAGACAGGTAGGAAATCCACTCACCTGATTGGTTCTTACCTGCTCTTTCTCGGTCCGATCAGTTTCCTGTCTGGATTTAATTGGACTTGGACCCCTCTTATCCCTGAGGGAGATGACCTCTTTGGTCCTGACCTCCTCCATTCGGACTTCCTTGTCCCTGATCTGCTCAGTTTTGATGAGGTGGGTACTCGCTCTGGTACTCGCCCTGGTTTTTGTCAGACCATCACGGGTCTGACCCGACCTTCACTGATGCTCCTGCTCCTGCTGACCCTCACGGACCCCCCTGACTCCCTCAGACCTTCAGTTTGACTCTCCTGCTGTGGATCAGAGTGTCCTTGAAGAAGCAGATTGACTCTCAGCAACGAAGGTTCGACCTAGGGCTGGGCGATATGGCAAAACGTTTATCATGATATATTTTTTCATATCAGTCGTTATCGATATATGCCCGACCTCAAAAAACCAAAATACCTCCACACCACCGACGTTTTCGCAATGATGTGGTCATCTGTTGAGCCTTCATGGTCATTTCTGTCGGGGGTAGCACTCATTTTCTTTGTTTCTCACCAACAGTGCTGTCGGCTTCACCTGTTAAAGTGCTATGGTTGGGTGTAGCTGCTGTCTGCTACGACTTTGCAGTTGGTTGATACTTGGTTCTAATTCAGCACATGATTGGTTCAGAGTGAAGCGGACCCGGAGCAACTCCCTTTTCATTGGCTATTTGAATAATCTACCAAAACATGGCAGGATGTTTATCGTTTGATCGCCCAGCCCTAGTTTGACCACATTTGGACACAGGATTGAAGTTTTTCTTCACAGTGATGAGAAAATACCTGATCGTCTGTAGATGTTTGGTTTGGATCAGGATAAACGGGGATGAACTTCTCAGTTTGGGTAAAGTGGATCCAGTCTCAGGTGGTCCAGTTCACTTTGACCAAATATAGATGAAGATATCAGTGTAACTTTTCAACTTCCTGTCGAACAGTACTTTTCAAGGCCAGTTAATCCTCATATATCTCAGAAACAGGTCTTTCCTCTGATGTTATTGAACGTTTAACAGAGATTTAATGATATTTAAAGGACCATTTCATCAAAATTAATCCAACCCTGAACTATTTAGAAACTAAAAACAGCAGCATGGATCGACTCAGACCGACTTAAACTGGATAACATGTCCGTGTTCCAGCTCACGTGGACTCTCCTTGTGCTCATAAATCAAAAGCTCCTCCAGTCCTGCTCTGGGACTTTCACCATCCCTGATCTCGCTGTGACTGCAGAGATTCAGTTCTTAGACTAGGACGGCAGGACCAGGACTGTGTGAAGTTTGTTTCTATCAGTAAAGAGTGAAGCTGCTGTCTGCTGCTTCAGATTTCATTTGTTCTGTAAATCGAATCTTGATGAGCGTCTTTCTCACGCTCGTATCGGCTCAGAGGAAAGTGCTTTAAGACACAGTGAAGGTTGACTCGTTTCTCGAAACAAGGATTCACAATCCAGGGTTAGTTTTGGTCAAACTTTAAGATCAGTTTCTGGACCTGTCAGGTGAATTTCGCCTGAATTTAACTCAATTAGATGGTTTTTAGTAGAAATACAAAGAGTCCACAAAGATCCGACTTTCACGGCCCGTTCCCCGGATGTTTTCTTCATTAAAGTCTGTGGAGTTTAAAAGTTTTTGAGGACCTGACAGTGTGGTTTTCTTTTGAGCGAGAGGATCCTTCTCTTTCTTTTTAACGTCCTGAAAAAATTGAACATCCTCCGTTGGTTTAGCTGCGTCGACTAATCCTTCAGACATTAGACATGCTCTTCTGTTTACCGGCATCCTCCCCTCTCTCCTCTCTCTCTCTGCTGCTCCCTCCCCTCTAATGCATCCTCTGTCTTCGTTTAGCTATGCATCACCATGCACTGATTTATTCATCACTCCATTTTCTCACTTCCCTGACACTTACAGCACCTCTATTTTTGTCCTTTACCCTGGGAGCGTGGAAAGCAGAGAGAGACACAGCGGAAACATGCTCCAATGAAGGCTCTGTGTCAGGAGACAAGCCGAGTCACACTCCAGCTGTTCACAGAGATGACTACACTTTCTTCCTCTTCTCCTTTTTCTTCTTCTTACTCAGATTTTTTAGGAGGCCAGGTTTCATTTGAAGTTTCTGTTTGGGATTAAGATTCCCTCAGACCGTCCAGTCTCTAATTCAGAGAACCGAACCGGGCATAAAAGTCTGAAAAGCCGAGGGACGAATGAGAAAGAGGCTTAAAGGTGGTGTAGTCCGGATCTGAGGAAGTTCCAATTTTTAGGAGAAATCTTGAATGTAAACTCTACCCCTCCAAACAAGTTTTCCCCTCAAGCCCCGCCCACAAACAGACGCTCCTGCTCGCTCGTATCGTAAGTAAAAAGCATTGGTGCTACTGTAGATGCCAACAGACTACCAGCAAACACAATGTTTGCAGGACTTCTACAACGAGGATAAAGTGACATAGTCCAGGACCCGAGGGAGGACAGTTTAGCGATGGCGCTACAACACGCTACAGCAGGTCCGTTTGACAAGAAACACTTCTGTTACAGACACTTGTCTTACTTTGTTAAAGCGGTTTACCTGTCCAGCAGAAAGGTTACAGGGTCACCAAGATCCCCAAGCGTCCCCCATCGTTTATGTTGACCCGGCTTTTTAGCTCTTGTCCGGTCTACCTCCGTTTTAAGCGCCCGTTATTCCTCCAGAGTCTCCGGTATTTACTTTGTTTTCTTGCTTGTGTCGGCAGTCGTGGCCAAAGGAGGATTCAGACAATTTTTGAACTTTCTGGTTGGTTTCTACTGTCCGATATTGTAGCACGCTAACTTTGTTTGGGCTCCTGAACGACACAGGGGAGCAGTGCTTTCTTGTTGACAGTTTTCTTGTTGACTGGTTTGGTGTTGACTGTTTTGGTGTCAACTGTTTATGGTTGACTGTTTATGGTTGACTGTTTTCTTGTTGACCGGTTTGGTGTTGACTGTTTTCTTGTTGACTGTTTTCTTGCTGACTGTTTTCTTGCTGACTGTTTTCTTACTGACTGTTTTCTTGTTGACTGATTATGGTTGACTGTTTTCTTACTGACTGTTTTCTTGTTGACTGTTGTCTTGTTGACTGTTTTCTTGTTGACCGGTTTGGTGTTGACTGTTTTCTTGTTGACTGTTGTCTTGATGACTGTTTTCTTGTTGACTGTTTTTTTGCTGACTGTTTTTTTGCTGACTGATTATGGTTGACTGTTTTCTTGTTGACTGTTTTTTTGCTGACTGTTTTCTTGTTGACCAGTTTGGTGTTGACTGTTTTCTTGTTGACTGTTGTCTTGTTGACTGTTTTCTTGTTGACCGGTTTGGTGTTGATTGTTTTCTTGTTGACTGTTGTCTTGTTGACTGTTTTCTTGTTGACTGTTTTTTTGCTGACTGTTTTTTTGCTGACTGATTATGGTTGACTCTTTTCTTGCTGACTGTTTTTTGCTGACTGTTTTGGTGTTGACCGTTTTCATGTTGACCGGTTTGGTGTTGACTGTTTTTTGTTGACTGTTTTCTTGTTGACTGATTATGGTTGACTGTTTTCTTGCTGACTGTTTTCTTGTTGACTGTTTTCTTGCTGACTGTTTTCTTGCTGACTGTTTATGTCGTGGCCAAAGAGGATTCAGACAATTTTCCGAACTTTCTGGTTGGTTTCTACTGTCCGATATTGTAGCACGCTAACTTTGTTTGGGCTCCTGAACGACACGGGGGAGCAGCGTCTGCCTCACAACCAATCAGGTTAGAGGAGGTGGAGAACGGCTTCGTTTACAGTCAGAAAGAGCGGACTCCACAACAAAAGATGCTTCTTTAACAGATTCCTGCCTTCACCACCTTTGAGCCACTGCGGTGATGTTTCTGTTGACTCGCTTTGATTCTGATTGGTCGGTGAAGGAGGATAAAAACAGCTGACACTGAGGCTGAGGTGGAGTCGAGGATGCTGAGCAGATGAACCTCGTGTAGAAATCGATGCCGTCAGTGGACACGGGCCCTTACGCAGCAGTTTACAGACCCCTGTGGTCCCTGAAGCCCCCCCTGCAGGTGGACTCTGTTGGTTTGTTTGTTTCCAGTGATGAACTTTGATTTATGATCTCGGCGTTGGTTAAAGACAGAGGAGCTTCCTGTGTCGGAGGGTCGAGCCTCTATAACCTCCTTTATAAACAGCAAATTGAAATTATTGTCGTCATTTCTCCCCCGACGTGGAAATGTCAGAGATAATTACTTTAATTATGAAGATTCTCCTCACGTCACCTGAAGCCGAATTCCTCCCTCCGAACATTTTGGCATTTAAAGTCCCTGACGCACGCAGACGTAGAGACGGTGAATGTTACACTGATAAGGTTTAGATTATAAAGCTTCATTAGTCCAGAGTTAAAACACAGGAGCAGGTTTATACTCACAAAGATGAATAAGTAATCAGCGCAGAAATGTCACCTCTCAAAGTTTAATGCTGCTGCTGCTCCACTTCTCAACAACCGTGGTTTTGGTTTTCTTTTCTTTTCACTCTCTTTCATGATTCCCTCTCGGTACTTCCTGAATCTTAAACTGGGTCAGAAAATTCAGGAAGAGTCCCAAAGCTCAAAAACAGTCTGACTGAATATTTTTAGTTATTTTGGTTTATTTCCTCCAGATGTTCGTTCTTCTGTTCGTGAAGTCGGCCCGTCCTGTCTTTAAACCGTCTGTGAGTGCGTCTGTGACTGAACCGTTCAGGGTTCGATGGTCTTATAACTCCTGCGTGTGGCGTTCAGGGTCCCCCGCTCTCCTCTCTGATTAAATTTACAGCACCTGCACGCCCTCCCTCCCCGCCGTCATGCACTTAGCTTGACATGTAATTCACTGCAGACCGAAATTACACACTCCAGTTGCATGAAAGCGCCGAGCGAGCAGATCGATATTGTAACCGTCTGTGTTTTAGAGGGACATCTTTCAGATGAGGCGCGGCTCAGTGGGTCGTTTCTCACTCTGGAGTTTGTCATTCCGAACCCCGCCCACAAGTCCGAGTGTCTTTGAGCAGGAAGCGAACCCGAGATAACTGCAGAATGAGGTCTGTGGGTGAATGTTTGACCCTGAGGTTCTGAGTGAACGAAACGGTCACTCCAGAATGAGCCGAGACTTCGGACCTCAGACCTGTTCGTTAATGTCCTGGTTGACGATCGGAGAAGCAGTTGAGAAAAACGGAGCCGTTGAGGCAGATTTGATGTTTACGTAACATGTAACATGTGCCACGATAAAAGGCGATAAAAATGACCCGATGTTTATTCTAGTTAGATTCCTCGCTTGGTCACATTTTCTCTTTGACTCCGCCCTTAATTCTGTCATCTTGCATTTTCTGCGTGTCGAATACAGCGAGGTGATTGGATGGAGTGGCGGAGAAGGAGATTGACCAATAGGAGCTTTGTCAATGTCCTTGCAGCCCCGTAACTGATAGGGTGAACAGATTTTTTTCTGTTCTTCACTTTGTGGAGATCGCGCTATAGAACCATGATCGCCATGGAAACGAGGTTCATCATAATTACCGATTTCTCCAATTGTCAACCATGACTTTAAAACAGAGAGTACAACCCACCCAGAACCCCCAAACAGACAGCAGTTTGTCGGTAATAATAGACATCGTAACACGGTTTATAGTTAGCATAATGATAGCAACAAGCTAACCTGACTCACTGTCTCCACTCATTCATTATCCGGCGCTTCTGATCCACATTCGGGTGTGACTGAGCCCACAGAACTGATTCAGAACCAAGTCTCTGCAGGTCCAGACCTGTTGAGTTGATCTGCAGAAACCTTTGTGGTCCGTTTGGAGTAACTTTTCTCGATCCTCAGAGGGTAAATCCCGCAGACTCTCACAACCTCACTTCTTCTCGGCTGTATTTAGTGTCTTTAAACATTCACACACACACACACACACACACACACACACACACACACACACACACACACACACATCAATCCTCCTGGAGTCCTCTTTGTATTTTAAGCTCGTCTTTGTCGTTGGTGTCAGAAAGCAAACACGTTCACCGAGATGACGATCAGCTGAAACTGCGAATCGTCGGCGCTCTGGGTGGTGCTAGCATGACTGTAATCTGTTTCCACAGTGATGGATTATGGGTATCTATAGCACCATCACACACACCTGCCACTCGCCTCTTCTATCAGCTGATTCTCGAGGTACATTCAAGTGTAGACGAGCCGATATCGTTCTGTAGCTGCTGTGTGATGTTCCTGTTTCTGTAAAGGATCAGATAGCGGAGAGGAGCTGTCATCAGCTCCCTGCTGGAGAGAGAGAGAGAGACCACTTTCATGCTGACTGAGCTTACTTCTTTACACCTATAGATGTGCTGTGGGGTGGCGGCGGCGGCGGCGAGGGGGTGGGGGGGCAGATTTGACAGCTTTGATTCCAGCTTCAGTGTTTTTTTCCTGGACTGATCCGGACTCTGTTTTCGACTTTTGTGGGGTTTTTCTCTTTCCTCCTCTGGTTCATGTCGATTTCTTCTGTTTTGTTTGTGGATTCTGGACTAAAGAGCGCCGGAGCGGACTTCTTCCCTGAGTCCAGCTGCCCACATCGATGCTATCCAATTGACCTGGTATTTAATGATCAGGTCTCAGGGGTAATTCTGCTGTTTCCCTGATCGATTCCCCTCTTAACCTGAGTTGACTAAAAGTGGATTAAATAAACATCACGTGACCTCGGACACGCTGCTCTGCTCCTGATTGGTCCACTGAGGCGGCTCATGTGGTTAAACATAAACCATATTCATATTCAATCATTCTCTCTGACCTTCGGTGCGACTGTGTCCTGATTCCTGGTCCTTCTCAGACCGCTTCATGCCCCGCTTGGCCTTCATATCGTGTCACTTCCTGTGTTAGAGCGCCACAGGCCGCGGGATGACAGATCTGTTGTTGTCGCCTCCTCCCTCTGACTCTTTTCTCCTTGCTCCAGTTCCTCCTCCAGCGGGTCGCAGACAAACCAATCAGGCACGTTTGATGTAGAGCTGCAGGCTGAGGCCCCCCTGCTGAGGGCTCACTGAGACCCCGACAGCACAGCGGGGGGCGGCGCTGCTGTTTGCACTCGTAGAAACTCAGTCAAACTGTTGATGTGGATTTGGAGAGTCTACAAAAACCTCCTCCTATTCTCAATCTGGGTCAAGGGGGGCTAGAACTGATCCCAGGTACCACAAACCGAGGGATGGGGTACATCTTTGGAGTTTGATGTCCTCCTGTTTGGACCTCGTTCTTCCTCTGGACCAGGACAGACCTCATGCAAACACAGAGCGGATTTGTAAACCCAAGAACTGGACCAAGGAACCTTTTTTTCATCAGTGCTAGAGCGGCATGATATATCGTCTGAGCATCGTCATCGTGATGTACGTGTCCACGATAGTCACATTGCAGAGCCTGCAATTCTTTACTCGGTTGCCAATCAGACTACCCTGCCAGCCGCCAATCAAAATCAGAGAGGAGAAAACCACGCCCCCGCACGTGGAGCGAGTCGCTGGCGCTGGCGGTATTGTGCCGAGAAACGCAAACCCGCCGAGAATGACTTTGGGAACATAACTCATCGCTGTTTAGCCCCACAAATAAGAATTTTATGGGTTTGAAATGCGTTTCTCGACACAACAACGATCGCAAACTGAGCAACGAACAAGAGAAAACCGCCGAAGATGAAGACGTGTTGCCAAAAAGAAAAGGAAAGTCAGTTATCTGGAATTATTTCGGTTACAAGAAGGATAATGTCGACTAAAACACCTGTTCTGTGTTCATCTGTCGCCACGATAACGTCCCAGAACAATAAAAGCTAAAAATATCTCTGAGACAGACAGAAGCCATTCTAACATTCACTAAAAGAGGTAAGATCAGTGCAGGTTAACTGTCCTCAAGATCTCAGCAGAAAGTCAGATTCAGATCATCTGGTCAAAATTCCTCTATTTTTTTATATCGCAGGGTTGAAAAAAAACTGCAATGTCAGTTTTTTACAACACCGTACCGCCTCAATCGGTGCTACTCACCGTACCGTCCTGCAGCCAGTGTTACAACCTGTGACCCAAACACACCCAACCTGGAAAGCTGTTTATCAGCCAAAGTGGGACCCAAAGGACGATCTCACCGAGACCATGTCCATGTTTAGATAGAGAGACTTTATTGATCCCAAACTAGGAAATTCCCAAATATATAGTCTGCAGTCCCAGACTGGAGGTTCCCCTCGTTGACAGACTAACAGCCGTTAATAAAGAGTTATAAATGAAGAGTGATAAAGTTTACTGCGCTCATAAATCCATAAACAGTGTTCCTCATTAACTGATTTGTTTGCCGATCAGACTCGTTCATTTCTCTTTGTATTGTTGTAATAAAGCCGGAGATCCTGGTCCTGGTCCTGGTCCTGGTCCTGGGTCTGGCAGTTATTATAAATTGCTGAAAAATAATAAACTTTTATTATCGGCTCCGGGCTCTGTGCAGATCCGACTCTCTGAATCAATAAAGACTCGCGCTCATTGGTCCATTAGATTAAACTTGAACACACATCTGTTATCAGGTCCTCTTTATGAAACCATCAGGGAGATTTAAAACCCGCTCCGCTGCGTTTATAGTAAACCCATAAACCTCGGAGGATCGGCCGCCTGTGTGGACTCACTCCGTCAATAATCCGCTTAATTAGATCTATCAATTAACCGCTGAACTTGGAGTCATTCGCTCTGTTAATCAGTCACTGAAGCGAGGGACGGTCTGATTTATTAGTCTCTGTGGAGTTCTGCTCCGGGGACTCCTGCAGAAATCTTTATTTCCTCTTTCAGCCGCGTTTACGTCTTCAGGTGTTTTTGGTGTAAAGATCGAGGTCAGTGTGTGTTAAAGGACTTTATCCATCTGTTTGTTGTCAAAGTTGACCCTCACCTCTCGCCCCAGCAGCTCTGAGATTAATCAAGTCTGTAGAAATAAAGTGGGTAGATTCTGTTTGACCCTCAGTTCCTCCTCCGTCAGTTTTGAGGACATTTGTCATTTTTGTCTCCTGTAGTTCTCCGTCATTTTAGCATTTTTTTGAGCATGTGTTTACGGCTCCAAAACAACATATTACAACCTTTTTTTATCAGCAGGGCTCTAAATCTGACTTTCCCACAGTGAGACAACAGACTGAGCCGCGCATCATTTTAACCCCTTCAGTGCCACTTATAAATGATTCATATCTTACAAATATCTTCTGATTTTTTATGTTTATATGTAAAATTAATTTAATATGAACAAATGAATTCGATCACATTTAATTTGGTAGAGGACGAGGCTCCAGAAAAGGAGGTGAAAATGTCGTGTTTTTCCGCTCCAATAGACTCAGCTGATCAGAACGAACACTTTATCAATAAATATGACATGTCGCACAAAAACTGACATAAAAAGGGAAATACATCCAATTTTTTATTCATTACTTTTTTAATTCTTAGGGAAGAAGTTGTTCAAAAGATTTGAGTCGAAAAAAAGGGAAAAAAAGTTTAAAAATGATAATTTTATGAACATTTATCTGTATGTCTGTTTTAGACACAAAGTAGCTGGATAGAGCTAAAATACGGAAATTGGCACAACAAAAAGAATTTAAATTCACCAAAATCGGTTTTACTTCTCATCATTGACATGGTCCGGACACTTTTCATTAAAAAAATAATAATAATAAAATTTAAAAAAATCATATTGGTCATTTTATGTAGGAAATAAGGCGATTTTGTGTTTCTTACCATTAAAAATAAATATGACATGTTGCACAAAAAATGGCATAAAAAGGGTGTAACACCGAATTTTGTATTTATTATTTTTTTAATGTTTAGAGCTGAAGTTGTTGAAGAGATTTGAGTCGAAAAAAGTAAAGAAAAATGATTATTTTACAATCACTTATCTGCATGTGTGTACTGGGGACAAAGTTGGCTGAATGGAGCTTAAATTAACAAGAACCGAGGGTTGAATGAACATCATTCATCACTCTGGTCAACTTTAATTACAGACACCCTCTCCCCCCCTTCCAAATTTCAAGGTTGTTCAAGCGACCAGAAAAATGCAACCGCAGCAGTTTTCAGAGACCAGGTCGTTGCAGAAGTGCTGGTCCGCTGAGTATTGGTTCTGAGTGTTCCTGCGGGAGAACAGGACTGAGACCAAGCGGAGCGGAGGGGATCGATGCAGAGTCGGGTTCTCAGGTGTGTGTGGCTTTTCCTTCTGAAGATATCAGAGTTGGAGGGTTTCACCGCCTCTGAACTTTTTCTTTGTTCTGAAAGTTTTCACTTCGTCTCAAAGCGAATAATTTCTGCTCTGAACAGCCTCAAAGAAAAACTTCAGAGAGCGACGACAGCAGAGAGAGAGAAGCTTATTAACCTGGTCTGTGCTTTGGTCTAACAGCTCTGAGGACTTTTGTGAGTTTTAAATGAAAGTCCGGACCTCACAGGGTTTGATAAATCCTCCTGTGTGTGTTCGGCTTCCTCAGAGGTCGGCCCTCTTTGATTTAAGCTAACCGCTCCAGGGTCAGAGCTAATAATCAACACTCATCCTCAGCTGAATGTCAATGAAGCTGCTGTATGATGTGAAGGAAAACCAGCCTGGACTTTAGGACCTCATCAAACCCGGTTCTGTTCAAAGTTCTGTTGTTAAAGGGGATTAGGAACCATATGGATTATTACAGGAGATAACAGAGCGCCTATTAGCGAGAGTCGGAGTTCAGCCAGACGTGATGTTAAACGTAAACAAATACACGAGGAGCGAGCGGCAGATTAGCAGCAGAAACAAATTAAGAGGATTTATCCTGTTTCTCACACAACGATCAGGGAAAGAAAGTAAAGAAACCATCAAAGTGGATCCAGACAGGGGACCAGGATTAACAGAGGTTCAGGCCCAATAACATATTAAAGCTTTTCTACTTCAGACTAAAGAACAACAGTCTCTAAGTGTTCGAGGGATTAATTCCCCAATGTTTGGTTTTCCTCTCCTTATTGAGTTAAGACACACGGGATGAGATCCAGACCTCCGAATGGTTCTGATTGGTTCAGTAAACCCGTCTGGTTCTGACTTGTTTGCGACAGTTTTATTTCAGATTGAGAGATAACAAACCGTGAAAAGTCCTTGGTTTTTGAAACCAGCCTTAAAGGGATATTCTGGTGTGAAATTAAAACAAACCGTAACACTGAGTTAGACACCCCATTAAGAGATGAACGTTGCAGACTGCTTGCTTCTCTACTCTGATTTTCTTTCTCTTTGGTTTTTTAACGACACAGAGGAGTAAACTTTCTTCTTCTTAAATCCGACCTCTCTCTGCTCCACTAGTCTCTAAACACTCCTTTAAAAATATCCAGAGCTCTGAGCTTAATCTCCAGACCCCCCAGAGCTTTAGAGAAGTGCTTTCCCCCCAACAGGGACTGGGGTTGTCAATAATGTCCTGAGGCTTTATGTAGATCCTGCTCCTGCAAAGGTACTGGATTAGTGTTCTGCAGTGAGGGCTGACAGTTTTGGAGTTTACAAACTTCTCCTGCAGGATACATGACTTTAAAGTTTGTTTGTCGTCATCATTTTCTTCCGCTTCATCCTGGTCCGGGTCATGGGGGCAGCAGGCCAGGCGAGAGATATAATCCCTCCACCTGGTCCTGGGCCGGCCACGAGGGTCTCCACCTGGTGGGACATGTCTGGAACACCTCTAACGGGAGGCGTCCAGAAGGCGTCCTAACCAGATGCCCTCCACCCGCCCCGGCTGCGCCTAGAGATTCTGTCCATAAAGTTTCTGAACAGAACCGGTTGAGATATGTATGCGTAGATAAAGTGACCTTAATAAAGTGACTGTTGTTTATAAATCTGTGGAAAATACGACGAGAACAGGGACATGCACGACCCAAAACTCTCAAACGGACATTTAAGACGTCAGACATTTTAAGGACATCGGCCTCTCTGACTACGGTGAAACAAAACGCCACCTCAGCCGGATCCAAAGACCAATAACGTGGGCAGACGACCCTGAGACGATGAAAAGACGACGTTGAAAACCTCCTTGTCAAGAACTCGACTCACTAATCTGCATGCAAACTTCTGAAACACTTTCTTTCCTTTTTCTATAGATGAATATCAAGAGGCTGACAAAAGAGCTCTTTTCCTTGAATCCTGAAGATGTCGTCCTTAAACAAAACAAGGAAAGTGTTCAGAAGTCGACCTCCGAGTCAAACTGCAGAATAAAATCTGCATTCGATAAAGAGAAGAAAACTTTTACAGCCAAGACGATAAAGAGAGTCTGATCTGAAGCTGCTGTCTGCTGCGGTGGAGGAAGTTTAATAATGGATCCTAATGACGTCATGAACCGCTCCTTTATATCTGATGTTAGAGACGCTTCCGTTTAAAAATGATCCCTGATTTCTATTTTCAGGTTCGGAGTCTTTATGTGGAGGAGGGAGCAGATGTCGGCTTTTACGAAATAATGCCGCTTAATTCTGGAAGGAGCTCAATCGTCGCAGCGTCTAATGAAAGAACCTGAAATCTGGCAGCGCTCTGGTACTTCTCTTTTTCATTATTTTCGCTCGAGCTTGATGCCAAATTCTGCTTTTTTTCCTCTCTCTTTTATAGTCGATATCAGGAGTTTCCAGCAGCACAGAGACGATCGGAAAAAAACGTCATTTTTATTATTATTATGGTTTGGACCGTTTCTGCTGAAAAGTCAGTCTCAGTGTTTCTGAAACTTTATTCCTAAAACTTTCTCCCTTGACATCGTTGGGCAGAAAGTTCTTCAGTGACCCTTCAAGATAAAAACAAACTTTTCTATTAAAAGTTTAGTTTCGAGCGAAATATCTGACTTTCCTGTTGCTACATCATCCTGGCTTGAACCCGTTCTGGCACAAAGATGGATGAGGATGTTTCTTATAATGGATAATATTTCCTCCTGAGTGCAGCTGAGTGCTTCATTTATATTTCAGGGTCCAGCTGTACTGCGGAGATTTCTACTCGAGTTTCTTTCTTCAACTTTGATTTAAAAAACACAAAACCTGCAGGAACACAGGTCCGAACACGGGTTTGAACACGGGTCCGAACACGGGTCTGAACACGGGCCCGAATGTGTCCCTGACGGCTCACCTCTCTCCAGAGTCATCGGTCTGTAAACATGAGTGGACCTTTGTTGAGACGAGTTTGACGAACTCAGCTGCATGTGTTTTCTATCCGGAGTGAGTCAGCGCCGCTTTGATCCTGTCGGCGCTGAGCGAGAGCGGGAGGAGCCGACCGCCCTCAGCCAACTCGCCGGGCTGATTCAGCTCACTGGAGCGTGTGTGTGTGTGTGTGTGTGTGTGTTTATTATCAAGTGAGTGTATGTGCCATAAAAAAGGTGTCTGGATGTTTCACGGCCCGGTTTTCTCAGAGTGTTTCCATGTAAGCACTTGTGTGTGAATGTGGGAATGTCAGTGTGTCTCCTGACGGCTGTGACTGACCTACATCACAGAGCTGTCATGCTGAGCGGTTATCTCTGGGCGTGTGTGTGTGTGTGTGTGTTTGTGTGTGTTTACGGCACAGCTGGTGCGACTGTTTCCCTCCTGAGTCGAGCTGAGTCATTCCTTTTTCATATCGTTTCAGATTCGTCTCCTTTTCACTTGAGAAAACCAGCACCATGAAAATACCTGTTATTGTAATACCATGCGTGGCCACTGGGGGCGGATTATACTATTTGACGATATCAGGGACACTACAGGATAAGTCAGGGAACATTTTCGAGGTGAAACCGAATCTCCTGAAAATATCGGCGAGTTCGGCCGATTACCGATTAGTCTCAAACGGGCTAAAATTGGCCGATTTAATCAGCTTGCCGATAAATCGGTCGGGCCCGACTTAAAATCGACTCTAAGGCTACGTTCACACTGCAGGTTATGATGCACAATTCGGATTTTTTTGTTAAATCCGATCTTTTTGTGCGATCGTTCACATTGAATGATAACGGAACGCGGTTGGAAGTGACCCGCATGCGCACAAATCAGGACGTGACGCGGTGTTCGCCTTCTATTTTGGCTTGATCTGACCGTCTCCCCGTATTTTCATCATCGCTGATGTTTCTTCTTTTCGCCACTGGCTGTTTTCCGTTCCCTCGTCCGCCATTGCTTTCCGCGCCTGTTCGGCAATGTCCACACTGCAGGTCGATTCCGATCTTTTAACCGTATGTGACTCATATCTGATTTTTTCATGTAAGTGTGAACAGTGCGATTCTGATTTTCATCCGTTCTTTACGTCGTCAATATGTGAACGACCGCAAAAAAAGATCGGATTGAACAAAAAATCGGAATTGTGCGTCATAACCTGCAGTGTGAACGTAGCATTAGTGTTGTCGAACAATGGTGATGTTTGTCGCATATTGGCGACGTATAGGTTGGACGAAAGCGCCTGAGCGTCCACACTACAGTCACATCGGAAACATATCCGATTTATATCCACGTACAAAAGAGGCCTGGGTCGGATTAGAACAAATCGGAATTGACCTGTTCACACTTAGATGAAAAAATCCGATATGTGTCACAGATGGTTAAAAGATCGGAATCGACCTGCAGTCTGAACGTAGCCTTAAAGACACAGGTAACCAACGCAGAGATTTCTGGTCTTGCGTGAAGCCGAATTTTGTCGGAGCTGAAGCTGAGAAATGTTCTTTTTAGGAAGATAAGAGAGGAGAGCGCGAAGAAGAGTCTCTGCGATGGCTTGAGAGAGGAAGTGGCGAACTCTGGAGATGTTCTTCAAATGATAAAACGCCGTTTTGGTAACATCTCATACGTGCGGCTCCAACCTGAGGTCTGAATCAAATGTAACACCAAGAATTTTAACTTCTTTGCAGAGTTTTTGCTCCAGTTTCTCTCTCAAACCGAGTTTTGTCCTGATCCAGAACGCTCCTGGATTAAATTTTCCTTTTCCGGCGATAGTTTTTGGTCAGGAAGTCATGATTCGTTCGTCACGTTCGTCTGTTTTGGAAAGTAAGTCTCTGAAAATCTTCAAACTCTCTCAGACTTTTCCTCCGCCCACACGCGACTAAATCTGTCCAAGTTTGTAAAAAGGTTATTTTAGTTTCTGGGTGAATATTTAATGTTCGGAGATCGTGAAACCGCTCGATGATGCCCACTGCAGCCGCCGTGAGCCGTCCAACATCTCCAGGTCTGAGGTGGAGCTCTGCAGCTTCAGGGCACTTTGACAACACGGTCAGGAATTCAGGAGAGAAAGTTTCCGATAGAAAAACATCTTAAACTTTTGATAATCCTGTATCCTGGACTTCTTTAAAAACCTGTGGGAGGTTCTGGTCCGACAGAGTTTCTCCATCAATCCTCTGAAACGGTTCCTCACCTGTCTGATGATGATGGGGTTTTATTTTTAGATTTATCGTCATCCTGAGTCTCTCCTGACTGTCTCATCCTTTAACTCCGCTGATATTCGATGGTCTGTCACGCTCTGGAGATTACCTGCTCGTCTATTTCCAGCAGTAATCTTTAATAACCCGACATCGTGAGCGTGCGATCTCGTCATCCGGGCAAAAATTTCTCCTGTAGATTCAGAGGAAAAAGTCGTTTCTGTTTCGTCCCCTCACCTCCGTCCGTGTTCCTCTGTCTTCCTCAGGTGATGAGTACCTGACTGCGGATGAACACGTGATCGGAAAAATGGAGGCCATCGCCGCGCTCAACGCCACACAGGACGAGTTCCTGCCCGACGATGACCCCGAACACCTGGTTTACCCCGACTTTGAGCAGATGGCCGGCGCCAACCCTCCGGCGATGCCCACGTTGGTGTTCGAGGGGGTGAACTTTCCCGAGGACTCCATCAAGCTGCTGAGCGTTCAGGTAGACGCGTCATGACCTCCAGAGAAACTAAGAAAACGTAAATATTTGTCGTCCTGATTGTCGTTTTGTTCTTTTCAGGTGGTTTTAATCTTGGCCTACAGCACCATCATCGTCCTGGGGGTTCTGGGTAATTCCCTCGTCATCTACGTCATCTACCGCTTCAAGACGCTTCGCACCGTCACCAACTTTTTCATCGCCAACCTGGCTGTCGGTACGTGACACAGCGAGTCTGATACAGAGCTGTTGTGTGTGTGTCTGTGTGTGTGTGTCCCTGCCCTCTGTAGGTCGTCTGCGATGATGACTCAAACATCTGTCAGCTGTTCCAGTCGATCTCTCTCTGATGTCTGGGCTTCCTGTCGTCTCGCACAGAGATGGAATCAAACGTTGATCGTTCACGTGTTTGACATTCACAGGAAGAGAAACCGAATCCTCAGATTAGAGACGCGCGGCCTCTCAGTTTCTACATACGTCTCCACATCATAGATGTTCGTATGTTATGTAACATGTACGCCTCAAAGGGCGGGAAACTCCGGTCTGATCAGGATCATCATGAAAGAGAGGGAGTCAGGACTAGAGCTAAAGTATAGACGGCTCAGATTTGGACCCTGGACCGCCACAGGTGGGTGGGGGTATCTAGATGTGGGTTTGCACCCCAACAGATTCAGATGCACGGACAGATAAGACTGTCCAGGAAGACCTCCGAGGACACTTACCCCCAATTCCCACCGCATCCTGAACGGCTACGAAAAGGTCGTATCCTCCGATCGTAGCTGATCGTAGACGAACAAGTGAAAGGTTTTTAGATGTCATTTCACCCCGATGACACCAAGGAAGGACACAATCTACTGCTTATATGTCTATGTGTCTGTCTTTAGAGAGACAAATCGTTATTGGGCGATTGATCGTGAATCCGCGGGTTCTTGTGAGTTCTCGCAATCCTGCTGTCCGTAATCCGCACTGAAATTCGCCTCACAAACGAATCTGGTAGGAATTGGTAAAAATCACCAGACCTCAGGCCAGTCCATTATGGACTACAGCGGGGTGCCACAGCTCAAGGAAGAACATTTATGATCATTTCTTCATGGAAATACAATCAGACCGAGACGCTAAGGCAGAAGAACTACCGCGTCTGTAAAATGATTAATATGATGATTATTACTTCAAGGAAATGATAAAGAAATGATCATAAATGTTCTTCCTTGAGCTGCGGCACCCCGCTGTAGTCCGTAATGGACTGGCCTGAGGTCTCTCTATAAACAAGCGTCTGCTGGAAGAGAGTAGGTGAGTTGTGTTTAGTCTCTTTGCTAAAGTTAAAAAGATGTTTGGTGTCTAGTACTATGTCTGTGACCCTATATGTACTAACCTCAGTAGAACATGGTGTAGTTCTGTTCAGTAACAGAACCTCATTGGAAAATTAGCTGATTTAACTTTACTGTGCTCTTGTTCACATATATTAACTCAACAGCACATAAATCCATACCTGTTAACAAAATCATGATTTTATTGATAATTCGGCTCAATAAAAACACCTTTACCTTTTCATTTTTACTACAGTAGAACGTTCATCTCTGGAGGGGGGGTCTAACTTGGTGTTTTGGTGTTTGACCCTGAATTAATTTCACGCCGGAATGTCGCTTTAATGTGGGACGGGGTTGAGCTTCTTGTGGAATAGTTATCGTCCGTTTATCGTTATCGAGGTGAACTGGGGCCCTAAGATTCGGTTTTTTCCAGGTCCACCTGTCAGACTCGGTTCAGATCTGTCATCCTGGACTCTGGTCTTCAGGAGACGTTCCTCTAGTGCGGCCGTTTTAAAGCGTGTGTGTGTGTGTGTGTGTGTGAGCGTCTGTTCTCCTGTAAATGAGCTGAATGCTGATGAAGCAGCATCTGTTCAGACTCTCGGTCCACCAACACTCTGGATTCTCTCCAGCCAACCTCAGCCAGGACCGGGCAGCAGTCAGACCTAATTATCCGCGGAGACCGTCAGGACTTTGCCGTTTGTGTTTTCCCTTCAGTTTGGAAGGATTAACCCGCCGAGCCTCACAGGAAGACGCCTCGACTTTGACTGGAAGGAAGCGGCAGCAGAGTCCACCTCTGAACCAATCATCTGTTTTCCACTAAATACCCGCTCAGACGCACCGAAACGTTTTTTTTTTTTACTCCTAATGAGACAAAGCGTGAGGACGCCAGATTCACAAATCCTCCGCCTGTGAAGCCACGCTCCACGCTCAGCTGTGAGGTTTCCAGCTGGTGCCAATTAATCTCTCTCTCTCTCTCTCTCTCTCTGTATCTTTGTCTTTACGGCGTAAAAGAGAAAACTAAAGAGTGAAGAGAGAGAGAGGGTTTAATGCACTGATATAAAGAGAGGAGCGAACCCGAGCGACTTCTGAACAAGTTTAATTTTATTATCCGAACATATGAAGGTATAAAGAGAGTCGAGTTGAATCATAACAAAAGAAAATAAAGCAGTTTAATTCACAACTTCATTACACAGGCCAGTGAATCAGAGCGTCAAACTGAGGGATTAATGAAGAGTGAAGTGTAATAACTGTGTGTGTGTGTGTGTGTGTGTGTGTGTGTGTATGTGTGTGTGTGTGTGTGTGTGTGTGTGTGTGTGTGTGTGTGTGTGTGTCAGATAATGAACAATAATGAAAATTAAAAACACGAGAGCAGACTTCACAGCGGAGGAGAAACAGTTTTTTAAAAAGGTAAAACAGAGAAGAGGACGACAGTGATGTGGTTTCTCTTCAGCACCACGGACAGCAACTGTTCCCGTCAACATCAGACGGTTTACAGCCGTAGAGATGGAGGAAGGCGTGTTTGATGGGTTTACTGGTGAAGCACTGGGAGATAACTGGGAGGAGACTTCCAGGGCTTACTTTAGTGCCTAACAACATCTCACAGTCAACAAGAAAACAGTCAACAAAAAACAGTCAACCAGAAAACAGTCAACCAGAAAACAGTCAACAAGAAAACAGTCAACAATAAAACAGTCAACAAAAAACAGTCAACAAAAAACAGTCAACAAGAAAACAGTCAACAAAAAACAGTCAACAAAAAACAGTCAACCAGAAAACAGTCAACAAGAAAACAGTAAACAAGAAAACAGTCAACAAAAAAACAGTCAACCAGAAAACAGTCAACAAAAAACAGTGAACCAGAAAACAGTCAACAAAAAACTGTCAACCAGAAAACAGTCAACAAGAAAACAGTCCACAATAAAACAGTCAACCAGAAAACAGTCCACAATAAAACAGTCAACAAAAAACAGTCAACAAAAAACAGTCAACAAGAAAACAGTCAACAAAAAACAGTCAACAAAAAACAGTCAACCAGAAAACAGTCAACAAGAAAACAGTCAAGAAAACAGTCAACAAAAAACAGTCAACCAGAAAACAGTCAACAAAAAACAGTCAACCAGAAAACAGTCAACAAAAAACAGTCAACAAGAAAACAGTCAACAAAAAACAGTCAACAAGAAAACAGTCAACAAGAAAACAGTCAACAATAAAACAGTCAACAAAAAACAGTCAACAAAAAACAGTCAACCAGAAAACAGTCAACAAGAAAACAGTCAACAAAAAACAGTCAACAAAAAACAGTCAACCAGAAAACAGTCAACAAGAAAACAGTCAACAAAAACAGTCAACAAGAAAACACTCAACAAAAAACACTCAACAAGAAAACAGTCAACAAAAAACAGTCAACAAGAAAACAGTTAACAAGAAAACAGTCAACAAGAAAACAGTCAACCAGAAAACAGTCAACATAAAACAGTCAACAAGAAAACAGTCAACAAAAAACAGTCAACAAGAAAACAGTTAACAAAAAACAGCCAACAAGAAAACAGTCGTTGTCGTTGTTGTTGTTGACTCATGTTTGACTCACTGTCGGTTCAGCGGCTCAGAGGGTTTCATGTCCTTTTAGTTATCGTCTGTTTACTCAGATCAGGTTTCTGTGGTTCAAACATCAGAGTCTGGAGAAGACGGACCCCCAATTTCCGCCGCATCCGGAGGGGCTATGAAAAGGTCGTGTCCTCCGATCGTAACCATTCAGGTTAACGTGTCGATTTCCACCGACTTCTCTCCGTTCCTCTGCGGATCACCGGACTCCTCAGCTGATCTCAAGAGTTCTATTTTTTCCGGACGCCGGAGCATGGCGGATAAATTCAGCACAGATTGACCCGTGCTGGAAGGAAGTCGGGCACAGACACAAAATAAAACATCCGGCTTCTTTTCAAAATGAAACACAACCTTTCACTTGTTCGGACGGAGACGAACAAGTGAAAGGTTTTTAGACGTCATTTCACCCCGATGACACCATGGATGAGGAGATGCTGATTCTAGAAGTCTAGAAGTAGATTTCCTCCTCTGGAAGGACACAATCTACTGCTTATATGTCTATGTGGCTGTCTTTATAGAGACAACTCGTTATCGCGCGGTTGAACATGAATCCACAGGTTCTTGTGAGTTCTCGCGATTCCTGCTGTCTATAATCCACTACGAAATCCGCCTCACAAATGGATCCGGTAGGAATTGGCGTACGGCAAAAATCGGTGCCTTTCTTCTGGGTGGAGTCTAGGATAGAAAATCACTTTTCGAGGTCCAAACAATCTAGAAAGTCTGGAACACAGAGACGTCTGATCTGATCTGAACCACCTCAGAACTGATTCCATGTAGAGCTTCTTCTTCTTCAAGTGACTTCAGATCAATTATTCATCGTCCTTCGATCCTCGAACGTTCTCGACTTCAAACTACAAAAATCACTAAAAGAGTAAAAAGAAAAAAGGAGAAGAAGAAGAGATGAGAAGACTGAAACAGGAGCTCTGAGTTCTGGGAGACAGCTCTGTATCTATACGAGGACTTTAAAACGTGCGTATTAATGAATCAGACTCTGATTGTTCAAATCTTATCCTGGTGTAAGTTTGTGTTTTTTTGATTTTAGACGGAGAATCACAGAGAGAATCAGAGGAACAGCGGTCTGTCCGCCCTGCAGGATTTATTTCTACAAAGTCAGAATAAAAGAGTCCGTCAGTGAAGTCGCTTTAATAAGACGACACTCCGATAATTGGACGAAGTATGGAAGTTTCTTTTCTCTTCTCGGCGTCCTGTGAAGTTCACAAACAACCTCGTAGAGCCGGGAGCTTTTTTTTTTCCTGTTTTGAAATGTGTCTGAAAATTGGAAGCAAAGTTAAACTCTCTGCCGGCTGTTATGAGTTAAAACACACACTACTACTACACACACAAGGACACACACTCCTAATCTGTGTCGACCTGAAAAAACATGATTAACTTGTTTTTGCCTTCAGAGTTTCTTTGAAATGACTCGGTCTGGAGAAAACACAGTATCTTAAATAGACGTTCACACCTGCTCTGAGGTAAAAAAACTTTAATTATAAAAGTTTTTATTCAAGAGAATCTCTGTCTCTGTCTCTGTCTCTGTCTCTGTTTCTGTCTCTGTCTCTGTTTCTGTCTCTGTCTCTGTTTCTGTCTCTGTCTCTGTTTCTGTTACTGTCTCTGTTTCTGTTACTGTCTCTGTCTCTGTCTCTGTTTCTGTCTCTGTCTCTGTTTCTGTCTCTGTTTCTGTCTCTGTCTCTGTCTCTGTTTCTGTTTCTGTTTCTGTTACTGTCTCTGTCTCTGTCTCTGTCTCTGTTTCTGTCTCTGTCTCTGTCTCTGTTTCTGTTTCTGTCTCTGTCTCTGTCTCTGTCACTGTCTCTGTCTCTGTCTCTGTCTCTGTCTCTGTCTCTGTTTCTGTTACTGTCTCTGTTTCTGTTTCTGTCTCTGTCTCTGTTTCTGTCTCTGTCTCTGTCTCTGTCTCTGTTTCTGTCTCTGTCTCTGTTTCTGTCTCTGTCTCTGTTTCTGTTTCTGTCTCTGTCTCTGTCTCTGTCTCTGTTTCTGTTACTGTCTCTGTCTCTGTCTCTGTCTCTGTTACTGTCTCTGTCTCTGTTTCTGTCTCTGTCTCTGTCTCTGTCTCTGTCTCTGTTTCTGTCTCTGTCTCTGTCTCTGTTTCTGTCTCTGTCTCTGTCTCTGTTTCTGTTTCTGTCTCTGTCTCTGTTTCTGTTTCTGTCTCTGTTCCTGCAGCTGAATTCCAGTTTGGTGGATGTCCGTCTTACAGAGAAGAATCAATAATTAGAATAATAAGGAGTTGCAGTTCACTTTGTTTGCCTTAGGTGTCGCTGTCTTGTTATCTCAGGAATAAAGGTAGCTCTCTCTCTCTAGGTCGTCCTCAGACGAGCCTTCCATCGTCTCTTCAGTCATCCTGATTCTCTGTCCATCTCTCCAGTTCGTTGGTCCTCTGAGCTCCTGCGTCCTTCTTGAGTATGTCCACGTATGTTAGTGTAGGACGTCCTCTTGACTGATGACCACTTGTTGGTTCCCACAGTCCCTGATGTCTTTGTCAGTGTCCTGCTCGTCTCCTTCTCTTACAGCGATCTTCTCACTCACCCTTGTATTCCCTCGGACAGCGTTCTGTTGGTCACATGTGCGTTGTCGCTGATGTTCAGCGCTGCACACAACATCCTGGTGGAGATCCTGGGGATTTCTCCAGGGTTGGCTTCAGGGTCTTGCTGACTGTTTTCTTGTTGACTGTTTTCTTGCTGACTGTTTTCTTGTTGACTGTTTTCATGTTGACTGTTTTCTTGTTGACTGTTTATGGTTGACTGTTTTTTTGCTGACTGTTTTCTTGTTGACTGTTTTCTTGTTGACTGTTTTGGTGTTGCCTGTTTTCTTGTTGCCTGTTTTCATGTTGACTGTTTCCATGTTGAGTGTTTTCTTGACTGTTTATGGTTTACTGTTTTTTGCTGTTTTCTTGTTGACTGTTCATGGTTGACTGTTTTCTTGTTGACTGTTTTTTTGCTGTTTCCTTGTTGACTGTTTTCTTGTTGACTGTTTTTTTGCTGTTTCCTTGTTGACCGTTTTCTTGCTGACTGTTTTCTTGTTGACTGTTTATGGTTGACTGTTTTCTTCCTGACAGTTTTCTTGTTGACTGTTTATTGTTGACCATTTTCTTGTTGACTGTTTTTTTTTGCTGACTGTTTTCTTGTTGACTGTTTTCTTGCTGACTGTTTACTTTTATTTTCAATCTTCTACAAACACCTGAAGTTGAACTAGAGGAGTTCAGAAACTGAAAACTCAGAGTTCGCCTCTCTCTCTCTCTCTCTTTCTCTCTCTCTCTCTCTTTTTTTTTTTTACGGTGACACTAAAAGTGAAAAAGTTCCTGCTGCCTGACGGAGAACAAAGGCGACTAAAAATAAAGAACAGAAGAAGAAGAAGAAAGAAAGCGACCTGCTTAGTTTGAGACAAACGCTTCTCTTTGTTGAAGTCAGGAGGGAGATACGGGACGGAGGGCGAACGAGGACGAAAGACAGAGAGAGAGAGAGAGAAACAGAAGTAAAAGAGAGGAAGAAAGGGAGGGGACCCAAGTGAACGCCATCATATCCATGAACCATATGTCCAAAAACAACTCTATCTCAGTTATACTCTGAACTCTCTCTGTCGTTGTTCTTCCTCTCCTCTCTTTCTGTCGTTTATTTTTACCCTCCGCTCTCTCGTGTGTCACATGTCGTCCGCACTGACCTGTCTGACACGTGTCTCTTTTATTATTTGTCACCGTGAGTCTGAGGACCTGACCCTTTTACCCTCTGGGGACCGTAGATGATCCACGACTCAGAGCGGTTTCCTGACGAAGACGAACATCATAGATGAATGTTTGAATGTTTCAGTCAGAGACGCTGATGAATTCGGGAACATCAGGAAGTCTGTTAGCTTTAGCGTTGCCACGATACTAACATTTCAAACTTGATGTTGATACCAAGGAAACTGAACCCATCGTCTATGTTGACCCGGCTTTTTAGCTCTTGTCCGGTCTACCTCCGTTTTAAGCGCCCGTTATTCCGCCAGAGTCTCCGGTATTTACTTTGTTTTCTGCATCTTCAAGAGAAGAAAACACGTTAGCGTAGTTTTGTAGTCAAGACCGCACCAACCGAGACCGAGACATTAACGAGACCGAGACAAGACAGAGTGAAAATGCCTTCGATTCCGACACCAAGACCCTCAAATACGGTCTCGGAACCAAGACCGATCTCGAGTACTCCAACACTACTGTATGGAAACCGTTAGCTTACCTGTCTTCATGCTTCCTCTCGAGGTGACGGTAAAAGTTTGAAGTCCTTCCAGCTGTTTCGAGTGTTTTTCGCTTGCATGTCGTTTTGAGTTTTGAAATAAACTCTTCGTGGTTTAGGAAACCAAACTTAATTATTGCCGAGTTGGCGGACATCTTTCATGACGAGTTCAGCGGGTGCCGCTAACTTGGCACTCCGAGACCGAGACAAGAGCGAGTGAAAATGCCTTCGATTCCGAGACGACACCAAGACCCTCAAAAAATGGTCTCGAGACCAAGACCGATCTTGAGTACTACAACACTACGTTAGCGAGCTAATGGCTAATAACAAAACAACCAACCGCAGCTACTGAGGATTGATGCTAGCCACCGGTGCGACTAACATCATTAATCAGTTGACTGCACTACGGTAAAGGACGAACGTAATCTTTACGAACCCGCCGGAATTCGTCATGGAGGCCAGGGTGCCGGTCCTTGTGGTGTTATGCCAAATTCATCGTACTACTCGACTTTGTGCCATACTGCAGCGGTAAATGTGGGTCAGAAAGCGGGATGAGGGGTTTGCAGACTGCCGGGCGCTGTCAGCCGGGTCGGCCGCCCTGCTTGCAGAGTGTGCGCTGCGGGCACACGCACTGTAGTATCGATACCACGGCAAATTTGTATCGTATCTGGATACAGCGTGTAAGTATCGCTACTTTTGACGACCCTGGTTAGCTTTATTTTCATGTTCTGGACTCTGATTGGTCCAGACTACCTGAGTAATGACAGCAGACCAAATAACGAACCTGAGCTCGCTGACAGGAAGGAGGAGATCTGTCTCTGTCAGTGACGATCCAACCATCTGAAGTGAGGAACACATGTCCGTTTCCACATGTGTGAGAAATGTCTGATCGTCATGAAGAAACGGTGAAACCTCTTCATGTTGGAGCGATAACGGCGGTCCGACAGCTAAATAAAGACAGAGAGAGAGAGAGAGAGAGGGAGAGAGAGAGAGAGAGAGAGAGAGAGAGAGAGAGAGAGAGGCGGCGGTCTAACAGATGTGAGGTCAAACAGACGGCGGCGGGATGGTTGGATTGTTTTCAGTTTTTCTTCCCTGGAGGAAACTGTGAAGCGGACGGACGATCAGACGAAGATAAAAAGTGAAATGAGCGAGTGAGCGCTCCCTCGCCACCGCCGCCTGGGCCCGCGGCGTCTCGTTTCTACACTCTCCTCATTATTTCTCCCCGTCTCTGTCGTCTGTTTCATCGGGAACAATGAGAGCTGTCTCATTACTGATGATGTTCGATGTTTGCAGACACTTAAACTCTCGTTTGGAGGGTGATCGATGTTCACGTCGCTGCACAATCATGTCCGCTCTCCTCCTCTCCTCCTCCTCCTCCGTCAGCTGATGGAGTTATTTGAGCCGCTCGTCTTTCTCTGCCGGTAAAGCAGCTATCAACAACTTTGGCGCACGGTTAACTCGATTTACCCTCGAGGATGATGGGACATCCACGTGAGACGGGGACCAGATTAGCCGCTCAGACCCTGATCTGGGTGATCTGAGCTCATGTGGACCTTTATGGAGAATCGATGCTGGACTGTAGGAGGAGGAGGAGGAGGAGGAGGAGGAGAACTTTGACTGTTATGGTGGTGGTCTGGGATTTCAACAGAGGAGAGTTTGAAAGTCTCCTCCTTTATTTTAAAAACAGTGTCTGTAAAAAACAAACAGAGGAACTTTTCCTCTGATATGAAGTCAGACAGTCACCAAACAAACCAAAAGTTCGGCCTCTGTATAAAAAGTCGGACTCCGCTCCACTCCAGGCGGCAGGCAGATCGAATACACGAGCTTACAGCGCCCGGTATTTACCGATATTTCTCGCGCGACTTGACGAGATCTCTCGGAATCTTTCCCCGTGAGACTGAGTGTCTCACGGCCAATTGGTGTAAATAAACGGTGACGTTATAGTCCGATGTTATCGAGTCCTAGCCTGGCCGGGCCATCCTGTTGCGTGAATCACTTGCCGTTCCTTCCCACAACAGTCTGGACTTCGGTCAATAGAGAGCGTGTATTAGCGATCAGAAAATAACCAGGCCAATCAGAGACCGTGTTTCCACTGTTACCCTGACAACAGGGAAAGGCAGCCCCTGATTGGTCCATGTGTAGACGGTGACGTCTAACATATGCTGCGCGACTTTTCAAAGCGCCGTTTATTCAGAACGCCGTTAATTCTGCAGTTGACTCTGCAAAGTCGGCAGAAATCGTTTATATCCGACGTCTTCTGAGGATATAAACGATTTCTGACGACTTTGCAAACTCTCTCGCTGGGTGATCTTCATGATGTTGCGTTTGTCTGAGTATCACGGGTCTCTGGGTAGCTTCAGCATTTCCATTGACATCTTTGAAGGCAATCCTTGTTTCCACATGGTGAACATGAACTCCAAATCCGCCATATTTTGGTTCTCTCTCCTGTTACTGTGCCGAGGACCCTGAGTCTTCACCAGGGAAGACTCACATGGTTGGATAACTCTGGGTCAGGGTTGTTCTGGTCCACACGAGGCCAAAGTTTCAGAGACTTTAAAACCCGATCGTCTCAGCATTTAGAGGAGTTTCTTTTTTACCTTATCATGACCTTCAGGGGAGCAGAATCCAGTCCAGGGATTATAAACTTCCTCGAACCATTACTGAGAGTTTGAGTCAAAGTGCTGATTTAGTGAAACTTCGGATAGAGGAGGTGATTGATGGAACGTTAATGTCACTTCCACACGTGTGTGTGACGGCGCTGTAGTGGAGTTAAAGGAGAAGAGCTGACTGTGTGAGATCGATGTCTCGTTGAAGACGCTCTGATTCAGAAAACTCCGTCATAACGTCATCCGAGTCCCCGTCCTGATTCGGAGTTCATTCCTCTGTTTTCTGTTTGTTTTCTCCTTCGCCGCTCTGACCCCCTCTCCCTCTCTCTCTCCCCCCCCTCTCTCTCTCTCTCTCTCTCTCTCTCTCTCTCTCTCTCTCTCTCTCTCTCTTCTCTTTTCTCTCTGCCCTGAAGCGTCGTCTCAGAAATCTAAACTCCGTGTTCGAGGACCCAGAGGAGCGCCGAGCTCAGATCACAGACCCTGAACAGACTTTAGTTTTGGGCTAACACGGTTTGGCAGGATGCCCTTATCCCAGATTTCATATCCCACAATGCTCTGGTTCAGGGAGGTCATGGACTCTCCTGCTTTAGTCCCCGCCGGGCTCTCCTGTACCAGACAGACTGTCAGGTCTCATCCGAGGTCTAATGGATGACCTGATCGGTGCAGCTGAACCTGCTGACCGGCGTTCCCTCACACCTCCTCCAAAAGCTGATTGATCACAGACGGCGGGGCGTCCAATCACAGCGGGGCGTCCAATCGCATCTGTCTTCACTCCGATTGAACAAGATGGATGAAGACAGAGACTGTGAAGCGGTCAATAATAGAGCTGTCCGTCACATCACACCCTTTAACCAATCACAGCTCGAGGCGGTCCATTCTGAACCCGCCCCCTCCTCACTGAGACCGTCTACGCCTCCTCCTGATTGTGAGTTCAGGTTCAGTTCACCTCGTTAGCTGCTTCAGGTGGTGAAAAAGATTTGAGGTATTCCCCGACTTTGTGAGAACATGTACTCGACATAATTTACAGTCCACATTACTCTGCTTCATGTCCGACCTCAAAACACCAAAATACCTCCACACCACCGACGTGGAAGAAAACGACATCCTTCGCGAGGCCAAGACCAACTTGTGAAACTAATGTTGCCAACCAAACGTCGCGCTGGCAGACCTTGGAACGGCGGACGAGCAACCATCCCAACTGTCAAAAACCAAGTCCTGTCAGCGGGCCTCACCACCGCCAAACTCGAAGTCCTACGTCACCACCGACGTTTTCCTAACGCCAGTGTTGTGGTTGACATTGATGTGGTCATCTGTTGAGCCTTCATGGTCATTTCTGTCGGGGGTAGCACTCATTTTCTTTGTTTCTCACCAACAGTGCTGTCGGCTCCACCTGTTAAAGTGCTATGGTTGGGTGTAGCTGCTGTGTGCTATGATGTTGTTTGTTACCTGGTTTATTGACCATGTTTTATGTTGATATTGAGGGAAATTCATCTTCGGTAATATCGTTATCATTTATCGCCCAGATTTAACCCTCTAACCTTTGTTGTTTAGCTTTTCATGAATCCTGTTTTATCTTGAGTGTTTAGAGTCAGATCTCCTCAGGTTGTTTTTATGATGTCAGTGGAAAATGTCACAGGAACACAGGTGGGTAATATCAAACGGTTTCACAGGTACAAGATATCAGGAGGTGTGAATCTGTTTTGTCAGGAGCAGGTGTGAGACTGACCCCTGGGGTGGGGTTGTGGTCTCTGTGGGTCAGGGGTCGGTCTCTCTGCGGTTTCCTCCCATCACACCGTGTTAGTTTACACATAATGTGCATAAATAATCAATAATGTTCTTATCAGAGTGTCTGAATCTGAACTGACAGGATCGCTCCGTTCGAACGTCATCTCTGTGTTTTTTAATAACTCTGTCCTGACTGAACTCTCGCTCTCTCTGTGTTCCCGCCTCCAGCCGACCTGCTGGTCAACACGCTGTGCCTCCCCTTCACCCTCGTCTACACGCTGCAGGGAGAGTGGAAGTTTGGCAGCACGCTCTGCTTCCTGCTGCCCTACGCCCAGGGACTGGCTGTTCACGTCTCCACGGTGACACTCAACGTCATCGCCCTGGACCGCCACAGGTGGGTGGGGCTTACGATCATTCCCAGGGTGATGTTCATGAATCACAGTCGATTAAGTCACTCATCCTAAACAGAGTTGGAACTGCACTTAGTTTGTGTGTAAAGATACTGAGACAGGGAGTTCTGCTTTTGTTCGCACAAGGAGGGAAGTAGCTGTTCGCCAGGAAGACGAATAACAGATAGATGACGACAGGTGGGGGGTATCTAGATTACCCCAACAGACTCTACATCAGATACACTAACAGATAACTGTCAGAAGACTGTCCAGGAAGACCTCCAAGGACACTTACCCCCAATCCTAACTGCATCCGGAACGACTACGAAAAGGCCGTATCCTCCGATCGCAGCTGATCGTTTCCATCCAAGTTAACGTGTCAATTTACACCGACTTCTTTCCGTTCCTCTGCGGTTCAGCAGACTCCGCAGCCGATTGCAAGGGTTCTATTTTTTCCGGACGCCAGATAAATTCAGCAGTCGGGCACAGACGCAAAATAAAACATCCGGCTTCTTTTCAAAATCGTAGACGAACAAGTGAAAGGTTTTAAGACATCATTGAGGAGATGCTGATTCTAGAAGTCTAGAAGTAGATTTCCTCCTCTGGAAGGTCACAATCTACTGCTTATATGTCTATGTGTCTGTCTTTATAGAGGCAACTCGTTATCGCGCGAGTTCTTGTGAGTTCTTGCGATTACCGCCGTCCATAAACCACTGCGAAATTCGCCTCACAAACGGATCTGATAGGAATTGGCGGATGGCAAAAATTGCCAGAGCCGTTCCGGACCTCAGGCCAGTCCATTTTGGACTACAGCGGGGTGCCGCAGCTTAAGGAAGAACATTTATGATCATTTCTTCATGGAAATACAAAAAACGGATCTGGTAGGAATTGGCGGACGGTGAAAATCGCCACCGCACCGTAGTGGAGAACAAAGCGGAGAAACTCACTTGAAGTTGAAGTAGACTCCATTCTTGTCTTCTCACTTCCACCCGGGACGCCTTAGGATAGTAAGGGAAGGTCCCGCCCTCCTTCGCCTCTGATTGGCTATAAGTGCTGATTGTTTGATTTGAGCATGTGATAATGTTTCCAGCTTTTCTAGCCAATCAGAGGCGAAGGAGGCGGGACTTTCCCCGGGAAAAGTCTTTTCGGTGCGTCTTATTCCCCCCAGAAAGTCGCAAAATCGCATCGGGTTTGATGTGTGCAAAATTCGCCTCCAAATATACCGCGTCAGCCCCGGTGTGTAAGGACCTTAAACCATGAGGAGGTTCTTTCTGGTCGGCTTATTTCCTGGCGTGTCTGTTTCTGCGTTTCTGCTCGCTCTTCGCTGACATCCTCCGTTGTTAAAATATTCGAGAATATTCCGACCTCTGAGCTTCTCTCTGGAAAAGAGGATTAAAACAACGAGGAGCGTTCAGACGGCGTCCGCTCTGACCCTTAAACCTCCACTTTTGTGAGCGCCGCTTACTTTGAGGTTGGCGTGTAGGTGTTAGGAGAACATTTTTACATTAACGCAGACCTGCCTGACCCCGAGGACCGGATTTTAAAAACAGCTTTTAGACCTTTGAGTCACTTCGCCTTGAGCAGCGATTCGACATTAAAAATCAACGGCGTGAAAAAAGAGAAGTTGTGTGGATTGAACAAACTCTGAACATTTCATCTGTAATCATAATTAGTCCTCGGAGACGGCTCTGAAGCTCGCACTGCTATCCTCCACCTGTCCAGGGACTGAAACCAGGAACAAAGACGACTCCTCTCGTATAATTTACTTCACTGTTCAGAATCAGCGTGTGGAAAAAGATCGAGTCTGTCTGCAGAAACTGATGAAGCACAAACATCGGGCGGTCGAGAGAACGTAGACAATGATCAGTCTAGATGTCACAGAATGATGAGGATCAGAATCTCATTCTCAGGGTTACTATTGCTGGTCCTCTCAGATCTCGTCAAGTCAAACCCTGGACCCAGATGTGTGAAGTGGAGTGACACTGATGTGATGACAGCGCGCGCGTGTGTGTGTGTGTGTGTGTGTGTGTGTGTGTGTGTGTGTGTGTGTTTCAGGTGTATCGTGTACCACCTGGAGACCAGGATGCGTAAAGACGTGTGTTTCGGCGTGATTGCGCTGACCTGGGTGTTAAGTGCTGTACTCGCCAGCCCTCTGGCTATCTTCAGAGAATACGGCTCCTTCACTCTAGAGCCCGGACACACTATCCAGGTACACACACACACACACACACCTGTGCCCCCCCACCTCCCTCAGAGCCTCTTTGATCTCTCTGCTCCCTCCTTCATTGCTGCCCCTCTCATCCTCGACTGTCCCTCCTCCTCCTCCTCTTCATCCCTTTCATCTCTCCGTCTTTACATCATCATGTCTTCGCTCTCCGCAGTCCTCCTCCTCCTCCTTCCTCTTCTTTTCTCTTTAATCCCTTCACTCTTCTGCTTCGACGCACTGTCATTATGTTTCCTCTTTTCTTAGTCTATAAGCTGGGTTTATAAACTTCTACTGTAGTTAAAATGAAAAGGTAAAGGTGTTTTTATTGAGCCGAATTATCAATAAAATCATGATTTTGTTAACAGGTATAGATTTATGTGCTGTTGAGTTAATATATTTGAACAAGAGTGCAGTAAAGTTAAATCAACGAATTTTCCAATGAGATTCTGTTACTAAACTGAACTACACCATGTTCTACTCTGGTTAGTACATACAGGGTCCCAGCCATAGTACTAGACACCAAACATCTTTTTAACTTTGACTCATTTCTTTAGCAAAGAGACTAAACACAACTCACCTACTCTCTTCCAGCAGCCTCTTGTTTGTAGTGAGACCTCAGGCCAGTCTATTAGAGACTACAGCGGGGTGACGCAGCTCAAGGAAGAACATTTATGATCATTTCTTTATCATTTCCATGAAGTAATAATCATAAATGTTCTTCCTTGAGCTGCGTCACCCCGCTGTAGTCCATAATGGACTGGCCTGAGGTCTCTATAAACAAGCGGCTGCTGGAAGAGAGTAGGTGAGTTGTGTTTAGTTCATCTTTTAAAGAAATGAGTCAAAGTTAAAAAGATGTTTGGTGTCTAGTACTATGGCTGGGACCCTATATGTACTAACCTCAGTAGGACATGGAGTAGTTCAGTTTAGTAACAGAACCTCATTGGAAAATTAGCTGATTTAACTTTACTGTGCTCTTGTTCAAATATATTAACTCGACAGCACATATATCCATACCTGTTAACAAAATCATGATTTTATTGATAATTCGGCTAAATAACTCTTATTAGTCGCTGCGATGTCAACACGGTAGTGCTCGCTAGCAGAGCTGACGTTTACTGCCGCTATTCACTAAAAATCCGACATGGAGAATCCTATTTGAAGCTAGCGTAGGATCTTCTGCCAGCCGGTTTCTTGCTCTTCCAGAGGGGGGGTGTCGTGGCTCCGTTTTTTTCAACTGCTTCTTAGATCGTCAACCATGCCTTTAAGGCCTAACCTTTATAAACAGTAAAGTAGGAGGAGCTTATTCGCTGATCTTTAACCACGTAGACTCTTGTGTGTACTTGTGTACTTCCAGGTGTGTACGGAGAAGTGGCCCGGGAAGAACACGGACGGCACCATCTACAGCATCTCCATCCTGATCCTGCAGTACTTCTTACCTCTCTCCATCATCTCCTTCGCCTACGCTCGCATCTGGTCAAAACTGCGCGGCCACGTCAGCCCGGCAGAGAACGGCGGCAGCAGCAGCGCCGGCTCTGAGCGCCACAGGCGAAGGCGTAAGACCACCAAGATGCTGGTGACCATGGTGGTGGTGTTCGCCGTCAGCTGGTTGCCCTTCCACGCCTTCCAGTTGGCCACGGACATCGACAGTTCGGTGCTGGACATGCGTGACTTTCGCCTCCTCTACACCATCTTCCACGTCATCGCCATGTGCTCCACCTTCGCCAACCCGCTGCTGTACGGGTGGATGAACCGCAACTACCGCGCCGCCTTCCTCGCCGTTTTTAAGTGTCATAAAGGAGGGGAGAGAGGGAGGAGCAGCAGACTGGACAGTATCCACCCGGTCGGAAGTCGAGGAGGAAAAGGAAGAGGGGGCGGGAGGGCAAAGAAGATCGTGCTGGAAACACAGGACGTGGTTTCCACCCGACTGAACGCCACTGACGTGTGAGAGCCAGGGGGCGGGGCTTAAAAAGAGGACCAATTACAGGAAACTGATAGGATGAGGAAAGAGGATGATTGTCAGGAGAGCTTTAGTTTCTCGGAGGACAATGAACGACGAGGACGAGACGGTGGAAACGAGATCCCTCAGGACAGGAGATGAAGACGTGATAACCGAGACGACCAATCAAGGCCGAGGAGGAGGGGATTAAGGAGGGGGGCGGGGTTCAGAGTGACTCAAACCCTCCTGAACCCGTCCGGGTGGAGATCTGTGGTGGACCTCAGAACTCTGAGAACTCCTTTGAGGGTCTTTGACTTTTCGATCGGAGACTTTCCCTCAGAACCGATGACCTCGGACTTTGGCGACATAGGGCTTTAACTCCATCCTCACTCACATGTGAAGCATTTAGCTCGGACAATAAACACAGAGTGGCTTACACACACACACACACTTACACACACACACTTACACACAGGGGAGGGGGGGCAGGTTTGGCAGAAGAGGAGCTGATGTTCTGCATGTTCCCGGAAACCTGGAGCGAGGAGAAAGAAAAACCCGAAAATCCAGGAGGGACGGCGATGCATGATGCAAGCTTAGTGAAATCTCTAACGTTTGTGATGTGATGAAAATGTGTGTTTTTATGTGGGTTATAATCCCGAAACAGACGAGATGGAGGTGGACAAATGTGAGACAAAGAGGGGAGGAGGGGGGAGGAAGGATGATTGAGGTTTAAAGACGGCGAGGACTGAAGGACGGCAGCAGAGCGGGATCAGTGGGAGGAAACAGGCGCTGAAAAACGGACTAGATGGTAGATAATCGTCTGATCCTTCAGTTTGTCTTTAAAACCGACTCTCGATTGACTACTTTGAATATTTGATACTCGACTTTGATTCATGAGGATTTATTGTAATTCAGCAGGACTGGAGGTGTTGTCTTTAACAGGACTGATGCCTACCCACGATGCAACACACCCACAGTTGACAGTTCGCTCCGAGTTTGTAGAGAGAACTACTTTGACTCCAATCGGATATTTATTGATTCATTATCTTATAGTAGGATGACCACACGCCCTCTTTGACCCGGACACGTCTTCATGCCTCAGTGTTGGCGCTGCTTACACGCCAACAGCATTTAGCACCGCCCTGGTTGGACTGACTTTGACTATTGCCGGGAGTCTGGGTTTACTGCCCCCTGGAGTCATGTCTCTGTTAGGTATAGATGCTTAGATACCTCGATGTTACGGTGCAGTTGACCACATTGCAGAGGGTAACCCCAAATTTCCACCTAATCCGGAATGTCTACTGAAAGGCCGTATCCATAGCTGGCTTCTTTCTGTTCCGCTGCGGGACAGACAAGAGTTTGTCTCTGTTGTCCCCGTTAAATATCATCTTTCTGACAACAGTCAATAACCGCATCCAGCAGCTTCAGTGACCGTGGCGCTCTGGTCTCAAACTGAGCCCTCTGGTCCCGGGTCTTTGTTCCGGGGCATGCCAAAAAAAATTCCACTCAGATTAATCCGTGCTGGATGCTGATTCTAGAAGTCTAGAAGTAGATTTCCTCCTCTGGAAGGACACAATCCACTGCTTATATGTCTATGTGTCTGTTGTTGTAGCGGTAACTGGTTATCGCGCAATTGAACGTAAATCCGTGGATTCCTGCTGTTTGAAATCCGCTACGAAATCCGCCTCACAAACGGATCTGGTAGGAATTGGCTGACAGCGAAAATCGCCACCATTCAGTAGCCGTTCTGGATGCGTTGGAACTAGGACTATCCTGGCATGTGGACTCTACGATCTTTCCTTCAGACACCACAAAAGTTCTCCATCAGTTCCACTTGATCCTGAAAGTTTTTCTCAAACAGACGATCGTGGCGTTCGCGCGTCTTTAAATTAAATTGACTGGTCAATCTGCCGTAATTAGAGGCTCAGTAAAGACTGAGTCATGACCTACAAATATGAGCGGATCCATTTAAAGGCTTTACATACAGAGACATATGAAGGAGCGGATCAGACACAGGTGTGGAGGGGATCAAACCGTCTTTATTTTTGGACTCAGACTCCTCCATCGCTCTGAGCTGCGTCACTGCCTCGCCCGACCCACAATCCCCCAAATCCTCTCTGTTCCCTCCCACTGAACCGCACCAGCTGTTCCTCTCTGTCCTGGTTTGAGCTCCTCGTCTGTTGCCTCTCCTGAAAATTGCATGCCTCAAAAGAGCAGAGGAGTGTTTCTCTGTTTGATTGAAACTCTGAAGATGTCTGTTTGATTCAGTTTGACCACTGCTCCTGTTTTATTTCTGCAGGAATCAATCAAACTTTATTGATTATCGACAGGTGAGGTTCAGAGAGATCCTCACCTGTCTCTGGAGTTCATCAGGATGAGACGTTGACTCTTGAGTTCCGATGTCTGGTCTTTGTTTGGTTATTCGAACCCTCTTTGGGTCCTGATGTTTAACTCCAAGACCTCCAGGCTTTAATTTTCAGGTTAGGACGAATAATTGATTATCGATCGATGGTTTGAGTCATTTTCACAGAGAGTTTATTACATTTGATTTCACAAGTCTGACCACTTTTATGTAAACGTGGTGTAATCGTCCTTTAAACATCCGAATCTTCGTACTCTGCAGTGGAGTTGACGAAAACTTGGTGTTAAGATCGGACTGTCTCACTTTCACTGGATTTTCACGAGGGGTGTCCCGATACCGATATTGTAGCCTTTGGCACTAATGGTTTTTCGGAATTTAACGAAAAATACTGCCAAGTGGCCGACATCACCTTAGTACACACTGTTGTTGTGATTACGTGGATCCGGGCGCTGCTAGATAGAGGTTCTGGAGCGGAATCTGGAATGGACTGCTTGTATTGGAGTGCCGATATCGGAGATTTAAAATGCAGGCCGATATAATCCGATATTGTTAATTTGGCCGATTTCAGACCGATATCGGATATCAATATCGGATCAGGACATCCCTAATTTTCACCACTGAACCGCACCAGTATCGGTACAAACGGTCAATATCGGTCCAAAGGTGCATGGTAAGACTTGCACTCAGCTCCAACGTCTTTTTTGGAATTTAACGAAAAATACTGCCACGTGGCCGACATCACCTTAGTACACACTGTTGTTGTGATTTCGTGGACTCTGCATGCTGGATCTTGGCGCTGCTAGATAGAGGTTCTGGAGCGGAATCTGGAATGGACTGCTTGTACTGGCGTGCCGAAATCGGAGATTTTAAATGCAGGCTGATATAATCCGATATTTTCCAGACTGATATCGGATATCAATATCGGATCAGGACATCCCTAATTTTCACCATAGCACTGTTTTTTTTAGGTATAAGTATCTCTCTTGTAAGTTTCGAGTCCTTTGGTCAAAAGTCGTTAAAGTCACAGTCTCAGAAAAGTTCGTGATTTTAGCCGATGATATGTTGCTGATTTTGAACTCGTCAAAAGTTCATCCTGCGTTGACTCAGGAACCCAAACAGGAACGGGTTTAAAACCTCGGAAAGTCCAGCGTTCTGGTCGAAGTTATTCCTGATTTTCCGCTCTGCGCTCAACACCTCATCCTCTTTGAAACTCGGTCTCGGCTAGCTCCGAAGTTTACGAGTTTGTGGAAGCGTCACCTGTAAATGCCTCTCATGTCTGTTTTTATCGTCCTGGACTGAACGGGCGTTTGGCTCCTCATCACTGAAGGTGTGTTTTTTGACGGACACTGATATGCTGCTCTACCTTTATTCAACATGAATGTAAACTGCTTTGTAATATCGCTGTAATGTTGTTTATCATATGATTTTGATGTAAATATTGACGGTGTGAAAGACTGTAACCCAGCACAACATGTTGGCCTTTACATGTGTCCAACTACAGATGTACTGTTCTCAAGCACAGATGTCTCACGGCTCTTTTTTCATGTGTGGGTCCTGGATGGACCAGATTTCAGCAGGTGGTTTATCTATTTGGTCTTTATTATATCCTAACATCATAAATCACATCATCCATTAACTCCCATTAACTCTCAGGAGGATGCGTGAGTAGGCGTCCTATTAAAGACTAATTGGATACACGCGTACGCAGACGACTACCTCATTTATATTGATGTTCAGACCAAATATCAAAGGATTCCCTTCGCACGTTCAAAAGTTGTAGCTGGGATAATTAAGCTTACTTTAAATCAAAATCTGAGAGCAGAACTTTTAATTTTTTAGCATCTTTTTCATCTTTTAAAGCTCAAGCAGGATTGACGGATGAAAAGGCGACAGCTTGCTGGAGTTGGGGAAGCTTCTATGATTATTCAGCATCTCCACACGAGTCTGTTCAGCCGCGACACGTCACTGCACCGAATCTCCGACCAGAAATGAGTCACTGTTTTAGCTCCAGATTGTCTAATCTTTCCCTGAGGACGATGATCTCACCAAACACAGAAAAGTCCCACTTCCTACGGTCCACTTGTGTGTCTTGCACCTGGTGTCCTGTTTCTGTTTCTAATTATTTATTTTTAAAAATTGGAACAGTACATATTGACGAACATTTACGTGTAAATATGTGTGATTATAGCCAAATGGCTCATTTCCATCTCCAGTCCTATTGGCAGGTTGATGTTACATGTGACATAAAAGCAATAATGTTAAAAAGTACCAACAACATGACTAAAGGTTCTTACATACGGGGCCGACACAGATATAGAACACGAAAGTACGAAATATCCGGAGGCGAATTTTGACGCGCCTGACTAAACACATCGAGCCCGATGCGATTGAGGACTTTCCGGGGGGGCAAGATTCTTTGTCAGGTGCTTTGTTCATTTGTTGAGTACATAAATAACCCCTCAAAAATGACACCTATCAATGATTCAACCTGCTCTCTTGCGCCATCAATAGGCGAAACTTTTAAAGTAGCATTAATGTAATCCTCTCAAATTTACTGACATTAATGATCACAAGAGGATGAACCCTACTGGTTTTGGTGATGATATGACCTTTCCTGTAGCGCCACCATCAAGTTGAACTTTCAGTGTTAAGGTCCTTAAGCACCGGGAACGACGCAAATATATACGACGTGAAATTACGAAATATTCGGTGGCGAATTTTGACGCGGCATTTCTTCATGGAAATACAATCAGACCGAGACGCAAAATGATTAATATGGTGATTATTACTTAAAGGAAATGATAAAGAAATTATCATAAATGTTCTTCCTTGAGCTGCGGCACCCCGCTGTAGTCCATAATGGACTGTCCTGAGGTCTCTCTACAAACAAGCGTCTGCTGGAAGAGAGTAGGTGAGTTGTGTTTAGTCTCTTTGCTAAAGAAATGAGTCAAAGTTAAAAATATGTTTGGTGTCTAGTTCTATGTCTGTGACCCTATATGTCCTGTTGATGAAGTTAGGTGCTGTTCTGAGCATTATTTGTGGCTATAGAGTGGCGTTTTGCTTGAGGGCGTGGCTCTCTGTATTTCTATCCTGCGGTCGTTACTAAAGTTGGTATAACTAGAGAAGCAAGCGGTCGGCAACATTCATCTCTGGAGGGGGGGTCTAACTCTTGTTATGGTGTGTTTGACCCTAAATGAATTTTGCGCCAGAATATCCCTTTATCTCCTCAGATTTTCAGACCTTTGACCTTCAGCTCCTGGATTCCTCCTGCTCTCATGCCGACCACCAAAGTTTCTCTCCTCTCTCTAAAGTCTGGATCTTTCGTCTCTTTGGGAGTAAAATTAGACCGTAGAGCTAAACTCGTCTGACCTCCTTGCTTCTGTTCTGGTTCTAAGCTGATCCAGATCTCCTGCGGTAAATCCACTTCCTGTTGGTAAGATCTCTCTGGACTGTCCCTCTTATTCTACGGCGTGTTCTTGGATTTGATGACCACCCTGTTTGTCTTTCTAACATCTGCAGGTGTCTCAGGTCTCGTCTCTCTAATCCAGTAAATACAGGTGTGTGTGTGTCCATGTACAGATGGGGTATTTGACGCCTCCTCCACAGGGTAATGGTCCGCTCCTGGATCCTTTTATTTCTTTCCTCTAAAATAAAGATTTTCTGTTGGAGCCTCAGCCTGTAATCCATGCCTGCTGACCGCTAAATCATTACGTTTAAGGATCCATGGGGGGGTCAGAGCCATTGACTCCGTCCTGGAGTACCGACTATTATCCCATCAAGCAGGAATACAGGGCCTGTAATAAGCTCTGTCTCTCTCTTCTATGAGGCCCTCTCTTGTTATTCTCTCCATCTCATCCTCTCCGCTCCCCGAGGTTTCCACGATCGATAATCCTCTCTGTCTTTGTCGTTGTTTGATTCGTCTCTGTTGTCCCCGTTAAATATCATCTTTCTGACAACAGTCAATAACCGCATCCAGCAGCTTCAGTGACCGTGGCGCTCTGGTCTCAAACTGAGCCCTCTGGTCCCGGGTCTTTGACTTTTGATTGAGCTCTGAGGGACCGACCCCTAAGTCCGACCAGCATGGGGTTTAAAACGTGGGTTTGATTATAAGTGGGTGAGATTTCTCTGCTCTTATCTAAATGTCTCCAGGTTCTACACGGATTCATGCCGATCACTTTGACTCTTGTCTCTTATTTACGATGGTAGGACTGATTGTCTCGTTTTGTATTTCTGTGCTTTTTCTCCAGAATAAAATCCTAAAGTCTGGCCTACATCGAGGTTTATAACCGACACATGAACTAAATGATCATAGAAACGAAATGAAATGATCATAATTGTTCTTCCTTGAGCTGCGGCACCCCGCTGTAGTCCGTAATGGACTGGCCTGAGGTCTCACTACAAACAAGCGTCTGCTGGAAGAGAGTAGGTGAGTTGTGTTTAGTCTCTTTGCTAAAGAAATGAGTCAAAGTTAAAAAGATGTTTGGTGTCTAGTACTATGTCTGTGACCCTATATGTACTAACCTCAGTAGATCATGCTGTAGTTCCATTTAGTAACAGAACCTCATTGGAAAATTAGCTGATTTAACTTTACTGTGCTCTTGTTCACATATATTAACTCGACAGCACATAAATTCATACCTGTTAACAAAATCATGATTTTATTGATAATTCAGCTCAATAAAAACACCTTTACCTTTTTATTTTACTACAGTAGAAGTTTATTGGCCCACATTATAGACTACAGAGGTGGAGAAATGAGTGGGGTCAAACTTGGCGTTACGGTGTGTTTGATCCTAATTTAATTTTACGCCGGAATATCCCTTTAAATCAGAGGAGTGTAAGATAAAGTCTGTTTTCAGATCCCAAAGTCCACAGACTATGAAGACCTGATCAAAATACTCTCAAAGGGGGTAGACTAAACTCAGATTACAGACCCTACAGCCAGATCTGGACCAGTGCAAGGCAATGGCAGTTCAAGCGGACTACTGCGCTCATCCTGGTTCACAGGTGTCCAGGTCCAGGAGATGTTCAGGTATGTGGTTTCTCCTCATTCTTCTTGGCTTGTTCTTAGAGGACCGTCTTCTTACCCCCAACTTCCACCTTCATCCTGATCGTCTCCTAAAAGGTCATATCCTCCGATCGTAGCTGATCGTAAACATTCCAGTTAACGTGTCAATTTACACCGACTTCTTTCCATTCCTCTGCCGGACTCCTCGAAGAGTTCTATTTTTTCTGGACGCCGGAGCATGGCGGATAAATTCAGAACAAGTGAAAGGTTTTTAGACGTCATTTCACCCCGATGACACCATGGATGAGGAGATGCTGATTCTAGAAGTCTAGAAGTAGATTTCCTCCTCTGGAAGGACACAATCTACTTATTATATGTCTATGTATCTTTATAGAGACAACTTGTTATCGTGCGATTGAACATGAGTCCGCAGGTTCTTGTGAGTTCTCGCGATTCCTGCTCTCCGTAATCCGCCTCGAAATTCGCATCACAAACGGATCTGGTAGGAATTGGCGGACGGCAAAAATCACCGCTGTTCTAGATGCGTTGGAAGTCTTGACTTAGTCTGAAGATGTTCTGGCTTTCTTAGACTTTACCAGTTCAGACTTCTGTTTATCTTCAAACCTGTTTTTTTTCTGTGTTCGTCAGGTCTGAATAAAACGACGACGTGACCTTCAACAGAAGATTCCTCCTCCTCCTCCTTTTTTACCGTGTGAGCTCCCGTCTTTAGGGTCGAACCCTGCCGGGATCCTGCTTTGTTGTCAAGAGGAGAAACCTTGAGAGAGAAATACTCAGAAATTCAACAAAGAGCAGATAATAGGTTCAGCACGGAGCTCAGATTTCCATCCTTGAAACTTTTGTGACACATAACGGCGTGTTCTTTCAGCAGAGGTGATTAAACCTGATGGATCGACCGGCGGCGAGCAATGTGTACGCACAACACAACAATGTAGGAGTAAACAAAGCTGTGAAAACACACACACACAAAGAGATTCATCAGAAACACGAACAAAGACGTGAAGAAAGGATCTTTACAACCACAGAACAAGAAAAAAAAAACAGCTCTTCTTCCACGAGTGTTTTAAAACCGCTTCAGGTTACAGATGGAAACCTTAAACCCTCCATAGGTTCCTCTACGGTTCCTCTTTCTTCGTCGGTTTCCTCTCTCCCTGTGAAGTCTGTATTTACTGAAGGTGTCACATGTTTCACGGGTTGAAAAGCCCCCGGAGGTAAAAGTGAGATACGGCGCCGTCTAAATAAAACTAACATGACGTTTTACATCACAGCGCCGACAAACATTTGAGGACTTCCTGCTGCTAAGGAGCGTCTGCTGTCTTTGTTTCCTGACGTCTGTTTCCAACGTGATTTAACGAGGACTCGTCTCTAACGAACATGAAGGAGGACACCCTGTCAGGTCAAAGTGGGGCGGGTTGAAGATCTGTCACTCACTGAAAACTGTTTTTTCAACTCGTCTGCTGCTTCGTACCTCAGAGTATTTTTGACGAAAGATTTCAGATCAGGACGTTCAAGAACATGATCCCCCAAAACACAAAGATGAGTTCAGTTAGTCGGGCTGTCGAAGCTGGTTCTCGGTGTTTGGGACTGTGACATTCTGGTTCTTGTTGTTCCCGGTAACATTTCGTCGTGTAAATCTCTCCTTTCCTGAACCTGTCTCCACTCTAACCCTTCGATGACCTTAACTCTTTCTAGACCCCTCAGAGTAGAAAACCTGAACTCTATAAAATCGGTTCCTGATGTCGCCATCATTCACCCTCCAAACGTCAGATGTCGAAGGGACGTGCAGATCAAGTCCGTATTGGGTCGGTCCGTCAAAGACCGCATCTGTCAGTGCGACGTGCAAAATAGGTTAGAAATTTCGACGTCCAAATTGGACCTTTTTTAGACGTGGCTCTGACGTTTAGAATTCGGACGTCATCTGAAGACCAAATCGGCACAACGTGCAAAATGGATCCAAGATTTAGACGTCATTTTTGGACCTCTTTTAGTCGTGAAATGACATTAGGTCATTACGACGTCGCATTGCGCAGTGGGTACAGATCTGAGGAAGACTTTATTTTGATCCGCCTGTCGATCTCCCGCTCCATCCTACCATCACTCGTGAACAAGATCCAGAGATACTTGAACTCCTCCACTTGAGGCTGGACCGTCCCTCCGACCTGGAGAAGGTGATCTACCTTTTTCCGACTGAGGACCATGGCCTCAGACTTGGAGGTGTTGATTCGCATCTGGCCGCGAGGTCACTGCTTGACGAAGCTAGAAGTACCACATCATCCGCAGAGAGCAGCGACGCGATCCTCTGCCTGCCGAACTGGACACCCTCCACCCCCCTAGAAATTCTGTCCATGAAGGTTCTGAACAGAAACGGTGACAAAGGGCAGAGCTGGAGGAGTCAAACTCTCACTGGAAACGAGTCTGACTTACTATCGGCTCGTGCTCCTTTGGTAAAGGGACTGGACGGCCCTTAACATGGAATCCTCCACCCCGTACTCCCGGAGCACCCCCCAGAGGGTTCCCCTAGGGACACGGTCGTCTGCCTTCTCCAAGTCCACAAAACACATGTGGACTGGTTGGGCAAACTCCCATCTCCCCTCAAGAACCTTGAGCGAGGGTGAACCGTGACCGGGATGAAAAGCCTCATTGTTCCTCCTCGATTTTAAAAAGTTTCCAGTTAAAAAAGTTCACAATGTGTCAGTATAAAAAATATCTGTATTACAGCAAACCTGAACAGATTCGATGACCCCAAAAACACTCAAAGACTAAATTAAAAAACAAGATTTCTGATCGTCCTTTTAAGCTGTGAGGGTTATAAAAAGTCAGCATTACTTCTCCAAAAAAAAACGTCCTTTTGCTTTAAAACAATTTTTCTTTCCTGCCACTTTTCGACCCTTTCCTCCTTATTTACTCATAATTCATGTATTTCTTCCAGAACCGTTGACGGTTTCACCTTTTTCTGCTCCCTCCTGGTTTTAAATGATCCTCCTCACAAAAGCAGAAACAGGAAACACAAAAACCAAAGAAATAATTGGACTTGGTTTTGGCAGCGGATCAAAACAGACGGCCCCCACAGTCACGATAACTTTAAAACTTTCAGAGGAGACAACAACTCTGAAGTCGCTCGGCCGCCTCGCCAACGGCCCGGTCCGAATCCCGAGTCGATCCCTGGAATAAATTGGAACGAATCCAAAAGAACGACAGAGTGGAGGGGTTAAAGAGAGGAATAATGAGGAGGCGCTCACGTTTCCGTCATCAGACTCCTCTGCCAGATAAACAAGAAGCCCGTCGCTCGGCTTATTTATCCGTTCACTAACCGACTCAGCAGGAACTCTGATCAGCGCCGAGAACTTTCATCTGCTGACAGCGGGGAACCTTTAATTGCTCTGTAATGTGGGCCAACGTGAGTTTAATGGATCTGCGAGCGCCGGTGTTTTCGGTTTAATCTGAAGGTCTCTGATAATTAAGAGCGACCGGTTCTGTTTGTTTGGACTGGACTGGTCTGGACCCAGAACAGAGGAGGACGTGGGTTTCTGTCCGCCAAAGTTTAGATCAGAGAGAGTTTGTGTGGTTGTCATGGTGACGTTAAACCCTCCCGGTGGTGCTGGTTTGGTCTTCTTCTGTTGTTTTTATTCACATTCATCTTAGAGGAAATATTTTATTTCAACATGTGGAGGAAACAGACCAATCAGACGCAGCTCTTTGACAGTCGAGTGTCTCTGTTCATCTGCCTGCTGTGGTGTGATGAGGGGAACAGCAGGGCGGCGCTGCAGACTCTATTTTAGTGTTTTTGAAAGAAATTAAACGAATTAAAAGAAACTCCAGGAAGATTGTTTAAAGTTCCTCCTCCATCCTGAGACGTTTCTAGAAGGAGGACAGGGTTCGGGGTTCCAGTCGGGTTAGATCAGGGTATGACGGATTTACATACCTCTTTCATTTGACTTGAACATGTGATGTTACCTGTATGATGTGGTTCAGTCGAGCTAGTTCTGGCAGGGCAGATATTCCCACTGTTATAGGCGCTTCTCCAACCAGCATCACTCCCAATTTCCACCGATTCCTAGCGATGGGAAGATCAGTTCTTTTGACTGAATCTTTAGAATCTGTTCGTTAAAAGGATTCGTTCAAAAGATTCATTCACTGAATCAGTCAGAGCTTCTGAGCCCTGTCCTGCCGGTGCAGTACACAAGTCACCGCCGGATAAATTCAGTCACTGCAGGAACTTTCTGATGTTAAACCCAGAGAGCATCAAACCTTTGACTCCTCCCTGAACCTGGACTGGACTCCTGAACCCGGTTTGAACCGGTCTTTCCTCCAGCGACACAAACATGCCTCAGTGTTGGCGCTGCTTACACGCCAACGGCATTTATTACCGCCCTAGTTGGGCTGACTGAGACTGCTGCTGGGACTCTGGGTTTACTGCCACCTGGTGTCATGTCTCTGTTAGGTATAGATGCTTAGATGCCTCCAATGTTACGGTGCAGTTGACCACATTTCCACCGCATCTGGAACGTCTACTGAAAGGCCGTATCTCTTTATAATAGAGACAACTTGTTATTGCGCGATTTCACAGGTTCTTGTGAGTTCTTGCAATTACCGCTGTCTGTAATTCGCCCCAAAATTCGCCCCACAAACGGATTTGGATCAGAGCCATTTCGGATGCGGTGGAAATCCGGGGTCAGTCTCTTCTACTCCTCCTCCTCATCTCCACGGCGATTTATATTCAGACACGGCAAGCACTAAAATAACTTTCATAGATGTAGCCTCCGATTTTCCTTTTTTCCAACTTGGTAACTTGGTAACGGTGTGATGTAACTCGAACGCAGCATAAACCTAACCTAACCCGACAGACGATGACGTTTTGCAACCATAAGGAATGACCAATCACAGCACAGCACTTCTAGCCAATCAGAGGCGAAGAAGGCGGGAGCTTCCCCTGTCATTCTACGGAAAAAAATTGACGGCTGGCAAAAATAGAAGTCTTGCGTAAATGATCCAGCCGCCGGAGCCGGACAGTTGACGGATTGTGTGGAATGACACACTTTAAGTATCATGTTTGTTTATTTGATCCGCCTGCAGCGCCGGAGCAAAGGTTTTAGCCGTTTCCCCTCAGGCTCGGGTTAGCGGGAATCTTGTCACCACAGTGGGCAATTCAGCCAACAAAACATCAATAATTTGTTGTCTCACAGCAAGAAGGTCCTGGGTTTGAATCCGGGTCAGGGTGTGTCTGCGTGGGTTTACTCCAGGTACTCTGGTTTCCTCCCACATCCCAAAAACATGCAGAAGTGGGGTTAGGTTAACTGGCCACTTCCAAATTACCCGTAGGTGTGAATGTGAGCGTGGATGTTTGTTCGTCTCTAAATGTCAGCCCTGTGATGAACTGGCGACTTGTCCAGGGTGTCCCCTGCCTTCGCCCAAGGAAGCTGGTATACCTCCAGCACCCCGCGACCCCGGGAACGGGAATAAGTGGTAAAAATTGGATGTCTCTTTACATTCTGAGCAGCTTTCCATGTGAAGAGCAGACTTTCTTTCGTCACATCAGCTGGCCGTGGACTCTGACCTTCTGGCCGGCTCATCCATCAGGCTGAGGCCTCGCTCCGTTATCTCTCCTGGCAGCTGGGTCAATGCCTGGTCTCCTCCCTGAATAAAGGATTATGGTTAGTCAGAGGAGGGTATAAACATGTTTCATACATGCCGCCGTGTACAACATAAAGTAGAAGGACATCCTGGCATCTACGCTTCCGATGTTTGCTGACATTTTTCGGTACATGGTCGTGTCTTCATCCTTGTGTATGAATTCAGATAACAGCGTCAGAGTGATGTGTCTTTATTTCGCTCTATAAGTACATGTCGAGTCTCTGATGCTCTTTAACCCACGCACAGTTTGTACGAATAAAGAAATGAGGATGAAAACAGAGTTGTGTGCAGCAGATTGTACGCTGTAAAGATGAACTTTGACCTCCAGCAGCACCAGCTGTTTTAGTCCCCCCTGAGGAACTGAAGTTTCTGAACACTTCCGTCATTGTTCCTGCAGGTTTAGAGAACTCTACACTCGCCCTCTGACCTTCAGATCCCGCTCCGCGCTGGTTTCTTTTCTCTCTTTAAGTACTTCAACGCGACTCCCTCTCGCCCCGGCCTCCAGACTCGTCGTTAACGCTTCCTGCTCCTCTTCCTTACTTCTCCGAGGTTTCCATCAGCGCTGTTGATGAATAACCAGTGACAGCCTTTTGTGAATTGGTCAAGGATGTTCTCCAGTTCAGTCAATAACAGCCGTAAAACTCGGCTAACGGCGAGTTAATAGAAATATAATTGCTTGTCATGCTAATGCGTGAGCTGTGAGGGTTGTGTATTATATTTCCTTTTTCCATTTTATTCCAAATGTCTCGGGGGTTAAAAAATTCGACTCCGACATTAAAGAGTTTTTTTATTTTTTTATTTCTTAAGGCTGACTGTTTCAATTGCAATAATTGTGTATTCAGAAGGAAAGATGTGTGACCGCCTGAACAGTGTCCTTTGGGATTGATGTCACATTTCTGAATGAAGCCTATCTCTGCTGCCTATTGTGTCTATTATTATTATTATTATTATTATTATTCATGAGTGCTTCTTTTGAAGGAAGGATATCCTGGCTCCATTATGACATTAGGCCTTTAAATCTGTATATAAATTAAATATATATGTACAGCTGCTAACTGTTTCCTGTGTTATTCTGCTGTGTTAATATCCCGTCCCCTGGGGGCAGCCTCGCTTCCTTTCTTTGCCTGTGAAATGCTTTTTCCCGTCTCTCTTGTTCAGTTCGCCTTGGTCTGAAGCGTGTTTTGAAATGTAAATATGTTCTATATACATGAAATGCCCTCCGTACTGAATAAGTGTCATAGTATAGTATGTTTAAAATTGTCATAGTTAAGTAGGTTAAAAAAACGTCATATTAAATTAAAGTGTGATAAAAATGTCATGGTATATCATGATAAAAAAATTTCATAGTATAGTATGTAAGAAGTAGTAAAAGATGCTATAGTATAATAAATGTCATAGTATGTTAAAAAAATATCATACTACAGAATGAGAAACATGTCATAGAATAGTATGATAAAAATGTCAGTATAGTATGATAAAAATTTAATATTTTAGTGTAAATTTTTAAAAAATATTTTACAATGAAAAAGTCATAGTATAGTTTAATAAAAATGTCATAGTATAGTTTAATAAAAATGTTATAGTATAGTTTAATAAAAATGTTATAGTATAGTTTAATAAAAATGTCATAGTATAGTTTAATAAAAATGTTATAGTATAGTTTAATAAAAATGTCATAGTATAGTTTGCTAAAAATTTCATAGTTAAGTGTGAATTTTTTTACATTTTAGTATGAAAAAAGCACGTTTAAGATGAAAAAATGTCATCCAATTAGTTTGATAAAAAATGCATAATTCAGTGTGATTTTTACAAATATATTTCTATGAAAATAAATTTCATAGTATAATATGATAATAATGTCATAATAAAATATGTGAAAATTTCATATTTTAGTGGGAAAATTGTCATAGTATAGTACGATAAAAATATAATAAATTAGTGTGCATTTTTTTAAAAATATTTTAGAATGAAAATGAATGTCATAGTAAAGTATATTAAAAATTAAATATTTTAGTGTGAAAGAATTTTATATTTTAGTATGAAAAAAGTCATAGTATAGTATGATAAAAATGTCATATTTTAGTGCATTTTTTAAATATTTTAGTATTAAAATAAACGTAAAAGTATTGTAAGTCAAAAAATAAGTCAAAATATAGTGTGATAAAAAATCTCATACTGTAGTATGATCCAGCAGCCTTTTGCCCTCTCTTCACCAGTAAAATGCCTGTTACCAGTTCAGTTTGCCTTGGTCTCAAGAGGTTTTTTTTGTGGAGCCAGAGTGTTTTGAAATGTAAATATGTTCAGTATGCATGAAACGCCCTTCACCAACATTAGCAGAGGCAGGGAATCGGCTCTGTAACAATGTGACTGAGTACAAGGTTGGAGAGGTTGAAAGAAAAAGGATATACAAGGTTTGATTTTCCACCGTGAGGTTTTATTTTGATCCATTTTATCCTTCACTGGGATGAAAGTCTCCCCCTGAAGCAGCAGCAGCAGTCAGAGAAATGAGAACCAGTGTTTGTGCAAAACCTCAGTCTTCAGTTTTAGTCATTTAATTAGGTTAGCATCAGAAAGAGATCGCAGTTGGAGAAATGCTCACACAGTCACACCCTCATAATGGTTAACTACCGTAGTAGTTGCAGCTGGCCACCAGTTCACGCCTACAGCCTCTCCAACCGCCACCGCACAATGCGTACAATTGCACACCAGTGGAGGACACACGCGAGGAGCAAGGTAGGTTCAGTGCCTCGCACAAGGACATGATGAAGGCCTCAGGATGGAAGGAATCTAAACCAGCAACCTTCCAGTTATTGGACGACCGCTCCATCTCCTGAGCTACTGCCGCTCCATGGTATAGTGGGTTAAAAAAAACACATAGTATAGGATATTTTAAAAATCATAGTTCAGAATGATAAAAGAATAAAATTAAAGAAAAAATAAACTATGATAAAAAAAAGATGTCATAGTATAGGATGATAAAAATGTCATATTTGGGTGTTAATCTTTTTTCACATTTTAGGCTTTAAAAAAAAATTCAAATTTAGTCAGGATATAAAAAACGTCATAGTATACTATGACCAAAATTTTAAATTTTAGTGTAAAAAAAAAAATTGTGATTTTAGGATAAAAGAACATGCGATAGTATAGTTTGATCAAAATGCCATAGTATAGTTTGTTAAAAATGTCATATTTAAACCTGAACCAAAAAATTCAAATTTGAGTCTGGAAAAAAAAAAACGTCATAGTATACTATGACCAAAATTTCAAATTTTAGTGTAAAAAAAAATTCTGATTTTAGGATAAAAGAACATGCAAAAGAATAGTCTTATCACAATGCCATAGTATAGGATGTAAAAAATGTCATATTTTATTAGCAAACAAAAAATTCAAATTTGAGTCTGAAAAAAATAACGTCATAGTATACTATGACAAAAATTTAGAATTTTAGTGTAAAAAAAAAAATTCTGATTTTAGGATGAAAAAATATGCAATAGTAATGTCTGATCACAATGCCATAGTATAGGATGTTAAAAATGTCACATTTAAGCATTTAAAAAAAAATTCAAATTTTAGTCTGGAACAATAACGTCATAGTATACTATGACCAAAATTTCAAATTTTAGTGTAAAAAAAAAAAAATTGTGATTTTAGGATGAAAAAACATGCCATAGTATAGTTTGATCAAAATGCCATAGTAAAGTATGTTAAAAATGTCATATTTAAACCTTAACCAAAAAATTCAAATTTGAGTCTGGAAAAAAAAAAACGTCATGGTATACTATGACCAAAAGTTCAAATTTTAGTGTAAAAAAAAAAATTCTGATTTTAGGATGAAAAAACATGTAATAGTATAGTCTGATTACAATGCCATAGTAAAATATGTTAAAAATGTCATATTTTACCAGGAAAAAAAAAAATCTTATCTGAGTCTGGAAAAAAAACGTCATAGTATACTATGACCAAAATTTCAAATTTTAGTGTAAAAAAAAATTCTGATTTTAGGATGAAAAAATATGCAGTAGTATTGTCTGATCACAATGCCATAGTATAGGATGTTAAAAATGTCACATTTAAGCATTTAAAAAAAAATTCAAATTTTAGTCTGGAACAATAACGTCATAGTATACTATGACCAAAATTTCAAATTTTAGTGTAAAAAAAAATTGTGATTTTAGGATGAAAAAACATGCCATAGTATAGTTTGATCAAAATGCCATAGTATAGTTTGTTAAAAATGTCATATTTAAACCTGAACCAAAAAATTCAAATTTGAGTCTGGAAAAAAAAAACGTCATAGTATACTATGACCAAAATTTCAAATTTTAGTGTAAAAAAAAATTCTGATTTTAGGATAAAAGAACATGCAAAAGAATAGTCTTATCACAATGCCATAGTATAGGATGTAAAAAATGTCATATTTTATTAGCAAACAAAAAATTCAAATTTGAGTCTGAAAAAAATAACGTCATAGTATACTATGACAAAAATTTAGAATTTTAGTGTAAAAAAAAAATTCTGATTTTAGGATGAAAAAATATGCAATAGTAATGTCTGATCACAATGCCATAGTATAGGATGTTAAAAATGTCACATTTAAGCATTTAAAAAAAAATTCAAATTTTAGTCTGGAACAATAACGTCATAGTATACTATGACCAAAATTTCAAATTTTAGTGTAAAAAAAAAAAATTGTGATTTTAGGATGAAAAAACATGCCATAGTATAGTTTGATCAAAATGCCATAGTAAAGTATGTTAAAAATGTCATATTTAAACCTTAACCAAAAAATTCAAATTTGAGTCTGGAAAAAAAAAACGTCATGGTATACTATGACCAAAAGTTCAAATTTTAGTGTAAAAAAAAAATTCTGATTTTAGGATGAAAAAACATGTAATAGTATAGTCTGATTACAATGCCATAGTAAAATATGTTAAAAATGTCATATTTTACCAGGAAAAAAAAAAATCTTATCTGAGTCTGGAAAAAAAACGTCATAGTATACTATGACCAAAATTTCAAATTTTAGTGTAAAAAAAAATTCTGATTTTAGGATGAAAAAATATGCAGTAGTATTGTCTGATCACAATGCCATAGTATAGGATGTTAAAAATGTCACATTTAAGCATTTAAAAAAAAATTCAAATTTTAGTCTGGAACAATAACGTCATAGTATACTATGACCAAAATTTCAAATTTTAGTGTAAAAAAAAATTGTGATTTTAGGATGAAAAAACATGCCATAGTATAGTTTGATCAAAATGCCATAGTATAGTTTGTTAAAAATGTCATATTTAAACCTTAACCAAAAAATTCAAATTTGAGTCTGGAAAAAAAAAACGTCATGGTATACTATGACCAAAAGTTCAAATTTTAGTGTAAAAAAAAAATTTCTGATTTTAGGATGAAAAAACATGTAATAGTATAGTCTGATTACAATGCCATAGTAAAATATGTTAAAAATGTCATATTTTACCAGGAAAAAAAAAATTCTTATCTGAGTCTGGAAAAAAAACGTCATAGTATACTATGACCAAAATTTCAAATTTTAGTGTAAAAAAAAATTCTGATTTTAGGATGAAAAAATATGCAGTAGTATTGTCTGATCACAATGCCATAGTATAGGATGTTAAAAATGTCACATTTAAGCATTTAAAAAAAAATTCAAATTTTAGTCTGGAACAATAACGTCATAGTATACTATGACCAAAATTTCAAATTTTAGTGTAAAAAAAAATTGTGATTTTAGGATGAAAAAACATGCCATAGTATAGTTTGATCAAAATGCCATAGTATAGTTTGTTAAAAATGTCATATTTAAACCTGAACCAAAAAATTCAAATTTGAGTCTGGAAAAAAAAAAACGTCATAGTATACTATGACCAAAATTTCAAATTTTAGTGTAAAAAAAAATTCTGATTTTAGGATAAAAGAACATGCAAAAGAATAGTCTTATCACAATGCCATAGTATAGGATGTAAAAAATGTCATATTTTATTAGCAAACAAAAAATTCAAATTTGAGTCTGAAAAAAATAACGTCATAGTATACTATGACAAAAATTTAGAATTTTAGTGTAAAAAAAAAAATTCTGATTTTAGGATGAAAAAATATGCAATAGTAATGTCTGATCACAATGCCATAGTATAGGATGTTAAAAATGTCACATTTAAGCATTTAAAAAAAAATTCAAATTTTAGTCTGGAACAATAACGTCATAGTATACTATGACCAAAATTTCAAATTTTAGTGTAAAAAAAAAAAAATTGTGATTTTAGGATGAAAAAACATGCCATAGTATAGTTTGATCAAAATGCCATAGTAAAGTATGTTAAAAATGTCATATTTAAACCTTAACCAAAAAATTCAAATTTGAGTCTGGAAAAAAAAAAACGTCATGGTATACTATGACCAAAAGTTCAAATTTTAGTGTAAAAAAAAAAATTCTGATTTTAGGATGAAAAAACATGTAATAGTATAGTCTGATTACAATGCCATAGTAAAATATGTTAAAAATGTCATATTTTACCAGGAAAAAAAAAAATCTTATCTGAGTCTGGAAAAAAAACGTCATAGTATACTATGACCAAAATTTCAAATTTTAGTGTAAAAAAAAATTCTGATTTTAGGATGAAAAAATATGCAGTAGTATTGTCTGATCACAATGCCATAGTATAGGATGTTAAAAATGTCACATTTAAGCATTTAAAAAAAAATTCAAATTTTAGTCTGGAACAATAACGTCATAGTATACTATGACCAAAATTTCAAATTTTAGTGTAAAAAAAAATTGTGATTTTAGGATGAAAAAACATGCCATAGTATAGTTTGATCAAAATGCCATAGTATAGTTTGTTAAAAATGTCATATTTAAACCTTAACCAAAAAATTCAAATTTGAGTCTGGAAAAAAAAAACGTCATGGTATACTATGACCAAAAGTTCAAATTTTAGTGTAAAAAAAAAATTTCTGATTTTAGGATGAAAAAACATGTAATAGTATAGTCTGATTACAATGCCATAGTAAAATATGTTAAAAATGTCATATTTTACCAGGAAAAAAAAAATTCTTATCTGAGTCTGGAAAAAAAACGTCATAGTATACTATGACCAAAATTTCAAATTTTAGTGTAAAAAAAAATTCTGATTTTAGGATGAAAAAATATGCAGTAGTATTGTCTGATCACAATGCCATAGTATAGGATGTTAAAAATGTCACATTTAAGCATTTAAAAAAAAATTCAAATTTTAGTCTGGAACAATAACGTCATAGTATACTATGACCAAAATTTCAAATTTTAGTGTAAAAAAAAATTGTGATTTTAGGATGAAAAAACATGCCATAGTATAGTTTGATCAAAATGCCATAGTATAGTTTGTTAAAAATGTCATATCTAAACCTGAACGAAAAAATTCAAATTTGAGTCTGAAAAAAAAAAAACGTCATAGTATACTATGACCAAAAGTTCAAATTTTAGTGTAAAAAAAATTTCTGATTTTAGGATGAAAAAACATGTAATAGTATAGTCTGATTACAATGCCATAGTAAAGTATGTTAAAAATGTCATATTTTACCAGGAAAAAAAAAAAATCTTATCTGAGTCTGGAAAAAAAAAAACGTCATAGTATACTCTGACAAAAATTTAGAATTTTAGTGTAAAAAAAAAAATTCTGATTTTAGGATGAAAAAATATGCAATAGTAATGTCTGATCACAATGCCATAGTATAGGATGTTAAAAATGTCACATTTAAGCATTTAAAAAAAAATTCAAATTTTAGTCTGGAACAATAACGTCATAGTATACTATGACCAAAATTTCAAATTTTAGTGTAAAAAAAAAAAAATTGTGATTTTAGGATGAAAAAACATGCCATAGTATAGTTTGATCAAAATGCCATAGTAAAGTATGTTAAAAATGTCATATTTAAACCTTAACCAAAAAATTCAAATTTGAGTCTGGAAAAAAAAAACGTCATGGTATACTATGACCAAAAGTTCAAATTTTAGTGTAAAAAAAAAAATTCTGATTTTAGGATGAAAAAACATGTAATAGTATAGTCTGATTACAATGCCATAGTAAAATATGTTAAAAATGTCATATTTTACCAGGAAAAAAAAAATCTTATCTGAGTCTGGAAAAAAAAAACGTCCTAGTATACTATGACCAAAATTTCAAATTTTAGTGTAAAAAAAAATTCTGATTTTAGGATGAAAAAATATGCAGTAGTATTGTCTGATCACAATGCCATAGTATAGGATGTTAAAAATGTCACATTTAAGCATTTAAAAAAAAATTCAAATTTTAGTCTGGAACAATAACGTCATAGTATACTATGACCAAAATTTCAAATTTTAGTGTAAAAAAAAATTGTGATTTTAGGATGAAAAAACATGCCATAGTATAGTTTGATCAAAATGCCATAGTATAGTTTGTTAAAAATGTCATATCTAAACCTGAACGAAAAAATTCAAATTTGAGTCTGAAAAAAAAAAAACGTCATAGTATACTATGACCAAAAGTTCAAATTTTAGTGTAAAAAAAAATTTCTGATTTTAGGATGAAAAAACATGTAATAGTATAGTCTGATTACAATGCCATAGTAAAATATGTTAAAAATGTCATTTTACCAGGAAAAAAAAAAATCTTATCTGAGTCTGGAAAAAAAAAAACGTCATAGTATACTATGACCAAAATTTCAAATTTTAGTGTAAATTTTTTTTTCTGATTTTAGGATAAAAGAACATGCAAAAGAATAGTCTGATCAAAATGCCATAGTAAAGTATGTTAAAAATGTCATATTTTATCAGCAAACAAAAAATTCAAATTTGAGTCTGGAAAAAAAACGTCATAGTTTACTATGACCAAAAGTTCAAATTTTAGTGTAAAAAAAAAATTCTGATTTTAGGATGAAAAAACATGTAATAGTATAGTCTGATCACAATGCCATAGTAAAGTATGTTAAAAATGTCATATTTTACCAGGAAAAAAAAAAATCATTCACGTCATTTTTTCTATGACCAAAATCGAGAATTTTAGTGTAAAAAAAAATTCTTATTTTAGGATAAAAGAACATGCAAAAGTATAGTCTGATTACAATGCCATAGTAAAGTATGTTAAAAATGTCATTTTTTACCAGGAAAATAAAAAATAATATCTGAGTCTGGAAAAAAAACGTCATAGTTTACTATGACCAAAAGTTCAAATTTTAGTGTAAAAAAAAAATTCTGATTTTAGGATGAAAAAACATGTAATAGTATAGTCTGATCACAATGCCATAGTAAAGTATGTTAAAAATGTCATATTTTACCAGGAAAAAAAAAAATCTTATCTGAGTCTGGAAAAAAAACGTCATTGTATACTATGACCAAAAATTCAAATTTTAGTGTAAAAAAAAATTTCTGATTTTAGGATAAAAGAACATGCAAAAGTATAGTCTGATCACAATGCCATAGTAAAGTATGTTAAAAATGTCATATTTTACCAGGAAAAAAAAAAAATCTTATCTGAGTCTGGAAAAAAAACGTCATAGTATACTATGACCAAAATCGAGAATTTTAGTGTAATAAAAAATTTCTGATTTTAGGATAAAAAAACATGTAACAGTATAGTCTGATTACAATGCCATAGTAAAGTATGTTAAAAATGTCACATTTTAGCCTTTAAAAAAATTCAAATATCATTCTGGAAAAAAAACGTCATAGAATACTATGACCAAAAGTTCAAATTTTAGTGTAAAAACTTTTTTCTGATTTTAGGATAAAAGAACATGCAAAAGTATAGTCTGATCACAATGCCATAGTATAGGATGTAAAAAATGTCATATTTTATCAGCAAACAAATAATTCAAATTTGAGTCTGGAAAAAAAACGTCATAGTATACTATGACCAAAATTTCAAATTTTAGTGTAAATTTTTTTTTCTGATTTTAGGATAAAAGAACATGCAAAAGAATAGTCTGATCACAATGCCATAGTATAGGATGTTAAAAATGTCATATTTTATCAGCAAACAAAAAATTCAAATTTGAGTCTGGAAAAAAAACGTCATAGTTTACTATGACCAAAAGTTCAAATTTGAGTGTAAAAAAAATTTCTGATTTTAGGATGAAAAACATGTAATAGTATAGTCTGATCACAATGCCATAGTAAAGTATGTTAAAAATGTCATATTTTACCAGGAAAAAAAAAAATCCTATCAGAGTCTGGAAAAAAAACGACATAGTATACTATAACCAAAATCGAGAATTTTAGTGTAAAAAAAAATTTCTGATTTTAGGATGAAAGAACATGCAAAAGTATAGTCTGATCACAATGCCATGGTAAAGTATGTTAAAAATATCATATTTTACCAGGAAAAAAAAAATCTTATCTGAGTCTGGAAAAAAAATGTCATAGTATACTATGACCAAAATTTCAAATTTTAGTGTAAAAAAAAATTCTGATTTTAGGATAAAAGAACATGCAAAAGTATAGTCTGATCACAATGCCGTAGTAAAGTATGTCAAAAATGTCACATTTTAGGCTTTAAAAAAAATTCTAATTTGAGTCTGGAAAAATAACATCATAGTATACTATGACCAAAATTTCAAATTTTAGTGTAAAAACAAATTTCAGATTTTAGGATGAAAAAACATGTAATAGTGTAGTCTGATTACAATGCCATAGTAAAGTATGTTAAAAATGTCATATTATACCAGGAAAAAAAAAAATCTTATCTGAGTCTGGAAAAAAAACGTCATAGTATACTATGACCAAAATTTCAAATTTTAGTATAATTTTTTTTTCTGATTTAAGGATGAAAACAATACAACATATTGTATAGTATGATAAAAATGTCCTAGTATAGTCTGAAAAAATCTGGTGGAGGTTGACCAAGTGTTTGGGACGTTATGCAGGAAACTCCCTGAGCATGAAAACTGTAGGGTGCACTATCGAGTCTTTTTTTCTCTTTTTTTCATGTGTATGTATCGTCACGTCTGAGACGGTCGACTGAAGCTGTCGATGATCCTCCCCAGTTTGAACAGCACAGGAAATGAGTGAGATTACTGCACTGATCGCTGGGATTACTGCTTATTACCTGTAATGACGCTCCATCATTTCCCAAGAGGGGGGGACCAGTCAAACGTAAATCTCCCTCCTGATGCTCTAACCGCTGGAGCATTTTTTGAGTACCTTCATGGATTTGTCCTGAAAAATAAAACACTTACCTGAATTTTACTGTGTGAGACACTGTGAATGACGGCGAAGGATTCCGTGTTTCTACCAGCCAGAGTTTAAGAGCACTCTTAGCCACAAATCTTGAGATGTAGAAGACCACCAAGGACCCATCTTGAGTAGACCCATGTGCAGATTGACCTTTGACTCCCGTGCACCCGAGGAACGAAGGAACCTTCAGCAGTAAGAGTCAGATTTATGACAGTAGGAAGTGAGACACAGCCCTGAACTGGGACCAGCTTTACGACGCCGCGCCGTAAATCCTGAGGTTTTTACCACCTTTATATCACCTTTATCTTTATTTATTGGTTTTTGTACCTGGTGTGAATGTGTATGTTGTGTGTACTGCTACTGTCAACGATTTTAATTTCCCCACTGAGGGATGAATCAAGGAATATAGATTCCGTCAGTAATGAACCTTTTTATTTCTGCGTTCCAAAGACAGAAGCGCTCAGTATTTAAGTTTCAAACCTCTCGTCTGAAAGAACCGTGCAGATTTCACATCCAGGGCGGATTTTCTGGCCTGGAAAGCTCCACATTTTCTGAGCTGAGTGCTGTTTCTTGTTTGAAGGGTGTGGGCTTGAAGGAACCGCATGACTGACGGAGCAGAAAAGTCTGCGGTCCTCAGAGGAAGCCGCTCTTATTTTCGCCGCTCGCTCTCAGAGAGCTGCAGCGTGCTTTGGTTGCTGCTGGGAGGCTTTTCTTTCTGCCTCTTAGCTCGGCCAAATGCTGCGCTGTCCCCGGCCCCCCGTCCCCCTGCTGCTCAGCTGATTGCCTAATGAGGGGATTTTGTTGGCCCTGTCTTTGTTCGGGTTGAAAATCAGTCTCAGTTTGGCACTGAGTGGAAGTCTCCAGTTTCTGCAGCTTTCAGCCGCACTCTCAGAGAAATAAAAGAACCATGTTTGATTCAAAAGACTAACCTGCTGGTTCGACACTTAAACGGCGAGTCTGAGTCGCTTCTGATGATTTCTGAAAGCCTCGTGTTTTGAAAACTCACAGTTGGGCGGCGTGCTGACGCTGGTGTCGTCTGGACACTTTTTAAACAAACAGTTTGACGTTAAAGCCGCTTAGAGGAGATCTCAGAGGGTCAATAGAGACGGACGCCTCGTTATGAGATGTCAGTGACGGCCCCGCCTGAGCTGCGTGAGCAAAAAGAGATGTTTGCTTCAGGAGGGAATCCCAGACGGAAGGCCCACACCCCAGTTACTTCCACCAGCTCCTCCAGGGTGGAATCCCAGCCGCTCCCCGGCCAGGCGCGGTCCCCTCCGATCGGTCAAGATCGTATGTTTCCTTGATTATTTTCTCAGAATGCTTCATTTACTGGTCTCCAAACTAGAGCATGACACGGGAGTGGATTTTCACTCCTGTTCCGTCCCACTCCCAGAGAAAAAATCCCGTCCCGTCCCAATCCTGGACCGGAGTAAAAAAATGTATCCTGTCCCGCTCCTGTTTGAATAAAACCAAACATGTTGAAAAAACTTTGCAGTTTTACCTAAAATAAAAAATTGTAGGTAAAAGTAGCAGCTGAGTCGGAGTGGCAGTTGCTACGACTCGGAATGGCTGCCGGTGAATGTGTGTTGCCGTCAGCCGCTCCGAGTCGCTTGTCACTTCCTATGGTGACTGGAAGTCAAACAACTGTTGTAGTTCTTTTGTGTTGCTAGCGCGGTCAAGAGTGTTGGCTCTCACTGAGAAATGACTACAAAAATGGACGCATCTGTTCATCTGGTTGTTTAACACGGCTGAAAATGGTCATCTATTCATGTTGTTCCCGCTCCCGTTGCTTTTTCCCGTCCCGTCCCGATCACAGGATTAGGTAAAGAATGACTCCCATCCCGTGGGATTCTTGCGGAAATCACGTGACTTACGGGAATTCACGAGGGTAGAACGGTAGGGGAAGGTCCCGCCCCTGACAGCAGGGATAGCCAATCACACACGGACCACAAGGGCGGTTCAGATCGAGGGGAACCGGTTTGGGCTTGAGCGGCTGTTTGTTCCTATTTCCCGACGTGTATCGGTTCGCTATTGCGCAAAGTAACGTTGTTTTCAGATGGTTAAAACTGCAGGGGACCAAAACGCCCGTGGTCACAGAGTCCACACAGGTGGACTCCAGACGACCTTTGACCCTGCTGGACCTGGTTTGGCGAAATAACGACTAAAAACGAGTGAATCATCAACGTTATAAACGTTTTGTAGGGAATTAGCTTCATCAAAGGTCCCGCCCACTATCAGGAGATGTTACTGCTGATTGGCTGACAGACCCTTCAGTTCCTTCAGTGACATAAAGGGGCGTCGACTTCGGTCCATCAAAGTCCAACTGGAGGAGGTGGAGATTGGTGTCGCTGGTTTCCAGTTGGGTTTATCCGTCCATCGTTCCTCCATCAGCGAGGAGACGTGAGGGTTCGTCCTCTGAGGCCGTGAATGTTGATGCTGCTGCTTTAACACAAACATGGATTTAGTAGAAAATGAGTGAAAAGGCGATAATGATGGCAGCAGTAATGACAGTAATGAGCACAAAGCAGACGGCACAGATTGATGCTTTTCAGAGGGAGGTCACGAACCGAACAAAGACGGTGAAATGAGTCTTTTAGAGCGAGGTGGATGATCCGCTTTGAATCGAGGAAAATAAACAGAGCTCATTCTGTTAACACCGAAGAGAGAGTGACAGAAGAAGAAGAAGAAGAAGAGGGAGAAAAGTTTCTTTGTTTGTGGGTGAAAAGTAATTAAAAAGAGTGAATCATCCTTTTCAGAGACACCTGCAGACAAACAAACACTCAGAGGTAATTGTTTTTCTTCACTTGACATGGAAAACTGTTTCACTTCAGCGACGTGTCTGTTTCTGACGAACAAAGAGCCGAGAAATGAGCAGGAGACAAACAGAAGAAAGAAAGTTCAACGACTCCTCGACTTTATTCAGAGTAAGAGTGGAGGTTCACCACGATCCTGCTCGCAAACATGAACTTCCTGTGGTCAGAGAGGTTTGTCTCATCTCTTTGACAGGCTTGAATCTCTCCAGGCGCATAAAGCTGAACCTATTCCACGCCACCGTGGAGTCCGTCCTCCTGTACGGCTGCGAAAGCTGGACCCTGTAGAAGTCCCTAGATGGGTGCTACACCAGAACGCTACGAAGAGTTCTGAACATGAACCAGAACATCCACATTACCAGCAAGGACAAGTAAGTCCAACTGTCCTTTCCAAAAGAGTGTTACCCCCAACCTCCACCTTCATCCTGATCGTCTCCTAAAAGGTCGTATCCTCCGATCGTAGCTGATCGTAACCATTCAAGTTAACGTGTCAATTTACACCGACTTCTTTCCGTTCCTCTGCAGATCGCCGGACTCCACAGTTGAACGCAAAAGTTCTATTTTTTCATGGCAGATAAATTCAGCACAGATTAACCTGTGCTGGAAAGGAAGTCGGGCACAGACACAAAATAAAACATCTGGAGACGAACAAGTGAAAGGTTTTTAGACGTCATTTCACCCCGATGACACCATGGATGAGGAGATGCTGATTCTGGAAGTCTAGAAGTAGATTTCCTCCTCTGGAAGGACACAATCTACTGCTTATATGTCGAGGGGCTTATACGCCAACGTCGTGGCGCAGGTGTGGCGTAAGTCAGGTCTGCCTGAAATGTGCCTGAAACTGTGGAAACCTGCCAGCGGGGAATCGGTGACGTATGCCGTAACGCCACTGGTCTACCAAAATACCACTAGACCAGCTGCGCTCCGCCTGCGCTGAAAGCTGACCAGGTTTGAATCGGCGAGCTTTCAGCGCACTTTATTAGCCACCAGTGAGCACGTAAATGTCACTGCGCCAGCTGATTCTGTTGACACCTCCCCCTGCCGCACCACCATGCCCAGCTTGGCGGACCCCGTTGCGCCTCAGTCTATGAAGATACCAAACTGGCTGTATGCCGGGCTCCGCCAGACAAAAATACCACTGCGCGGGGTCCGCCACCCTCTGCCACGTTGCCGGCGGACACAAAAATAGAGCCCTATGAGACAACTCGTTATCGTACGATTGCTCGTGAATCTGCGGGTTCCTGCTGTCCGTAATCTGCCAAGAAAATCGCCTGGTAGGAATTGGTGTACGGCAAAAATCGCGACTGTTCCGGATGCGGTAGAAATCCCGGGTCAGTCAGCGTCCTCCTGGGTCTGGAGGAACAGGACTGACAAATTTAAGGTGTTGTCCACCCCCGTCCCTCCAATCTTCCTTCTTGTTTCACAGTATCTCGTCTTCGGAGGACTCTCCTCCCACTCAGCTCGTCGGCACCAAAAGGCGAGTTAACCTCAGATGAGGGTTGAGTAAAAACAGAGACGTTATTTTTCCACATGTTGGTTCTTTCGACTCGCTCTCGTTTGATTTTGGAGTGGGCGTTTGTTGAGTGAAGTCGGCGCCGCAGCCGAAGTTTCATAAAAGAAGAACTTTACGTCGTTTCTTCAAACACTCGGCTGCTGCTCTGCGGTTTGAAAAACACTTAGAGTCAGAGTCGGAGCGGGCGCTAAGATTCACGACATGCATCAGCATCATTATTATCATCGTTCAGAATATTGAACATATTTGTTTTCAGCCGTGGAAACGATCCAACCTCTGTGATCATCCATCAATGATGGCTGTTTGACTTCATCAGAGGAGACAGGTTTCATAAAGAGGCTTTGGGGGGTCGGGGGTTCGGGGGTGGTGGTTTATTTCCCCCCAGGGTTCCTGTTCAGATGATCAAGAAAAAAGCTGTTTGTGTCTCGTTTTCAAAATGAAATGAGGCTGTTAGAGAGAGAGAGAGAGAGAGAGAGAGAGAGAGAGGGAGAGAGCGGGTCTGCGTGTTTCTGAGCAGGAGGAATGTTGACGACTTTGAAGACACATGGAGAAAACTGACACGCCTGTTTTTACTGCCTGTTTACTCCTGAAAATGTTCATAATTGGCTCCTCTTTGTCTTTATCATTTTTCTAAAAGTCAAATTCCAACGTTTGACTCATCGCTCCACACCTCCAATTAGCCCGCCGCGTTCATGTTGTTTTTGGCTGAAATCTGAAAGTCAAAGATTAAAGATGTAGAAACAGAGCTGTGACCTGCTGCGCCCCTCCTCATTTAGACTCGCCGTTTTCCACAGAACATCGACATGATCAGAGCCGGCGGTGGGTGGACCGAGACAGAGAAGAGCGATCTTTGAAGAAGCGCCAACAACCGACTGGAAACATCAACAACCAATCCCGGACCCGGAGCAGAAAGAAAATCCAGACTTAAGAAAAGAGTGATGAGTGAGGGGAGTCCGATGTAGACGCCAACGCCGACAACGAGAAGACAACAAACGCTAGAGCGACAACAGCTCCTTATTTACAGACCTGTAGGAGAGGAAATGTGGAATCAGACGAGTCAGACAAGTTCTGCGGACTGAACCAGGAAGTTCGATATTTTTTAACATGGGTCTCTATGAGGACTGACTCACTTTTGGAGACTCTGGTGGAGACCCGAGGAACTGCAGTTTGTTGTACGTTTGCCTCAAAAACCTTTAAAGGGATATTCCGGCATAAAATTAATTTAAGGTCAAACACACCATAACACCGAGTTAGACCCCCCTCCAGAGATGAATGTTGTCGACCGCTTGCTTCTCTAGTTATACCAACTTTAGTAACGACCGCAGGATAGTAATACAGAGAGCCGCGCCCTCAACCAAAACGCCACTCTATAGCCACAAATAATGCTCAGAACAGCACCTAACTTCATCAACAGGACATATAGGGTCACAGACATAGTACTATATTCAGAGTTGTTCTAACTCCTAAGAAAACATGAACTTAAGCGGGGGCGTTTCTCCACTTCTCTAGTCTATAAGCTGGGCCAATAAACTTCTACTGTAGTAAAATGAAAAGGTAAAGGTGTTTTTATTGAGCCGAATTATCAATAAAATCGTAACATTGTTAATTTATGTGCTGTTGAGTAAGTATGTTTGAACAAGAGCACAGTAAACTTAAATCAGCTAATTTTCCAATGAGGTTCTGTTACTGAACATGTTCTACTCAGGTTAGTACATACAGGGTCACAGCCATAGTACTAGACACCAAACATCTTTTTAACTTTGACTCATTTCTTTAGCAAAGAGACTAAACACAACTCACCTACTCTCTTCCAGCAGACGCTTGTTTGTAGAGAGACCTCAGGCCAGTCCATTACAGACTACAGCGGGGTGACGCAGCTCAAGGAAGAACATTTATGATCATTTCTTTATCATTTCCTTGAAGTAATAATCATCATACTAGTTCTGCTCTTAAATGTTCCTCCTCTCTCTATAGTGTGTGGCACAGGCAGCTGCAGACGGCGCTCGCTGGAAGAGTTGGCGTTTACTGCCGCTAGTCACTAAAAATCCCAACATGGTGAATCCTAATTTGAAGCTAGCGTAGGATCTTCTGCCAGAGGGGGTGTGTCGTGGGGAGGGCGATACAGGTTCAGGGGGGAGTTATGGTGGGGCACAGAGGGGAGACGTTTGTGTGTGGAGTGGGGGTGGGACGCTCAGTTTTTTTCAACTGCTTCTCAGATCGTCAACAATGTGAGTCTTAGAATGATAAACGGATCCTGAGCAGCAGGATGGACGCCATCAGAACCAGTTCCTTTTGGGGTTTTTTTTGCTGGTTTGACGCACGCTGTCCATCCTGGTGATGAGTTGATTCGAAACAGACAGACTCATCCTTTACTGTCAACACTATCTCTTTATCGGTGTGTGTTTTATTTCCAGCTCCCTGTCAATTAAACCTCCTCGCGTAGACCGTCCACGTTCGTTTTCCTCATTGACTGACAGTCGATAACATGGATCCCACTCTTTTCTCCGCCTCCCCTCGCTCTGTCGTATCTCCTCCGCTCCCGTCTCCCTCTCCTCCTGACACAAGCTCAATAACCGAGGAGCCGCACGCTGATGGGAATCATCTCTGTAACGCTAACTGACGCTGACAGACCGTTCACGCCAGGAAATTGATTTACAGTTTGAAAAAGCCATTTAGGTTCTGAAAAGCTCGCCGCCGTCTGAGACGACCTGTCACAGTCCAGGAGGCAGAGGTCGACGCGCAACTTTTTCCCATCAATAAAAAACACAGGAGCGGCTTTGAGGGTGTCGTTCGACGCTGAAGCTTCTGCTCAAGGCAACAACCGATGCCATCCATCTGCCGCCCTCGACATATTTCACCCTGAGAGACACACGCTTAACAATCGCACTGTGGACACGAGAAGGACGCCTGTTTTCTTTTCGCTCATGAACCAATCATGTCAAGACAATATGAGACGATCTGAACCTTGACCCTTCGACCAATCAGAAGACAACACCTGTATGAGTCTGAATCGACGTTTCGTGAGGACAAAAGGAACTCGTTCTTCTTCCTGATTACGTTCCTTCAGCTCCTGTCGTCTCTGTGTTCGATTGTTCGCTCCGTATTTACCTCAGAGAGAAAACTAGAAATCCTTCAGACAAACAAACAAACAAACAGAGACAATCCTGAGAGGATTCACCTCTGACCTCTGAAACAACAGAAGAAGGATCCGGACTCCGCTATGACGTGGTCAGGTGGATCATAGACGACCTGGGCAAGATCAAACGGTCTTTGTAGATATCTGCGCTGATGGGTTCAAACTGAGCGGGATAATGTTTTTTCAACATGTTTGGTTTTATTCAAACAGGAGCGGGACAGGAGTGGGAGTAATCTTGAGTGGGAGTGAAAGTCATTCTACGGGAGTGGAACAGGAGTGGGAGTGGGAGTCATTTTATGGGAGTGGAACAGGAGTGGGAGTAATCTTGAGTGGGAGTGAAAGTCATTCTATGGGAGTGGAACAGGAGTGGGAGTAATCTTGAGTGGGAGTGGGAGTCATTCTATGGGAGTGGAACAGGAGTGGGAGTAATCTTGAGTGGGAGTGGGAGTCATTCTATGGGAGTGGAACAGGAGTGGGAGTAATCTTGAGTGGGAGTCATTCTATGGGAGTGGGACGGGAGTGGGAGTAATCTTGAGTGGGAGTGGGAGTCATTCTATGGGAGCGGAACAGGAGTGGGAGTAATCTTGAGTGGGAGTGGGAGTGATTCTATGGGAGCGGGACAGGAGTGGGAGTAATCTTGAGTGGGAGTGAAAGTCATTCTACGAGAGTGGAAAAGGAGTGGGAGTAATCTTGAGTGAGAGTGGGAGTCGTTCTATGGGAGTGGAAAAGGAGTGGGAGTAATCTTGAGTGGGAGTCATTCTATGGGAGTGGAACAGGAGTGGGAGTAATCTTGAGTGGGAGTCATTCTATGGGAGTGGGACGGGAGTGGGAGTAATCTTGAGTGGGAGTGGGAGTCATTCTATGGGAGCGGAACAGGAGTGGGAGTAATCTTGAGTGGGAGTGGGAGTGATTCTATGGGAGCGGGACAGGAGTGGGAGTAATCTTGAGTGGGAGTGAAAGTCATTCTACGAGAGTGGAAAAGGAGTGGGAGTTATCTTGAGTGGGAGTGGGAGTCGTTCAAAGGAGTGGGAGTAATCTTGAGTGGGAGTCATTCTATGGGAGTGGAACAGGAGTGGGAGTAATCTTGAGTGGGAGTGGGAGTCATTCTATGGGAGTGGAAAAGGAGTGGGAGTAATCTTGAGTGGGAGTGGGAGTCATTCTATGGGAGTGGGACAGGAGTGGGAGTAATCTTGAGTGGGAGTGGGAGTCATTCCATGGGAGTGGAACATACAGGTGTAAGTACCAGTTCTGGACGAGCCCACTTGGCGAGTCCATCCAGACTTCAGCGGAGCTCTTGAGACCTGGGACCAGTTCATGTGGTTTTAGTTTACAGATAGAAATCCAGCTCTTTGGGAAACTTTAGCGTCATGTTTTTCAATGAATATGAGTCGCCAGGACACAAGGAAACTGTTGTTTACCTGTCCAGGTGTCAACCCTGTGAACGCTCAGATTAGGATTAAGGTTCGACTCAGATTGACGGTTTTCTACCAAGTTAAATCAGCGGCCCGTCCTTATCGACTGAGTGAATTTGAAGCAGCTCTGAAATGTCAGACTGTATGAGTCAACACGTGTTTGCAGAATCTGTCAGATACCAGCAGATAAAACCTTTGATTTATCTTTGTTTGGAGAAAGAGTGAAAGAGCTGTGATTAGTGACGGCGTCAACGTCTGATGCTGGACGTCATCTCAGGTTATCTCACAGTGAGGTTCAGTTCATCTAAGTACAGCTAACAATCAGACATCTAAATCTCTGCCTCCTTTCTCTCTTTCTCTCCAAAAACAAGTTGAAAAGTTCAGACATATATCTTTTACATCTCGGAGTTTAAACTCAGCGTCCCACTGCGAGGACGCCAGCAGCGCTTTATGCTAATGAGAATTAACGAACGAGATTAACTTCAATCTCTGCAGCTCCTCTGACCAGGATTTTCAGCCTTTACAGCTTTTGTTCATTTCCCTCACAGACGTAGATTCAATAATGAAATGTTTAAAATCTGAAAAGATAATAAAGTCGAGGTTTTTTTCTGTTGTTTGAGGATCTTTTGGAAGGAGGGTAGATCTGCGGTGTGAGGATATAACCTCAAAGAACTAAACCCTGTACGTTTTTACGCGTTTTTGACTATTTACAGTTGTTTCTGCCGCTCCTGGGATGAGACAGAGGACCACATCATACTGCTCAGAATCTCTTCCTTTCTTGTTTCCAAACATTGAGGACCATTATTTCTGATTTTACAGACAAGCAGGGAACTTTCTTGTCTTTTGCTGATCTTTGGTTGCCTCTTATTGGACACTACTGTCAAAGGAACAATGAAGGATGAAAGTTAAAGAGCTTGGACCTGATCTTTGCAGGAAAAGCTGAGGGTTAAAGAGCTTGGACCTGATCTTTGCAGGCGAAAATAAGAGTCAAAGAGCTTGAACCTGATCGTTGCAAGAAAAGCTGAGGGTTAAAGAGCTTGGACCTGATCTTTGCAGGCGAAAAAAAGAGTCAAAGTGCTTGAACCTGATCTTTGTAGGAAAAGATGAGGGTTAAAGAGCTTAGAATTGATCTTTGCAGGAAAAGCTGAGGGTTAAAGAGCTTGGACCTGATCTTTGCAGGCGAAAATAAGAGTCAAAGAGCTTGAACCTGATCGTTGCAAGAAAAGCTGAGGGTTAAAGAGCTTGGACCTGATCTTTGCAGGCGAAAATAAGAGTCAAAGAGCTTGAACCTGATCTTTGCAGGAAAAGCTGAGGGTTAAAGAGCTTGGACCTGATCTTTGCAGGCGAAAATAAGAGTCAAAGAGCTTGAACCTGATCTTTGCAGGAAAAGCTGAGGGTTAAAGAGGTTGGACCTGATCTTTGCAGGCGAAAATAAGAGTCAAAGAGCTTGAACCTGATATTTGCAGGAAAAGATGAGCATAAATGAGCTCGGACCTGATCTTTGCAGGCGAAGATGAGGGTTAAAGAGCTTGGACATGATCTTTGCAGGCGAAGATGAGGGTCAAAGAGCTTGGACATGATCTTTGCAGGAGAAGATGAGCATAAATGAGCTCGGACCTGATCTTTGCAGGCGAAGATGAGGGTTAAAGAGCTTGGACCTGATCTTTAGAACAGTAGCTACAGTGCTCCGACAAGCCATCAGGATTTTAAGTGCGCCTTATAGTGCGAAAATTACGGTAATAAGAAACCGAGGAGGACCACGACATAATGCGTGCCTTTCAAAATAAGCTATTTTTCAAAATAAAAGACACGTCAAACATCAGCTGTGCATGACATTTTAACTTTTTTGACCTGCTGTTCCACTTTTGAGAACCACCGTATTAGAGCACAATGGTAGCAGCGTCACCTACCGTAAAGCCCACTTCGATGCTCCTACAGTGGGTAAACCATGATAATCCGTCCCCTTTAATGATACTACCGTAGATAAACCTGCCCTCCAGCTGCCCTCCTGGTGTACAAAACTAAACTCTGCCTTCAGGACATCATTCTAGGTTATTAAACATGAATATGTGCCCTTAGGATGATCTTTCAGGACATCAATTATGAAAAAGTCCCCTTCAAATACACAATTGTTGGAAGAAAATGTCCTCTGGATGACCCTCTAATTCATCAAAAGTGATAAAGTGCAAATAGAGCCACGCAACGACAGTATAAACCCAGTTTATGATCAGAGAAGGCCAAAAACAGGCAGGAGTGGTTTTCATGTTCTGAGGTCTGATGGTTCATTTTTCATCAAACTGTCTGAGGTAGGAGAGTCGGCGGCGTGACGGTAATAGTTTCAGTGTGCTCACCTGAGACCCCCAAGACTTTAAACCCTTAGATATCACATGACAGGAATTTAACTTTCCGACGTACCGTCAGATATGAGAGCGGACACCCAGGCTCCACGCCGACAGATAAGACAGGCGGGCTGAAACAGTCACCCATCAGTCACCACGTTCGTCTTTATCTCCCACCTTTCCTCTTCGCCGACTCCGTCTCCTTTTTTTCTGTCTCTCCTCTGGAAACTTCAATCAGTCGTCTGTTAACACTCATCATCTTCCTCTTTCTTTGTTTCTGTCTGACATTTATCTCTGTCGTCTCTCTCTCTCTCGCTGTGACTCATCGTTCCAGTTCGGAGGTTGACGTTTTCAACCCCTCCAATAACACAATCAAACTTTTCAGACACTTCCCTCAACCGTCCGTTTCAGACACTTCACACTTTGATCTGAAAAATGAGCTTTACACGCTCAGAAGGAACTCTACAACCCAATCTTTGTTGGAGAGATAAACGAGGCGCCGAGTGGAAAATCTCTACGCTAGAAAGAATAATGGTGCTATCTCAGAAAAACAATGTACTACCAACAAATCTAACCAAGAGAGTGGCAGACAAACTCATCTTGAGATACACAAACACATTAGAACCCGTCAACCGACATAAATTGTTGAAAGGAAAGAAACTCAAATATAGACGAGAGAAAAAGAAGTTTTTAACCATCAACAAACACGAACTCAGGACAATTTATCAACTGGTTCTTGTTAAAGATGTGCCAGAACATGGGGGGTCACTATGGAAGTAAATCTGTGCCATCTGATTTTGAATTTGAATTTGTAATTTTTTTTTTGCGTCAAAATCAGACTTTGAATTTCAAATTGATCGACTTTCAAGCACATATTTTTGTTTATTTTTTTCACAATGATGAAATAAATTCAGTGGGGAAAAAAACAAAATATTAATTTAGTGACAATTTAACTGAAAAAAAACTGAACAAATTCAACATGAAAAAATCCAGTGTCAAATGATTGAAATTGATTTTTTTTTACACTGAATTTTTTTGTTATGTTAAATTTTTGAAAGGTCGAATTTTTAATAAAAAGTATTTTAAAAGACTTTTTTCCCATTGAAATGAATTTTTTTACACTGAATTTTTTGTCATGTTTATTTATTTGTTTTTTAAACAGATTATTTTTTTAGTTGAAATTTTACTAAACTAATATTTTGAGAGACTTTTTTTCCCCATTTAAATTGAATTCTTTTACACAGAATTTTTTTGTCATGTTGAATTTTTTTTAAGGTTTAGTTTTTACTAAACTAATATTTTAAAGATGTTTTTTTTTTCACACTGAAATTGAATTTTTTTAGACTAAAATTTTTTGTCATGTTGAATTTATTTTTACGCAGATTTTTTTAGGTCGAATTTTTACTAAACTAATATTTTTTAAAAAACTGTTTTTCCCCCTGAAATTGATTTTTGTCATGTTGATTTTTTTTTTTTTTTTTACAAAGATTTTTTTAAGTCGAATTTTTACCTAATGAATATTTTTAGAAACTGGGTTTTTTTCCCCACTGAATTAATTTCATCATTGTGGAAAAAAAAAAAGTCAGATATAAAATCACATGCTCGAAATTCGATGGTTTTGAAATTCAAAGTCTGATTTTGATGCAAAAAAAAATTCAGCTTTAGAAATTCAACTTCAAAATCAGATGGCACAGATTTACTTCCATAGCTTACTCAGTCAGATCCACTTCTAACAGACCAACCAAACCCCACAGAAAAAAACGCACATTTACAAGGTGCTGAAGTGGGTCTTCAGCTGGACTCTGATCCAGATTTTGAAGGAGTCTTCTCTACGGTTTCTAAGTAAGTCAGTGAACACATAACCTTGTCCGTTTGACGGATCTAGACTTGGGTTTTGTTGATTTTAATCTCGCTGCACTGTCAGAATTTTAGGATGTTGAGTTATAAAGATTAAATATCCTTCTACGCCGATGATGTGGTTCTATGGTTTTCAACTGATCTTGATCTCACGAACTCGCTGCAGCGGTTTACGGCCGACTATGGGTGTGAAGATTGAACATGTGGAGGTTTTTCAAACATTCAGGATCGTCTTCAGAGAGCATGAGATCGTCTTATAATGGACATCATTCATTCATTTCTGGCAGATGTTTGTTTTAGTGAACCAATGAGGGAGGAGATGCCGTACAAACGCTGTTCTGAATTTAGCGAACACACGGAGGGAGGGATGTAAACTGTATCTCGCCCTCCCTGTGGCGCTGACACAGACAGTTCAAACTCCGGTTGAATTACAGGTCAACCGACTCTGACAAAAGAGGGAGAATCTGGGCTAAGTGTTACCATGGGGGGGTCGTCTCCAGGCCAGAGTGCCTCATGGGTATTCACATTCGCACTGCAATGAATTCTTCAGAAAGATGAAGTATCTGATTTACAGTAACATAATTATCATTTATATATATACTACCATGTTTATATATATTCAGTTTATTAACTATATATATATATGAATATATGGATATGTATGTAATTATTAAAAATATGCTTACTGTATTATTCGCACTATGAGGCGCACCATCAATGAACGCGTCTATTTTTATACATAAGACACATTAAACCAAACAAAACAGTTGGATAAGTCAAATGACTTTATTCTCCGAAGTAATTATTTTATTACGACTTTATTCTTGTTGATGATTTGATTACAACTTTATTCACATAAGTAATTTTTTTAATACAACTTTATTCTTTTAAGTAATTATTTAATTTAGACTTTATTCTCCGAAGTAATTATTTTATTACTTTATTCTCGCAAATAATTATTTTATTACAACTTCATTCTCGTAAATAATTATAGTATTAGTACTTTATTCTCATAAGTAATAAAGTCTCGTAAGTAATTATTTTATTACAACTATAATCTTTTAAGTAATGATTTGATTACTTTATTCTCATAAAAAATAATTTATTTATGACATTTTTCTCATAAGTTATTATGTCATTGATACTTTTATTCTTGTCAGTAAGGATTTTATTATGACTTCTTTTTAGTAATTATTTTAGTAAGATTTTATTCTTGTAAGATATTTTTTTGTTACTTTATTCTCTAAAATAAAAACTTTATTACAACTTTATTAATTGTAAGTAATTATTTTATTACGATTTTTTTCACGTAAGTAATTATTAAATTACAACTTTATTCTCGTAAGTAATAACTTTATTACTTTTTTCATGTAAATAGTTATTTTATCAAGACTTTAGTATTGTGAGTAATTATTTTATTACTTTAATCTCATAAGTAATCATAGTATTACAACTTCAGTCTTGTAAGTAATTATTTTATTAAGATTTATTCTTGTACGTAATTATTATATAACAACTTTATTCTCGTAATTAATTATTTTAATGTGACTTTATTTTTGTAAGTAATTATGTTATTACAATTTTATTCTTTAATTAATTATTTTATTACTTTATTTTAATAAGTACAGATTTTTTAGACTTTATTCTTGTAATAAATTTCTTTATTACGACTTTATTATTGTAAGTAATTATTTTATTATGACTTAATTATTGTAAATAATTATTTTATAACGATTTATTCACATATGTAATTATTATATTACAACTTTATTGTTTAATTAATTATTTTTTTAGTAAGTACAGATTTTTTAGACTTTTTTCTCATAAGTTTTTACGAATTCTTTTTTTTTTTCTCTTCATGTGGCCCTAATACTCCGTCGTACTCGAACACGACCAGGATTGACCTTTTTTTAAAGAATGAAGCGTGTGTGTTGTTGAAATCGATGCTGCGTTTAACAGGATAATACTGTATTTGAATGTGAGAGAAGAAGACAGGAAGTCTTTAATTAAACGGACGTGGACCACATGAGGAAGATGATCGTCTGTTTCTGAAGATCTCGCCGTTTTATCTAAAAGTACCAAACATGAGAAACAGCTGATCCCTCATCTCTGCGATACGACCAGTGAGTTCAGACTCTTGGATTACATCACTAATGAATGTAACGGCGGGTATATTAGTGTCGCCACAGCAGGGGGGGGTTAATCCTCAATAAAATGACCTTAAATCGCAGCAGGAAGCTCATTCTACATAACAGTTAATCCTTCACGCGTCATTATCGGCGCCGCTGCTGCTTCGTTTACCGTCTAACACCACATGTTGACCTTCTGCCATTGTGGAGTAATTAGGATCAGGCTAATTTCCTGACGCCTATTAAACAGGTCGCCGCGGGACCACGGGGGGCTAACCGAGCAGGAACCTTGAAGAAGAAGAACCTTTCCTGCTTTACCTTCGGCAATTCAGCGTTCTAATTGAGACCCTGAAGACGAAGCGTCCTCGCCCCCCACACATATTAAATTTATTAATCCGCTCTTACTCGCCTTATTATCGCAACTGTACGTCTCTACTGGAGCTGAAAACTCATTTTGGATCGACTAAGACACACATCGTTGATTACATAAGCAGAATAATCCAAAGATCCCGCTCTGATTGGCTGATCTGCTTATTTCCTGTTTCGGATTAGCATAAAGTAGCATATTAAGCGCCGATCTGAGCTGACAGAAGAAGAAGAAGAAGAGATGTCACTTCGGTTTGAGCGGCGTCATGTCTCCTCTTTCTCTAAAACACACGTCAGTTCTGGTTTGTTGCTTCGGTCTGACTCAAATGAGGCGTCTGAGCCAATAAGCCGCCAGCCGCCGAATCTATGACGAATCCTGACAAGAGAGAGAGAGAGAGAGAGAGAGACAGAGAGAGAGAGAGAGGTTGTGTGAATCAGATGGAAAATAATGCAATTAATCAAGGTCAAACAAACGTACGGTAATGACGGTCTTTTTAATTCTCGTTAGTGAGCGTTCCCCTGAGAACGACGTGATGTGAGGTAATCACAATGATTTACTCAAAGTCCTGAATTATTCAGCGGGTGACAAACACACTCATGGAAAAGAGAAACAGCAGATACATTCACTCCTTTCTCCTCTCATCTTCTCATGAATAATTAACGGCTCAGTCTCATTGGTTCCTCCTCCTCCTCCTCATCCTCTCACACGTACAGATCCAGCTCAGACTAGATCGTCTTCTTCCTCCACTTCCAGGACAGAAACACTTTGAGGACGGTGTCCTGCTGCTGCTGCTGTGAGCGTCATTAATCCAGACCGGGGGCTGTTTGTCGACTCGGAGGACTTCACACCTGAACTCTCAGGTCGGCCTCAGGCGTGGAGGCGCAACAAATATGATGAAGACGGCAATAACTCTGCCATCCCAACAGTAAACCACACACAAACTCAGGCTGAGTCTTAGTTCAGAGTCCCAAAACTACCCTGCCCCTTTTTCAAGCATGAGTTTTGCACACTTCATGGCCTTACACACCGGGAATGATGCAAATATACGACGTGAAATTAAGACATATTCTGAGATGAATTTTGACGCGTCCCGGGTGGAAGCGAGAAGACTGCCCCAACAGCAGACTGAGTGTTTGTCAGTTCTGATTAGACTCTAGTGTTGAGATGTCTGTCTGTCATGTTAGCATGGACTGAGTCTGGGTCAGAACCAGATAAACACATGAAGCTATGCTAACAACCGTTAGCTTACGTTAGCACAGATGAAAGTTCAAACAAAGACGTTTATCAAACTGTTAAAGCTCACAAACCATCGTCAGATGAGAAATCCGACGCTATGACTCTCCACAAGTTGTCCTTCAGGTCGTTATCTTTGTAATGTTTGTGTCTTTGATCAAAAATCACTCTGTTCTCCGACATGTAAACAATCAGCCGTCTGCCATGTTGGACACACCGGAGTTCTCCTCTTAAACGGGACCTGCTTGATGGACAGCACAGCGTTCTCCGGTAAATCACTCGGTAGGGGGTTCGCAGTCGCCATTCCTACATCTTCTGTCATTAGGAACCAAGTGCAGAGTGAGGGGCGGACCGGCTTCCAGTAGAGCAGCTAGCTACTTCAGACGCATATTGTAGCTATGCGTCCGTTTGTGACCAATCTGGTCATGAATGTGCTTACATCATTCAAATTAGGCACGCTTGGGTGCTGGTCCTTGGCGCCCCTTAAGGATTTTTTAAATTTGGCTAGGATAAGCTAACTTTTTTAAGCAGAACTGTGATCTGAGCATGCTCGAGACAACAGACGTTCCGATTCCGCCATGACACTGGGTGGAGAGATCGTAGTATTTGTGTCTTTTATCAAAAATCACTCTGTTCTCCGACACGTAAACAATCAGCCGGTCGGCCATGTTGGATATACCGGTGAATCAGACGTCGCAACAACACGAAATCTGATTGGTCAGAAGTGGACACACAGAATGCAAAACTTTAGAAAAATCACTTATTCGCTTATTCCCGTTCCCGGGGTCTTCAGGGTCATCCTGGACAAGTCACCAGTTCATTGCAGGGCTGACATATCGAGACAAACAACCATCCTCGCTCACATTCACACCTACAGGCAATTTGGAAGTGGCCAGTTAACCTAACCCCACTTAGACATATTTTTGGGATGTGGGAGGAAAGCGGAGTACCAGGAGTAAACCCACGCAGACACAGGGAGAACATGCAAACTCCACACAGAAACGCCCTGAGCCGGATACAAACCCCGGACTTTCTTGCTGTGAGGCTGAAAAATCGACTGTGAAACGAAAAATAAATGCTGCAATATCGCAGGACGGGAAAACGTCGCTGATGTGAACGCTCCTGGTGTGAAAGGACCTTCCGTCAAGACGCGAGCCTGAGGGCGGGGACATTTGGCGGCTCAACCAGGAAGTCCTCTGAAGGGTAGACCATCCCAACTCACAAAAGCCAAACCATCTCACCCAGGGTACTCAAGTCCACATAACGGCAGTGTATGTGTATGGTTTTGGCGGCTTCTCTTCCACGGCTCATGTGGGTGTTACTTTTCACACCGCCTCACAGTCTTTACGGTAAAATGCTGCACACTTCCTCTCTTTGAGAAATAAGAACGAGAAAACAACAACAACCAGGAGCTCCTTTGTTCGATGAAGAAAGGCCTTTTCACCTTTGGAGCATCAAACTCTCACATGTGTTTCATAACCAAAGAAATAAAGTCCCTGTTGGTGTTATTAACCTCGAACCTTCAGTGTCATCTAAGCGGGTCGTCTCAGGCCGCCTGCTGTTCACACAACAAACACCCCCCCTGCTGTTCTGTTTTCAGCGGCTGACTGTGAAGAAGAGTTATCAATGATTCAAACCTGGTTTTAACAGAGAGCTGAAACTTTCTCCTCCTCCTCCTCTCGATTAGTTAAAACAGCGTCCTATTTTATAAAATTCATGACATTAAACTTTAAACTGATTTTTGGAAGTCTTGGGAGAATCTAATTTGAACTGAATTTATATGTAAAGAGAGGTTTAAAGGTGGTGATCAGGGCTCTCAGTATTCTGAACATGTACCAGTAGATGTGCTGGTTCTAATGAAGACTGAGCAGTTCCCATTATGGACATGGCCGTGTGATCCGGCAGCAGAAATGAGGATTTACAGCCCACCTCCCCCTGATGTAGAGTGTCAGTTTATAGATGCTGCTCGTCATTGTTCGATCCTGTCCATTGTTGTCAGCAGATTGTTTCTGTGGATTCAATACAGATCCTCCCATCAGCACAACTCCCACAGATTCCTGTTTACTGCATTCACAATCAAAACAATGGACAGAGGGTGTTGGCCGGCTCGAACCCGGAGAATTTCAATCCCAAGGCTGAAGCGCGCAGATGAGATAACAACAAGCCTGATGGATTTATTCACTGTAACACCCAAAGGGAGTGAAGCGAACCGCTCTGCGCTTCAGAGCAACGGTTCCCGATCATTTTTACACTAAATGGGTTTTCAGGTACAAAGAGCGATGAAACACTGGCCCCGTTTACATGGGTAGTTTTCCTCAATCTGATTGAAATCAATCGGATTAAGTGAATCTGATTCCATCTGTATACACTCACCGGCCACTTTATTAGGTACACCTGTCCAACTGCTCGTTAACACTTAATTTCTAATCAGCCAATCACATGCAGCAACTTAGTGCATTTAGGCATGTAGACATGGTCAAGACAATCTCCTGCAGTTCAAACCGAGCATCAGTATGGGGAAGAAAGGTGATTTGAGTGACTTTGAACGTGGCATGGTTGTTGGTGCCAGAAGGGCTGGTCTGAGTATTTCAGAAACTGCTGATCTACTGGGATTTTCACGCACAACCATCTCTAGGGTTTACAGAGAATGGTCCGAAAAAGAAAAAATATCCAGTGAGCGGCAGTTCTGTGGGCGGAAATGACTTGTTGATGCCAGAGGTCAGAGGAGAATGGCCAGACTGGTTCGAGCTGATAGAAAGGCAACAGTGACTCAAATAACCACCCGTTACAACCAAGGTAGGCAGAAGAGCATCTCTGAACGCACAGTACGTCGAACTTTGAGGCAGATGGGCTACAGCAGCAGAAGACCACACCGGGTGCCACTCCTTTCAGCTAAGAACAGGAAACTGAGGCAACAATTTGCACAAGCTCATCGAAATTGGACAATAGAAGATTGGAAAAACGTTGCCTGGTCTGATGAGTCTCGATTTCTGCTGCGACATTTGGATGGTAGGGTCAGAATTTGGCGTCAACAACATGAAAGCATGGATCCATCCTGCCTTGTATCAACGGTTCAGGCTGGTGGTGGTGGTGTCATGGTGTGGGGAATATTTTCTTGGCACTCTTTGGGCCCCTTGGTACCAATTGAGCATCGTTGCAACGCCACAGCCTACCTGAGTATTGTTGCTGACCATGTCCATCCCTTTATGACCACAATGTACCCAACTTCTGATGGCTACTTTCAGCAGGATAATGCGCCATGTCATAAAGCTGGAATCATCTCAGACTGGTTTCTTGAACATGACAATGAGTTCACTGTACTCAAATGGCCTCCACAGTCACCAGATCTCAATCCAATAGAGCATCTTTGGGATGAGGTGGAACGGGAGATTCGCATCATGGATGTGCAGCCGACAAATCTGCGGCAACTGTGTGATGCCATCATGTCAATATGGACCAAGCTCTCTGAGGAATGCTTCCAGCACCTTGTTGAATCTATGCCACGAAGAATTGAGGCAGTTCTGAAGGCAAAAGGGGGTCCAACCCGTCACTAGCATGGTGTACCTAATAAAGTGGCCGGTGAGTGTACATGAACTTTAAGTAAAGAGATCCATGTTCAGTCCGCGTTTTCATGGCCCCAGCTGAATCCAGTTGTATTGTATTGTATCAATGGGAATCGTTAATAGGAACCATTGTTTTAGTTCCGTTTTAGAGTTGTGCACGGACGTGTTTGTGTGTGACACCGCCGGAGTTACCAGACCGAGCAGAGTAAGGAACCCTGTGTGTTGAAGTTTAATAAAAGTATAATCCAGCCGGGTTACACAGCAAGAAGTGTACGCTTCGTCAGTCGCACGAAACGACACACTTTAACACGCCACCGTCCAGTTTTTCTGTTTGTTCGCCATGTTTGTTTTCGTTTGGGCGCGCTCTGCGTACGTCACTACGTGCCTCTTACGTACTACGGAGCGCCTGCGCAGACCGAACAAGCCTCTCCGTAAACCCAATCCGCTCCACTCAGCCGTATATATGGAGCATGGAGCGGATTATCAATCGGTGTAGACTACTTCTTACAATCCGACCCGAAATACAGTCAGATCCGGGTGAATCAGACTGGCTAAGGTGTTTATATGAGACATTTTGAATCTGATTGACCTTTCAATCTGATTGTAAATAGGATTTTTGGACCCATGTAAACGGGGCCAGTGACGGCAACAGCGGCTGAGAAGACTAGAAAACCGACTGAAGAGAAGGAGAGGGATTCTGGGAACTTTAAAGGCAGTAAAGGTTGTTTCAACTGCATGTAACTGATTTATATGGAAATACTGAAGATTAAAATGTTTGTTACATGAAGTTTAGAATGTTTGAGAAATAAAGTTTAAAATATTTGATACATGAAGTTTAGAATGTTTAGAATGTTTGATACATCCAAATTTAGAATGTTTGAATCAATGAAGTTTGGAATGTTTAATAAATGAACTTTAGAATGTTTGATACAGACACACACACACACACTCTTCAATTTGGAGTTTGTTGAACCTCTAACAGCTCCAAGGTTTGAGAGCGGACTGAAATACCTCTGATATTCTCGGTTATTTTCAAACACGGTCTTGTCAGGTCTGCGTTGGACTGCGGCGTTTCAATTCTCTTTACACGTCAGAACTTTATTTTAATCAAGCAGGCGGCGTTAAGACGCCCTGCAGAGAATCATTACCATCCTCCTTTCATCCCGCCTTTATTTCCCAGCAGCCACTGCTGTTTGTTTCTCTAAATAACTCTGAGAAATCTGAAGAGGAGGCTGAGTGTGTGTGTGTTTGTGTGTATATCTGTGTGTGTATCTGTGTGTGTGTGCGGTAGATTCCTTTGATACCAGATTAGCGAGTATTCTCAGAGCTGATCCAGGTGGGTGTTGGACATGATCCTGTCCTCGTCTTTTCTGCTCCTGATGTCCAAAGACTTGAACAAACGTGAACGCGTCTTTATTCAGCCGTTTTGTTTTTTTAACATTCGTCCCCGACCGTAATCAGATGAGACAGGAAGCTGGCGAGCATCTGTCCCGCTGAGCTGTCCTTAAAAACCACCATCCCTCCCTCTGACTCAGACTCTGGAACAAAGCTCCCACGATACTGAACCTTTGTTTTCTTGATCAGAAAAATCAGGATGTTGGCGGGAGGATTACACCGACCAATCTCAGTTGACTGATAATCCAGTGTTTGCCTCTAAGCCCAATCTCACTGCAGCGTCGACAGCTAACCTCTGAGCAGTGTTGCCATTGTAGTGACTCGGTTGCTATATTTAGCGAGTTTTCAGACCCCTATGAACCTGCGTTAGGGCCAGAAAAAACATTATTGTCTCACATCGCCACTGACAGTTTTTTTTTTCTATCGTCTCTTTTTGGTCCATTTAGATTTAGGTTGTACAAACTGTTTAAGATATTATATTTAAAATGTCGAGGCTTTACTGCGATTAGTCCTTTTTAAAACCAAACAAAACTTTCAAAAACTTAAAAAACAAACAACAAAAAAAAAACCTCAGTAACTCCTCCAAATTGTCTTGATTGGGTTATATTTGCCGATGGTCCCAAACCACGATAAAGGAGGAGGTTTAGTTTTGTGACATTAAAAGAAACAAGAATTGACAAAAAAAATCATTTGTAGTTCTAAACATTTTTACTCACTTTATATTCACTTTTTTACTTACTTTTTTATCCACTTTTTTTACTCATGTTTTTCTCACCTTTTAACTAGAATTTTTATTAACTTTTTTACTCAAATTTTTACTTACTTTTTAATTAACTTTTTACTGACTTTTTATTCACCTTTTTACTAAATTTTTTACTCACTTTTTACTCATTTTTCGTCACTTTTTTAATTCAATTTTTATCTAACATTTTATTCACTGTTTTCCTCATTTTTCCTCTTTTTTATCCACTTTTTACTCATTTTTTCTCACTTTCTTATTCACTTTTTTACTCATTTTTTCCTCACTTCTATTCACTTTTTTAGTAAATTTTTATTCACTGTTTTACTCATTTTTCTCACTTTTTATTCACTTTTTCACTCAATTTTTAGGCACTGTTTTTCCTCATTTTTTCCCTCACTTTTTATTCATTTTTTTTAGTAAATTTTAATTCATTTTTTTCTCACGTCTACTCACATTTTTACTCAATTTTTTACTCACTTTTTAATTCACTTTTTACTCATTTTTTCTCATTTTTACTCAGTTTTTATTCACTGCTTTTACTCATTTTTTCCTCACTTTTTATTCATTTTTTTAGTAAATTTTTATTTACCATTTTCCTCATTTTTTTCTCACTTTTTACTCACATTTTCACTCATTTTTTACTCACTTTTTTATTCACTTTTTTACTCACTTTTTTAGTAATTTTTTATTTACTTTTTTACTCTTTTTTTCTTTCTTTATTATTCACTTTTACTCACTTTTTTATTCACTTTTTTACTCACTTTTTGTCTCTCCCATGACCTTGTTCGTCTCCCTTACAGCGTCCATTACAATTTGGCCAACCATGCAAATTAGGCGATGACATCATTTAGCGACTTTAGGACAGCCAATAGCGACTTTCCTCACTGAGGAGTTGGTAAAACTTCTTCTGAGTACCTCAGAAACGAGCAGAGACGTGGAGCTGAAGCCCCTCCCTCTCCAAAGAACTGACACTGAGGTCAGCTGTGAATTTGAAGGTCTGGAATCGAGGACTTTAAGACGGTTTCATCTCCTCTAGTGGACACTTAAGGAACTGCAGTTATTCAACTTCCACGTTATAGTTGTCAGAAGTCCGTCTGCTGGGTCATGGTTTGAGTCCTGAATTTTGGTCTCCTTGCTGTGGTTCAGAGCCGAACAGCTGCACATTTGCACATTTGCACATTTCCACGAGGCTGGAGCAGAGCGGAGCACATGCTGAGGAGGAGAGCAGAGCGGAGCTGCAGACGGCGCCGAGGCCACGACCCCGAGAGAGCGAACAAGACAGTGATAATGTAAAGAGACAGGCTGTGCTCCTACTGCTGACCTCCGGACCTCTGTTCTCCTCGGGGAGGCTGTTCTACTTATTAAACCAACAACTGAGCCATGATGCTGTAATACAACGACGACGGCGAGGAGGATGAGCCGCATTTAAAAAGCTTTTTTACGTCCACACCGCGTCTCTTACATTATTCATCACTACGATGACGACGACAAGGAGGGAATGACATCAGCCCACATCTGTGTCTCCATAAACCCGGGTTTGAGTGACTGCGACCTTCTGTGTCGGCACATTTATGTTCCCCATAAAAAAAAGAGAAAGTCAGCGATATTTAACGACTTCTCTTCAGATGATGCTCATGGATATTCCGACATTTCTTCATCGGCTCAGAGTTCGGCATCAGGAGGCGGTTTAAAATGAGTTTTAAAGTTTGAAGAATAACATCCAGGATCATGAAATTCTCCTCAGACTCTGATCCTCGGTCCGTGTCTTCTCCGTCCATTCAAACTAGTAAACAAAAAAACGAGCCAATATTTTGTTTAATTGGTTTTTCTAAAACTGTGTAAAAATTTAACTTGAAAAAAAAATTCTGTGTAAAAGAGACCAACTCAACATCCTGGTAACCAGGGAGAAGCAATTGATTCCGACCCCAGTGAGCCAGGAATTGATGACACTAACGATGAATTTTTTTAAAAGTTTTTTAAGTCAGGGTTTTACCGAACAAATACTTTGATGGACCAATTTTTTTGCACTAAATTTATTTACACTCAGGGTTTTTTTTATATGTTGAATTTTTTTTTACACAATTTTACACATTTTTTTAACAAACAGATATTTGGAGATTTTTTTTTAAACTGAGTTTCTTTACACTTATTTTTTCTTCTGTTTAATTTTTTTTACAGTTTTTTAAGTCAAATTTTTACCAAAGAAATATTTTGAGGGATCTTTTTTTTACTCTGAATTTATTTACACTGAGGTTTTTTTATGTTGAATATTTTTTACACAGTTTTTTATGTCAAAATTTTACTAAACGAATATTTTAAGAGATCAATTTTTTTACTCAGATTTCTAATGTTGAATTTTTCAAGTTTTTTTTAAGTAAAATTTTTACTAAACAAATATTTTGAAAGATCTTTTTTATACTGAATTTATTTACACTGAGGGTTTTTAAGCTGAGTATTTTTAGTTTTTTTAAGTAAAAATTTTACTTAATGAACATTTTGAGAAATTATTTTTTTACACTGAGTTTATTTACACTGATTTTTTCTTATTTTGAATTTTTTTTAACAAAATTTTTTAGTCAATTTTTCCAAACAACTATTTTTAGAGACTGATTTTTTTACACTGAATTTATTTCATCATTGTGAAAAAAATGAGCATCAGAAATAAAATGCGTGCTTGAAATCCAACGATTTTGAAAATCAAAATCAGATTCTGATGCAAAAAAAAATTCAGCTATAGAACTTCTAAGTCAAAATCAGATGGCACAGATTTACTTCCATAAACCTTTGACCCCGGCGTCCCTCTGATGGCGTTAAACTGTTCTCCTCATGTTTGGATCGTCACAGCCTCGTCTAAAATCACTCCTGGATCATTTGGAGAAGATCTCAGACTTGGACCTGCACTTCGTTGACCTTCCTGCTCTGAAAAGAAGAGTATGTATATTTCTGAAGGTCATCGCTGCTCTCAGCTGTGACCTTCACTGAACACGTCTTCATACCTGAACACATAATGACTCTGTTCGCCAAGGTTGGAGGATGTAAATAACAGGAATGTTTGACCTTCCTGATGAATAGACAACACATTCTTGAGTGTGTTGGTGTTAAGTGTGTTTTCTCTGTTGTATTCATGTGTGTGTGTGTGTGTGTGTGTGTGTGTGTGTGTGTGTGTGTGTGTGTGTGTGTGTGTGTGTGTGATCTTTCAGCCTTGAGAGTGAAGAGGAAATAAGAGGAGTGTATAAAAAGACGGAGAGTTGGTTTAAAAGTCGTGGTTTTTAGTGTTTAATTTGGTGTGAAATGATGATGCTGAGAGAAACTGATGGAGTAGGAGGGTGGGTGGTGTAGAAGAGTTCATGTAGATTTAGGAGTTTATTGACGAATGGAGAATCGTTGGTTTGTGTTTCAGACGCCCACACCGAGAGCTGACAGGAACTTTAAAATATTTCAGATCTGACCCCCCCACTGTCCCCGTCCTCAGTGTCCTTCAGCATCTAGACTGTTCTTCTCTACGGTTAGTAAAGCAGATCGACTCTTGAACTAAATTTATCGACTTCTACTGTCTTCATCGTTTCCCTACGATGGTTCAACAGTTTCATGACCATCAAGAATTCTGTCCCGTTTTATTCTGTTCTATGATGTTCTTTTCTATTCTTTTCTCTTCCAGTCTGTCCAATTCTCTTCTGTTCTATTCAGTTCCTTTCTATTAAATTCTATTGTATCGTATTCTAATCTGTTCTCTTCTCTCTTCTCTATTTGGTTCTAATTTATTCGGCTTTGGTCTTTTCTATTATTTTCTTTTCTATTCTGATCTGTTCTTTACTATTCTATTCTATAAAGCTCTATTTTTATTTTAAATTCTTCTATTTTGTTCTGTTCTATGATATCTTATTCTATTCTATAAAGCTCTATCTGTTATTTGATCATTTTTCTATTCCATTCTATTCTATTCTAACTTATTCTTTTCTATTCTGTTCTATTCTTTTCTGTTTTATTCACCTCTATTCTATTTGATCATTTTCTATTCTATTCTCTTCTATTTTATTTTATTCTTTTCTATTTTTTCAATTCTATAATTTTCTAGTCTTTTCTATTCTATTTATTTCTATTCTATTCTATTTCTTTTCTATTCTATTTTTTTTTCTATGACACCATTTTCTGTTTTATTCGATTCTGTTGTTTTCTTCTACTTCACTCTTTTTTTTTATTTCACTTTATTCTGCAGTTATTTATTCTACTCTGTTCTTTTCTACTTATTTCTTTTCAGGTCTTTTCAAGTCGATTCGATTCTTTTCTATTCTTTACTGTTCTATTCTATTAAGCTCTATTTTATTCTTTTCTATTTTTTTCCTCCTCTGTTCTATTCTGTTATAATTTATTCTGCTCTGTTAATTTTTTATCCCCTTTTTCTGTTCAGTTCTATTCTATTAGACTATTTTGTTCCTTTCCTTTTTTCCTCTGTTATTTTCTATTCTTTTTTAATCTATGTTGTTCTGTTCTTTTTTTATCCTTTATTTGGTTCTTATTTTCCTCTCTCACGTCACCAACAGTTGGACTGATCGAGGATCAGAAAATAAAAAATCTGGGAAACATGTTTTTGGGTCTTTTTCTAGTTAAGTTCTACAAAAGTGTGTTTTTGTCATCAGGCCAATCACCACATTTCTCCGACACACACACACACACACACACACACACACACACACACACACACACACACACGTTCACACACTTCTGAACAGATTCACAAAGACAGAGAAAATAATGGAAACACTCTGAACACAATCGAACAGCTCCGAGGAAAATTGAATCTACTCGACTATTTATAAGGTAATTATCTCTGCTGTGTACCTGTCCATCTATGTTGAGGACCGACCTGCACACACACACACACACACACACACACACACACACACACACACACACACACACACACACACACACACACACAGCTGTTAAATGATCATTTTGAAATGTTGCATAAATCCATTAATATGATAATCTAGGATTTCCATCAGTGTAATCTCATTCTCCTCACTGTCTCTATTTTGAAGGAACCTTTTCTTACTCCTGAACTGTTGTTTAAACGACTAACGCTCTGTATCAGGAGGATCAGTGGTCTGGGTTCCTGGGTTAAAACCTCGCCAAAGACCTGACCTGGAGCATCAACAGTCTTCTCTGGTTGAGGAGGATCACTAACCCTCGTTACCCTCCCAGAGTTCTTCGGATTAGACGATTTGATTGGACAACTGTCCTCGTCTCAGTTTACACGGACTGAACATGGATCTGTCTATTGATCAGAGACCGCCGCCTCCTCGACCGGCTCGATACGTCTTTGACCAACTTTGTCACGTGCCGAAACAATCGACAAACATGTTAGAGAGAGGTCGTCCATCGAACGATAAACTGAGGCGTACATGACGTAAAGGAACTCGATTCCAGACGACGTTATCAGGGATCTTTCAATCTGACTGTGAGGCAGAGTAGCAGGTAGAAGGTCCCTGCAGACCGTGGCGAAAGCTTGGACAGAGGACTGTGGGAAGAAGCCGACCCAACGCTGTCCGTGATCCGCCACGAAATTCACCTCACAAACAGATCTGGTAGGAATTGGCGTACGGCGAAAATTGCCACCTTTCTGGATGCGGTGGAAATCCTGGGTTAGTCCCCGTTTCTCAAAGCTGTGGTAGATCACTAAGACCGACTCTAGAGACTTCTCAGGGTTCACAACAATGGCATGCACACACACGCCTCCTTTTCCTGTTAACAAACAAATCCAACGGCACAAATCAAAACGTGAAGCTGCTGCGTCCTGGAAATGGGGAACAACAGCAAAACCTGGCCAAACAAACGGATCCAGTAGCAACAGGTGAGAATCTAGTTACTGACAGAAGAAACCACAACGGTTGGTCCTGATGTACCCCCCCCCCCCCCCCCCCCCGTCTACCTACAGACCCATAGACCGACTCTAGAGACTTCTCAGGGTTCACAACAATGGCACGCACACACATGCCTCCTTTTCCTGTTAACAAACAAATCCAACGGCACAAATCAAAGCGTGAAGCTGCTGCGTCCTGGAAATGGGGAACAACAGCAAAACCTCATGAATACAAAATAGGATCAATTTATTAATTTCTCATACAAACAAACAAATCCAAGAATAATGAATGTGGACCTGCAGCAGAAATCTCCTCTCAGACCAGCTCAGTGCAGAAAAAAACACATAGACGTGTCTTTAATTATCTCCTTTTTTCACCCTCACGCTCAAAAGACAGAAATCAGCGATGTGTGGAGATTGATTAATGGAAAAGTCATCCGTCTCCTCGTACGCCGTGGAGATGTGAACAAGCTCATCAGTAAACAGGAAATCAATTAGATGTCGTGTTTGACGTTTCATACATCACTGTTTCCGTGCACCTATACATCATTATAGCGTCTCAGGTCCGCTCAGGCGTTCACGAACATGTGGAAATGATGTGGGTCTGATCTGGAGCCTCTCCTCTTTACAGAACTGATTAAAGTATTTATTAAAAAAAAGGTGATAAACTCTAAATGAAGAGGTTTGAAGTTTGAGAACCGCAGTTCAGTCAGTGTCCACTAGAGGCTGTCTCCAAAAGTGAGTCGATCCCTGTAGAGCCCCGTGTTAAAAAGAGCAACTTTCCAACAAATGAAGGAAAAGCAGTTCTGGTCTCAGACCTGCACTTCTACAGGGGTCACAGGTCAAGTCGAGGTAGGAGAGGGTGTCACGGAAGTGATATTTTTTTTTGGGATGGTAGGGGAAAGTCCCGCCTCCTTCGCCTCTGATTGGCTCAAAAAGCTGGAAACGTCATCACACGCTCAAGTCAAATGGGAGCTGTCGGCTCTGGACATCGAACAGAACATTATCGCACTCCGGAATCTCCTAACCCTAACCTGACAGACGATGACGTTCCCCGCCATTAGGAAGAACCAATCAGTGCCCAGCACTTCTAGCCACTTAAGAGGCAAAGGAGGGCGGGACCTTCCCCTACCATCCTCCAAAAAGAAAATTCGCTTCCGGAATAGGGTGACAGAGGGTCTCCGATGTCCATAAATGTGGGATTCTGGGATCTTTGTGCGATCAGACGTGCAGATCCGCTCGCCTTGTTTGCATGAGGACTAAAACAGTCCGACTGGTTTAATGAAGCTCTTCAACCTCATCCACAGGGAGACGAGACGCTCTGAAAATCAGACAGAGAGAGACGGACAACCTTTGACCTCCTCTTCTTCACAACACGGCGTTTTCCTCCGGGACGTTATTTCTCAGCGAGCGTGTCGGTTTGTCGTCAAATGAGGGCTTGACTTCCTGGAATCCTCCTGGGTTTCCCCCCCGAACACACCATCAGAGAGAGGATTTGTGTAGACGTTGACCCGCGTCTACCTGAGGTATTAACTTGTAAAAGGGTTTGATGATGATAGAGGAGGAGGAGGAGGTAATCCTGGGATGGTGTGAGGCATCATGGGTAAAGAGAACCAGCATGGTGAATGTTCCCCGGGGAGTTTGGGAAATTGAGGTCAAAATGTGAGGCAACAAGACCCCGGAATCACAGACTGTGAATACTAATGAGTCCTTTAAACGTCTCCATGTGGAGGAAGGATGGAGTTTCCATTAACACGAGGACCACCAGGACCCCCAGGACCAGCAGACGGGGGTTTGTTATTGTTCTCTAATTCACCATGGAGACGTACTTATCTTCCTCGGTACCTTTAAGACGCTTTTATTGTCACTTTATTCAGTAGAACCAGCAGACTACACTAACCTCCATTTTCCTGTAAATACAGCGGTGAAGTTAGTTTCAGGTTGGATATATTCTCCTGTAAATACGGTGGTGAAGTTGGTTTTAGGTTGGATATATTTTCCTGTAAATACGGTGGTGAAGTTGGTTTTAGGTTGGATATATTTTCCTGTAAATACGGTGGTGAAGTTGGTTTTAGGTTGGATATATTTTCCTGTAAATACGGTGGTGAAGTTGGTTTTAGGTTGGATATATTTTTCTGTAAATACGGTGGTGAAGTTGGTTTTAGGTTGGATATATTTTCTGTAAATACTGCGGTGAAGTTGGTTTTAGGTTGGATATATTTTCCTGTACATACCATGTTGAAGTTAGTTTTAGGTTGGATATATTTTCCTGTAAATACGGTGGTGAAGTTAGTTTTAGGTTGGATATATTTTTCTGTAAATACGGCGGTGAAGTTAGTTTTAGGTTGGATATATTTTTCTGTAAATACTGCGGTGAAGTTAGTTTTAGGTTGGCTATATTTTCCTGTAAATACGGTGGTGAAGTTAGTTTTAGGTTGGATATATTTTCCTGTAAATACGGCGGTGAAGTTAGTTTTAGGTTGGATATATTTTTCTGTAAATACTGCGGTGAAGTTGGTTTTAGGTTGGATATATTTTCCTGTAAATACGGTGGTGAAGTTGGTTTAAGGTTGGATATATTTTCCTGTAAATACGGCAGTGAAGTTAGTTTTAGGTTGGATATATTTTCCTGTAAATACGGCGGTGAAGTTAGTTCTAGGTTGGATATATTTCCCTGTAAATACTGCGTTGAAGTTGGTTTATGGTTGGATATATTTTTCTGTACATACCATGTTGAAGTTAGTTTTAGGTTGGATATATTTTCCTGTAAATACGGCAGTGAAGTTAGTTTTAGGTTGGATATATTTTCCTGTAAATACAGCGGTGAAGTCAGTTTTAGGTTGGATATATTTTTCTGTAAATACTGCGGTGAAGTTGGTTTTAGGTTGGATATATTTTCCTGTAAATACAGTGGTGAAGTTAGTTTTAGGTTATATATCATTTTCTGTAAATACTGCGGTGAAGTTAGTTTTAGGTTGGATATATTTTTCTGTAAATACGGCGGTGAAGTTAGTTTCAGGTTGGATATATTTTCCTGTAAATACGTCGGCGAAGTTAGTTTTAGGTTGGATATATTTTCCTGTAAATACGGCGGTGAAGTTTGTTTTAGGTTGGATATATTTTCCTGTAAATACGGCAGTGAAGTTGGTTTTAGGTTGGATATATTTTCCTGTAAATACAATGTTGAAGTTAGTTTTAGGTTGGATATATTTTCCTGTAAATACGGCGGTGAAGTTAGTTTAAGGTTGGATATATTTTTCTGTAAATACGGCGTTGAAGTCAGTTTTAGGTTGGATATATTTCTTGTAAATACGGCGGTGAAGTTAGTTTTAGGTTGGATATATTTTCCTGTAAATACGGTGGTGAAGTTAGTTTTAGGTTGGATATATTTTTCTGTAAATACGGCGGTGAAGTTAGTTTTAGGTTGGATATATTTTTCTGTAAATACGCAACAGAACGGAAGGAAGTCGGTGGAAATCGACACGTTAACTTGAAAGGTTACGATCAGCTACGATCGGAGGATACGACCTTTTCGTAGACGTTCCGGTTGCGGTGGAAACTGGGAGTAAGTGGACTCAGTCTACAGGGTCTTTACGGCTCAGGTGGACTAAAGCAACACGTGTTTGCGGAGGGGGAAACCTGAGGTCTGGGGGGGAACACCTGCCCCTCGAAGACAAGGAGGTTTTCAGATCCGGGTGAAGAGACGGTCTGACGCCTTCAATTAGAGATTTGACAGAGAGAAACTCTGACAGGGAATGAATCTTTAACCTGCTACAGCGAACACTTTCCTACCTGAGAAACCGTCTCTGACTGACAACTCTGACTTCAGGGAGATTCCTGCGCCCACGCTCTTATTTTGGCGGGTTTAGTTTCATGTATTTTTTACTTACAAGCCCACAAGAGGAGCTGAGAGGAGCAGGTTTGCTGCAGTCCTGTATACTGGAGCGGTTCCGGCCCGTTCTCCGTCTGATGTGAATTAATGAAAGACAAGAAGAGATGAGAAAAAAGAGCGAATCAATTAATGGAAGCTCTCACAGCAACAGCAGGAGTAAAAGTCTCTTCAAAAGGACTTCAAAAATGTCCGTCTTCAAAAGAGGGAATCCTCAAAGGACTCGGAGTGTGTGTGTGTGTGTGTGTGTGTGTGTGTGTGTGTGTGTGTGTGTGTGTGTGTGTGTGTGTCCTCGGTTTGTTTACAATTGTTCGAGTGTCTATCTGCTTCCAGCCCGAGGACCCTGGGGGATGTTTTACTCCCAGTGTTGAAGGACCTTAATCTTTCTATCGTAGAGTGAAGATATTTCTGTATCGCCGTGGAAACAGACTCAGAGTGCGTGTAACTTGAACGCTGTGTGTCTTTTTTTCAACACATTGACTCTCAAACAGATCCTAAACTAACATGTTTGATTCTGGAACAGATGAGGGTGAAGATGAAGCTCAGAGAGGTCATGTGGCTCCATCTAGTGGCGGTTTCAGGGTTTTTCATCATTTATCAATGATTTAATAAGAAACTTCTACTGTAGTAAAATGAAAAGGTAAAGGTGTTTTTATTGAGCCGAATTATCAATAAAATCATGATTTTGTTAACAGGTATGAATTTATGTTCTGTTGAGTTAATATATGTGAACAAGAGCACAGTAAAGTTAAATCAGCTAATTTTCCAATGAGGTTCTGTTACTAAACTGAACTACACCATGTTCTAATGAGGTTAGTACATATAGGGTCACAGACATAGTACTAGACACCAAACATCTTTTTAACTTTGACTCATTTCTTTAGCAAAGAGACTAAACACAACTCACCTACTCTCTTCCAGCAGACGCTTGTTTGTAGCGAGACCTCAGGCCAGTCCATCGACTACAGCGGGGTGACACAGCTCAAGGAAGAACATTTATGATAATTTCTTCATGGAAATACAATCAGACCGAGACACTAAGACAGAAGAACTACAGCGTCTGTAAAATGATTAATATGGTGATTATTACTTCAAGGAAATGATAAAGAACTGATCATAAATGTTCTTCCTTGAGCTGTGGCACCCCGCTGTAGTCCGTAATGGACTGGCCTGAGGTCTCTGGCCAAGTGTCTGTAACAGAAGTGTTTCTTGTCAAACGGGACCTGCTGTAGCGTGTCGTAGCACCATCGCTAAACTGATTTCCTGTCCTGATAGAGGATTTCAGCTGCTCAAAAGTTTAGGGTCTCCTCTGTCCTGTTTTTGGTGTTGTGATCCTCCAAATATTTTCAAAGTCAGGACCGCATCAGTCCAGTTTCTCAGCAGGACTCTTCTCCTACAGAGCCATGCTGTTGTCAGAATGTGGTTTGGGATCATTTGAAGGTCTTCTCTGAGGTCGGTGTTGGGACCGATGGTGGTGCTACACTTCCAAACCGCTCGGTGATAATTCGAGGCACGTCAAAGGCCTCCCTGAACAGGAAGTACAGTCTGGATTATGGCGTCCTCAGTTTGCCTAATCACTGTAGTAACCCTTGGCGGCCCTGGGATGTAAAAGTCCTTCATCAACCACCATCTTCTGATGTCTCTTGGTGACCTTCAACCAGAGCTGTTGTGATACTCCTCAGCCTTACACTGTCAGGTTCCTGGTTTACCTCCACCTGTACCTCCCACTTGTGGTTTCTGCAGGTGGGTACTCTGTCAGAGTTCCTCCTTTGACCCTTTGGCTGGTTTTGACCCCCTCTGTGCTGTTGACCTCCCTTCAAGGTATGTTTAATGCGTGGGCCCGGCAGAAACACCCACACCATAACAAACAACCTCTGGGGAAGCTGAACAAACAGACCTGTTTTGAACAGACCTGTCACCTTTTTACTGTCAAACCCGACAAGACAGCTCAAATAATCGTACAGCAGCGTCTGAGCGGCACTTGGAGAGGAAGGACAGCCGAGACGAAGATGAAGAGGCTCCTCTGCTTCACTCTGATATGGGCGGCTTCAACTCTGGTGAGGAAAACAACTTTTTTTTAAAATGACAGGACCTGAATTCTGAACAGTTTCTGATATTTTTTTTTCTAGCTGTATCAGGATTTCGTTACTGAGAGGGACAACACAAAACCTTGAGACTAAGGACACCAGAACTCTTTGTTTGTAGTTTTAGATCCACTGTCACATTTTTTGTTTGTTTGTTTAAAACCACATTTTCACTTGTTTACTTTCTTGGGTTTCTTGTTTCAGTAGACGCTCTGACCATCTCTCATATAATTGTAACTGTATTCAAACAAAAGTAAAGGATGACCAAGAAAAGAAAACAAGTTCAGGAGAGGTTCAAATGCACAAGAAGCTGTAGAAGAAGAAAAGGAACCACAAACAGGTGCTGACGTCCTTCGGTCTAAACCGGCTCTCAAGGTTTCTCGTGTCCTTCTCAGGTGCAGACGTTTAATTTGACCGAAGAGGAACAAGACTCAGGCTTACCCCCAGCAACCCACCCTGAAGACCCAGGTACTTCCCCCTCTTTAACTTCAGGTATCTACATTTGGAGTCAAGATGTGCTGAAGTCCTGTAAACCAAGATTTAAGAAATACAGTCGACTGAGTCCCATGATGGACAGTTTGTTGGTAAACTCAAAGGTTTACCAAGCGGCGAAGTACTTCTGGTCCGAATAGTCTTTTAAAGCAGAACTTAATGGTGCAGATGTCAGCCCAGTCTCAGGTGTGCCCCACATGCAAACAGGGTCAAGAAGAGATGGGTGTTCTAGATCTGGCTTCACAGTTACTGGCAATTTCAACAGCATCTGGAACCACTACGAAAACGCCGTATTCCACGATAGTAGCTGATCATTTCTATTCAAGTTAACGTGTCGATTTCCACCGGTTTCTTTCCGTTGCACTGCAGATTTTTTTCCGGACGCCGGAGCATGGCGGATAAATTCAGCACAGATTAACCCGTGCTGGAAAGGAAGTCGGGCACAGACACAAAATAAAACATCCGGCTTCTTTTCAAAATAAAACACTCTTTGATTCAGGCGGATCGTACTTCACACCATCTACTGCTTAAATGGTTAGTCTATGTGGCTAAAGACAACTTGTTATCTTGTGATTGCACGTGAATCTGCAGGTTCTTGTTAGTTATCTGATTCCTGCTGTCCGTAATCCGCCATAAAATTCGTCTCACAAACGGATCCGGTAGGAATTGGCGTATGGCGAAAAACGCAACTGTTCCGGATTGGAGCCATTCCGGTTGCAGTGGAAATCCCGGGTTAAACCTCTGAGTACAAACCTCGTCTCTTTTTTCTCCTTTTTTTTTTTAAACTTTAAGTTTTGAGTCGACTGAGCCGTCCTCACCCCGTGTGTCTTTGTCTTTGTTTGCAGACACTAAACCTAAAGTTCCCTGGCCTCACCGAAAATCAAGCCTGTCGATTTGTCTGAAGGACGACGACTACGACGATCTCCTAGACATCGTGAGGGATGGACTTCCTAAAACCAACTCTTCTCATCATGTTGTCATCGTTGGAGCCGGAATCGCAGGACTGACTGCTGCAAAGCTGCTGCAAGATGCAGGATACAACGTAAATGAAAGACGATCATGTGTCTGAGTTTACTTTGAATGATTTAATCCAGCAGTAGGAGATTCTAGATTAGACGTTATCGCAGTGGGGTTAGGATGCACTGGTTTGCTATTTAATTAACAGTAATTAGTCGTAACAGACATAACTGCTTCTTCGTTTTCTCAAGGTAACCATTTTAGAGGCCAGCCATCGTGTCGGAGGACGAGTGGAGACGTACCGTAACGAGGAAGAGGGCTGGTACGTTGAATTTGGAGCAATGCGGATTCCAAGCTCTCACCGGTGAGGTTTTAATTCCTGAATTGAAAATAAATCTTGTTCACAGTCCCTCAAGAGAAGATATGAACATGCAGAGATGTTTGGGTATGACCATCATCTTGACTCATAATCTGAACGCCACCGTCACTCCCTCTCTGAACAGGATTGTCCTCTCGATGGCCGAACAGCTGGGGGTCAAGTTAAATGAATTCCTCATGGTTGACGACAACACCTTTTACCTGGTTAATGGGCGGCGTGAAAGGACTTCTACTGTGAAGGAAAACCCTGATATCCTGGGGTACGATCTGCGGGACGACGAGAAAGGAAAGTCAGCAAGCAAGCTACTGTATGAAGCCTTGGAGAAGGTACGTAAAAAAAGGACAGGAATAAACGTAACCGGTACATTTATCAATAAATACGATTCCTCGGCCTTTGTGATAATTCACATTTCTGCTGGTTCTCAGACTCCCAAGTAAAATACATTTAATTCCATGTATCTGACTCTCGTAGAGCAGCTTGTCGTCAGCATAGAGAAATTAAATTCCTTCAGGATTACATTTTAAATGATCGGATCAAGATGATTTGAACAGGTTATTGGGTGATCACCAAAACTATTTAGCTTGACGTCTCTATCATTAATGACCAATCTTATCAAAGACAGTAACCTCTCTCTTTGTTTCCTTTAGGTGGACGATGAAGCGTCAGCCAACGGTTGCTTGGCTACACTGGAAAAATACGACAAGTATTCCGTCAAGGTAAAAACGTTTGAATCTGTAAAACTGTAAAAGAAATATACTTTGAATAATTCGGTACTTTGGTTAACAGGCGTACCTGAAAGAACAAGCACGCTTGAGTGACGAGGCCATCAGGATGATCGGAGACCTTCTTAACGAGCAGAGTCTGATGTTCACAGCGCTGAGTGAGATGGTCTATGAACAGTCAATCATCAACGACCACACCAAGTGAGACCTTCACACACGATCTTTAAACTAAGAACAAATGATATCGAGAGCATGAAAGTCTGGGTTCAGGATGCTGAGGTTCATCGTTACGCAGATGACACCGTCTTTTACACTGGTTGTATAAAACACACACGGCTAAAATTTTATGGTAACCAAATATCATTAAAATCTTTTAACTACAAAACCCAATTCCGTTGAAGTTGGGAAATTGTGATAAACGTAAATAAAAACAGAATACAATGATTTGCAAATCCTTTTCAACCTATATTCAATTGAATACACTATAAGGCAAGATATTTGATCTTCAGGCTCATAAACTTAATGTTTTTTTGCAAAAAATTAACTTGGAATTTCATGGCTGCAACACGTGCCAAAGTAGTTGGACAGGGTCATGTTTACCTCTGTGTTCCATCACCTTTCCTTTTAACAAACTCAGTAAACGTTTGTGAACTGAGGAGACGAACTGTTGAAGCTTTGAAGGTGGAATTCTTTCCCATTCTTGATGTTCAGCTTCAGTTGTTCAACAGTCCGGGGTCTCCGTTGTCGTATTTTACGCTTCATAATCCTCCACACATTTTCAGTGGGAGACAGGTCTGGACTGCAGACAGGCCAGTCGAGTACCCGCACTCTTTGACTACGAAGCCACGCTGTTGGAACACGTGCAGAATGTGGCGAAGCGTTGTCTTGCTGAAATAAGCAGGAAGGGCGTCCATGAAAAAGACGTTGCTTGGATGGCAGCATATGTTGCTCCAAAACCTGTATGTACCTTTCAGCATTAATGTTGCCTTCATAGATGTGAAAGTTACCCGTGCCTTGGGCACTAATGCACCCCCAACAGTCCGGATGGTTCTTTTCCTCTTTGGCCCGGAGGACACGATGTCCACTATTTCCAAAAACAATCTGAAATGTGGACTCGTCAGACCACAGAACACTTTTACACTTTGCATCAGTCCATCTTAGATGAGCTTGGGCCCAGATAAGCCAGCGAGGTTTCTGGATGTTGTTGATAAATGGTTTTCTCTTTGCATAGTAGAGTTTTAACTTACAGATGTAGAGACGAACTGTATTTACTGACAGTAGTTTTCTGACATGTTCCTGAGTCCATTTATGTCGGTTTTTGATACAGTGCTGCCTGAGGGGTCGAAGGTCACAGACATTCAGTGTTGGTTTCCGGCCGTGCCGCTTCTGTGCAGTGATTTCTCCAGATTCTCTGAACCTTCTGATGATATTTTGGACTGTAGATGTTGAATTCCTTAAATTCTTGCAATTGTACTTTGAGAAACGTTGTTCTTAAACTGTTCGACTATTTGCTCAAGCAGTTGCTCACAAAGTGGTGAACCTCGCCCCATCCTTGCTTGTGAATGACTGAGAATTTTTGGGGAAGCTGCTTTTATACCCAATCATGGCACCCACCTGTTCTCTATTAACCTGCTCACCTGTGGGACGGTCCAAATAGGTGTTTGATGAGCATTCCTCAAATTTATCAGTATCTTTTGCCATCTTTCCCAACTTCTTTGTCACATGTTGCTGCCATCAAATAATAAGTTAATTATCATTTGCAAAAAAAAATAAAGTTTATGAGTTTGAACATTAAGTATCTTGTCTTTGTAAGTGTATTCAACTGAATATGAGTTGAAAAGGATTTGCAAATCATTATATTCTGTTTTTATTTACGTTTATCACAATTTCCCAACTTCAATGGATTTGGGTTTAGTACGTTCTGTAAAACAGCGACATATTACTGGATGAGCTGTAATATTCAGCTCTTTGAGATCCTGCCTTACTCAACTGGACAAAGTATGTGATAATCCTTTAAAATAAAGACAATGCAGTCATTTTTAGAGATAAATTGAGTTGTGTTAAGAGTGTGGCAGATCAACAGACCTCTGATAAATATCTGTTCTCTTTTTTCAGTTACTCTGAAGTGACCGGTGGGACTGAGCTTTTACCCAACGCTTTTCTACCCTTCCTCAAAAATGTTGATATTCGCCTCAACTCCAAGGTGAAGCAGATCAGCCGGGATAATACAGGTGTTGTCGTGTCCTACCAAGCAGAAGGTGACTCTGGTTTGACTGAGGTTAACGCTGACTTCGCCCTGGTGACCACCACAGCGAGAGCAGCCCTTTACATCGACTTTGTTCCAAATCTATCGATCCAGAAGATGGATGCACTGAGAGCACTTCACTACGACAGCTCCACTAAAATCGTCCTCACCTTCAGTCGGAGGTTCTGGGAGGACGATGGCATCCATGGAGGAAAGAGCATCACCGACTGGCCTTCTCGATTCATCTACTACCCCAGTCACGGTTTCCAAAACCAGACCATCGGAGTCCTCCTGGCTTCCTACACCTGGTCTGATGACTCCCTCCTCTTCTTGGGTGCAAGTGATGAAGATCTGAAAGATCTGGTCCTGAAAGACTTGGAGAAGATCCACGGCAGAGATGTCAGGTCTCTGTGCACGGGGGTGTTGGTGAAAAGGTGGAGTTCAGATCCTTACAGCTTGGGCGCCTTCGCTCTCTTCACCCCCTACCAGCACTTACAGTACGCCGAAGAGCTCTTCAGAAACGAAGGCAGGATCCACTTCGCTGGAGAACACACAGCCCTCCCCCACGCCTGGATGGAGACGTCCATGAAGTCCACTATCAGGGCGGCGAAGAACATCGCCAACGCGGCGCTCTAGGGTCAGGAGATTCGATCACATCTAGCAGTCGTCTTAGAAACTGATCACCACCAATCATTTTGTGATAGAAGAGGATGTAAACTGTTGATTCACACCAAAATAAAGCGCCTCTAACGCCGTCTTCGCCTCTGCAGCAGTTCTTTCTTCTGTACCTCCTCAGGTTTTCCATTCCATCATGAGAAAACTAGATTTGGTCCTTCTTAGATAAAGTTGAGATCATGAGATTCAGAGGTCCAGATCTCTGAGAAAAACGAGTGTATGTGGTAGAATAGGCTTGTTTTAGTTTTTATGGTCATATCTTGATATTTGATGGAGTTGTATCTGACTATAAAACAGGATCAAACATTCAGTCGTCTGTCTTGATCAGTCTAAGGGTCTGAAACACACGATGAAATCATCTCTCATCAGTTACATTAACGGCCTGGACTTATACGATAATTTTAAGTCTCATTTTATGAACCATAGAGGTGATTTTTTTAAACAGCTTATTTACATTTGGTACAACCTGTAGTCATACCTATATCTCTCCAGTAGGTGGTGCTGCTACTACATGGATGTTAACAGTCTGCAGCTCGTTGAGTCTTGATTATGTAACCCCCACCATCATGACTAATGAAAGCTGATGTTGAAATCCAAACGAGGCCGGTGTTTCAGAGAACAGATTTAACCTCTGGGATAAAAATCAAACTTTTTACATCTGACCTACTTTTGTCTTCACTGTTTCAGGAACTGATTTAATGAGTTTATCGACTCTTTTTAAATTAAATCAGACTATAAATTAACTAAGTTCTTAATGTCTGTTTTTTTTTTTGTAGCATGATTAACTTTTGCTCCCAAAAAAAAAAAAAAAAAAAAAAGGAAGAAAAAAAAATGGATTTACAGTATGGAAAGAAAAAAAAGACCCCCACAGATTAAAAAGAGTGAAAATAAAATTAAAAAAACTTGGATAAACAGTATAGAAAGAAAGAAAGAAAACTCTCCAACAGATTTGAAAGATTTTGAAATAAAATTCAATTAAAAAAAAAAAAGAAAATTGGATTTACAGTATGGAAAGAAATTAAAGACCCCAAAAGATTTAAAAGAGTAAAAATAAAACTAAAAAAAATAATTTGGATAAACAGTATGGAAATTAATAAAACACTCCCACAAATTTAAAAAATATACAATAAAATTTAAATGATTTTTTTTTAATAAAATTTAAAAAAAAGGATTGACAGTATGGAATGAAATTAATCACTCCAACAGATTTAAAAGATTAAAAATAAAATAAAAAACACTTGGATTAAATAAAAAACACCCTCAAAACACCTTTCAAGATTTAAAATAAAATAAGAAAAATACTTATTTGGGAGAAAAATGTTTCCAGTTACAGAACCTGAGGTTTTTTTTAAATTTTTTGTCGTTTATTATTTCTTCTGGGCGGTTCCTTGACATATTTTAAGATGACACACTGATAGTTGATGGATAAAAGTTCAGAAAATCAGACATGACTGAAAGATTTGAATTCAGTCTTCACTGTTAGGTTAGATTAGATAAGATTAGATTAGGTCTAAAGGAAGGTTAACTTTTGCAGTACATCGTCACCTTTAAAGGTTTTAGATCACAAGTAAAACTTTAAAATAAAGATTCAAAATCAGCAGAAAAATAAACAAACAAGTTTGGTCTTCCTCATCGATTGGTCATCCTCTGACTAATCCTTCGTCTCTGTTTTGGGAAACTCACTGATTCAATTCCAGAAAGTCCGCCTCCCCCTGATCTGAGCGTGGGTCCAGCAAAGAGACCCACGGTACAACAAACAGACGACCGATCGATCAGAACAAACAGACCTGACCTGAAACTCAACAGGAGGCCTCAAATAATGAGACGGGAGCGACCGAGCGACATTTAGAAACGAGTCTTCACTGAGAGGAGGAACAACCGCGACAAAGATGGAGAGACTCGCCTGTCTGCTTTTACTATGTGTGGCTTCAACTCTGGTGAGACGGCTTTAATATTTTATAATGTTTTTAAAAGACAAAAATCACTTTGAACCTTTGAAACTATTGTACATGTGACCTTCTCTTTATTTAAACCTTTTTTTTTTTACCTTTCTTTAGTTTTTTATTTTGTTTGTATCGAGTTATTTTTTTAAAATAAAAGATAAAATAATGTGAGCAAAGACAAAAATCACTTCAAACCTTTAAAATTATGGGGCATGTGTTGAAAAATGTACCATAAAAAGAAGTTTATTTTTCTTAAGAATAGGAAGAACTTTATTTGTCCATGAAGGTAAATTCAATAAAATATATGAAAAAATAAATATAAAATAATAAAAATAAAAATAATTGAGATGAAACAATATTTGATCAATTAAATAATATAATTAAAAAATAAAAACTTAATTTGTACATGAAGGGAAATTCTATAAAATAAATAAACAAATAAATGAATAAATAAAAAACATTAAATATAAAAATGTTTACAATAAAACAATATTTTATAAATTAAATAATATAATTAAAAATAGGAACTTTATTTTTCCATGAAGAAAAATTTAATAAAAAATAATAAAAATAATAATAAAAAAAATTTTAAGAATAAGAAGAACTTTATTTGTCCATGAAGGGGGGAAAAAATTAATTAATTAATTAATTAAATTAAAAAATAATTTAAATTAAACAATATTTGATGATTAAATAAAATAATTAGAAAAAAGAACTTTATAATCAACATTTAAAAATATTTGATAAGTTAAATAAAATTTAATCAAATAATAAAGAATTCTTTAATTCAAATTCAACCTACTTTTTATTTAAACTTTTTTCCCCAGTATTTATGACCTTTCTTTAGTTTTTTATTTTGTTGGTATTAAGTTATTCCTGTAAAATAAAAGATAAAATGATGTGAGCAAAGAGAAAAGACATGATAGTCATATTCAGGTTCAACATATCGTATTTATTATTGTACTTCATATGACTTTAGAAGTAAAAAAAATCATGTCAATAAAGGAAAGTTTACTTTTTAAACTCTTATCAAAGTGTCTAAAATCATGAAAACTTTTTGAAAAACTCTTTCAACAATAAAACAAAAACTTACAAATGATTGTAATGCCGGACTTTAAAAAGCACAAATAGTTACAGTTTGAGACATGTTCATGTCAGACGAAATGAATCAAAAATATAAAGACAGTATAGTTTAAGACTCTCTTTAATACAAACATAATGAATATTAAATCAATAAAAACAAACCCAAAGCTTTTCTCCGTCGATTATCATCCTCAGCAAACGAAAACAAAGTTCCTAAAAAATATAAAAAAATAATGAATTATCATGACGGGTTTAACTTTGAGAAACTTTGAGATGGTTTGTCTAAACTTTGAATAAACAGAAAAAAGACTGACCTCATTGTCGGACGTGTCTTTGTTCTCCTCTGATTCAGTTTTCTTCACTTTTGTTGATGCCCCACATGCTCATCTGCATTTTTCTGAAAAGAAGGAAACAACAAATAGCCTACTTGTGTGAGAGTTTTAAAATATTTGTTTAAAGACGTCTTATGGAAACTCTGATATTTCTTCTGTGTCTTTGTCCCCGTGTGTCTCCAGGCCCAGCCGGCAGTCGATCCCAGAGGAGCTCGTCCGGTGGAGCACGGCACCAGAGACGAGAAATGTGAATCTAAGAAGGAGTGGCCTTTCTGCACGGATGATGATTGGGTACTCCCTCTGACGCCTCGTACTATCTACCAAGTTTATGTCCTCAGGGGCCTCGAGAAATGACTAAGAAGAGATGTGGTTCAGGTTCAGAGTTGGAATTCCTCGTCCTTTTCGCTAGAACAGTTTGCTTTAGCTATTCACGGCAAACTGGGCTGTAATGTAACTCAACCAGAAAAATTAGTTTCCGTATTCAAACTCAACGTTGTTTGTATGTGTGTTTTTGTTTTGACTTGGGTTAATAGGTTAAAAGGCAGGTGCCGGAGGACCTCAGGGTCAGCGAGGGTTGATATGGTAAAAGTAAGTCAGATAAATAGGAGGGGCCAAGACCATTAATACATCTAAAAACTAATAAAAGAAGAACCTGAAAATCAATCCTGAAACAGGCGGGGAGCCAACGCAGAGATGCTAAAACTGGCGTTATATCCTCTCGCCCTCTGGGCCTCGTCAGAACTCTAACAGCTGAATTCTGTAAAAGCTCAAGTGTCTGTAAGTTCTTCTTTGGGAGGCCAGAAAGCAGGGCGTTACAACAATCTAAACATGAGAAGATAAAAGCATCAGCGCCTCCTGCTGGTCTGGGAGGGAAACAGACGGACTCTGGTTGGAATCTTAAGGTGGTAAAATCCGACCTTTGCTTTTTTTGATGTGTGGAATAAAACTGAGCTCAGAGTCCAAAATTACACCCAGGTTATTTACAGATATTGATACTTAAAAATCTTGTAGTCTTGGTGAAAGTGTCTCTCAGGACTTCAGGACCAAGAACTAAAACCTCTGTTTTGTCCTGGTTGAGTTGCAGGAAGTTGGCTGCCATCCAGGACTTGACGTCTAAAATGCAGTTTAAACGGGCATCGCTATCATCAGGAGACACGGACATGTACAGTTGCGTATCATCAGCATAGCTGTGGAAGTTGATGCCGTGTCTCCTGATGATGTCCCCCAGGGGAAGCATGTAAAGATGACAGAGAAACAGCAAATCCATCGTACAACATCCAAAACCGATGCTAACTAAATCTGGTAGCCTTGCTAACGACGACACACCTCATTTGCTGTCAGAAGTAACGGATCATGCTCAAATGGGATCTTCAAAGTTTGATCTCGCCGTTACCCTCCTTGTCCCGGTTAGGATACCAGATTTAAAAGTACCGGGTTCAGGATAATCTCAGGGGAACATCTGGGAAAATTTTACATTCAGAAATTTTTTTTTGAGCTTTCTTCTCTTTTCTGTCCCGCTTCCGTCCTCCATCAGGGCAACAAATGTCCATCAGGCTGCAGAATCCAGGGTCTGTTGGACACGTACGACCACAGTGTCCTGAAGAAGATTGAGAAGATCCGCAGCCTCCTGGATCAGAACAAGGTCAAGCACCGCACAGCCGACCAGACGTCCAAGCTGACCTTCGACTACCTGAAGGAGAAGCTGACGGTCGATGCTGGTGAGAGCGCTTCCGTCCTTTCCGAGCTTCTGAATGAAAGACGAGGAAAAAGACGACATTTTTCGAGCTTGAACCACAAAGTCGGCGTCAAAGTCTAGATGTTTGCAGATTTAATGATCCTGTTTCTCTTTTTTTTTCTATCCACCAGGTAATGACAACACCTTCTTTGAGCTGGCCCAGAACCTTCGTAACAGAATCACGGACATGAAGATCAAGATCGACAGACAGTTGAGGATCCTGGCCGCCCTGAAGGACCGCGTCAAGGACCAGGTGACCGAGATGCAGAGACTGGAGGTACGGAGTCACAACAAGGACAAAAGTTTACCTTAGGTTATCACGAAATATGGTTTAAGATTCAGCTGTCTTGGTAAATGTAATGTTTGTCATCCGATTCAAAGACCCGTTGATGTAGATTCCACATTTGTCTGTCAGTGAAGGTGTCAAGATCATTCAAATCCTGCTAACCTGGCCAAGTGTTTGATTTACCCACTTAATTTACGTCTTTTCTGTCAGGTGGACATCGATATCAAACTCCGTTCCTGCTCCGGATCCTGTGCAACTTACGCTGACCACCAGGTGGACAAGGAGAGCTATGTGACGCTTGAAAAACAGGTAGGAGACAGAGGAGGATCTTACCATCTTAGGTTCCTGAGCTCAAAGTGTACCCTGATTAGGCGGGAAATTGTTTAAGCGCCATTATTTATTGTTCCAAAGTGGATTGGCGATGATTTCCAGTGTCCTTAAGTAAAAATCTTCTTTCTTCTTCCAAATGTTTTCCAGGTTCACCATCTGGACAACCAGGCCCCTCAAGAGTCTGTTGGGACGCTGTACGTGATGAAGAGCCGACCACTGCAGGACGTTTTGGTGGACCCCAAGTTTAAGTCCCAGGGTGTTGCAGGACAGCAAGTAGAATTTCAAAACATGTTCCCAACGGTGAGGGTCACTGCTGCTGCTTTGGTTCCTTTAAAAATGAGAGTTTTCATAACAAATATTCGGCTTAAACTTTAAACTTACCCTCAAATTCCACCGCATCCAGAATGACTATGAAAAGGTCGTATCCTCCGATCGTAGCTGATCGTAACCATTCAAGTTAATCCGTCAATTTCCACCGGCTTCTTTCCATTCCTCTGCGGATCGTCGGACTCCTCAGCTGATCACAAGAGTTCTATTTTTTCTGAATGCCGGTTTCCACCGTCTGTAATGGAATTCATCTTACAAACGGATCCGGTAGGAATTGGCGTACAGTGAAAATAGCTGCCGTTCCAGATGCGGTGGAAATCCCGGGTTACAGGCGGTTCCCTGAGTCTGCCCTGTATCATATTTTAGAGGGGGTGGGTTCAGTCAAAGTAAGAACCGAAAGGCCCGTCTGGATCATCTAACGTTGTACTGGAGCGAACTTCCTTGACTCCACTTCAACAAAAACACTAACTCATTTCTTTTCTCTCGTCCTCGTTTCAGGTGAATACAGTCCAGTTGGTCCTGGAAGAGGAAGGCTCTAGCTCATCTCCAGCAACCATCTCCAAAGTTCCAGGTACTTCCCGCTCTACATCTTCATCCTCACCATCATCCTCCTCCTCCTCCTCCTCCTCTTCCTCATCATCTGGATCCATCACTGAACTAGGAGGCAGTGATGTATTTGGTGGCGGCCTCTCGGTCCACACATCCACCTCATCCATCACTTGCACCAAGCACATCAGAACCGTCGTTGTCCACACTAAGGACGGGCCGGTGGAGAAGGTGGAAGAGGTGATGTCAGGAGGCCCTGAATGCGAGGCCTTAGAAAACGTGGACTTCCCGAGTTCCAGCGGTACATCAACCTCCTCTTCCTCCTCTTCATCATCATTCTCGTCCAGCACCTCACACTCTGGTGGTGCCAAGGGAAGCCTCTTGGGAGATACCAAAATGGGTTTTGGGGATCCATTTGGCATGGGCGGGATTGACCTTGGCGGGTTCTTGGTTAATCACGGAGAAGAGGATGTTCCGAATTTCTCAGCTCGGACCGTGAAGAGCACACGTGTTGAGCGGCAGGCCGATTATGTAGGACAAGGTACCGAAACATCCGAATAGGAGTAAAATCTTTGAGGGCAAGAACCGCACATACAGCTAGACAGTGTGCTGCTAGCTTACTAGCTAGCCTTATGTACCGAAAAAGGAAGTGAACAGAGTAACTGTAGATTTTATCGATCATCTGAAGAACTTAAAACCACTTTGATTTGAATACTTTGAGTCGCTATGGTTAAAAAGAGAATAAAAGCTGAACTAAGGAACTAAGGAAGTTGTCTGATGGCACCTAGATCTGAGAATGCTTTAGTCCGAATATTCTGTCAGTATTTTAAACCCATGTTAACATTTCTAAAAGGTCCCTCTGGTGCCGATATTAGCTAATATGTAGGGAAAGTGACTACCAGAACGTAAATCACTGCAGCACATTTCAGGAAGCCCAACTAAACTGGTCCAAACTAACTTGCGGTCTGCGGTGTGCCCCTTTGTTCGCAGATTGCGTCCAAGCCTACCAGAACCATCTGAAAGGGGAATCGAACGGCCTGTTTAAGATCAAACCCGGCGGCGCGGGCTCCACAGAGGTAGTAGAGGTTTACTGCCAGCAGGAGGGGCTAATGGCAGGGTGGTTGTTAGTCCAGCAGAGAGAGAGTGGCGCGCTCGATTTCAACCGTACCTGGTCCGAATACCGCAACGGGTTCGGTTCAGTTGACGCTACGGGTAGGGGGGAGTTCTGGCTAGGGAACCAGAACCTCCACCGGCTAACAAATCAGGGTGAGACCATGTTGAAGGTGGAGTTGGAGGATTGGGAAGGGGGGGCAGCCAGTGCCGAGTATATGATCAGGGTTGGTTCAGAGGAGGAGGGGTACCCGCTGCACGTGTCCGGGTACTCTGGGGATGCTGGGGATGCTCTGGTACTGCCCAGCTCTCCTCTGAGGGCTCAGCAGGCCCACAATGGGATGAAGTTTAGTACCTTTGACAGGGACAATGACAAGGGGGTCATGAACTGCGCTGAGATGTACGGGGGCGGATGGTGGTACAACAGCTGCCAGTCGGCGAACTTGAATGGTCTTTATTACAAAGGGCTGTATTTCCCGCAGGAAAACACGCCGTACGACGGGGTTAAAAACGGAATCGTTTGGGAAACTTATAAAACATCTGATTACAGCCTGAAAACTGTACGAATGTTTATCAGATCGACGGCTTTCTAAATCTGACCATGAGAGACAAACGAGTGAAAAGAGGGGCGAACGCCGACGCCGCAGACAAATATTTGAGACTAAAACCCGAGGCCAGATTCCGACCTTTAGACTGCTGATCTGTTCGTGAATCATTGTGAACCCTCTCAAACTGTGTCACTTTTCCAGGATGAACTTTTGTGTTGATTATGTAAATGTTACTGACCCTCTGTTAGCAAATATCGAACCCGTGTTCTCGGAACAACCTGCTGTGTACACCATGGAGAAATGCCTGAACTGCACAATCAATAAAGATACACTGTTCACTTCAGTCGACTGTGGTATGTCTGGTTTTTAAGTCTATTTAAAGTACAATTTAAATAAATCTATACTTCATTTGAAAATTGTGACTTTTCCCCAAATTATTACTTTAAAAAATACAGATTCAAAACACCACTACTGTGCCAAGAGAGTAAAAACTTTGGTTTTTGAAGTTTTCTATTGTGATGTTTAAAAATTAAAATAATAATAATAATAATAATAATAATAATAATAATAATAATAGTAATTGAAAATAATTTTGATTATTTAAAGACCTCATTTAAGAAATTTTAAAAAATTATAATTATTATATGTTTTAAATATAACAGATTATTTGATGATCTCTTTTGAAAAATTAAAAAAATAATAATTAAAAATGAAAAAAATAATTAAAAAGAAATTTAAAAATAACAGATTATTTGATGATTTCTTTTGAAGAATTTAAAAAATAAATTAGTCTGTTTTTAAGGGACTCTTTAAATGGGTCAAATCTGGCATAAAACAAATGGTATAACAGGAAATATTAAATCCATCTCCTTTGAATTTAACACAACAATATCTTGAATATACACAACCTTTATTCTGCTTAAAAATAAAACATGTTTGTCCAGAAACCTGGGAGAAAATGACTTTATTTTCATAACCAAATATATCTCTGTGCCTTTTTAATGTGATTTTTTATTCTGCAAGTTAACTTTAAAATCTGGTAAAAATGTTTCTTGTATTTCATCTGAAGTCGGAGGAAGTTTATCAGGTTTGCAAAACAGTTTATAAAGTCAAATAAAAATTTCACATCCGTACAGACAAATGGTCAGACTCGTCGCCTCTGTAGAAGCAGATCTTAGGATTCTGGCCTGACTAAAAAAAACAAGAACTCTCAAAGAGTCGAAACTCCAGCAACAAAAAACGTCTTCAATCTTGGACCGACGTGTTTGGCTCGTGGTCTCGACGAAGGCCATGAGCCAAATTGAAAATGTTGCAGAGTTTCGACTCTGTTAAAGAAAACTTCAATACCAAGTTACTGCAGCTCTCAAACTTGTTCATGAGGATTTATTATATTTATCAGTGAATTTAAATACAAGAAAATGTCCAAAATGTGTGTGACATAAATAGACTAAAATAAATTACATGTGCAAGTGAGGTGGACACCACAAGAAGACTGATCTCAAGACCTGAACCGAGTCGATTCAAAATGCAATTTTTTATTTTTTAAGTGTCTTCTCGAGCTGAACATAGTCAAACATTTACGGAGATCTTCGCCCCGCACAAACTTCGGTCCGCCCACGCCGTTACATCATCATGAACAAACACACTGTCTCTTTGACGAGGGTTGAATGCCCCCCCCCCCCGTCCTGACCTTTTCTGTTCCTCTGCAGTGTGCATGAGGCTGACTCAGCAGAATCCAAGAGTCCAGACGCCGCCCCCTCGTCACACCAGGTCCTACAGGAGGCTGCCGTGTCGCGCCAAAACCGAAGTCCCCATGTGTTCAGATGACGACTGGGTACGAAACACGCAAACACACACACACACACACACACACACACACACACACACACACACACAGAGTCAGTCTATTTAGTCGATAAGGTATGAAGCCATCATATTTAATGACAACTATAGACACAGAAAAGGAAGTTTGATGACACAGGAGTCCTCTTGCGGTTCCCTTAATCCACCACGAAATTTGCCTCACAGATGGTAGAAGTTGGCGGACGGTGAAAATCGCAGCCATTCCGGATGGGAGCCGTTATGGATGTGGTTAAAATTGGGGGTTCGTAAACATGTTTGGTCTAAAACTCTTGTTTCGGAATATAGCGGGGAGTTTATTTTAGTATTGGTCCATCTCAGAGTCAAATCGATGATAGAACAGGGGAAGACGGAGGGCACGGCTTTTAACGACTATTTTAAAGAGATTTAAACAATTTTACAACGTGAGACGACCTTCAACTACAAGACAAGAATCTGAAAAAGCTCGAAGATTAAACATCAGTACACTTTGAGTCCTCCACAGCTGGGACCATTTGTCCAGGTTCATTCAGAAACCCTCGTGTTTTCCTTCAAAGGTTCCTAAATGCCCCTCCGGCTGCAGACTTCAGGGCCTGATCTCACAGACGGAGAGCGAGGTGGAGAGGAAACTGAGGACGGTGTGCAAGAGAGCGAAGTTATACGAGGACATGTCTGAGAAGTCCATGAAGACAATGACACACGTCTACAACTACAACCGGAAAGTCATCGTCGGCAGATACCGTAAGAGCGACTCATCGAATAAATCACCGTACCCTTTCACTGTTTGTTGAACTGAGCGTCCCCGCCCACGTGTGTCCTCAAACTAACATGTTTGTCCCAGAGGAGCGTTTAGAGCTCTTGGTTCACGTTGTGTAACAGTCCACGTCTGTTTGGACTGGAGTTGGGTTCCGGCACCAAAAGGACACTGTGGATCTACTGGTATATCTGGTATACCCACTCATATCTGTGGGTTTTTAATGGTCCTTTGAGTGTTATTTGAAAGAAGTCTCAGGTTCACGCTTAACTGTTCAATCCTATGAAAGAACTAAACATGGTGGCCCCGTTACAAACCCTAAAATCGTTGAGTACTACATGTGTGATATTGTCTCGTTTTTATCATCTCCAGTGTCAGAAGTGAAGTTTGTGGAACATGCTGAAGGATTGGCCAGAAACCTCTCCGTCCTACGTGAAAGATCTTCCATGCTGGCCCACCAACTCCAAGAGCTGAACCACAAAGTCCAGAAACAGTTAGAAGAACTGTACCGGGAAGAGGTGAGCAGTCATACAGCAGACCTATTTTACCCAATTTACCAAATTCTAGGGCAGAGTCTTTTGACCTGGTCTCGGTGACTCGGTTAAAACCCAGATATCTGTTTTTAAAAGCAAATGACTCATCCACTTTAGAGTTTGCGTTGACATGCTATGAATCATGGGATATGTTGGGCCACCAAGGATGAATATGAAGCATCTGTTGTGGTCCAGGAAACGTAGGACACACCTGTTAAAGGTGGGGTAGGCGGGATTCCGTTAAAGAAGCATCTTTTTTGTGGTGTTGATAAAAAAAAACTTTTAATATCAATCAATAGTTATTAGTTATTGATGATATTAACGATATCTCTGTGTTCTCTTATGACTGTAAACAAAGCCGTTCTCCACCTCCTCTAACCTGATTGGTTGTGAGGCAGACGCTGCTCCCCCGTGTCGTTCAGGAGCCCAAACAAAGTTAGCGTGCTACAATATCGGACAGTAAAAACCAACCAGAAAGTTCGGAAAATTGTCTGAATCCTCCTTTGACCACGACTGCCGACACAAGCAAGAAAACACTCAAACATAAACAGTCAGCAAGAAAACAGTCAACAGGAAAACAGTCAACAAGAAAACAGTCAGCAAAAAAACAGTCAACAAGAAAACAGTCAACAAGAAAACAGTCAGCAAGAAAACAGTCAACAAGAAAACAGTCAACAAGAAAACAGTCAACAAGAAAACAGTCAGCAAAAAAACAGTCAACAAGAAAACAGTCAGCCAGAAAACAGTCAACACCAAACCGGTCAACAAGAAAACAGTCAGCAAAAAAACAGTCAACAAGAAAACAGTTAGCAAGAAAACAGTCAACACCAAACCGGTCAACAAGAAAACAGTCAACCATAAACAGTCAACAAGAAAACAGTAAGCAAGAAAACAGTCAACAAGAAAACAGTTAGCAAGAAAACAGTCAACACCAAACTGGTCAACAAGAAAACAGTCAACCATAAACAGTCAACAAGAAAACAGTAAGCAAGAAAACAGTCAACAAGAAAACAGTCAGCAAGAAAACAGTCAAAACCAAACCGGTCAACAAGAAAACAGTCAACAAGAAAACAGTCAGCAAAAAAACAGTCAACAAGAAAACAGTTAGCAAGAAAACAGTCAACACCAAACCGGTCAACAAGAAAACAGTCAACCATAAACAGTCAACAAGAAAACAGTCAACACCAAAACAGTTCCAAAAAAGTTCGGAAAATTGTCTGAATCCTCCTTTGGCCACGACTGCCGACACAAGCAAGAAAACAAAGTAAATACCGGAGACTCTGGAGGAATAACGGGCTCTTAAAACGGAGGTAGACCGGACAAGAGCTAAAAAGCCGGGTCAACATAAACCATGGGGGACGCTTGGGGATCTTGGTGACCCTGTAACCTTTCTGCTGGACAGGTAAACCGCTTTAACAAAGTAAGACAAGTGTCTGTAACAGAAGTGTTTCTTGTCAAACGGACCTGCTGTAGCGTGTTGTAGCGCCATCGCTAAACTGTCCTCCCTCGGGTCCTGGACTATGTCACTTTATCCTCGTTGTAGAAGTCCTGCAAACATTGTGTTTGCTGGTAGTCTGTTGGCATCTACAGTAGCACCAATGCTTTTGACTTTCACCTTGACTGGGCCCCATTTGTAATGATTTGAAGTATTTATCTGCATTATATCTGAATTTAATTGGAACGATACGAGCGAGCAGGAGCATCTGTTTGTGGGCGGGGCTTGCTGGACTGGTTGGGAGGGGTAGAGTTTACATTCAAGATTTCTCCTAAAAACTGGAACTCCTTCAGATCCTGACTACACCACCTCTAAGGGAGGTACCGACATCAAACTTCAACACGTCTCCAGGTTTTAAAACTCTCCCTGTCAAGATGTTTTCTGTCGTTGTCAAATCTTCAACTGTTGCAGACTTCGTTTTCATCTTGGTTATGATGATCTAATATTGTCCCGCTGACCCCACCAGGTGGACATTGACATGAAGCTCCGGACCTGCCAAGGGTCCTGCAGTTCGGCGACACCGTTCAGCGTCAATCATCACGACTACGAAACCCTTCAGAGAGACTTGGACCAAACAGAGCGGGCTTCTCAACAGAAGAGTGCAGCTTTTCCTCCGACAGACTTCCTACATCTGAAGCTGCAGCCCGTAGACTTCGACCACATACCATCTCCAGAGTACAAGACCATACCGACGGTCCAAAGAGAACTGCTCACTGAGTTTGAAGATATTGGACAGAACCAGATCGTTCTGGAGCAGCTGATGGAGGAGTCTGTGGATGTTGACGGCGCTTCAGAACTGGAATGAATAAAACAGCTTAGGGACCGGTTTCTGAAAGTCCGATGTTCTTCAGTGGAAGAATTGAAGAAGGAGAAGTAGTCCAGAACTTCTGATGGTGCAGACATCGTCAGAACAGAAGGAGCGCTGGTCTCAGAGTTAGCTCAGGCCTGTAAATGTTGGTCTTAGAATAAGCTTCATTATACCAGCTGTATTTATACTCATGTACTTGTTGAAGTGATTTTCTTCAGGGTGGACGACCTGTGTCACTCAAATACCTCAGATACTTTGGTGCTAGATTTCTGGAGCCATGAGCCTCCGACAACTATCCTCAACAAGAACCTTGTCCCCGTGTTCAACATCACTCAGGCTCTCCTTCAGGTCAACAGGATGGGAGCAGAATGTTTGGAAACGTGGACGACTAAACATACTTGAACAGTCTCAGACCAGTCTTTGTTACATGTGTAGCATGATGAAGCTGTAAAAAGATCTGCAACCAGTAAAGTTTGTCAAAATGATCATTGGTGTGGACCTTCTATTCTTTCAAGTGTGAACACGGGCGAGGCATCCTTACAATTTCACGAGCGTCACAAACTGAAGTTAAAGCTGTGCAAGGAAACCCCATTGGATTTAATTTGTACCTACAGACATGAATTGAACTCGGGTATATTCAAGTTTTATGGATATAAAGTTTGTGCAAAGAAATCAAAGAAATGTCCTGGTTCAATGCTTTTTAGACTGTTTCATGTCTTTCAAATTAAAATATCTGAAGTGTTTTTAGACGTCCAAGTTTTCTTAAGGTTGAAAACTCAGAAACCATCAAGAAAACAGGATAAACCAAGAAAAACAGAGTACATCACAAACTCAGATAAAACTGTGGATTATAACCCGGGATTTCCACCACATCCGAATTTCGTGGCGTATTACGGAATTCACATCGTGCAATAACTAGTCGTCTTTAGCCACAGAGGCCAACCGTATAAGCAGTAGATTGTGTCCTTCCAGAGGAGGAAATCTACTTCTAGAATCAGCATCTCCTCATCCATGGTGTCATCGGGGTGAAATGACAACCTTTCACTTGTTCGTCTCCGCCCGTTTGCATGGTGTGAAATACGATCCTCCTGAAACACAGAGTGTTTTATTTTGAAAAGAAGCCGGATGTTTTATTTTGTGTCTGTGCCCGACTTCCTTTCCAGGCATCCAGAAAAAGTAGAACTCTTGAGATCAGCTGAGGAGTCCGGCGATTCGCAGAGGAATGGAAAGAAGTCGGTGGAAATTGACACGTTAACTTGAATGGTTACGATCAGCTACGATCGGATGCGGTGGAAATTGGGAGTAAGACCTCAGACATCTTCCTCTTTGTGTTACAGACTTCCTGTTCCTCTGTCTCGTAAAGCTTTCAAGATAAAACTGGGATGACCTTTTATTTCATAACCATGGTACTTGTTTGATCGTCAGTTTCATGCTCTTAAAGGGACAGGCACGTCTCATATGCTAACATAATAACCGACCTCTCGGTGATAACAATAAAAGCACATGCTGTCTGATCGTGTTGAAGAAGTTGCAATGAAAAAACAACCAGGATAGACAGGAAGTATGTTCCTCAATGTGTTTATTGAGTAGCAGAGGAGAGTTGTGATCAACTCGTCCTAGTATTGCACACTGAAGACGTCACATATAACAGGAACAGGAAGACAACAGCACTTTTACAGACTCACTTTCTCATTCTCTCTCGACTTTTACAGTTTGAATGTTTCTCTCTTTAAATCACGTTTTTATTCTTAGTCCTTTTATTTTGACAGTTGTATGTTAATATGAGTCCAGGACACTTTTCTTCGGGGGTCTTTTATTTTGGCAGGTTCCTGTTTGTGTTATATGTGCGTGCGTGTGTGTGTGTCGACTCTGACTATCGGGAGGCGTAGAAAGGCCGGATCTTCATGCTGATGGCCTTCAGTGAATACCAGCTCCCCTTCCAGTTCATCCAAACCACACCATCATCTGTGCCGTGCTTGGCCATGTTACGTGTGTAGGCTCCGCCCATGTAGTATCGGCCGTTGGGATTGGCTGAGTGACAGCGGTTGTACCACCAGCCGCCTCCATCCTCTCTGGCGCACTGTTTGGACGGATCACCGGGGATCCTTTTACGGGGGACAGAGTTTGTCAGTTAGTTTGAAGGACATGTTAGTCACCTGAAAAACAACATGCTTGGATTTCGTGATGATGTCGTGAACTCCCGAACAAATGCGACACTCACCAGTTATCGTTGTCTCTGTCGTAGGTACTGAACATCATGCCGTTGTGAATAGTCATGGTGCGGTTTTCCCCAAAGAGCTCCATCGATCCGTCCAGGAAAGAGTTACCAGCGTTACCAGAGTAACCGTCCACTGCCAGCACATAGTTGGAGGTCTCTGATTGGACGGTGAACTGTTGATACTTGGCATGGACCTAAATGATGACAAAGCAAATTCCGTTTTGGACACTGAGGCAAACAGACTTTATAAAACTTTGACGGTAGCTCCTGATCAGGTTGAAGATTTGGGGCTCAAAAAGAACTTACCTGGGCTCCGGACCAGTCCCGCATCTCGATGAGAACCTCAGTTGGGCCCAAACCTGTCACCTTACTAATGTGGTCATTACCCAGCCAGTATTCCCCTGAGAGGAAGAGCATGCTGGTCATGGTTCGGACTCATTATGCTGAAGAGGAGATCTCTTTAACGGGTCTTTTGAAAGTCTTACCGGGAGTGTCACAAAAACCTTTCCTGTTGTCCCAGGCGATGTTGCCGAAACCACGGCGATACTCATCCCAGCGACGGCCAAAGTCAACACTGCCGTCCTGCCTGTTCTGGATGAGAAGCCAGCCTGGACAGAAATGACATCAAGGCGTCTTTAAAACGGAAAACAACCTCGATAGCGGTGTAGATCCTTCAACATGAGAGACATCCTCACCTCCATTCTGGGTGCCCTGATCACAGTACACCCTGTACGCAGGGTAGAAGGCGTCAGGCTGGATCAGGTACATCTGGGAGTCTCTTCCTCCGCGACGGTAGATATCCTCACACTCCTTACCTGAATCACACGGTAAACACACAGATCAGGAAACCTGTTGAGGGTCAGAGAACATCGGCCTGTCCTCCAACACCTTCAGACAGTGTTGTACGTTAAAGTATGAAGCCGTGGGGGTTTGGCATCTACCTGACACCACGGGGATGGGACATTTGGTCATGCATGGATTCTTGCAATGCTCCCTCTGGGTCTGGATGGCCTTCTCCAGCTTCAGGATCTTTTGCCTGATCTTGTCCAGGACCCCCTTCAGCGGAGACGCAAATATTGATAAATATTGATATTCTCTGCGGTTTACGAGCAGAAAGAACCAATAAGAAATGGTTTGTCTGATTTCACCTGAAGCACCCTGATGTTGGAAGGGAAGGTGGTGTCCACGATCTCCTTGATGTAGGCATGCTGTTCCTCCACATTATCGGTGTACTGACCGACCACTCTGTTGTTCTCTGATGGAGGGAAGAGGTAGATAAGAGGGGAGTCAGGTACACAAGGTAAGACCTCGATCAGTACTTGTCATGGATCAACATGGCCGCCCTTACCCCCGATGACCTTCTGCCTTTCCCTCAATGAGATGGAAATGCTGTTGACAAAGTTGAAGACGTTGTTTGAGGAGTGGGACAGTTCGTCCACCTGAGGCTTGAGCTCACTGATGCTCTGTAATGAACGCATGAATTGAGTGAACTTTGTTAAAAAAAAAACCACTCGTCCTTCCAGAAGGTTCCCAACGTCAGTTTTGATTTACCGATTTGACGTTCTTCTCTTGTTTCTGCATCATTGTCTTCAGCTCACAGCCGTTTGGACACAAAACACCCTGACAGGAAAGAAATCACTGAATTAAAAACTCTGATGACGATCATTTATCATATTTGTATTTTCAAGTTCTTTTGAAAGTTTTTCAGGATGCTACCTAATGCTGTAAAATCACAGCATCCCTCGGTAACCACGTCTTGGTATCATCTTACCATTTCCTCTGAGGCGTGCTGACATCCGCCGGCATCAGGCACCTGCTTCTTCTCCTGCACTTGTGGTCTCGTGGCTGTAGTTGTGGTGGGACGACCTCGATATCTGGATGAGTAACGAGAAGTTGGTCACAGGCATGTTCCTCTTATCCTACCTGGTGTCATGGCCTCTCAGCAGGGACGGAGTGGCCATTGGGGAATGTGGGCAAATGCCACTCATCAAGCGGCTGCATCAATAGGCGGCCGCTCCGCAAATAACTAGATGAAGAAACGGGCTATATCAGGGGTGGGCAATTAATTTTTACATGGGGCCACATGAGACACCTGAACTGTGTTGGAGGGCCGAACCAACAATAACTTCAACTTCAACTTCCAATCAGGGGGGTTCACACATACAGAAAAGCAATCCCAAATAAGCAACTACTGGTTAAAAACAAGCTTAAAAAAGCGCAACCGCGACCCATGATTTTTACAAGCGACTTCTGAGAAAAACAAGTGTTAAGTTGTTTATAATAAGCTGACTGAGCAACTATAAGGCATCTACGTATATTTTGCCGTTGTTTAAACTTTTATCTGTTCACGGATGCAGATCTAGGATGTACGCACTGGCGTTCAAATGGAAATAAAACAACACGCTTGTATAGCATGTTGGTGATTTGATTGACGGACCTCACGAAGGGCCGGGCAGGGACATCCAAAGGGCCGGATGTGGCCCTGGGGCCGTAAAATCCCCGGATTTAAATATCTAAATAAAGTGGAACGGCTGTGTCGGCCGCATACCAATAAAGTTTTTTGGATGTTTTTTGGTCGTCAGTGGAATTTCTCGCAAACGTTGACCTGGTAAGATGATAGGTCAACTGTCAATGGAATGATGGGTAGCGCGAGCAGGTCAACAACACGGAAGGAAACAAAATGGATCGAGGAGTGAGAAAATGGAGAGTAGAATAAAGGAAAAGAAGAAGCGTGTGGCTTTATCGGCTGAAAGTGGGAAAAAGCCTTACGCTGGGCGAAGAACCCGGTGGGACTTGGATGATATGATTGACAGAGTGGAAGAGAAAATCAAATTACCTGCTACTGTAACTACATAAAGGTAAAACATTTATTTATCATGTTCTGTAGCTGTGTAATGTTTTCGTGTAATGTTATGTTTCTTCGTTGGTCAATGCCTCTCAACTTTTGTCCCTTCTGTTAGCGAATGGTTTTGATCACTACAGCAAGATCTGGATGACTGAACTTATCTGTCGATTTGTTGTCTTTACTCATGGAAAAGGACAGTACATTATTTGTTTTTAGCAGTATGGATAACATCAGTGGCCATTTTGGTTTTGACTGAAAAATCTCAACAACTACCCGATAAAAGTGATTAAAAATTTAACTGTGTTGAGATTTGAAAATGTTAAATTTTTATTAATTACCTTGCTGACACGTTTCGACATGCTGGCAGCAGTCTTCCTCAGAGTGTCACGAGATGGTTGTGTGACGTGTCTTAAAACAGACGATGTTTCCGAAGGCGCGACCTCTCCGTCAGTTTGACAGATTCCGTCAGATTGGTCACGCCTTCACCAAACATGTCAGAAAGGTAATTTATCAAAGAAGGACACCCAATCCAAGAATAACGTCTTCCTGTTGCCTTACACCATTAAGTTTAGTGTGTACCTGTTGCCGCCGCTGATTGGAGGAGGATTATAGCGGGGAGCGTTGTAAGAGTCTCTGCCCCTCTCTTTTGGACGATGACCACGAGCGTCTACAGTCGCCTGCAGAAAAAACAAAACTTGATCAATAAATTCAGTAACTAAATATCGACGTTTGTCAGATAAATGCGTCATAGATGAAAGAGTAGAAACACAACGTACGTTTGATTTTCCTGATGCAGTGTCCTGTAAAATCAAAGGAGACCGTTGTGAGTTTGAGTCAAAGTGACACGTTGGTATTTCAGTATCGCTGGTTGTTGGTGTTGGGATGGTGCGGATCATCATTATTACTTCTACTGCACATATTGAGTACTCACTGTGTCATAGTCGTCGTAGTCCAGCGCATCCTGAGCCCACGCCACGTACAGGCACAGGTACAACAACAGCAGCGTCTTCATCGTCTACTGTCGGGGGAAGTTTAACGTCTTCGAATCGTGTCAGTCCCTCGGCTGTCTTCAGTGTGCCTCCCCTACTCTTCTGTCCCTGAAACCTGACCGGACGGGTTTTTATCTTCTACCCCTGAGCGAGTGGGACAATCCCCCCTCACACACACACACACACACACACCCACACACACTTTTATTGATCTGCTGGAATTGGTCGATCTGTGCGGGGACAGTTTGCCCAGACTGAGTCACCGCTGTGTGTAGGACGAGTCTAGAGTTCATGCAGGAACAGAAGAAGCAGATTCTGGTTTTGTTTTTCTAGATTACATTTATAACAAAGAAACTCAGAGTGGAGTTTGACCTGAAGTCTGAAGTATCTTCATAAATCTAACTGTTGGAAATATCTGAAACATTCCTCAGGTGGTGATCTTGACATTTAAAAGGTTCTTCTTGCTCAATTTTAACCTCGTCACGAATAAGACAACTTTGATCATGGATTGGAAATTCATTTGGGATGAATACTAGCCAACAAAACCATCAAAAACAAGAGGGTGGGGGGGCGTCTGTATTCAGACTGTGAACCCTGAGAACTCGGTGTCGGGAAACTGGGACAGTTAAGCAAGAGTTGTTTGTTTGAGTCCAACAGGGTACGAGGGGTTTGTTACGAAACCTTAACTTGCCGAAAAGATTGGTCACTTACTGATACAAGCGCCAAATTTTGTATGAAGTTTCTATAGGATGTACTAAAACTTTTTAGCCGAGGAGCCCAACACAAATATCGGACATGTCCATGTAGAACACAGAAGTTGTTTTTCTATTAAAAAAATAAATACATTCTTGAGTCATAAGAAGAACATTGGTGATCTTTTTTTTTTTTGTTCACTTAAGAGGGTGAAACTGATTTTAATTTTTTCACTGATTATTAAACCTTCAAAACAATGTGTAAAATAGAGTATCAAGACACCTGGTACCTGTAACATTTAATAAAATACTGAACAATACAGACAGATTTTTTTTTTAATTAAAAAAGAAGTGTTATGTTATGTCAAGAGCTCTCACTCCATTTTTGTTTAAATGTTAGGCATCAAGTTGATTACCTTTGTTGTAACCTTCTTTTATTTGTCTTAATCTTGTTTTTCTTTTACCTTTCTTTTCTTTAAATTCTTTTATTTTTCTTTATCTTGTTTTTCTTTTTTTCTTTTCTCTAAATTCTTTTGTTTTATTTCTTGTTTTTCTTTTCTTTAAATTCTTTTATTTTTCTTAATCTTGTTTTTCTTTTGTCTTTTTTCTTTAAATTCTTTTTTCTTTCTTCTCCCTTTCCTTTTCAAATTCTCGTTTCCATTTTCCTTTTCTTTCCCTTTCTATTTTCTCTCATTTTTCTCTCCTTTTGTATTTTCTTTTTCCCCTATTTTTTATCCTTTGTTTCTTTACTTTTCTTCTTTTTATTTTTCTATTTATTTTTCTGTTTTTACTATTTTATTTGTTCTTATTATTGTTTTTCTTTTATCTTACTTTTCTTTGAATTCCTTTATTTTCTGTCACCTTCATTTTCTTTTTTTCTTTGTTTTTTTATCTCTCTTACCCGTTTGTTCATCCTTTTTTTCTTTTACTTTTGTCTTTTATTTCTTTTTTTTCTATTCCTTTATTTTCTGTTCTTGTTTCTTTTTTCTCATATTATATTATATTATATTATATTATATACTTGTATATTATATTACTAATATACAAGTATATATAGAACTGCATTACCAGCCGACACAAAGATCCACAATCTGATCCAGAGTTTCTTGACTGTTTGTTTATTTTTATTGCTCTTATTTCTACTGGAAAGGTTTCTTGAATTTGGGATTACAAAAAGACAGAAAACAGGTTTGACTGGATCATCCAAAAATCAGGGTCTGAAGTGGGTCTAGAACACCAGGAAGTTGATCAGAACTTTATCCTAACTTCATTCTGAGGAGGAAATGGAAGCACTGAGAAAAAACAAAAAAACTCTCTAGAAGCTCATCAGACGGGTCGGTTTCTTAAAACAGGATCGTTCTCCAGTGGCTCTTGACGCAAACAAAAGGTCGGGTCTCATTGCAGGCGGCGTAGTTCCACTTCAACATATCTGAAAACACAGACACAGTTTCATGAAAACCTCGCACAGGTTTTAAAATCTCTCTTAGTTACCCGACGTCCGCGTCTGTAAGCTCTTACATCCATGATTAATCTCCAGACAGTGCTCAGTTCTCTCCACATCGTAATCGGAGTACCACATTCCGTAGTCGAACCTGGTGCCGTCATTCCACATCCAAAAACAGCTCTGTAGGAGACAGAAGCAAATATGTAATGACCTTCTTATCCGACAGAACTGGGTTAGAGTTGACGTTTATTTTAAAAGTTGAGATAGTTCGGGTGTCGTCATCGGGGTGAGAATGTTCGAAAATACAACGTAAGGAAGTAAAACGACCACACGCTGGGATTTCCGTACCTGAATAGCATCCTGACCGCCGATCCAGGCCTCAGGGAATTCGTGGGTGTACCCTCTGGTCAGACCCTGGATGAAGTGGTTCTCGTCGTCACTGTGGATTGACGCCAGGTTCCCCCCTTCAAACAGGCAGTAACTCTGAAAATGAGAGGATGAGAAAAATCATGACTGACTGGACGGACATTTCAGCCTCTAGGGGGCCCTCCTTTAATCGGACCTCACCTCCGCTTCGATCCATGACTTCGGGGTGTCGATGAAGATGAAACAGCGGCTTCCGTACTGGGACCAGTCGTAAGGACAGTAGTGCTCCTTTCCTATAAAAACACGACAAAAGCTCAGCTGGTTAGAACCAAGTTATTCCTTTGTTGCTTTTTTAAAGAAGGTGAAAGCAGAGGACGATCGAAACCTCGTCCAGCCTAGTTCAAGGATCAATCAATCAATCAGCCCTGTCGCCTCACAGCAAGAAGGTCCTGAATTCAAATCCGGGTCAGGTGAAGTCTGTGTGGAGTTTGCATGTTCTCCCTGTGTCTGTGTGGGTGCAGAAGTGGGGTTAGGTTAACTGGCCACTTTCAAATTGCCCGTAGGTGTGAATGTGAGCGTGGATGGTTGTTTGTCTCTATATGTCAGCCCTGCGATGAACTGCCGACTTCGCCCGATAGGCTCCAGCCCCCCCGTGACCCCAGGAATGGGAATAAGCGGTAAAAAATGGATGGATGGACAAACAGGAATGTGCGCACTGAGGAAGCGTTTGTTTATTCGTGTGCCGGTCGAGGGGCAGCAGCTTCAGGAGGGAAGCCCAGACGGCCCTCACCCCGGCCACTTCCACCAGCTCCTCCGGGGGGATTCCCAGGTGCTCCCAGGCCAGGCGAGAGATATAGTCCCTCCACCTGGTCCTGGGCTGGCCATGAGGTCTCCTCCTGGTGGGACATGTCTGGAACACCTCTAACGGGAGGCGTCCAGAAGGCGTCCTAACCAGATGCCCGAGCCACCTCAGCTGACTCCTCCTGACGTGGAGGAGCAGCGGTTCTCCTCTGAGCGCCTCCCGAGTGTCTCGAAGGCTGAGCCCGGACACCCTGAGGAGGAAACCCATTTCAGCCGCTTGTATCTGCGATCTTGTTCTTTCGGTCATTACCCAAAGTTCATGACCATAGGTGAGGATCGGCACGTAGATCGACCGGTAAACCTCCTTATAGCTCAGCTCTTTCTTCACCACGACTGATCGGTTAAGCGTCCGCATCACTGCTGACGCCGCTCAGATCCGCCTGTCGATCTCCCGCTCCATCCTACCCTCACTCATGAACAAGATCCCAAGATACTTGAACTCCTCCAACTTGAGGCAGGACCTCCCCTCACTGAGGAAACATTGTTTTAAATTCACTGGAGGTTTAAAATCTAAAAGTAACATAAAATAAAATTTAAGAAATAATAAAGAAAGTGAAATATAAACAACAGTAAAAGAAACTAAAATAAGAGCAACAAAATAGCTCAATAAAAGACGATAAAACCAGAAAGAGATAAACGCTAAAACATTTAAAGTTAATGATATGAAATTTAGATAAAAGCAAGACTGAAAAGGTACGTTTTCAGTTTGGTTTTAAAATGATTAAGGATGTACCTGCACATCAGTTGACCACCACCAGGTGGTGCCAAACTCCAATTTGATTTTATCACTTTGAGGTGTTTCTTTGTCTGTGATCCAACTCTGTCGTATGTTTTCATCGTTTTAAATCCAAGAATACTCGTTTTTCTGATTTATAACCTTCTTCTCTAAACTTAATCAGGCTGAGCTCAGGTTTGTAAATCTTAACTGATCTTTGAAAAACAACATAGAGAACAAAAACAGAAACAGACTAACCGCAGTCCTGACTCCTAACTGGTCCCTGTTAACCCATCTCACCCAACAGGATAATCTAGGAAGATTATCTCCAGAACCAGAGGCCTGTACTACGAAGCTGGATTTGGTCTTAGCGAGATAACTTCTGGATAACTTCTGGGTTTTCTGTACTACAAAGGTGGATCTCTTTTTATCCGGGTCCGTTGCCCCGGTAACTTACGCGGAACGCCAAACCTGCTCCGGAGCAGGTTATGTTTCAGGATAAGAGCTCAGCAGGTATAAAAAACCGCCCGATGACCAATCGGATCTCTTGGAAAATGGCTTGCCCACTTTTGCCGGATCCCGGGGACATCGTTGCACGGATAGTGAGAGGAGCGCTTCGCCGAGAGCGTTATATTCATGATCGTTCAAACCCGTTTGATTTACCTGATGACGTTCTCTATGAACGTTACAGGTTTTTCTCGGACGGCCTCAATATTCAGGTAGCATGAAGTCTAAGCAATACACTAATATTTGCCAAGCTCCAGGTTCAAATTTGTTAGTCATCATTCAGAATTCATTGAAGCAGATTAGGAAACTCTTAACCCCAAATGTGTCTGCAGATGACGTGACCATCAGATGATGGAGAAAAAAAAAGGCAGTGTGAGGAAATCACGGTTTACGCGTTGAAATATGTACAAATAAAATCTTCCAATAAACTTACAAACTACTTTAAAGGATGTTTTTAGATTTATTTTTATTTGCTCCCACGTACTCTTTTCCCCACTGCTGTTGTATCTGAAATAATGAGGTCAGTGATGGTGGTGATCACACACGCTGCATGACAACATATTAGGGGGCCATAAATTTATGAACGCACAAATGTAATTTACACAACCGGTGATTTTTTTTGCCGGCAGTCCCTCCGGCTTTTAGCGGCTGTGTCTGTCTCACTGTTTAAATAAAGCTCTGTTCTTCAGCTGTGAAAAATGACGTGCAGCCTTCTCCATTGTGGAGATTGGTCCGGTGGCACTGACCCGACCCCCTTTACGTGTGCGCGCACAGATCTGAACTGGATTCAGTTATCGAGTTGATATCCTGCTTCGTAGTACAGCTGATCGGGATCGCGGAGATCCGGTGAAGTTGAGCGAGTTGTCGCAGAGTTATCCTGGATTTGTTAATCCAGCTTCGTAGTACAGGCCTCAGGTCTGATGATCTGGGCTTTGTACTGAGGAGGGAATCAGGCCCAAAACCGTCATGGTTGTCTTGTAACAAATGCCCCCCCCCCTCCCCTACAGAGACACACCCATCATCTGGACCAGAGTATTTAAAGTCCTGAGACCCGGTCAGAACCTCCTGATGTCCAACAGTCAGAGTCTTCGAAGGTTAGTGGTAAATAAGCGAACGGCAGCAGACACTCTGAGAAGAGGGTTTAAATCAGCTAAAAATCAAGTCTAGCAGATCCAGACCTTGATCTAAAGGGTCACAGGGCTTCGTTAAGATTCTTGGACCCGTGATCTTGAACTTTTAAGAGCCTTAACCCTCGGTTCCAACTATGTCCTTGTCATTTTCTCATCTTTATTTTGAGCTGACAGTCACATTTTTAAAGATCGGAAAATCAAATTTGCTGAGAGTTCTTATTTTTCTTCATATTAAAAAAAAACAACTCTGTTTTTATTCATTACTTTTTTTAATGGTCAGGGCTGAAGTTGTTTAAGAGATTTGAGTAAAAAAAAGTTAAAATTTTTTTTTTAAAATGATTATTTTATGAACATTTATCCTCATGTCAGTCAATCAACATGAACCAAAGGGTTAACCAAGTCCAGCTGCTGTTTGGATCAAGCTTTGGATCACCGTGACCTGGATGACAACCGAGTCATCCTACAAGAAGAACCAGACTCACCACAGTCCACTTGAAAATCCCCCGGAACCGCCTTGGTGTTGGGGATCTCCTTTCCTGAGAGGATGTCCACACACCAGCAGTACCCGGTCAGGGTGCAGCACTGCTGAGCGACGTAGTTCCCGTCCGAGTCACACTCTGGGACGAAGCCCCCTTTGCCGTAGTAGTCCTTCTCCTTCATGTACTGGCAGCGACCCCTGGTGGAGTTCAGAGGAATGGCTCTGCTCAGGGCCAGGAGGCAGCCGAGGGTCAGGGACACTCTCAGGAACATCATGGTGACGCTGGAGGAAACACAAAATAAGACTTTTACGATATAGATAAACAAAGCGAGTAAATAAAAGACTCAATAAAAGAAGCTAAACGTCCCAAAAGCTGAAGTGAACAGGTGCGTCTTCAGAAGTGTTTTAACGCGCTGTCGGGATAAAACATTCCACTAGTGCGGGGGTGGGCAACCATGTGCCATGGAGGGCCGAGAGGCTGCAGGTTTTCTTTCCAACCCAAAACTCCACCAGGTGATTTCACTGATTAGTCCCTGCTCTCTGATTGGAGGTAAGGTAATCCGTGAAATCACCTGGTGGAGTTTTGGGTTGGAAATAAAACCTGCAGCCTCTCGGCCCTCCATGGCACATGATTGCCCACCCCTGCACTAGTGGGAGCCTCGACAGAAAACGCTCAATCTCCCCTAGATTTTAGATCTTAAGAAGGATCGAGAAACATCTAAAACCACCTAAACAGCTGACCTCAGGGCTCTGGGGGGCTGAGGTCAGACAAGTATTCCGGGGCCAGCCCAATTTAGAGACTTAAAAACAAATAAAAGGATCTTAAAATCAATCCTGTACCTAACGTTGAAAGCACTGGAGTTATGTGCTCCCGTTTCTTAGTCCCAATTAGGAGACGAGCGGTTGAGCTCCGACATACAGGGAGTTACGATAATCTAAACAAGACGTGATAAAAGCATGGAGAATTTTTTCAAGGTCCTCTTGGTTTAACCCTCTGTTCCTGTTCGTTTGAAGCTCCATCCAGCCTACTTTGAAGATATATGTAAGATAGGAATCATTTACAAGTGTTTATCCTCCTCTTACCAAAATATGACCCTGATTACGCGCATATAAAAAATAACTGCATATTTGAGATGTGAGATCTTCTCACCCACTGAGCAACAGATGGCTGTTAGACATTAGATTTTTTTAGACCTAATTTCAACCGTCTAGATTCTGTATATTTTTAGACAGAGTTTAGACGTTAAGCTTTAACCCATTATTAGATATCTATTTATTTCAAAAAGGAACTGTGAGTTTCATAACTGATCTCCAAGTACTTAACCAAAATAACTATAATAGCCATTGAGCAATGTATAGTGTAGTGTAAATATAGCGCAGGTTTAGACTTGGTCTAAATTTGGATGTCTAAAAAATGTTCATTTTTAGACCAGTCGTCTCGGCTACATTTAGACGTCCATTAGACCTCTTTGAGACCAAAAAATGCTCAGTAGGCACCTAAAGATCTGAAGGACCTGTTCATCCTCATGCATGTCCATCCACCTGCTCTGAAGTGAGGACAAAGTTGAAACTGTCCGAATGTCCCCCTCTCTTTGTCCCACACTGAAGAACTTGGACGTTGGATTTTCAACTGTAAAAACTCACGGCATGCCCGGTTATAAACAAGGACACAGATTCGCAAGAGCATTAATGTTGTTCCCGCTCCTGATGCCTTTTTTCCCGTCCCGATAACAGGATGTCATCCTCTACTGGAGAGGACCTGAACCAGGTCAGGGCGACTGAACAGGACGACCTCTGTTTTGTTTTCGTTTAATTTGAAGAAGTTGAGATCCGTCCATGTCTTCACATCAATCATGCAGTTAAACACGACCTGCAGAGAGTCTTTGGTCGGGGCTTTAACAGGCAAATACACCTGCACATCGTCGGCAAAACAGCAAAAAGGAACACCAGGCTTTCTAAAAATGACCCCAAGGGAAGCATATAGAGGGGGAATAGAAGGGGGCCCAGAAGTGACCCTTGGGGGATCCCCCCACACAGAGGAGCAACTGAACCAGCTAGAAGCAGTGTGTAATAGGAGAATCGATTGATCCACCGCGTCAAATGCCGCCGTCAGGTCAAGAAGGATTACTGCAGAGCCCCCGTTAGAGGATCGAACAGTTCTGTGGACCCTCGTCGTCGAGTCTCGAGCATTGATGGGGATCAGGACCAACATTCCGATTCTCCAGGAACTGTTCAAATTTTAAAATTTAAATTCCAATTCCAAAGAATCGGAATAGAGAATTCTTTGGAACCGGAATCGAAACAAGGAATCGGAACTGGAACCGAAATCATTCAAAATCAAACAATACCAAAACCAACTAATCGTAGAAAACGAAAAAACAGGACTTCCTGTAAGTTCAATAATATAGATATATAATAATAGAAGTCCAGAACAGACTCACCTGTTTCAGGACGGGTCGGCCTTGGTCTGCCCGTCCCGGTCCGGTCCTGCTTTTTATCCTCCTGTTTCTTTGTTTAATCTCATTGGTCGGCTCACAGATCTACGCCCACATCCGCACCTTTTCTTTCATCCAGGTGTAACCCACCAGAGACCAGCAGAGACGGTTTTGTCTTCGTCTTATGAAGTCTTGTCTTTTCTTTGGGTCCTAATCAAGATGAGGTTCGGGTTTCATCATTTTGATATCTCCTCTTTACTTCATTGTTCCTCCCGTCTTTCCCAGACTATCTTGTGTGTTCATACCTTTGAAAGCCGGTCTTATTTTTCGACCCCATATTGTCCAGATCTGGGTCACGGAGGATTTATGCGCCACTGAGCCCGGCCTGGTTTGTCTTGTATCATATTAAGACTGTCTGTATTTAAAGCGCTGGTTGTCAAATCGTATTTTATATGTTTGAGTGTTTTTGAGAAGGAGTTTGTTTTTAATCGGCGCCAAAATGGTGATCGATTACAGAGTTATTCTCGGGGGAAGGAGAGACGTCAGGGTCAGGAGACAAAACTCGACCACACCTTCACTAAGACGGAGTCCAGGGTGGGGATCATGTTACTTCTGATTTACTCTGCTGTGGATAAACGTTTTTATGTCGAGTCACTGTGACTGTTTCAGCAGCAGGATGACCTCAGGTAATCCCGGAGTTACCTCAATCCCTCCGTTTATCCACATTTTAATCATTTGGCAACAAGTCGGGATCACTGACAGATGTTTGACACGCAAACGTCTGTCAGCGTTTGACACAAAAACAAAACAGGCTCACTTCCTGTGAAGACCAGATCCCCAGAGAAAAGCGAACCCACCGCTTCAGTTTGCACGTATAACTCTCTCTCTCCACAACAAATAGTCAAAACACTTTCACATGTTGTTTCCACGTTAAACGACACTCTTTCATTGTCAAAGGAATATTTTAAAAGTTCATATTCACCCTGATGAAGAATATTTAGTGAACCAGCAGAGATCTCTGGGAATCCGGTTTGTCAGTGAGACGGAAAATGAGATTTCAAGAATCAGTTTCGTAGATTTACAAGAGGAAAGACTCGTTATTTCGAATAAACTCGATCACAACAGCCGACGTTTGTCTGCCCGATTTATGGATTTATGAAAGAAACGTGGATTCATTCAGGATTACAGAAAACTCTTGATCACAAAAGGATGTTAAACTTTGAAAACACTGACGATAGTGTGAATTAGAAGTCTGTAAATGTGAAAATATGATCTTCTTCTTCTTTACTCTCTGGTGCAGTTACAGTCCACCAGCACACACTTGCACAGGTTTCCTCCCGAAAGTCAAATTTTATGCTCACTACCTCTTTTCACAGATTACAGCTTTGCAAACCTCAGCTTTTCTTTTTTTTTAATTTCCTCTTAATCACAACCGTGAAGAGCCTTGACCTTTTTGAGTTTTCTCGAGGTTATCTGGTCTGAGAGCAGAGCAGGTAAGGAAAACGCAAGCTCTTAAACATAAACTGACGTTTTTCTAATTCTCAAAGTCCAGAGGAAAGTTGTGGATTCAGTTTTTGTTTGTTGGATAACAGCAGAATGAGGTTTTCATCAGCGTCTCAGATCCAGATTGCGTCTAAAACTGGATCAGGTTGGTTCAATCTCTCCAAGAAAGAGTCGGTTAATGTGACGTTAAAGAGGAGATGTAAAGAAAAATGATAAAAAGGAGGAAGAGAAACTCGGGTTCGATGGACGGTTTGTTTATGTCTTGGAGATAAAGTTCCTGACTCAGCTCTAACGGGTAAAAATGCGAATCTAAATAGATTTTGAGCCTCTTTTTTTTTAAATTATTTCCTCATTTAATGGAGAACTGTCTCATTTTTAATTTAAGTTTATAAAAAGTTGTTCTTGTTTTTCTCCTTTTTTGGGAGTTAACACACGATATCTTCATCCTGCAGATGGTTCAGAACTAAAACCTGTTTCCGGTTCCTGATCTGTCAGACCTCGACACTAAAAAGGAAATTTAAGGAACCAGACCACAGCAAAGGCTGAAGGGACCATGAACCTCTTTTAAGTGGACTAATCCGCTTATTCAGGCAGAACTGGGACTTCAACATTAAAGAAGAATCTAAAGTTAAAGACGAATCTAAAATTAAGGAGAAATCCTAAGTTAAAGAAGAATCTGAGGTTAAAGAATCTAAAGTGAAGAAAGAAACTACAGGTAAATAATGACCTTAAGTTAAAGAAGAATCTTAGTATAAAGAAGAATCTGAAGTTAAAGAAGAATCTAAAGTTTAGGAAAATATCTAAAATTAGAGAGGAATCTCAAGTTAAAGAAGAGTCTGTCTTTGGTTTAACTTGGGTGATCGTTGACAGATGAGCTGAGTTTTATTGGCTCGTCGTGTCGGGAGATTAAACCTTCCCGGTACTGATGGATTAAAAAAATCCAAAGTTAAAGAAGAATCTAAAGTTAAAGAAGAATCTGAAGTTGAAGAAGATTCTAAAGTTAAAGATAAAAAGTAAAGAATCCAACGTTTAGGAAGAATCAACATTTAAAGAAGAATCTAAAGTTAAAAAAGACATCAAAGTTAAAGAATCTAAAGTTAAAGAAGAATCCAAATTTATTGAAGAATCTAGAGATAAAGAATTCAAAGTTGAAGACAAATCTGAAGTTGAAGAAGAATCTAAAGTTAAAGAAAAATCTAAAGTTGAAGAAGAATCCGAAGTTAAAGAAGAATCTACAGTGAGATAAGAATCAAAAGTTAAAGAAGAATCTAAAGAATCTGAAGTTAAAGAATCTGAAGTTGAAGGAGAATCTTAAGTTCAAGAAGAGTCTGTCTTTGGTTTAAATTGGGTGATCATTGACAGATGAACTGAGTTTTATTTGCTTGTTGATGGATTAAAAAATCCAAAGTTAAAGAAGAATCCAAAGTTAAAGAAGAATCTGAAGTTGAAGAAGAATCTGAAGTTGAAGAAGAATCCTTCCCTGGTTTTATGTTGGTAATGGTTGACATATGAACTGAATTTTATTTGCTCTTCGTGTCAGGAGATTAAACCTTCCTGGTTCTGATGGTAACAAAAAGAGGAAGCTGAATTCTTTTATTAGTTTCTGACCGTTAGATGGAGAATCAGCTTCTCAAAAAAAACAGATGCTCAGACTCTAACCAGTCCACGATCAGGATCAGGATCCTTTCTGTAAAACTGGATCAATCCGTGTCGTCCACTGGTCCTTCTACTGGTGGTGCTCTGAGGTCTCTGAAGTGGTGCTCTGAGGTTTCTGAAGACTCAGGCCGACTGTATTAAGGAAGAGGATGTGTGGTGCCGATGTGATCCGGGGTGATCCCTCAGTTCCAGAGAAGTGTGGCAACACTCTGAGTCTGAGGTGAAAAAACTGTGAAGTTCCCCTTTAATGAACACAAAGGCGGTGAGATGGTGGTAATAAAACACTGAAGACTTCCTCTTCTGTCAGTGGACCGCTCTCACATCCTCACTGCACGACTCTCTCTCTTTCTCTCCGACTCCGTTTCTTCTAATTCTTCTTCTTCACCGTCGTCCGTTCTCATCCTGACTCGTCGTTTCTGTCTTCCCAGTATGGGACCGGTAACCCGCGGTTTCTTCACCCTGCTCCTGTCTCTCTGCTGGGCTCAGAAGTCAGACCTGGGCGACGAAAGACCATCCTGTGATGGCTGTGACCTGCAGATGTCCTGTAACTGCGCTCATGGTGGATTTACTCGTGTGCCCGTGGTCACAGGCCTCGCCATGACTCTCGATCTGTCCTTCAACAACATCAGCGAGGTGACGGAGGACGATCTGAAGGGTCACAAACATCTGAGGGCTCTGAATCTACACGGTAATACTTCTTGGATCCTATAATATGAGTTCGGGGTCATGGTTAAAGAGTAATAAATCTGTGGGGACAAAAGTACTTTATGTATCTTAAATGAACTGACTAAAATGACTATTCCAGGTTTTATCTTTGGTGTCAGATAGTCACAGCTTTTCTGTGTTTGCTGTTGCCTAAAATCGCCGTATTTCACGGCAGATTTCTGAAAAAGTTTCGGTAAAAGTTGCGGCTAAATTGCTTGGTTCATTTTTAATACCGTCCAAATGTACAAAGAGTTTAAAACAGTGGTTCTCAACCGGTGGGTCCTGACCCAAAAGTTGGTCGCGGACACGTTCTGGATGGGTCAAAAAAGTCAATATTGAACTCGCAATCTGATGTTCTGTACAAGCAACTTCGGTAGTTGTCGTCCTCAGGTCATGCGCTCTGAAATGCACTGTACTCTATAAAAACAGTGTATGTTAAAGATTTGAGTCTTTAAAGGTTTTTTTTATAAGAAAGAAATTTGCTTGGGTTGAATTTTATAAAAGTGGGTCACAACTTAAGGACTAATGGAAAATGAGGATCCCAGAGTGAGACCAGTTGAGAACCACCGGTTTAAAACGACTTCACTCCATCTTTACTGTTCTTCTGATAAAGTTTAGGACGAGAACCTGTCTCTGCAAACACATTCAGAAGACAACCTGAATGTTCTCCTCCATTTATGAAACCAAACAGACCCACAGGAACTATGATTTGAGTACTGAGGAAGTGAGCTGGGTGTGTAACGCGCCGATGCCCGAAGGGCTTTGACACGAACACAAAGGCCTCATTTATCAAGTTTGTGGAAAAGTCGAACAAAAGGTTCAAAGTTGTGCGGCTGCCGAGAAAAATGCAGAAATAAATTCACTGGTTCCTGAAATTGCTCCTCGTCTCTTGAATATCAAAGATTAATGGTGGGGTAGGCAGGATTCCGTTAAAGAAGCATCTGTTTTTGTGGTACCACAACACCTAATAGATCAGGTGTGGTGGTACCGTCAATGTGCGGTTATACTCATGTATTATCTCCACCCCCTAGGAAACAGAATAGCCATGATCCACCCGTCAGCGTTTGACCCTCTTTGGAGCCTGGAGAACCTCGACCTGTCAAACAACCAGCTCGACGCTCTCAACGACAAATGGTTCAGGAAGCTTAAGGCTCTGGAGCGACTCAACCTGCTCAACAACCCGTACAGGTAAACCGGTTCAATGACGTTAAACTGCCCCGCTAAATAAAACCCATCATCATCTCTGACTTCCTCTCCTGCAGATGTCTGGGTTCTCCATTGTTCCAGAATTTAGTCCGACTGAGAGGACTCCAGTTTGGAGGTCCTGCTCTGGAGGAGCTAAAGAGAGCGGATATGTCGGGGGTCACAGAGCTTGAGGAGCTCAAGCTGAGTGCCAACAACATGAAGAGGTGGGTGACGGACTTTTGGAAAAACATCAGAAAGAAAAGGAAATGCAAACCCTGAGATTATAACCAAAGTTTAGACAACAGCACCTCTTAGTGGTCCTCTCAAGTCAAGTCATACTGTTGAAAGTTTTTAAACCTTTAGGGGAACAACAGAAGAGGATGTGGGCCACTCGAAAAAAAAAAAGAAGAAAGATCCGATATATTTTTTTCTATTATTCTGAGAAAAAAGGCAGAGTTCTGACTTCAGTAAAATCTTTACTGTGAAACCTTAAAATAAGATATTAAATTCAATATTATTAACTGGAATTAAAACAAAAGTACTTGTTGTAATTCTGTCCAATCAACAGTTAAATACTGAAACCTACCAAATTAAGAGAACAGAAAGAATTGAATTTCCAATCAAAAGTCAAAAACCTAAAAGTTTGTAAATTTTGTGTGATCTCTTGAAAGGATGGTCAAAAGGACTGTCTCGCTCACCTATCCACCTGGTTCTTGGGTTCAGACTTTAACCCTAGAACACTATCGCTGGGTGATTTTCACCCGACCAAACATGTTTACATGATCCTCATGATGTTGCGTTTGTCTAAGTATCATGGGTCTCTGGGTATCTTTCCTTTGACATCTTTGAAGACAGATTTGTCTCCCTGATCCTAAACCTGCTTTTTCCTACAGACTCGTGTTCACAGGGTGATTTTGGTGATAGAGGGTGAAGTAGGTTTGGGTGGATTTGATAGCTGCATGTAGGGAATAAGGTCAGTAAGAGCAGTCCTGGAGTTTGCATGATATCTTTATTTAGCGCAGTGGTTATGAAAAACCATCACAAAGATTTCCAAGGGAATTCTTAAGGTGATAAGAAATATTTGAGTCAGCTCGTCATTTTTACTCGAAATCTGCCATATTTTGGTTCTCTCTCCTGCAGCTGTTATTGTGCCGAGGACCCTGAGTCTGAACCAGGTAAGGCTGACATGGTCCCCTCATGGCACTTTTTCCCCCTTCCTTTAGACATTGCACAGTTAAAAATAAAACTACTTTAATTTGTCGTGTATTGTCCTATTTTGATATATTTTGATGACAAGTCCTTTTTCTTGGGTTTATTATTTCGAGTAAAAATCACCGGCGATAGCGATGGTTTTACTCATTTTAGCGATAGTGTTCCAGGGTTAATCAGTCCATCTGCCGTCGTCTTCTCTCTTTTGCAGGTACGAGTCTGGAGCCCTGGCAGACATATGGCCTCTCGGTCGTGTAACTTTGAGTCTCCACGGTCCATCCCTAACAGACAGTGCTTTAGCCGCCGCTGTGCTTGCTGATGTTTCGTATCCAGAAACACCGCTTGTTCTAGAGGACCTTCAAATAACCGACAAAGAGTCTCTGCAGCCTTTGAAAGAGGCAGCTAAAAGGAGAATCAGGTCGGTACTCACTCCTCATCCACTGGGTAGACTTTTTGAAGCCCTCATGAAGCTCTTCCAGAAGATTCTAGCTGTCTCTGAAAAACAATCAGCTGCTATTTTTTCAGGCGTTTTACTTTTCGAAATGTCACGACATCGGACGAGGCCATCACTAACTTCCTAATGATCATGGATGGCGTACCACTCACCTCCCTTTCAGTAGAGGACAGCACACTGGTGGGTGTGGGGAGGTAAGACAAGCTCATGATCGTCAAACCCTTTGCTTACATCCAGACTCTTCTGACGTGTCTCTTTTGCAGATCTTCACGCTGTTTTGCTAAGGTTCAGAAGTCCATCACTAGACCTGCACATCAGCATGTTGTTGTTGTTTCTCTGTCTCTGTCAGATGGGAGCAAGCCAGGAAGACAGATCACAGAGCTGTCGATGAGTTCTTCCTACGAAACATGAAGGTCCTGAATGTCTATCAGTTTGTCGCATTCCTGCAGCTCTTGTTTTTGCTGCAATACCCCAGAAAGGTGTCAGTCATAAACGCTCAGGTGAGAGCTGAGATTTGATGTGGAAGAAGACACTGTGTCAGTTCTTTAACAGCAAGAGACAGCTAACGTTTCCCTTTAGGTGTTTGTCACGCCCTGTATTACGTCCCACCTGCTGAAGAATCTGCAGTACTTTGACCTGTCTGACAACCTGCTGACTGATCTGACTCTGAGGGAGTCCCTGTGCCAGGGAGATGGCACACTGAAGCACCTACGAGTTTTGAACGTCAGTGGAAATGCTTTGAAGGTATTTCGTTTATTTTCCAGTTCCTTGCTTTGCCAGTAACCCCATCACCGAGGGGTTATCGCTGTATCGCACCGGACCTGGTACTCACAAAACTTCCTGGGGTTCAGGAACATGCTACCTCACTTGAACACATGTCCAACTGTGTCCCTCTGCTGTCCAGTCTCTGTCCACAGTGAGCCATTTAGTAGAGAAGCTTTCCAAACTGACCCACCTGGACATCAGCAGGAACGCATACAGCTCCATGCCCCAGCATTGCTCCTGGCCCCACACCCTAAGATACCTCAACATCTCCGGGGCTAAACTTTCAACAGTCACCCAATGTCTACCCAAAACTCTGGAGGTACTGAGAGAAGAACATAATCCAGTTATCCTGACAGACCAGACTCTCTAAACGTTCACCTCTCACTTCAACAAATACAGGTGTTGGATCTGAGCAACAACAATCTCAAAAGCTTCCTCCTGTTCTTGCCTGCCCTGAGAGAGCTCTACCTCTCTGGAAACAGGTTTCTTCGTCTCCCTCCTGGATGGCTGTTCCCCAATCTGCAAACACTGACCCTGCAGGTAATGAACAACCACATCTTGAATTTCTTCTTTCCAAGTCTCCTGTCTTCCACCGACTGCGACTACCTTCCTTCTCCTTCTTCCACAGTCGAACACCTTAAAGAGGTTTAACCATTCAGACCTCCAGTCTTACGAAAGACTCCAGAGCCTCCAGGCGGGTCAAAACAAGTTTGACTGCTCCTGCGACTTTGTCAATTTCCTCCAGTCGGTCTTTGAAGGAGACGGAGATGTTCAGTTAACAGACAGAGAGGACAGCTATGTCTGTGACTCTCCTCTTTACCTCCAGGGGGAAGTGGTTAGTCAGGTCAGTCTCTCCTTGTATGAGTGCCATCGGGTGTTGTGTGTGTCTGTGATCTGTGGAGTGGTGCTGTGTGTTTCCACTCTGGTGTGTGTCCTGCTCTGGCGTCTACACGCAATCTGGTACCTGAAGATGACCTGGGCGTGGCTTAAGGCCAAGCGTATTTCCCGGAAACGGCAAAAAAGAGATCGAGAGGGCACAGAGGCGCTGCTGTCCTACGACGCTTTTGTGTCCTACAGTGAGAGCGACGCTTGCTGGGTGGAAAACTTGCTGGTGCCTGAACTGGAGAGGACAAGGTAACGTCAGGACCTACACCTCTAGATATTTGACTTGAAACCATAGTAACTTGTTTTCTTGTTTTCAAAGAGAGAGCAGTGAGGACTCCATGAACGCCGTTAGTCCCAGACCTTTGACCCTTTGCCTCCACAAACGAGACTTTCTTCCTGGACATTGGATTATGGACAACATCATGAGCGCCATCGAGAGCAGTCGGCGGACCATCTTCATCCTGTCGAAGAACTTTGTCCAGTCTGACTGGTGCCGCTACGAGCTGGACTTCTCCCATTTCTGGCTCTTTGATGGAAACGCAGGCGGAGAGGCGGCCATCTTGATCCTGTTGGAACCGCTGCCCAAGGACAACATCCCAAAACGCTTCTACAAACTGCACAAGCTTATGAGCTCCACTACCTACCTGGAATGGCCTCAGGAGGAGGAAAAGTATGGGGAGTTCTGGGAGAGTCTGCACAAAGCTTTGAGAATCGAAGAAGACGACTGAGAAAGAGGTCACAGAGGACAAAAAAGACGGAATACAACTGGAGAAAAAGAGAGAAAAAAAAACAGAAGTGAGGTTAAGAAAAAAACGTGAAAAATCCTGTTTGTTCTGTATTTTCAAAGTGAAAATCTTCATTATGATTTGAACCAAAGGTGGAACAGCCAGGAACCCTGAGACTGAGATGTGTGGTCACAGATACCACAACCTTTAAGATACAAAATAAAACTGTTTTTTGTTTGTTGTTGTTAAGCTGTATGAAGTTCTTACTCCCATATAAATGGTTTGAATTCAACAAGACAGCTTTTGAATATATTTGTTCACTATACAGAGGAGAGCTGATGCTCCGGTACCTGAAACCAATCAGTTCTTGAATGTTTTAAAAAGGTCTGAAACCTCATGTCTGACATCTGCACACATGAATATTCATGTTCTCACACTTGCACAACCCTGAAAGTTCATTTTCCTATAGACTACCTCTTTTTACGCATGTCCCCAGGGTTGTTTTTTCTACACTTCCTCCCTTGACTGACAAAAAGACTCTGCCACTCTCACTCTCTTTTGTTCTCCATTTGAGACCATTAATATTACTGGTCATTATCAGGAACAAACAGGTAAGACAACATCTATGTAAAAATTCTGTAGAAAGACTAAGTGTAATCTTTTTTACATGCTTAGAGTTTAACTTTTGTTTAACTTTTTTAATTTGAAAAAATTTTCAGACATATTCTTACTGTGCAGGTAAATGACTACAGAACAAAGTAAGGTTTCTTTTATTTTAGAAAATAAAGTGTTAAACATCTAAACAAATATAGACTGGGTCAGACAGATAATGGTTTTAACATTTACTGATACTTTTCTGCAGCTGATGTGAATCTGAATTTGATTTTTAGAGTCAAACCTACATTTTCAGGGTTTTACTTTTGAGCAACGAGGGAAAACGTCATCATCAAGAATGCAGCTCTTCTGGAAATGTTATGTTGGATGCAGACACAGACTGGTTTCAGACCGTTTGTACTCTGGTGTGTTTTCAGTCTCGGTCTGTCTTTTTCTCATCTGTTCAGTCTTGACATTATAACAACTGAGAAAGAGTATTTTTAAACCTCTCAGAGAAACGGTCAAAGTGTCGTTTAAAGAAAACTTTTTTTGGGTGTGTCTGCTCAGTCTGTGGTTTCACATGAAAACACAAGAGACTATCTTTGGTGAAAGAGTATTCTGTGTCTTTTTGTACTGAGTATACAGTCAAAATGATATTAAGCTAACAGGTTTCAGCAGGTTTTAGAGTGTACAAGAAAATAGTAATGACATCCAGACTCCAATCAGGTCTATATCCATAAACAGACACCTGCACATGAGTAAAGATACAAATCCTGGAGCAAATATTTGCAGAGACAGGAATCTGCTCAATCAACTTTAGATTTTCAGACTTCCTGAACTAAATCAGAAATGACGGCTCTTGACTCTGTTCAACAAACTCTTTAAAAGCTGATTTCTCCTCCTCTTGAAGACAGACATGACAATGTTTGACTTTTAATTAATTACATCATTTCATATCATTTCATATCATTTTTTAACACTTTCCAATTTACCAGAAAACAAGTGTCTACTTCCTGCTGATGTAAGGCGAAGTAAAATTCTGCGTAACTGTCCGTTAATAGTAACAGGGACTCATTGAGGAACAACACAACTCAGTGACCGATAACACAGAAAAGGAGCCCTGTCCACATGTACTACTGAATTGTGCAATACTGAAAGGCTAGAAAAGTTCACTTCTGCTCCCATCTATGTCAATACTTCATTTTCATACAATGAGTGAGAGGGAGGCTCATAAATTTGGCTTAGAGAACAAATATGTGATGCCCATCAAACAGTTACCTGCACATACAGAATCATATACGTCCTGTTTTTTTTAAGATATCATTGAATTTGATTTTTAACGATTGGTTTTTGTATTTCTTGTGTATCCGAGTGTGAATTCTACATCTTTTAAACATTATCTAGACCTCCAGATGTGATCAGGTTTAAAGCTTCAGGGAAGGAGAAATGATCGAACACTTCGAAACCTCAGCTTTGTATGAACCTTTATCAACATGAAGGTAAATATGACAATAGCCAGACTAATCCTGGTCTTCAACCAAACGATTTTCACAGTCCTAGACCAAACACTGGAAGTCTTAAGTAAATCCTGGAGTTTTGCTGGAGTCACAGCGCACTCCCGTCATCTTGACCGTTAAGTTTAGGGTGGTAATCTGCGCTGTTTTATATCAGTCTTTTCCTAGTCTTGGGTTTGCGATAATATCTATCTGTCGCAGTGACGTGACACAACCAACAACCAATAGATGAGGTCGAACAAACGCAGGAAAAGAAAACCTGACAGTCAAAAAATGAAGAACGAGACTGTTTGAAGAACTACTGACGATAAAAAAAAGGAGCAGATAGTGGAGCCGCGGGCAGATCAGACTTGTCCATTCAACATCAACTGCAGGGTTTCCCTACATGTAACGGTGCAACCACAGCTGAATAAAAGCCACCACACCTCCAACAATAAAAAATTTTTACGCGCTACCTCGGACTCGGTATGTGTCAGTATATGTGGCGCACAGGGGCTGCACCACAGGGCTCGCGCGCCGAGTATTAGCATCATCGAGTTCAGAGTTGTTATATGCTGTTTAGTGAGCCGTCCCTTTTTAAATCACACATTACCACCACAGATAGATTCCTCACCAATGAGAAATGCTGAACTGTCAAAAAATGCTAAAAGAATCTAGTTGTAGTCTTGTAAATAGTGACCCTGCAAGATTCCCAGTCATTTTGTAAAATCTCCGTCTGAGACTAAAAGCTGAGAGTTTTCCAGGAGTCTTTTCCAAATCTCCTCCAAGTCCTCTGGTGGATAGCTGGCCTAAGTGATGTCCCTGCAGCAGTGGGCCCAGAACTACCAAGAAGACCTGATTTCTGAGCTTTAAGATCCAAGGCCTGCCTCCCTGCTGCTTAATGATCCCTTTGGATTTCCTACTATGATCAAAATTCTCTTTTTTTTCCTAGTATGGAAAAGATGACCAGCAAAGATTTCACTCTTCTCTCCATCCTCCTGTCTCTCTGCTGGGCTCAGCAGTCAGACCCAGGCAGTGAGAGACCACCTTGTGATCGCTGTGACCTGCAGCTGTCCTGTGACTGCTCCCATGGTGGATTTACCCATGTCCCCATGGTTACGGACCTGGCCTTGACTCTTGATCTTTCTTTCAACAACATCAGCGAGGTGACTGAGGATGATCTGACAGGCCACAGTAGACTGAAGGCCCTAAGTCTACAAGGTAACATTTATTCAATCATGTGTTTGTGGTACCTCCACTCAAACTGAAACATTTCACATCTCCACATGCACTGTGCATAGGAACTCTTTCCATGGTATAAACTCATCAGTTGTATCACATTAGATCTTGCCACTTCATCGTGTTGTGCGAAGCTTCCCATGAGGGTCGTACAATAAATTTACAAGTGTTTTTTCCTCCAGGCAACAGACTGGCTGCGATCCATCCATCAGCGTTTGATTCTCTTTGGAGCCTGGAGAACCTCGACCTGTCAAACAACCAGCTGAAAGCTCTTAACCACACATGGTTCAGAAAGCTAGGAGCTCTCCAGCAACTCAACCTGCTCAACAACCCCTACAGGTAAAAGGGCCAAATTTCCAGTTTTAAGTTCAGTCAAAGTTGCCTGCAACAGGGTCTCCCCCTCTGACTTCCTCTCCTGCAGGTGCCTGGGTTCTCCTTCAGTGTTTCAGAGTCTGTCCCGGGTGAGGAGACTGCGGTTTGGAGGTCCTGCTCTGGAGGAGCTGATGAAAGGGCATCTGTTGGGGGTCACAGAGCTTGAAGAGCTTACCATGCATGCCAACAACATCATAAGGTTAAGGACTGGCACTGTTGTTTAGAGTTGTTCATTGACAGTTCATACTCATCAAAGATTACCAATGCTGACCCCAAGTGGTCATATCACACCAAGCATCCCAGAGACAGAAGATCTTTCGTAACTTATCCCACTTAGTCCAAGGACTGAAACAGACTAAGTTATGTCTTCATCTTTCGGTTTGGTTCTTCCTCTACCTTGACTCTACCCCGTCTTCTTTCCTTCCACAGGTATGAATCTGGAGCATTAGCTGACATATGGCCACTTGGTCATGTCACCTTGAGTCTCCATGGTCCATTTTTGACAAATGCGGCACTGGCCTCTGCAGTGCTTGCTGATGTGTCGTACCCGCACACACCACTAGTCCTAGAGGACCTATATTGGATGGGGAATGAGTCTGCGCGACCTCTAAAAGAGACAGCCAAGAAGAGAATCAGGTATGGACACAGTCTCTATCCAAAGGGAAATACTTTCAACCACCAAAGACGTCCCTCTTTCTCTGTGTAGGCCTGTCTTCCCTCTGTAGACTCTTGCCTGCTCAAGGCTCCTCAGGTCTCTCCTCTCATGAGCAGTAATCTGGTGTTTTGTGGATCTTTTGTTTGATGATCTAAGCTCAGCTTTCTACAAATTAATCCATTTATTTCAGGAGCCTTACCCTCCGAAACTTTACTGCATCAGATGAGGCAATTGTTTCCCTCCTTAACACGATGACTGGAGTGCCGCTTATGGTCGTTTCACTAGAGGGAATGACACTGACTGGTGAGGGCAGGTATGTTACCAGTGCATCCATGATGTTAACTATAAGGCTTAACTACTACTGTTCTCAAAGACTCGCTGTATACTGACATATCTTTCTAAAAATGGTCATGAGTGGATCGTTGGTCGCACGAATAACGTAACACTTTTTTATGTCTGCTATTAGGTGGGAGGGAGCCTCTTCGGTGGATCTTAAAACGATTGACGAAATATACATACGACACCCGGTCGTTATCGATCTCTTTCAGTTTGTCGAGCACTCATCTTACTTGTTTTTGCTCCAGTACCCCAGCAAAGTGTCCTTCATAAATGCTGAGGTAAGGAACATGGATTGTTGAGTTTTGTAGAGTTTTAAAAATACAGCTTCACAAATAGTGGACAAGCAACTCTGACCGGCAATTCTTCATGGTATTCCCAGCTGGTTCAATCTCAAAAGGAATATGCCAACTGATAACTCAAAAGTTAGCCTCAGTATCTTGCTAACCCTTCTACAATAACGTCATTGCCATCTTCGACTGCGCTCCCTCAGGGAAAATGATGTGATGAATCAAAGTTTAACTTTTCCAATTAGGTGTTTGTGATACCTTGTCTTACATCCTTTCTGCTTGTGAACGTGCACTACCTGGACCTGTCCAACAACCTGCTGACTGATCTGACTCTGAGGGAAACACTGTGCCATGGATGTAGTCCTCTGAAGGGCCTGCGGGTTTTAAACATCAGTGGAAATGCTCTGAAGGTACGTTCATAACTCTGCTCTGTTTGATTTCATTGGTATTTTATTTAAAAGTGACCTTCATGCTGTCTGACTTTAGCGGCCCAAACCATTCATGCAATACAACTTCCATCTTCAACTTAATCAATTTTAGTTTTTTAACAGGCTTAGTATGATAGTCATTGTACTTGAAAATAATTTTTCTGTCAAGACTGATTTAAAACCCAACCTTGAAGGTTCTGGTCTTGGGCCCAAAGTAATACCTGCTCTGATCATCAAGGAAAATAAATCAAGACACCAGTTTAAGTCGAATCAAGACTCAAAAACAAGTGACCTGCTGCTTAAAGACATGACTTACTGTGTCCCTCTGCTGTCCAGTCTCTGTCCACAGTGAGCCATTTGGTAGAGAAGCTTTCCAAACTGACCCACCTGGATATCAGCAGGAACGCATACAGCTCCATGCCCCAGCATTGCTCCTGGCCCCACACCCTAAGATACCTCAACATCTCCAGGGCTACACTTTCAACAGTCACCCAATGTCTACCCAAAACTCTGGAGGTACTGAGAGAGGAACATGATCTAATAATCCTGACAGACCAGACTCTCTAAATGTTCACCTCTCACTTCATCAAATACAGGTGTTGGATCTGAGCAACAACAATCTCAAAAGCTTCCTCCTGTTCTTGCCTGCCCTGAGAGAGCTCTACCTCTCTGGAAACAAGTTTCTTCGTCTCCCTCCTGGATGGCTGTTCCCCAATCTGCAAACACTGACCCTGCAGGTAATGAACAACCACATCTTGAATTTCTTCTTTCCAAGTCTCCTGTCTTCCACGGACTGCGACTACCTTCCTTCTTCTTCTTCTTCTTCTTCCTCCACAGTCGAACACCTTGAACACATTTGGGCATTCAGACATCCGGTCTTACGAAAGACTCCAGAGCCTCCAGGCGGGTCAGAACAAGTTTGACTGCTCCTGCGACTTTGTCGATTTCCTCCAGTCGGTCTTTGAAGGAGACGGAGATGTTCAGTTAACAGACAAAGAGGACATCTATGTCTGTGACTCTCCTCTTTACCTCCAGGGGGAAGTGGTTAGTCAGGTCAGTCTCTCCTTGTATGAGTGCCATCAGGTGTTGTGCGTGTCTGTGATCTGTGGAGTGGTCCTGTGTGTTTCCACTCTGGCATGTGTCCTGCTCTGGTATCTACATGCAATCTGGTACCTGAAGATGACCTGGGCTTGGCTTAAGGCCAAGCGTAGCTCCCGAAGAAGACAAAAAAGGGATCAAGAGGGCACAGAGGCGCGGCTGTCCTACGATGCTTTTGTGTCCTACAGTGAGAGGGACGCTAGCTGGGTGGAAAACTTGCTGGTGCCTGAACTGGAGAGGACAAGGTAACGTCAGGACCTACACCTCTAGATATTTGACTTGAAACCATAGTAACTTGTTTTCTTGTTTTCAAAGAGAGAGCAGTGAGGACTCCATGAACGCCGTTAGTCCCAGACCTTTGACCCTGTGCCTCCACAAACGAGACTTTCTTCCTGGACATTGGATTATGGACAACATCATGAGTGCCATCGAGAGCAGTCGGCGGACCATCTTCATCCTGTCGGAGAACTTTGTCCAGTCTGACTGGTGCCGCTACGAGCTGGACTTCTCCCATTTCTGGCTCTTTGATGGAAACGCAGGCGGAGAGGCGGCCATCTTGATCCTGTTGGAACCGCTGCCCAAGGACAACATCCCAAAACGCTTCTACAAACTGCACAAACTTATGAGCTCCACTACCTACCTGGAATGGCCTCAGGAGGAGGAAAAGTGTGAGGAGTTCTGGGAGAGTCTCCACAAAGCTTTGAGAATAGATGACTAAGAAGTTAGCTCACGATGAGAAAGAGCCCAAGATGTCAAACAAGATCAGTTTCAGGATCACATGGGGGTGATAAAGAGGATGGAGGACAATAAACAAGAAGGGGACATTTGTCTTTGTCTCCTTATAGTAGGTGTACAGGTACACCTGTCCTCATACCAACCTCCCTGTTTGTATAACTTACATGATTATGATGGATGGATCCTATCTGCAGCTAGGGGTGGGAGAAAAAACTGATACAGCATTTTGTATTTTGTGTGGTGAAATACCTTAGCATCTCAGTTACCAAAGTATCGATTTTTTCATATTAATTGCTTATATAAAGTCAAATCTAAGATAATTCTGGAAAAAAAAATCAACTGTTTGTCCAGTGAGGTTGGCAGAGGCGACATTATAGAGCAGGACAAAGTTCGTGCAACAAGTATAAATAGGGTTAGCAAGGCGTGCTACATGAAACTAATATACAGCGTCATAAAGACAAATGCTAAATTGGCTAAACAGTTGAAAAAATTGAATACCCACTGTGCGAAATGTTAAAAATCGCAATATCATATCGTGGCCCAATTATCGTGCTAGAAATTATATTTGAACAGTATTTCTGGCAATCGTGTTTATGTTAACACAGGACATATGTTAGGGTGACCATATTCTGAATCCCCAACAAGGACACTACTACGGGGGGCGGGTTTTTTGTGTTTTATGTTTGCTTATAACTGGGTTAAACTTAAATTATTCTGAATTCCCAAGACAGATGCGTGCGTCGTGTCAGTGGCTTTGCTTAGAAGTGAGCGGAGGAGCAGAGCTGCAGAGAGGACTGATGCTCTGCACTGTTTTAGAATGAGTGAATACACGTTCTGGACATTTCAAGGATTTTATAAACTCCCCCCAGACGGCTCCCCCAAAAGTAGACATGTCCGGGTAAAAGAGGACATATGGTCACCCTAACATATGTACCTTCCATGCCGTAATGAGACCTTTGCGTGTTATCACTGCTCGACAAACGTCGTGCTGTTGTCGACTTTCTTTGTAAAATTAAGCCACACATTAGCTCGTTTCTGCCTACTTTTCGTACTGTCCGCCATGTTTTTTCTCTCTGTTCCAGTTCGCGTAACTGGCACTCGTGAGATCGTTTATCAAGGCACCCGGAAGAAAGGAATCGTTAAGGGAATCGTTAAGATGAAATGTAAATGATGTCGATGGATTGAATCATTTTGGAACTGGTTCTCAACGAGAACTGGTTCTAGATTCCCATCCCTAAATATCGTATTGTGGCCCAAGTATCGTGATATTATCTTATCGTGGGGCCACTGGTGATTTCCACCTCTTCCTGCAGCATCCTGAATAAAACTGTATTTCAAGTGGTTGAACCAAGTTCCTTGCCCTGCATCACTTCCATATCTGATCTGAATATATGAACGAATAAAGGAATATCTCATCTGTGTTCCAACTGTAGTCAACTTTTTTTTTGCTTTCCCAAACAAGACCGACCTTCAGGTCTCATGAGGAATGATGATTGGATGATGAACTACTTTGACACACCAGTGAGTTTTTTTTTTCTTTTTTTTAAATGATTTTAATAAATACAAAGTAAACATCAGCAGCAGTCTTCGTAAAAAAGCAACAGTTATTTGACAAAAGAAAGATTCCTTTTGTTTTTTTTGAGTCAAACGACTCGTTCAGATCTCTTCACTAAATGTTTGGAGTGTCTTCACCACGGTCAGAAGAACCCCAAAGGCGGGAACATCTTTCACCCATATCCTCAAACCTAATAGTCCTTTTTTAAACGTGGTACTTTAAGATCCTTAAAAGGTGAGGTTTACATCAACTGCAGGGACAGTAGCGGTGCAAAAAAGTCGATTGACGGTTTTATCATCTTGAGCTCCAGGCAAATGAAGTGAGAGAACAGGCATCCCAGAGACAACTCTAATATAATCTGCTTATGTAACGGTGCACAGAGCTGTCCTGTTTGTAACCATTATGGTCTGCAGAATAAAAGCAGAGCGAAAAACAAGAGTTGGAGTGTGAAAAAAAAAAAAAAAAAACTAAAAAGGCATTTCCGTAAAACGGCCCAAAGTTAAGCTCGGACTGCAGCTTTAGAAACTCGTCACTTTTAAAACGATCCAACACTGGGTCTGTGCTTCAGTATTTAGTCAACGTTAGCAGCAGCAGCAGCTTAGGCATCTCCGTGTCCTCTGCACACAACAACATGTACTAAAAAGACAAAAGGCCTCCGAAGCAGTCCAAACCAGGTCCTCGCAGCACTGACCTCTAAATAATCCCGCTGCCGTCTTTTGGCACTTTCACCGTTACCGGGTCAGACTTCTTACAGTGGTGTTCCTCAGGGCTCTACTCCAGGCCCAGCGTGAAGTTAATCCCATGAACGATACCGATGATGATCGGCTGCCAGGCAACAAGGTATCTTAGCCAATCCAGCAGCTGTCCGTACAGAACATGAGTCTTCTCCCAGCTGATAGAAGATGTTTGAATTAAGGAATTAAATCTGTTGGCATCTACAGTAGCACCAATGCTTTTGACTTTCACCTTGACTGGGCCCCATTTGTAATGATCTGAAGTATTTATCTGCATTATATCTGAATTTAATTGGAACGATACAAGCGAGCAGGAGCGTCTGTTTGTGGGCGGGGCTTGAGAAGAGGAGCTGAGGGGAAAACTGGTTGGGAGGGGTAGAGTTTACATTCAAGATTTCTTCTAAAAACTGGAACTAACTCAGATTCTGAATCTGGTTTTTGCTAGAACAGCTGCTTTCTCCTGATGTTCAGTAACCACACTCATCAGACGGTAAAAGGATACGGGTTGTTCATCATCCTCTTCAAGTCAACCTTCTCGTTGCAGTACGGACATGTTTGCTTCTTACCCACAATGCACCAGCCGCGGATGCAAAACTCGTGGAATCTGAAAGGGCGGGATGAGTTAAGGTGGAAATACTGAAAATGACAAAACACTGAGCATAAAAAGACACGATTATGGAGTGGAGGTCAATTCAGGATACATGTGTCCACAGGAGAGCTGGTATGTGTCCTCAATAAATCCTTCCTCCTCGACGTCCACCAGGATCCTCTGACCACACACGGCGCAAATATCGTTGGTCAGACTCCGGCTGGGCATGCCCCCTTTGTTATAGTACTGCAATCACAACAGAAGGTCACGTTCACTGAGCAAGACAAGATTAGTTCTTAGAAGACCCGGAAGATAAAGATCAGGAGTGTCAAACTCATTTTCCTGAAGGCCACATCAGCATAAGACAGAATACATGTCACCAAATATGACAGAAAATAAAGGTAGCAACGCCCTAACATATCGCTAAATAACTATGTATTTTTTAGTTATTTAAGTTACAAATTAGGGCCTAACCGATTTATCGGCAAGCTGATTAATCAGCCAATTTTAGCCCGTTTGAGACTAATCGGTAATGGGCCAAAACTCGCAAATTTTCGGGTTGAAACCGCTTTTCTGGTTCGAGTTTCATCAGTAGGTTTTCCTGTCGGCCTTATTATAACTTACTAAAAAAAATTTTAAAAAATCGTCCGATAAATCAGTAGTCAGATTTTTGCCCCCCTAATAATCGGTATCAGCCCCAAAAAAATCCAAATCGGTCGGGCCCTTTTACAAATATTATAGGTGTGAAAGAAAAAAAAAGGGTTTGCCTGTTGCTCCGTTACTTTCATATAAATCCTTTAAATTTGTCAGCTTAAGAAACCCACATTACTCCACTGATCAACGACAAAACTCTTCAAGTAGATAAAGAAAAATATCATTAAAAGTTATGACGAACTTTGTTTAAAAAAGTGTTTTGCGACGGAGTTTACAAAAACAAAAGCCTTGCAGGAGTAAACCTTTGTGGACATAGATTTACCTTTAGTACGTCATAAAATAACAAAAGAAGGGTTGACTCAATTCACAGTTTAACTTTTAATTCTTCGTCAATTTCTCACTTTTCTTGAAGGCTAACTTTGACACACTTGGCGCCATGTTTGGTGTCAAAATGCCGATGTTGATTCTACTCTTCGACGACCGACACACCGCCTCAGTACACAAAAAAACATTGTTTTTTTTCTCCTTGGAACACAAACATGAATTCGCTTTCCCATCTTTCTTCAAACTACTGTATTTTTCATACTATAAGGCGCACCATCAATGAACGCGTCTATTTTAATACTTTAAGGCGCACAGTCAGATAAATCAAACTTTATTTAACTCATTCAATAACTCGGCGAGGCTACGGTAGGTGCAGTGCTGATTTTAAGTGCGCCTTATAGTGCGAAAAATACGGTAACTTCCATCTGAATCAACCCCTCATCCGCATTTGTGGATATTTCAATCTCAACTTCGCCCGTCACATACATGATACATTGCAATCAAGTGATGGGATGCTGCCACTTTGCAGGTAACTCAATCGTCATGCATTGTGGGTAATGCAGTTTGCGGTCAACGCACACCTTAAAGCAGCACAGACCTATTTTAACACAGATTCTTAAGACCAATGAAACACTCGCAGGCCACAGAAAATGAGTTTGACACGTGATATAGATGCTCCTGAGTGTGTTTTTTCACCCCGATCGTTGAGGCCATGTAGTCGGAGCAGATTTCAGCGAAGTCTCGGCCCATGACGCCGTAGTAGAGGCCATAAAACAGCATGATCACGCCGACGTCCATCGAGTCCTCGGCTTTAATCCTGATAAAGACCGAAACAGAAAATTAACGTTAAAATGTGAAGAGTGTTTGAAAAATAAACGACGTGGGAAAATATGAGCAAAGATCGAAGCTGAATAGAATCAGTTTGAGCAGAAAAGAGCTTAAGAAGTTGATATTTCTGTATATAATTAAACATTAATGGTGATGGAGAGGAAAATAGTTCACACATGGAGCAGCAAATTCTCAAAAAACCAACAATTTCACCGACTTAAAAACAAGCAAAAACCGTTTCAATCACTATAAAACAATTTCAGACAAATATAATAAAGTTTGATCTTCAGGAATCGAGGTTTCGTCTTTCTTTTTAACACAAACTGTGGGTCAATAATTCAGTCGATCAGACACAGATCTGTGTTTATCCTCTTCTACTGGCTCCTGTAAACCTCTGTCAGAGTCTCTACAACGATACTGTAGCACCCCCTAGTGTCCTTTTTGTGCCTCTTCAGTCATTTTAAAGCATCTCAGTCTCATTTTCAAAATAAAGACATGTTGATCCTCTTAATCGCGCCTGTCCCGCCTCACCTGAAGAAGACATTGAAGCCGAACATGGTGAACATGATGGCGAGGTAGCCCAGGATGCCCACGGCATAGCTCAGCTTGTAAATCAACAGGAACCATTTGTAGACCATCCTGATAAAAACACAAATGATATGACCTTTATTTCCTCAGTTTGAGTGAGACCAAGTTCAGACCACAGACAGGTCGAGACGATCGATCTCACCTGGGCGTCCTGCAGGACAGCGGCTTACGGGTGGCTCTGAAGATGACGTAGCTGGTGACGACGGAGAACATCCCCCACATGGACAGGAATCTCCACCAGTAGAGTTTGATGGTGAAATAAAGAGGAACCACCCACATCTGGACCAGGGTCACCAGCTGAGGAGGAGGAGGAGGACACACAGAAGAAACTGAAATTTAACCCTTGGTTCCTACTCATTTTTTCCTCTTAATTTTGAGACGACAGTCACATTTTTAAAGATCGGAAAATCTAATTGGGTGAGAGTTTTTATTTTTCTTCCAGGCATTTTTCTTAACCGGGAGGTGGACATTTGGACAATTTCAACTTTGTCCTCACTTCAGAGTAAGTGGATGGACATGCATGAGGATGAACAGGTCCTTCAGATCGTTAGGGGAGAAGATATCACATCTCAAATATACAGTTATTTATATATCAGCGTAATCACGGTCAGATTTTGGTTAGAGGAGGATAAACACTTATAAATGATTCCTCTCTTACAGATATCTTCTGATTTTATATGACTATATATATAAAATTAATGTATTATGAACAAATGAATTTGATTGTATTTGATTTGGTAGAAGATGAGGCTCCAGAAAATGGAGAAAATGTCGTGTTTTTCTGCTCCAATAGACTTTATCAATAAATATGACATGGTGAACAAAAACTGGAATAAAAAGAGTAATACATCCAATTTTTTATTTTACTATTTTTTTAATGATTAGCACTGAAGTTGTTGAAGAGATACAAGTCAAATAAAAGTAAGAAAATTGTAAAAAATCCTTTTATGAGAACATATATGCATGTCCGTTTTGGAGACAAAGGAGGCTGGATGGAGCTAAAATAACAAAAAATTAGACCTACAAAAAATTTTTGAATGTGTCAAAAACGTTTTTTTTTCCTTATCATTGACATGGCCCAGACTCTTGATCAAAAAAAAAATTATGTGTAGGTCAATTAATATGAGAAATATGGCGTTTTTGTGTTTTTTACCATCAAAAATAGCAGTGATACGGCGCACAAAAACTGGCACAAAAAGGGTGCAACCCCGAATTTTTTAATTGGTAAGGGCTGAAGTTGTTTAAGAGCTAGAAGTCAAAAAAAGTAAGAACATTTTTCCAAAAAAAGGTTTTATGAACACTTTCCTGCATGTCCGTTTTGGGGACAAAGTAGCCTGGATGGAGCTTCAAATACGAAAAATTGGCACAACAAAAAGAATTTCAACACTCCAAAAAGCGGTTTTACTTCTCATCATTGACATCAGACTCTTAATCAGAAAATGAATCATGTAGGTCAATTTATAAGCGAAATATGGCAATTTTTTTTTTTCACTGTTAAAAATAGCAGTGGTGCGGCGCACAAAACCAGGCACAGAGAGGGTATAGCAGCGAATTTTGTATTTATTATTTTTTTAATGGTTAGGGCTGAAGTTGTTTAAGAGATACGAGTCGAAAAAAGTAAGAAAAAAGTTTTTAAAAAATGCTTATTTTATAAACACTTATCTACATGTCTGTTTTGGGGACAAAGTAGGCTGAAAGGAGCTAAAATTAAAAGGAACTGAGGGTTAAGGAAGTCTCGGGGGGTAAAGGAGAAGCTCAAATCAATAAAATCTTCGTCTTGTTTTATGCTCACATTGTAGGACCGATGGTGTCTCTGTTTCCACTGGACCAGGACGATCTGGGCCACCACCAGAGTGGCGATGAGGATCAGAACCATCTCAGCATGCATGGCCTCATGACCTCTGTGCTTCACATGGAGGCGCTCATGCTGGACCCTGAGACGGATAAAGAGGAATTAAATTCACATGTTTATTAAATAATCAATAAAAGTCAGAAAAAAAAGAGTAAAAACAGGAGGAGGAGGAACTCACTTCCAGTTTTCTCTGTGTGTCATTTTCAGCAGGTCGTCCTGAAACAGAGACAGAAATAGAAGCTCAGGGTCTCAGAGGACAGGTTTATGTAGGTTAATACAGATAACAATGTTTTCTGTCAAAATGTGCTCTTAAAAAGATCAAAAAGAGGTTAAAACAGACAGAAACAGACGGTTTTTGTCTTTCTGTGCTGCCACGTCTCCTCAGTATTGACAGTTTTCACTCTGAGCTGCTAGCTAAACAGACGTTAGCTCCGGTTTTTCTGCCGTTTCCGTCTGTTAAATCTTGACAAAAAAACACCTTAGTGGGTTAAAAAAAAGCAAAGGTTCAGTTCTCAGCCTACCTGAGGGTGAACGCCCGCCATTGTGGGTGTGGGTCTTCTTGTTTCCCCCCCTTTAATGGTTAGCTCGCCGGCTAACAACAGCTAGCTTAGCTGAAACCGCAGCTTTCCCTCAAACAGCTGCTCTGTATGGAAAGCCAACACGGTCAGAATCCCGTCGAGATTTACGTTTGTCCAGGTTTTACAATTACAGGCGAAAAAAAGGACATTTTTCTTTACATATTATAAAACAAACATCCATATGCAGTATAAAACACATACAGACCATACAAAGACAACATAAAAACTCAATGCAGACAAATTTGACTCAATAAAATGACTTTTTCAGAGAGAAAATTTGCGCAACATTCAGAGGTTGAAGCAAAGTAAACAAACACTCAATTCAAGAAGAAAAGGGGTGGGCTGGGACAAACTTCTGCTTAAGATTTTAACTGCAAGTAGTGTGTTTAAAATATTAATACAAAAAATAAAGGTAAAAACAAAAACACCTTCGTGAGTTGAAAAGACACTTAGTTATCAGCCTACCTGAGGGTGAACACCAGCCATTGTGGGTCTTCTTGTATCCCTCCTTCAAAAGGTAAGCACACTGACCAACAACAGCTAGGTTAGCTATAACCGCAGACAGCTGCTATGGGGAATCATGAGTACGGAAAGCCAACAAGGTCAGAATTCTGTCGAGTGAACCGACAGATTTACGTTTTTCTAGATTTTTCCAATTACAGGTGAAGACGACATTTTAATAAAACACATACAGTATAAAAGACATACAGACCAAAACAGACCATACAAAAGACAAAAATACAACTTTTAAAAACAGACAAATTTAAAATCTATAAATTGACGTTTTGCAGAGAGAACACCAGCCCACCAAGCTAAAGGAACAAACACCCAACAAGAAAAGTGCGGTCTATGACTTTATTCTGGGACATACTTCTGTGAAAGACTTTGAGACCAATGCAAGTAGTGAGTTCAATGTAAGACCTACCAGCCTTTCAGGCGTGTGTTTAACCAGACTGTACAACAGACTATTAAAATATAAAAACACCTTTGTGGGTCAAAAAGTAAACATTTAGTTATCAGCCTACCTGCATCCCCTCCCTCTTCGCCAGCTAACAGCTAGGTTCACTGGAATGGCAAACAGCTGCTCTGGGGCGCAGATTATAGAAAGCCAACAGGGTCAGAATTCTGTCAAACGAACTGACATTGATTTGTTTCTGCAGGTTTTACAGTTACAAGCTAAAAAGACATTTTCTTAAAAATAAAACAAAACAAAATAACATGCATATATATAGTGTAAGAGACATTAAACTTTTGTAAAACTTTTTTGGAAAACAGACCATAGTGACAAAAATACAAACTTTCAATAAAAATCGGCGCACCATTCAGTTGTAGCAAAAAACCAAGAAGAAAACAAGAAAATTCTGGTCTACAACTTTTTATTCTGGGACACACTTTATTTGAGACCAACTCAAATAGTGAGTTCGGTTAAGACGTACCAGCTACTCAACTGTGTTTAACCCAAGTCTACAACAGGTTGTTCTCGGTATTTAAAAGCGTTTTTTACACTTTTAAATCCCAAGAACAAGTGGAGGAAAATCCTTGATACTTTTATTTCATTTATTCAGTGTCACACACTCAAAAACACAAAAACCACCACTCAACTTCTGTGAACAAGTTTTTATTTCAAATTTTACATGTCGGTGATTTAAAAACAAATTAAAAAAAAATAATTTAATTAACGGAAAAAGTCTCTTCATCCATGGCGTACCTGTAGAAAAAGAAGACGATTAGCTAACAGACAATTTTAAGTTAAAAGGTCGTAACCAGAAACATGATTCGCTCAGACATCCAAGGAAGTATTAGCCATCTTTGGTCGGTGTGACCTCTGGTGGAAACTACGAATGGCAGGAAAAAGCATCATCACAGCGAACTTTCTTCACCGAATCGACACTTTTTAAAGCCAACGACTTACCAGGTAAAAACGGACGCCAGAGACGACCGGACAGCAATTCTCAAGGCAGTTTCCAACCCTAAAGACAAAATATTGATTACAGATTAAAACGTTGAATTAAAAAACAAAAACAAAAACAAAAAAACGAGAAAACAAATTTTGTTTCTTGTAGTTCGCTCAGACATCCAAGGAAGTATTGAACCATCTTTGGTCGGTATGACCTCTGGTGGAAACTACGAATGGCAGGAAAAAGCGTCATCACAGCGAACTCTTGATGGTCTAAACACAGAAATACTTGTTCAAATCAGGAATTACATACCAGGCGATGATTTCTGTTGGTGCTACTGCGGTCTCTGACTGGACAGCATCATCCGACCTGAAAAGGACATGACATAAAAAAATAAAAGATGAGACATGAAGACGCAAAAACACAGTCGTCAATTTTAGCTCTCAAGAATTCGCTCAGACATCCAAGGAAGTATTGAACCATCTTTGGTCGGTTTGACCTCTGGTGGAAACTACGAATGGCAGGAAAAAGCGTCATCACAGCGAACTTTATCACCTCAGATAGGGCTGTCCTGATATTATTTTTCCACTTCCGATACCTATACTGCAGCCTTAAATATCGGCAAATACCGATATATCCGACATTGTTGACCGCCGACATGGGCTGGTCATCGAGCACAATAAATTGGGCGATCTTTTCGGTTATAGCCAAGGCCTTTTTGCCGTCCCGTGGGAGTTTTTCACGCTTTGCAAATGTTTCAGTTGTTTGAGGAAGGTAGAGGTAAGATTTGTCCTCGCCTCAGTGATCTTTTGAAAATCCTCATGCTGTTGTTTCAAATATGCGATGAGGTTGGTCGTATTAAACTTCCCCTGTTCCGTGCCACCAGGGGAAACTTGTATGTGACGAAGTTTGCACTCAGCTGCAACATCTTTGTCCGACTTTAAGGAAAAGTTCTGCCACACGGCCGACATCACTTCTTCTCGTAGCACATACGCTGTTGTTGTTGTGATTACATGAGTTCTACTGGAGCTGGGCGCACTTCTTTGGCAGGCAGCACCAGCGTTGGTTTATTACCGCCACCTACTGTGTCAGAGTGTGAACCACCGTCACCTCATATAGTGCAGAAGCGCTGAAGCAGAATTAACTGTTTTTATCAGAGCGTTTAAGTCGGACATTTTAGATAGAGTCATATCGGACTGTTTTCCGATATCAATATTGGATCAGGACAGCCCTAACCTCTGATAAACTAGACTTGAGAAACTCAAACAGAAGATCTTCTTACCAGGCGATGAGGCGCCGATGTCTAGAAATCACTTCTTACATGTCTTCAAGCCTAAAAATGACGATAAATCACAAGATTAGTGAAGTGAAAATAAATTAAGACAGCTGTAATTTGTTTCGATTAAATTCGCTCAGACATCCAAGGAAGTATTGAACCATCTTTGGTCTGTGAGACCTCTGGTGGAAACTACGAATGGCAGGAAAAAGCGTCATCACAGCGAACTTTATCACCTCAGACCAACTTTAGAAACTCGGCAGTTCTTACCAGGCGATGAGGCGCCGACTCTTTGACTGGGCAGATATCCAGGAATCACTTCTAGCAGGTCTTCAAGCCTGAAAATGACGATAAATCACAAGATTAGTGAATTGTAATTAAAACAACTGTCATTAGTTTTGATTAAAGTCGCTCAGACATCCAAGGAAGTATTGAACCATCTTTGGTCTGTGGGACCTCTGGTGGAAACTACGAATGGCAGGAAAAAGCATCATCACAGCGACAGAGAAGATACTTCAACACTAACGTGATCCAGAAATATTACCTACCATTTTTACAGACTTTCAAGTTCCCAAACAGGACAGAAGCGCCCCGGGAGTAAAAAACTTTAACCTGAAGGTGAGACAGAGATAAACTTAGTCTGTGGAGCTACGACATGTTTTCAGACACGTTTCTTGAATTCAACGATTTCGCTCAGACATCCAAGGAAGTATTGAACCGTCTTTGGTCGGTGTGACCTCTGGTGGAAACTACGAATGGCAGGAAATAATGTCATCACAGCGGAAATCAAGACTTTAAAATCCCCTTGTACAAACATACAGCTGAACAAACATATCAATGACTAAATTAATCCACATTGTCATAGCAGTGCAGTAAAACACCATAAAATAAGAAATACTGAATGAGACCAAAGATTAGAAAACCAGATATAAACAATATATACACATGACTTCAACAGAATACTTGAAAACATGAATATGTACATGTGTATACAGTGTGCAATTAAGTAAAAGTGAATGTAGTAGGTGGAAGGTAGAATACTCTTTAATATAGTAGAAGTGTTATGTTAGTGAGGACAGAGGAAGGTAGAATTACTCCAGTAGTGAGAGTGATTCCGGGGCTCAACAGTTTCACTCATGTTTGCGACTAAAAATAGATATGTGCGAATTGTAAAATGTATTTAGGGGCACATGTGCACATAAAAAATAAATTAAAAGTTCTTTGTGTGCTCCTTACTTTTTTAACTTAGGAGAACATGTGAAAAAAGTTAATGTCAAACCCTGAATTTAACATTTCACTGCATTTCATACATTAACATGATAGATTTGTTGAAACTGCTCGGTAGTTATTATCAAAATTTTAAATATTAGGGTTTAATTCACAGTTTTGTGTGAAATTAAGCCTTAAAATGGACATTTCTTACCTCGTCTTTAGTGGAAACAGCTCAAGGATGAAGCCGCCGTCACCGGCTGGAAATCTCTTTAAAACATGAGCCATTGAAATCTAAAAAATAAAAATAAAAACAGATTAATATCATGATTGATTAGCCTTAAAAATGACTGGAAATGAAGGGGTGAATGGATCTGGAACAACACTGGATATGTCCAAAAACTGAGGTGGTAAACTTTACCCAAAAGCACATTATCAAAATTCATAATCTGTTTAATACTCAGAATAACTGATGTTAAAATAAAGTTAGAGTTAAATTGAGTTTAAACCTTCACCACGTGTTCTGAAACACTGATAGTTTTCTTTAAAACCCGATTAAATAGAAAAATGACTTAAAACATCTTAAAACCAATATGATAAAACATTAAATATAAAAAGATTACTTTAGAGCAACTCTTATCAAAGTCACTACATGTAATCATAATCTTATACTTCACATAAGCAGTGACATATAACAGGAGTAAATACAAAACTAAGTCTAAATTTAAGAGCAAACTTAAGATTTGAAACAACTTTGGTTAAAAACGTGTGAGGACATTTCTGAAACAATCTACGACCATCCGCTACATTCAGCTTACTATCGATGGTCAATTTCGCCAAATAAAGCTTCTTTATACTGTTAACAAGAGATACAAGTCGAAATTAAAGAGAAAGGGATAAATAAAAGTTGATATTTACCGTTTAAAGTTGGATGTTTGGGGCTCCTCAGTGTCTCTCCGCAGTGTGAAAGACTCGCTGGACGCTGTTCCTCGTATTTATAGTCCATCATGGCGGCTGCTCATCCGCCTGACAGCGCTCTGTCGCCACCTGCTGGACAGGAGGACGAACTGCCTGCTCGTTCTTAAAATACATTTGAATCATCAATCAGTCTTCTTTGGGGTTTAAAATGAGATATAATAAAGATGAAAGTTGTTTAATATAAAGGAAATTAATTTTAATTGTCAGTTTTCTTAATTTTTTTACGCAACATGCAACATGTCAGAATTCTATATTCCAATAATATTTATGTTTTATTATGATCATTATTCTATTCCCTGAAAATACAACATGATTAAAAAGATTTAAAAAATGACCAAAAAAATATCAAAATAAAGTAATCATAATAAATAAATATTTTTGAATGTATTGTAAATAAATAAATAACAATATTTCTTTATTGTAAATAATAAAAATTAATACATAAAATAAATGAAAATAAAATAAATTACAAAACATTTATATAAATAAAGATATTTTAAAATGAATCTATAAAAACTAATTATAAATATTTCTTTATAATGAATAATAAAAAACAATATACAAAAAAATTATATAAATAAAATAATTTATTTAATATTTATATAAATAAATATAAATATTTGAAATGTATTTATAAATAAATAAATATGAATATTTCTTTTTTAATTATTAATCAAAATAATAAATAAAAATTTAAAAATTAAACAAATTTTAAAAATATTTATATAAATAAATATAAATATTTCTTAATTTAGTTTAAACGAATGAAGCAACATTATCTCAGAAAAAAACTTTATATTTATTGAAATATAAATTAGGAGTGAGACCTGAGGGAGAGAGACATCCAGATAAACAGAGAGAGAATCAAACACCCACTCCATCTCGTTGCTGACGGATGAATAAACCAATCAGCTCTCTCCTCTGTCCCTCTCTCGCTCCTCATTGGTGGATGCAACAGGGAGTGCTCCCTCCTCCTCTCTTCATACCTTCCCTCCCTCCTCTCCTCCTCCCCTCCTCCCTCCTCAGTCTGGTGCTGCTGCTGCTGCAAGCTGCTGGTGTTGCCGTGACGATGATCTCCTCCCCCTCCCACTCACACACACACATTCACACACACACATACACACACTCAGAGCAGAGAGGAGAGGGAGCAAACAAGACGGTATCATGACGCGGTGGCTCCAGGCTGGAAAACAGAGTCAGAGTGACGGGCTGCGTCTGAGGAAAGAGGGTGAGTTCTGGGTTTATCCTTCTCTACGGGGGGGGAGGTGAGAGGATGGAGGGATGGACAGATGGATGATGGGTGGAGGGAGGGATGGAGGAATGCTGGAGATGACAGCAGCATCTGTAGCATGGTGTTCCCTCCTGAGAGAGAGAGAGAGAGAGAGGAGGGAGGAGGAAGGATGGAGGAGATGAGGATGGACGGATTGAAGGATGGAGGGTGGAGGAGGATGAGAGAGTGGACGTAGGAAAAACTGAGCCGTATCAGCTGTGGAGGAAATACAAGTGTGTGTGTGTGTGTGTGTGTGTGTGTGTGTGAGATCAGGCCTGTATCTACTGAACGTTAGCATCCTGAGAGCTAACAGTAACAGCAGGTACGTCACTCCTCTGACGACTGACCACGCTGATCCTCGCCGATCTTTAACACCTCAGAGCGAACATCTGAGCTTCTCCGAGACGTAAAGTTCATATTTCAGTCAGAGAGCCAATCAGAGGGCCTAAAACAGAGGGAAAAAAACAACCAAAGAGACACCTGAAGTGGCGTGGATGGAGGCGTTGACTGGCCCAGATGGTGGGTGAAGCGGCGGCGGCCTCGGGTTCGACTCTGTGATCCACTAAACTGCTCCTTCAAAGACCCGTTAACCAATCAGAATAAAACCAGAATGTGACGTGTCAATGTTCAGATACTTCTGGATATTATACTCCTACAGGTGATCGGTCATGAACTTTGGGTAATGACCAAAAGAACAAGATCGCAGATACAAGGGGCCGAAATGGGTTTACTGGAGGTGGATCGGGCATCTGGTTAGGACGCCTTCTGAACGCCTCCTGTTAGAGGTGTTCCAGACATGTCCCACCGGGAGGAGACCTTGTAGCGCCTGGGAATCCATCCGGAGGAGCTGGTGGAAGTGGCCAGGGTGAGGGCCGTCTGGACTTCCCTCCTGAAGCTGCTGCCCCTGAGACCCGGACCAGGATGAAGCAGAAGAAAACGACAAAGACGAGGAGGTGATTGGTGCATGGATTAGTCAGGTTACCATAAAAGCGCCCTCTGCTGGATCATACAGCGAGTCACGACATTGGTATTGGTATACTCAGTGCGTTTACATGCACAGCTTATGCTGCGTTCCAGTTACCTCAAACGTCGGACATCGGCGCTAGGAATGACGCTACACCAAAGTTGGCAGCATCTCAGTTAACAAGTCAGACAACCAAGATGAACCCGTTGTTAGCTGTTGTCAGTTGTGGTTTGTGGTTGTCAGCTGTTGTCAGTTGTTGTAGGCTGTTGTCAGTTGATAGTGGTTGCCAGCCATCTTTAGCCATTGTCAGTTGTCTTTCGCTGTTGTCAGTTGTCGTTAGCCATTGGCAGTTGTTGTTAGCTGTTGTCAGTTGTTGTTAGCAGTTGCCTGTTGTTGTTAGCTGTTGTCTGTTGTTGTTTGCGGTTGTCAGCTGTCATTATTCGTTGCTGCTGGGCATTTTGGAGACACAAGAAGATGGAGCATCGTACAGCGTTGTTTTTGTCCGACATGATGGACGCGCTACTTTTTCTAAAGATGAGGTTCACGCTACTCCTCTACTCTGGGGTTTTTGTTCTGGGGTTACGGGGGCGTGGCGCACGCGCACATACATTGTCCGATCATACTCCGACTACTCTGGTTACATGGTAGAGAAAATTGAATTCCAATCACATTATCTGTGTGTCTTCACTGAAGTTCTCAAACTCCGATTATAGTCGGACTAAGGTGTTTACATGCACCTCAGTTGTCCGGTCTTAATCGGAATAAGGCGATAATTCGGTTTTCTCGAGTGTCATGTGAACGTACTGACTGTGTTGTTATGGGTTCCAACAGCTGATGACTGTAAAGTTATCAACTTAACGATGAAACGACATCATCTCGATCATGGCTGCCATCTTGGCTGCTTCCTCCTAGACCCCGCCCAGTTCTTAAATAAAGGACTATGATTGGAGGAGGCTCAGACCCACCTGTCTGAGAAAAGTGAACGTGAGCTGGTTGATCAAGAATTCGTCTGACTTTTTGACCCTTTGGTAACGTCTCTCACTAATCCGAATTTATTCAATACTCAGTCGATTTAGTCCTGAACCTTGGTGAGAGATCTACAGACGAATAAATGAAGGGAATAGACAGAGTAAAAGAGAGAGAGAGGGAGAAAAAGGAGTGATAAAACAGAAAGAGGAGTTTCCCGTGGGAGTATTTTCTATTTATAGACGGGGATCAGATTACCTGTGTGTGTCTGCATGAGTTAAGTTAGTCTACGTCAGCTGGTTTTCCCTCCGTCAGCGAGGCATCATGAAGCTGGACTGGTTTACGGACTCCTCTGTCTGCGCCTGAAGCGAGTTTCTGCTTAGATGGTAAAACCTTTATGATGTTAAAATGGAGTTTGGAGATGATGGAGGTATGTTATGGAAATTTAGTTTTTTTATAAGTCGGTTTGTTTCTCTTCTCTGTCGTACTCAGCTGGTGCCGGTGTGATCTGCAGGTATCCTCCGGAGAGATCGGCGTATGTACGGATAATTTTAAAAACAGAGTTGATTTACAAAACGTCTCTGTCCACAACAGCTGGACCCTCCCAAAAAAGCGTACTGGGTTAGAGAGCGGTCATGATGTGAAATCAGACTCTTCTAAATCAAAAATCTTAAATCTAGATTCAGTTTTTGTCCCTTATACTTGCAGTTTAACATCGACTAACAGCAGATTGAGTCCAAGTTAACATGCAGCTGAACCAGACGTAACAAACAAAAACTAACTTCCAAAACTGCAAAATAAAGATCAGATACAACCCGAATTAATCCTGATTATACCTGTAAGTCAGTACGACGGAGTAAAAGGGGCATATAAAGAAAAACAAATGAAGATTTCAAGATTAAAGTCGTTAACTAACGAGGATAAAGTCATTACTAAGGATGAAGTCGTGATAAAGTAATAACTTACGAAATATTAAGTCATTATTACTTACGAGAATAAAGCTGTAGTAAAATAATTACAAGAACAATGTCGTAAAAAAGTAATTACTTACGAGAATGAAGTTGTAATCAAGTAATTACCTACAAGGATAAAGCCGAGTAAAGTAACTAGTAATAACAAAGTAAAGTTACTTACAAAATAAAGTCGTAACTAAGTAATTATGAGAATAAAGTCAAAGCAAAGTAATAACTTATGAGAATAAAGTCGTAGTAAGTAAATATTACGAGAATAAAGTCATAACACAATTACTTACAAGATATACGTTGTAATAAAATCATTACTAACGAGAATAAAATTGTAATCAAGTAGTTACTTATGATAATAAAGTCATAGTCAAGTAATTATGATTTTTGTACGACTTTCTTCTCGTAAGAAATGATTTTTTACAACTTTATTTACTCGGGTAACGATTTTCCTATGACTTTATTCTTGTAGGTAATTACTTTGTTACGATTTTATTCCCCTTAGTAACGACTTTAATCTCGAGTCAAATTTTTTTTTCTTAATGTGGCCCTAAAACTCCGTCATAAAGTCAGTCTGTACGATAAACTGAAGTATGAGTCTGCAGGGCAGCAGAATTGTCAACATGTTACTTTGCTTCGGCTCTAATGAGGATTCCTCAGAGTTTGTCGACACCTTCCAGTGGACACTTGGGGAACTGCAGTTTATGTTTTTTTATTTTTTTGCATTTATAAATGGTCTGTTTTTCTGTAGACAGGGTGAAATACTCAATACTTTGCTCAAATTTATCGAAAGTTCGACGGGTTAGCGAGTATTTCTGCAAATCTGCATAAAAACGTTAAATTCACAAACAAAACTGATCGATAAAACAAACAGTCGGAGGGAAAAGGAAGACAGAGAGAGAGAAAGGGTTGGTTTGTGTCTCTATAAGTGACAGTTACAGATAGACACCAGTGTCACAATGCCCAGACACACACATACACACACACACACACACACTCACACACACTCAAACACACATCCTACGAATAGAGCTTCACTGTTGCCCCATTATCCTCTGCAGTTCAGTACCGGAGGGAATCCTTGAATGGAAGAGTGTGGGGGTGCAGCAGTCATGGCTGTAAAAAAAAAAAAAAAAAAATCAACCCAAAAAAAAACTAAAAAAATTGTGCCGACATTGCATTTTTTTGTCTGTAAAATTTTGCCGATATTTATTCATGGTGAGGAGAGAAAACAGCATAAAACATGGAATAATTTACCGACTCGGAGTCTAGACGGACATTAAATATGTATTTGAGTGTGTAAGACACTTCAGATCGGGAAGGTCGGAGATTTGGAGCAGTTTTTATTTTTTTTTGGGGGGGGTGGGGGTGTTATAACAGGATTACAGGATCACAGGCTACTCATATCCATAATCCCTCCCCCTCATAAATTATTCATCAAAAATCCAGTTTTTATTTTACACACACATGTACAGACAAGGACTCCACACAAAGGGAGACAACAAACCGACTGTAGACTCCAAAATAAACCACTTTGGTAACACTCTAAAATAACCATAATGTATAAATGGTAAATAGATGGTTTGTTAATGTAAGTTTATAGTTACTTGTCTTACTTTGTTAAAGCGGTTTACCTGTCCAGCAGAAAGGTTACAGGGTCACCAAGATCCCCAAGCGTCCCCCATCGTTTATGTTGACCCGGCTTTTTAGCTCTTGTCCGGTCTACCTCCGTTTTAAGCGCCCGTTATTCCTCCAGAGTCTCCGGTATTTACTTTGTTTTCTTGCTTGTGTCGGCAGTCGTGGCCAAAGGAGGATTCGGACAATTTTCCGAACTTTCTGGTTGGTTTCTACTGTCCGATATTGTAGCACGCTAACTTTGTTTGGGCTCCTGAACGACACGGAGGAGCAGCGTCTGCCTCACGGGCGCAAAGATGCTTCTTTAACGGATTCCTGCCTACCCCACCTTTTAGGTACAAAGATCGTCATTTTTTAAACTTTAGGACCACAGACCCAGAATCTGCGGTTTTTGAGGAGTCTTGAGTGAACCCGGTCTTTCAGCTGAGATCGTTCCTGTTCAGTCAAACAAACAAACTGTTAGATTTAGGATTAAAGGCACCATGACTGCTTCATTTTTTGTTGTTCTTGTAGCTCGTCCTCGCCCCCTCCCTAGGCAGTCTGTTACCATAGTAACCACCGCCTCACTCCTCTCTCTCTCTCCCTCTCGCTCTACCCATCACTTTGAAGACATCCTTCTGACCTACATTACCTCTCCTTGGAGCTCCTCTGTACCATCTTCTCCTCAGTTGGTCCTACCTGCAGAACGCCCTCCATCTGTGGACCGAACCATCTGTCCCCAGTCTTGCTGACACATTCCCGACTGTGGAGCGTACCATATGGAAGTGTACGGGGGTGTGCGGCGATCTGATGGGCCACCTGGAGGGAACATATGGACATTCCTATAGTGGGGGAAACAGACTGTTAGTGTGTTTGGAAGCTCTCAGGAGGGTCACACAAACGTAGTCTGAAAAAAACGTATTTTTACTGATAAAACTTAAAGATATCGGCAAGTTTCTGACAACGCTGTGTCCAAACTGGATTCTCAGACAGAGGTTTACTGGGAAAACACCGGGTATGATTCCCCAGAACATGTTTAAGTTAGGGTGACCATAATCTGAATCCCCAACAAGAGGTCACAACTACGCGGGGACAGAGTCACGGAGTCGCACGTAGTTAATTCTGAGAGGTTTCCGTGGTCGGTTCGAGTGTTTTTTACACACTTCTAACTCCAAGTAAGTTCACGCCACACAAACTCAAAACTTCCATACCAAAAGAGGACGTATGGTCACCTTATTTAAAGGGCTATTCCGGCGTAGTCACTGAAAATCCTGATCTGGTCTTGATACAGTTGGATCTTGAAAATGAGCCCTTCTTGGTTGATATGAAACAGTCAAATACAATAGAGAACTGAGTGTTATTCCCAGTATCTGATTTTTGTTCATTATGTTGTTTTTTTTCCCCTCAGCTCAGGAGGATGGACGCTGTTCTTGGGTTTAACCCTCTGTGAACCGCATCAGTATCAAAGTCTTCTGCTGTGTCCCTGAATCAGACCAGAGGAGGACATCGACTGCTCTTGGATCAGGCCGCACATGGAGGAGGACGGTCATTTCAAGTGGAAAATATGTGGATCTCTGGATGATCTTTGTCACCCAATCAGGAAACTAAAGGAATAATTTACTACGAGTCTGAGGAGGACCATGATTGCAGACTAAAATATCAGATTCAACTGCCGAAGAATCTCGTTTAATTTCCAGAAGACGGAAAGCCATGCCTCGTCTGAGACCCAACGTTTTCAGAGACTCCTCATAAGACCTCCATGTTCCTGGGTTTCACCTTCCTCTCTGAGGCATCATGGAGTGAGGTGTGAGACGACGAATTCACAAAAGCCAGAAACAGAAACAGGAAGGACACCTCGAATTTGAACATCCAGCACCCTCTCCTGGCTGCACTGTGGAATAAGGGGTGTGTCATCAGGCTGCCCCTCGCAGATGGAGGCCCACCAACACTCCCCAGATAGCAGCAGTGAGGAGTGCACCGTCCTGGAGGCCCCACCCGGAAAAAATGCCTGCCCGCAGCACGCAGGGAAGGTAGGACGGCGTTATAGAAGGGGGCTTATCATTCTGGTTTCATTTCCTCCTCCAAGATATTTGTGTGTGTGTGTGTGTGTGTGTGTGTGTGTGTTTGTGTGTGTGTGTGTGTGTGTTGATAACATCTGCAAAAGCTCTGTGGCCAAAATGAAATGAAATGAAGGTTTTGCAGCTCAGAGCGAAAGAGTGAAGAAAATTTGATGTGGTAAAAATTAGGGGTAACTGTTCCCCTAAAGAAAGAGCATTTCACAGAAATACCGAACAAGAGCACCTTTAAAAATCTGTTCAGTGTTCTTAGATAGATTTGTAACTCTGCACACGACTGCACCCGCATTTGATTATCGTCCAACTGCTCAGGACTCACAGACATCAAACATCCTAGAAAAGCATCCACTGCCCTTTCTCATCGATCTGGACCGGATTCTGTTGCTCCCTGGACTCAATGACCTTTGTAACATCAGTTCACCTTTCCATCTGCAGGTGGCAGACCTGTACTGTTCAGCCTGTGAGTGCCCCCTCTGTGAGGACTGCGTATCAGACCATGGAGAGCACCCGACAGTACCACTCAGCCAGGCCCTGGAGCAGCACCGGACCGAGCTGCAGGAGAGCCTCAGTACTGCCCAGAACAGGTACAAACCTGATTTTACGGTGTCATGACTCAGATGTCACTCAGACATAAAATAAGATGTTTTATACTTCAGATGTCTTTTTTTGTTGTTATGATATCAGGTTAAAATTTTAGGGTTTTATCTGGTGAGAAAAAGCTCATTTTCACTTCTTCCTAAAAACTGCAGTAGGACAGAAAATGAGTCACAAAGAGATGAAGAATGAAAAAGAACCAGTTTTAGGAGTTAGTGGGAGACACTGACATCTGGTGGACAATCAGGAAACTACAACCAAAGAGCACCAAAAAAAAAAAAACACCAGAGGAGATGACACACCTTTCCCATGTGGACTGATCTGACTCTGCTGTTTAAATATTTGGTGAAAATTAAATCGTCTGAATGATCTCTCTTTCTACCCATCTCTCTTCAGACTCCCTCAGATTTCAGACGCTCTGTCATTTGTCAAAGAGATCCTTCAGCAGCTGACCAGTCAGAGGGCTTCTATTGAGGAAGACATCCAGTCCAGCTTTGAGGATCTGCACAAGCAGCTAGATGTCCGGAAGAGTGTTCTGCTGATGGAGCTGGAGGTCACATATGGACTCAAACAGAAGGTGCACACATGTTTTCATGTCTGGTCAGGTTGACTGAAAGCTTTTGCACAAGGAGTTTGCATCTGTCTGTAAAAAACATCTGTCAAAACCTTAAAAAGACCTGCATTTGTCTCTAGGTCCTCCAGGCCCAGGTGGACAACCTTGCCCGAGGAGAGGGGGACATGGTGACCTCTTGCACCCAGACAGAGGAAGCTCTGGCCGGGGAGGCATGTGTGGCCAGCCTGCAGGTGGAGCGGGAACTTCAAGAGAGGCTGAGGGAACTGGCTGGTCTTGGACTGCCATGCCAGCCTGAGGAGAATGACCAACTGGATCTGATTATGGAGACTGATGGTCTCAGGAAGTCCATCCACAATCTGGGGACCATCGTAACAACCAGGTGAGACTGTCTGTGCTGATCCACATGGTCAAGGTCTGAGCTAAGTGGGTTTGTTGTTCACCATCATCCTGATCCGTTTTTTCCCCTCAGTGCTGTGGCAAGCCAGAGTGAAGCCATGGGCGCAGGCCTGGAGCAGTGCATTGTGGGACATCCTGCCTCTGTTACCATAGTGACAAGAGACAAGTCAGGGGGAGCATGCAAAAGTGGCAATGCAATCCTGTCGGCAGAGGTTCGTTAACGCCCACATAGATATGAAATGAAGCTGAAAAGCAAAGACTGAACATGATCCTTGTGTGTACCCAGGTGTTCACCCCAGATGGAAGCATCGTGGACGGTGAGATCCTGGACCACAAGAACGGAACTTACGAGTTTGTGTATATAGTGCCGAAAGAAGGTGACTTCTCATTGGCTCTTCGCCTGTACGACCAGCACATCAAAGGAAGCCCTTTCAAGCTAACAGTCAGCAAAGCCTCAGAGGCTGTGGAGGTGTGTGACCTGAGGGGGCATGTTGAGACTATGTCAAGGGAGGGTGAATAACAGGAAACACCTGACAGCTCGATGAGTAGGTAATGCATCTTCTCCCCCCAGGTGTCCCCGTCCACCACCACTGCAACAAACTCAGCTGCCTACGCAACCCCGTCCACGGGCTCCTCTGAGGGGGCAAAGAGACGAGGCAAGTCCCCAGGCCAGAAGAAGAAGGGCTCCAAGAGGGCCAGTAGTGCCCTGGGAACCCCGCGACGCAAAACCCAGAACCCGATCGAGGATGACCTCATCTTCAGGATTGGTAAGAAACTCCTCTGACAGTACAGTGACTGAAGCTGCAGAAACAGTTATATAACAACAGCCTTGAGCAATAAAATTCAAGAAAATGTGGGTCATACCAAAACTGACTATTGCTTACCCAGAGCTAGCATTCCCTGACCAGACTAAAATAGAGCTGGAGCGGATCCTTGATTTTTTAAAAATGTTTTTACTCCTTTTTCTTTCAGGGACAAAGGGGAGGAACAAAGGAGAGTTCACCAATCTTCAAGGAGTAGCTGCGTCTTCGACTGGCAGGATCCTGATCGCTGACAGCAACAACCAGTGTGTCCAGGTTTGATCAGTTCCGCATCTTCAAGTGGTTGTTTGAGTTCAACACTTGGTTTTAGAGGATGAGGTCTACGGTATGTCCATCAGGGTCCTAACAGGTGTCTCCAAACTCCAGGTTTTCTCTAACGAGGGGGAATTCAAGAGTCGTTTCGGTGTGAGGGGACGTTCACCGGGGCAACTGCAGCGTCCCACAGGTGTGGCTGTGCACCCTAGTGGGGACATCATTATTGCTGACTATGACAACAAATGGGTCAGCATCTTCACCTGTGAAGGAAAGTTCAAAGTAAGTGCGAAGAAATCTCAGCAAGGATGATTAACTTCTGCATTATAATAAACTGTTAAATGGTACTTTCTCCTCATTGGTTCTTTTTTTTTACTTTCATCAGGCAAAGCTGGGCTCTGGTCGACTCATGGGGCCAAAGGGTGTGTCTGTGGACCAGAATGGACACGTGATTGTTGTTGACAACAAAGCATGCACCGTTTTCATCTTCCAGCTGACCGGCAAGCTCATCACCAAGTTTGGAAGTCGAGGCAACGGCGACAAACAATTTGCAGGTAGCTTTTGCTTCATGAGCCTGAGATTTGACCGCAGTGAAATGAGTGGTTGAAAAGTGAGCTTTGAAATCATCTAAGGTTGAAGGTTATATCTGTAGCTCTGATTCCCAGTTGATGTGTTTTATCCCAAAGGTCCACACTTTGCTGCAGTGAACAAAAACAATGAGATCATTATTACAGACTTCCACAACCACTCTGTCAAGGTAAGGCTTCACTGATCAAACCAGTCTGTTTTTCTTTGCTAAAGAGCTGGTAAACGTGACACTTATATGGGATTTTTATCTCCCGGTTATGATTAGGTCTTCACCCCAGAAGGAGAGCTGGTGTTGAAGTTTGGATCCAACGGTGAAGGAAATGGTCAGTTCAACGCTCCCACTGGTGTAGCTGTGGACAACAACGGGAACATCATCGTAGCTGACTGGGGAAACAGCAGAATACAGGTAAGGCTGTTCTGTAAAGTACTCCTTCTTGTGGTTGTTGGGAGTTCATGCATTTAGCGACATATTCTGTCTCTACAACATTTCCAGGTGTTTGACGGCAGTGGCTCCTTCCTCTCTTACATCAACACATCAGCTGACCCTCTTTACGGACCACAAGGTCTGGCTCTGACCTCAGATGGACATGTCGTGGTGGCTGATTCTGGTAACCACTGCTTCAAAGTCTACCGCTACTTACAATGATTGATGCTCGAACCGGAGGTATGAAGCCTGTGCAAGAAAGACGGACAGGGGCAGTGGTTTTTTGAAGAGGAGAGACAAGGTGCATGGTGTCCAATCTTAGGATTTATTGCATGAAACTCTATCGCCGAGTAAGGAAGAAGGGATTGGAAGACAAGGCAGTGGAAAAGGAGAAGGACGAGTCACACAATTACATCATTTCACCAAAATGGAAATATATTCAGGTTGACATCATTGATTCTGAAAAAGTATGATAACCAAACAAGAAGACTGGATGGAAGAGAAGTATGGAACGAGGACTGATGGTGCATTCAAGAGATGGCTGCCCTCATGCAAATTTGACAAGTATTACAGAGCGCGATGCGAGGCTGATGCAATGCTGGGGTAAGAACAGATATGCAACAACTGATTCAAGATGTCAATATTTCAAAGTTCGTCTTTCCCAGAGTTTGAGTAAGTAGAAAAATGGAGGACTGTATAAAAAGGCTTTAAAAAAGACAAACAACTAGTTTCTGAAGAGGAGGACTGAAGTGTCTGTGGAGACAACCGTGTTCCTAAACCGAAGACCCAAGAGGAAGTCAGTTATTGAAAAAGGGATTGTAAGTTATCAAAGGCATGAATGCATATGTGTGTATGTTTCAGAGAGATCTGATTGGAAGATTTGAAGTTGCTAATGTTCTGCCTTCTAATGCTGTATGTACAAAACAAAGTAATGGCCATCAAGCTAAAAGTGGTTCTATGTCTTGGCTTGACATCATTTGTGGCTTCAGGTTTTCACCACCAACCTCCCCAGCAGCTTTTGCACCGTAGATTACATTTGCCAACCACTATTAATACAAATTAGGAGTTAAAGGAAGTTACTCACTCTCAGAACTCTCAGTTCTGAACTCTAAACTTTGAGAAGTTCGAGCTGGAAACCTCTAAGTACCCACTACAAAGGGTGTCCAAATTTCCCTCGACTGAATTCTTGACCTTTACTTTGTATTGGCCTTAATTGACAGCAGTATTTCGGCCACTTTTAGCCTGCTGTACATTGTTTGTATATAAGGACTGTCTGAAAATGGAATGTTTATTTTGTTCCTTGTCATTGCTAGTATTCTTTACAAACCTTAGGCAATAGATCCACCACTAGAAAAGGCTGCTTGTCACGGGTTATTTGAATGATTGATCCATTTTGTTCTGGGACACATGAGCTGTGATGTTGAGAGTTGTGTACCTATGCTTGGTTTGAGTATCAGTATTTCCTGAAGAGTTTGTTTCAAGGAGAACTAAGAAGTCTCAGTATCTACATTTGTGAGAATCCCTTTAATGATAAAACAAACGGAATCAGCAACCAGCCTGCTGCCGAGGATCAGCATGCCCTGGTCCCAAGCTTTGCCTCCCACCTGGCTAACTCAGTATCCACCCTCCTGCCTGTCCTGGCAGGGGGGTGAAGACCAGTTCCCTTCAGGTCATGGTTCCCTTCCCAATCTTTCCAAAATGGATCGTGAGATTGATGTAAGGGGTCAGGGAGTTGTTGAACCAAACAGTGATGGTGAAAGAGGTGTGCTGTATTCCTCTCTGTGGAATATGTGACACACCCGCACTCACAGGCTTAAATCCTCACAGGATCCTATGATCATGCACTACCGAAGAGATGTCATGAACAAACACCTCAAGCAAGTGGGGGTTCATTGTCCAGGGGGTGAACCGGCAACTCTCCAGCTACCGACTCCATTTCCCAATTTAGTCAGTGCCAAGACTTAGACCAAGGACCCCTCCAGTTCCAGAGCCAAGTCAAAAGACCAACCCATGTTCCACCCCTCGCCCATGGTTATGTGAATGTGATTACAGTTACGAGCAGCTGAAATGAGTTTCAGATCCCGATGAAGCTGAGAGTAGAGCTGCCACACCTCGCATTGAAAGGACTCAGTTCATTAATCTGATCAGGCTCACCTTCAGAGGCTTCCTAGATGTGTCCAGCTGGGTGGAGACCCTGGGGTAGACTCAGGACCATGGACTGTATGTAGAATGGATGCCATCTCCCTCCTTACTGGGTGAAGCCACTCCGAGGACAGCACCCTCTGGCAACGGGCTGCAGTACAGGTCATAAATCCCACCTCCTCCAGCATTCCCTATGGAGCTGTGGACAAACTTTAGAAAATTTATTACACAGAACATAACCCCCCCCCCTGTTGCGATGTTGACATGTAGTTACTGTCAGACTGGTTTGTGCTCAAGTACAGCTCCATTTTTAAAAGTTATTAGGGGGTTCATGTTCTGTAATTGACACTTGATACAGCCTATGGACGTACAAAGATTGCGTAGCTCACCCGGGGGATATGCTGTTTGAGCCGAGTGTCATCACACTCTTAGCGACTCTCCCATCGAATGCGTACAACGCTACTGCGCAATGTTGGTTTCCAGAAATGGCGAAAAAACGCGGAATTTCCGAGAGCTTTTTGGCTTCTAATCCATATACTGGCAGAAGGCGGAACTAAGTTGTCCATAGTATAAACAGTCTATGCTCAGGACTTATTATAAGGGTTCTATATCTTGTCTGGCTTGAGGATGCTTCCTAGGTGCTAGGAAATGTTGCTGAGGAGGAGGAGGAGGAAGTATAGGTTGACCTGCTTGGCCTGCTGCCAGAGGGGAAAAAAAAGATCAATGGAAGGATGAATAAATTCCGGAACATAGGGAAAGGAAACATTCTTCAATATCTCCCATGATTCTAGAATGTTTTAAAGATTCCACCAAGTTCAAGGCCATCATCAATCGTACATCAACGCCTCACTGTTCTAGAAGCATGCCTCTGTATTACATGTGAACCCGTGACATCAAACATATCAGTATGGCGTTCAACTGTGAGCTCTTTTCTGAGAACGGTCCCACATAGAAGGCGGTTTACAGACAGAGTTTGTACCATACAGCAATGGTAAGCATTTACAAATTACACACGGTGAAGCCCAATGTGATCATAATAATGATGGTTCTGAAAAGCATTTACATTAATCGTTTTAGAGGCAAGTAAAGCCTTTAAGTAAGTTCATTTATGACCCTGATTATTAATGAACAGATGAATGTTATTTAGTTTCCTTGACTTAATTTAAGTTGTCCATCTATTTATTGAAAATGCAAGAGGAAAAAAAAACACAAGGGGCTGTGTCCATTATCACTACTTTTCTTTTTTTTGTTCTGGCAGCACCGACAGCCTCATTGTTCAATCTCTTTTCCTGAAAGTCGAGAAAATCCTATGATTAAATTCATACTTTAAAAACACGTTGGTGTCTCTGTCATAGTTTTTGACGACGTTCACATTTAAAGTCCCGCCTCTCCTGGATTTTGATTAGTTAGTAATCTGAGTAAAGGTGCTGCCGGAACAAAACTAAAATGGACCGAGCCCCTACATGAGTTATATGGGATCAAATCTTATTTCGTAGATGTTCTTCGGATGTTTTTTCTGTTTATTTATTTGAATCATCGTTCTCTCTCTCTTTCTTGCCATTTGATTGTGTTCCATTGTGTGCATTAAAACTCTTAAGTGCCCATTATATTTATTATTTTTGTACATTCTGCCTGTTACGTTGAGTCAAAATATGATTGTTGGTATTTGATACATTTTATATTGACTGTTGTGATGAGACAAATCAGTTTATCATCTTTTACGCTGTATTTTTTATTTTGGTCAAACAAAGTTCTTTGGGAGAAAAAGTACTAAAGACAGCCTGTTAGCAAAAACAGCTTTTTTAGCATCGTATTTTTGATTGACGCCAGTGCACAGCCGAAAAATCAATACGGTACAACAAGAATACAAATCATCATGAAGGTTTGTCATGTGACGCTAACACCGTTAGCTTTATTACAGCTTTGGTATCGATTCTGAACGCTAACATCACTAACTATCCATCTAACAGGCAACCAGGACGTTTTTTTTTATTTTAACGACGTGGTAAGTGCATGTTCAATATGAAAAGTTGTCAGAGTCCCGATCTGGATTTAAGTGGTTCCTTTATGATTTCTGATTTTTCGGGTTTTCTTGGTCACTTTTCGATGTTTCGGCAGAGTCAGGTCGTGTTCCTTCGACGTCAACTTGGCCTTGTTCGCTGGAAATTCAGCCTAAATGTCAGTAGGACGAGTGAATGTTGATTTAAAGGTGGTATGATAGGATCGCCATCTCATTTTCAAATAAACACATTAAAGTAAAAGTTAGCAAAGTTACATGAAATAAAATAAGGCCATTTGTACAATATACATTCATTTGAGGGAACTTTTTTGTCAAATGTTATCATACCTACTGGGGATCAAGGAAACAGAAAAATCATAATTTTGGCTTCAATTTAAAAATTCTGCACCCTGTTGAACATGTAGTAATAATAAGTTCCTGAAGAGTTACACCTGCCTGCTGTTTTATTCTCTGTAAATGCTATCGTTATGTCTGTTCACTATGGATTGTCTCTTAAATAACCACACACACAAACATCATGGAAATAAAGCATTGATTACTACATGGCAGCTCGTTTGTGACTTTTATTTGTCTTGAAAAATACACGTTTGAAACCGTTGACTTTACATCACGTAAAGAAAGAGGTTGGATTGACTAGAAGTGTTTTTAGTAGCTAGTAAACCAGATTCTCCAGTTTCTAAATGATCATGAAAGTAGGAAAAGGCAGAGGTGGGGGAAAGTCCTCATGTTGCAAGTCCAAGTCGAGTCTCAAGTCTCGAGTCAAGTCCAAGTCCAGAACTTTTTGTTTCGAGTCCCAACCAAGTCCTTACCGTTTCTTTCAAGTCAAAAACAAGTAATATCAAAGCCATCAACCATTTGTTATATGTAAAGATTTACATCAATCATGAGCATTTTTCACTATTTGCATTTATTATTAAACAAGGGTTCTTGTTTGTGTTAAGTTACATAGTGCAGCTTTAACCAAACTATTCTACGTGTCATACAAAAAATAATCAGATAAACTTCAATAATTGGAAACTTAGACAATGTGCACAAAAATAAGGAAGACTCAAATACAATTAAACATTAAACTGAGACTCTAATTCACTGTTCCAAAACAAAAGAGCGACACGAGGCAACACGTGGAAACAGGCGGGCAATACCAGCGAGCGATTTATGTTCAGTCCTCCCGGTGTTGTCGTTATGAGGGAGGCTAGAGTTTGAGACAGTGTTGCCAAGTTTCGTGAGAGAAATAAGGAAACAGACCTCCAGAAACAAGACAAAAACAAGACAAAAACAAGCGATTTTTTGCGGGAAATAAGCAGACTTGGAAACACAACACAGTGTTACCAACGGCCATAATTCCTGACTATTAGTTGATGCGACACTTTTTAAACGGTTTGGGCTGTAAGGTATTAAGTGACTTGAAAAGACTTGACTTGACTTTTCAAGTCACTGGGCTCAAGTCAAGTCAAGTCAAGTCTCAAGTCTTTAGCAATCAAGTCCCAAGCAAGTCCAAGTCATTTCTTTTTTTTTGTAATTAACATTTTTTTTATTGTACTAATATGGCACTCAGGAAACCATATACATTCATAGTAGGCATACAACACATTTAACACCCCCTCCACCCCCCACCCATAAACAAACAAAACAAAACAAAACAAAACAAAAAGTCACCCAACTTTACAAATGATTCTTGGCTGTACATAAATGTAGTTCTCATATCACAGTAGCTAGGTATGCACAATGAGATAAAATGAAACAAGAACAAACAATAAAATAATAGGATATTAAAAATAAATTAAAAAATAAATAAATAAAAGAATGCATCTCTCTACTCATACATCTGATGTTTTGTCCTCCAAGAAAGATAGGTATTTCCCCCATTTTTTATAATAAACCTCAAGTCTACCAAATGACTTCCATGACAACCTTTCCAAGGCTGCCACTTTAGCCAACTGAGCAGACCACTCCTGTGTTGAGGGCACCCCCTCAGTCTTCCATTCCCTGAGTAATATCTGTCTTCCTGTCATAATGCTAGTTTGGATCCAGCTTTTAATGTGCTTACTCCCCTCTGTTAGGACAGAGTCATCTCCCAAAACAAAAAGTCTGGGGCAGAATTGTATTGGAATCTCTGCTATCTCACTAATAAAGCTGTGAATCCATGACCAGAACTGCTGAACTTTATCACAGGACCATAGTGTATGTAATAGATAGCCCTCTGCAGCTTTGCACCGCCAGCAGTTTGAGTTCTCAATCAGACCTAGTCTGAACAGTCTAGAGGGGGTCCAGTAAAAGCGGTGCAGGATTTTGAACTGCATCAAACGCACTCTTGCATCCCTAGACATAGTTTTTATGTTCTTACAGATCTTTAGCCACTCCTCCTCTTCTATTCTTAAACCAAGGTCTCTCTCCCATGTATTTTTAAGTGCTAGCAAGCCTCCATCCCCAGTTGTCTGATTCAGCATAGAATAATACATAGAGGCCTTGAATCCTTGCCTATAGTATCTCAGTATGTCCTCAAGTAGTCCAGCTGTCTTTGGAGCAGAATGAGCAAAAATGCTCATTAACATGTGGCGTAGCTGTAAGTACCTATAGAAATGTGACTTGGGGATCCCATATTGATGACTTAACTCATCAAATGATTTCAAAGTGTTGTTGGAGTATAAATCACCCAGAGTAGCAATACCCTTCTCCCTCCAATCCTTCCACCACACAGGGGATTTGTTAATACATAATTTGGGATTTAACCAGATACTAGAGTACACATTTAGAAAAGGATCTAGATTAAACAGTCTGGTAATTTTACTCCATATCCCTTTCATGTTGGAGAATATTGGATGACTTTTGATTGCCCCTGAGAGCTTAACTGAGAGACACTGGAGTAGTGGCACAGGGGCAATAGTTTGTTCAATAGAGAACCAGGGTGGAGCCCTCTCTGGTGGGAGTGACCAGTGGGCTAGATGTCTCAAACTAAAGGCGTAATAATAAAATAACATATTAGGCAATCCTAAACCCCCTCTATCAACAGGTCTTTGTAGTTTTTTAATATGTAAGCGGGGCTTCTTACCATTCCAAACAAATTTTTTCACTATCCTATCAAACCATGTAAAGTAAGTCATGAGAATCTCCAGAGGAATAGAATGAATTAAATAATTTAGTTTAGGGACACAGTTCATTTTAACCACATTAACCTTACCAACCATTGATAACTTTAGTGTTGCCCATCTACTGGTATCACAATCAATTTTATTTAGTAATGGATCGAAATTTACCTTAACTAGATCTTTTAGCTGTGGTGGAAAGAGTATGCCCAAGTATCTTATACCCTGACTGGGCCATTGAAATGCGCCTGGTTGGAAGGCTGAGGGTGGGCAGTAAGCTGTTAAAGGGAGCGCCTCTGATTTAGACCAATTCACCCTATATCCTGAAAACTTTGAAAATGAATTAATTATTCTCAAAAGAGCAGGCACTGACCGACCTGGTTCAGAGACAAATAATAAAATATCGTCTGCAAAAAGCAGAAGTTTATGTACTTCACCCCCTGCCCTTACTCCTGGAAAGTCAGTAGCCCTTCTTATAGCAGCTGCCAAAGGCTCTAATGCCAAGCAAAATAACAAGGGTGATAGGGGTGAGCCTTGTCTGGTTCCTCTCCCTAGGGTGAAATAGTCTGATATGAGTCCATTGGTTTGAACCGCAGCTTCTGGTTGATTGTAAAGTAACTGAATCCATTTGATAAACTTACTACCAAACCCATATATATCCAGTATTTTTAACAAATAGCCCCATTCAACCATATCAAAAGCCTTTTCGGCGTCTAAAGAAATGGCTGCCACAGGGGATTGCTCATCTGACACAGCCCACATTATATCAATAAAGCGCCTTACATTATCTGTAGAACTGCGGCCATTAATAAACCCAACTTGGTCAGGGTGAATCAAAGACGTTATGACTTTGTTCAAACGGTTAGCTAAGATCTTTGATATAATTTTTACATCCAACTGGATCAAAGAGATTGGTCTGAAATTTTTACATTCTGTGGGGTCTCTCCCTTTTTTAGGAACCAAGGTAATGAGTGCCTGTCTCATAGTTTGAGGTAATATCCCTTTTTCCAGTGATTCTGCATATAGATCTAGCAGCAGTGGGGCTAACTCCGCTGCAAAGCTCTTAAAAAACTCTGCAGTATAGCCATCGGGACCAGGCGATTTTCCTGCAGGCAGTGCTTTTATCACTTCTATAATCTCTTCTACCGTAATATCTTCATCTAGAATTTGTTTCTGCCTTTCAGACAATTTAGGCAGTTCTAATGGGTCAAGAAAAGCAAGCATTTCTTCCTCTGTTGAGGTAGAAGTAGAACTGTAAAGGCCCATATAAAATTCCTTAAAACACTTGTTAATATCTCCAGTTGATGTTAAGGTATCTCCACTTAACGCCCTGATCGCTGGAATAGTGGAGACCTGCTCTCTTTCTTTAATTAACCTGGCAAGCAGCTTCCCTGTTTTGTCCCCTGACTCAAAAAAGGTTTGCCTTGCCTTAAATAATAGAAATTCAATTTTTTTAGACAAGATAGTATTGTACTGGTACTTTAATTGTGTTAACTCCTTAAGAATATTGTTAGACATCCGTCTCTTTAGCTCTGCCTCTAAGCATTTAATTTTCCTTTCCAATTCCAGAAGTTCTTTAGCTTTTGTTTTCTTGATGGATGAAGTAACTGAAATAATGCGACCTCTGATGACAGCTTTCAGAGCCTCCCAGGCCACACCCATAGATGTACCTGTGGACCAGTTAGTCGCAATATATAAATCTAGCTCTGCCTTCATCCATATCATATTGTCAGGATCTTGTAAGATGGAGGAGTTAAGCCGCCATCTAGTAGAACGCTGTCTTTCACAATAGGGCTGGATTTCTAAACAAACAGATGCATGATCGGAAATGATTATATTTCCTATTGAGCAGGCAAGCACTGAAGGTACCAGAGGCTTTGATAATAAAAAATAATCTATCCTTGAGTATATCTTATGGACTGGGGAAAAGAAAGTGTAGTCCCTCCCACTGGGATTTAAGATCCTCCAAATGTCCACCAACCCCAAAGCTTTACACATTCGTTGCAGAGTAAGGCTTGCTCGTGGAGACCTACCCACTGCACCCCCACTATGGTCTAACACAGGGTCCATCAGTAAGTTGAAGTCTCCACCCAGTACAATGTTGTGGTTACCCATAGCATTAAACCTCCCCTCCAGATCTAGAAAAAATAAAGGATCATCTCCATTAGGAGCATATATATTTGCCAGGATAACAGTCTGCCCCTGAATTTCTGCCAATACAATAATGATTCTTCCTGAATTATCTTTTGTTTGTTGGATACATTTAAATTGTAAATTTTTATTAATAAGTATGGCAACTCCCCTACTATTGCTAGTCCCTTCACTATAAAAAACGTGACCAACCCAACCACTACAGAGTTTGATAGACTCTGTTGGCGAAAGATGAGTTTCCTGCAAGAATACCACATCACATTTATCTTTCCTAATGCTTGACATTACTTTTTTCCTCTTCACTGGATTCCCTAACCCTTTAACATTCCATGTAAAGAGACGCATATTACTCGTCTTAGACATATTTAGCACTAACAAAAAATGAACTTGCACATGGCTTACAACCAAGATCTTGAAACAAAACACTGCATTGGTGACTTAACAAAAAACAACCCCAAAAAACCCTGACACATAGAATATGCATTAGAACCCGAACTCTGCATATCCTGTTACCCATTACGTTAACCTCGCTGTGGTCCATGACTCCTCTATGAGTCTCCCTCTTATGGGCCCCGCTGGCTCCACTGTTAGCATTCATTCAACCAGAACCATAGTGACGTCGCGTCCTTTTAGTAATATTAAACTGAGCAAAATCGTCAAACCTCGTCAGTCAGCACACAAGTATAATGGCAGTCTAAGTTATGAGTCCATTACTCTCGCCTTCATCTCCCTAAATACTCACGATCATTACATGCTGTCAATAAAAGTCATGGCTTTCTTCGGGCAAGAAAATGACTTCTCGCCGTCCTCGCACCTGACCTTCAATGTAGCGGGATACACCAGTCGAAAGCTCACCCCCCGGTCATGCAGCTTCTTCTTACAGTCTTTAAACTTATCCCTCTTCAGCATTGTAGACCGGGAGAAGTCCGGAAAGAGCATGATGTTGCTGTTGTCCCAGGTCAGCTTCCCCTTGTTCCTGGCCGCTCGTAGCACTAAATCCCTGTCGGATGATCGAAGAAACTTCGCCAGAATTGGACGTGGCTTCTCTCCTATCGGCGGGCGTTGGGAGGGTACTCTATGTGCTCGTTCAATCTCCACCGTCTCCTCGATGCTAAGCAACTCCGGTATCAGATCCTCCACAAATTTGGCCACCTCGGTCCCTTCCACTCCTTCTGGGAATCCAATAAAACGAACATTGTTGCGTCTTGATCGATTTTCCATATCTTCCAATTTCTCCCAAATCGCCTCAACATCCTTCTTGTTAGCGAGAGGATTAGCTTGCAAGTCTTTATCCACTGATTCGAGGTATTCTACCCGCCTCTCCATTTCATCAATTCGTGAGATTAAAGTGGAGACTTTAGCTTCGGTTGACGCAGTGGTCCGGCGAATTTCTGCCAGTCCCTCTATTTCGGTGGAGATCTTTGTCAAAATTGCGTTAATATTGCTAATATCCTGGCTTATATCCTGAGAGACGTGGCTACTGGATGTAGCATTAGCACCGCCATCTTTATCGCCCCCATTCTGCGAACGCAAAAGCTTTTTAATGTCGCCACCGGCGGGTGGTTTCGAGCCTCTTGACATTTTTAAGAACTTCTAATGCTATTCTCACAAGCCGACTATTTCTTTCTGGTTTTAAATTAATTTTAAAATGATAATTACAGCAGAGCCTCGCGGAGCACAATTCTAGGCAGCCTTTCCTCGCATTGCGTCACGTGACCTCCGTCCAAGTCATTTCTTGATTTCATCAAGCAAGTCAAAAACGGGACTCAAGTCCAAGTTGAGTCTCGAGTCGAGTCGTCAAGCCCCCACCTCTGGTAAAAGGCATTCTTGACTGTTATCCAGTTAAGTTTTTGAATTGTTGTAGCTGCAACAAGGTAGTTTCCCCGCCCTGTGTAGATAAAGCAAAGGTAAAACTAAACTACTTGGCACGTTGTAGCAGCTTAAAGTCGCGATCACGACACACCTGACACTCCGGATCAGCACTCCTGTTCTCCTGAGAGATACTGAAACCAGAAACCCCACAAACCAAAAACACAGCACCCCCATGATGGCTGTGATAGTCTGGAAAGCTCTCAGCTTAGTTTGTTCAACCCCGGCCCCCTCCCCCGGTTTTGGCCGAACCAGAACACATAGAATAGATATGTTACAGAAACATATGATGATCAAGGCGAAGGATGCAGTACTCAGAACTGGGGCAATGGGGAAGCCATATTCGCTTTCGAGCCCTACACCCCACAGCACGAAGCTCAGCAGCCAAACAAACCCGATGCTAATGTTCCGCAAACAGACACCGCGCTCGTTTTTTAGCCCAAGATATGTCACAGGATGGACAACGGCCAGGTATCGCTCCACACAGGTCAGAACGTGGAAGAGGGTCCCCCCGTAATAGACCACAGAAGAAAAAAGATATGAAAGAGCCACTATCAATCTGATTTCAGCAAAGTTGCCATAAAGGTAGAAGAAGAAGCCCAACAGACAGAGGAACTCCATCGCGATCTGGTGGTAGGTGAAGACGTCGGAGTGGCTTATGGATTTGGAGGAGCGCTGCTGCCGCCATCTTCGGTGACCCAAATAGAGGACGAAGACACAGATGGGAATGGTGAGGAGGGCTCGTACCACTCTGAACCCAATAATGATGTAGAAGTTGACGACGGTGCAGTAGTAGACCTCGAGAGAATCGCTGGAGTTTGTCGCAGAAGAGGAGTTCATAGACATGTTTGCTGTTTGACGCTGTAGACCTGGAGGACACGAAGACAAGAACGGGACGAGTTAGAGAGAAACCACACGATGTTTCAGGAGACGACGAAGAACTGACTGATATTTCTACACTCACCTTTGCAGCAGAGCTCACTCCACCTGTCTTTACTCCTACTGCTCACCCCTTACAGGCAGCCGGACTTATACAGACGTGAATGTGGACTCCTTTGCATGGTGAACGACAAACACAAATCTGATATTTGAATGATACATCACAAATGAAGGAACTTCTCCACAAATTACCCCAGTACTCAGCCTAATGATGATGAATGGTGTCCTGATCCAAGACACTGAAGCAGTTTTCTCCTTTTAGACGCAGTATTTTACTAATTTCATGCTGAACTTTTGTGTGTTTTAGTAAAACTTCCAACATTTTGGTAACGTAAAACAGACAAAGTCAGTTATCCTGGGACAAATTTTGATTTCGGTCTCCACATTTAGCTCCATCATATCTGACAGAAACCAAATGACCTACGAACACTGGCACTATTGATTCAAATTAAAGGGTTAGCATACAGACTATGAGTTATTGATGCATTGATTAATACAGTCAAGAGAAAAGGAGTACTACCTTCTTCATGAGTGACATCAGAGCGGTTAATGATCCAGTCGATTTGACATTTCAGTCGTTGGGATTTAAAACTTATATAAATGCTGAAACTGCAGCCCAAACAACCCGATCGCAGATAAGGAAAAGAAAAAAGATGGAAGGATGTTGATGCAGTGAAAGTGGATTTTAGTTTACTTCAGTTATATTGAGTTGAATAAAGTTTTTATCCGGAGTCGGACTTGCGCTTCCAGCCTGGGAGTTTACCAGCTCTGTGTAAGAACAGCAAAGGTAAGACCAGATTACTGGGGAGAGTAAACCAAATCATCGAGGACCCCACTGCACACTTGGCGTGTGTCGGCTCTGAAGAAAAGACCATCCCAGTCACAAGTGTGGTCACAAACCTCAACAGCAGAGTTCCTAAAATGGTCGTGATGGTGTAGAAAGCCTTTTTCTTTGTTTGGTCAACCTGTGCCCGATCCCTGCCCCCATCCCCTGGACCTGGACGAACCAAAGCTCTGAGGACAGAAAAGCTGCAGAAACAAACGACAACCAAGGCGAAAACTAAAACGCAGCCGGCGGTAATGCTGGTGACGGATCTCTGTTTACAGATCATTGAAAACAAGAACCCGGAGCACAGGATCCAAACACAGCCGATGCTGATGTTTCTGATCCTCACTCCCCCTCTCTGTCTCAGCTTATGGTAGGTGATGGGATAAATAACAGCCAGGTACCGCTCTGCACAGGTGAGCAGGTGGAACAGAACCTGTCCCGATGAGGTGACGCCAATCAGGTCAGTCCCCACAGATATTAAAGTTTCATTTTCTGCTAAAGCTCCACCGCTGTAAAGGCAACAACCAAAGACAGCCATGAACTGAAGGCCAACGATGTAAAAGGTGAAGACGTCCGAGTGGTTTGTGACGGTTTCTGTCGAGACGGCGCGTCTCTGCCTCCACTGCTGGTAACCGATGAAGAGGACCAACATGTGGAGCGGGAGGAAGGTGATGCTGGTCACGGTGAAGGCCATGAAGATGAAAATCCCAGGACTGGAGTCATGACAATGGATGGGGAGGTCAGAGGTGTTGGCGTACATGTCTGCTGAAGATCTAGATTGGGAAATAAAAGAAATCTGAGAGAAGCTGAAGAAGGGATAAAAATCGAAGTGACAAATTCAAGACAGAATGGATGACTCTGGTCTTAGTTATAAAGTCCAAAATAAAATAAAACAACGTGAAAATAACGGTGAAACAATCATGACTGAACTCACCTTGTTTTTGTCTTCTGGATCTCCACCCTGACCAAGAGCTCTGCGCTGATGTCTGCTTCATACATCAATACTTCTTTACCGAGGATGTTTGCATTTTTGACACTGTGATTGCAGAGGCGGCACAAGGTGGTCAGAGTTTTTTAACAAATGACAAAACCAATAATTCAGTTGTGTGACGACATGTTGTTCCATTCGATCCAAACCTCAGTCAGTCCATGTCAGTCGATCATTAATTTCATGGCCTTAAACACACTGGCTTCCATCCTCCTACAGGGCTAGACTGTCCTGTCTATAAGCAGGACTAAATCCACTACAAGTACTCAGTGATGTAAGCAAGGTCCAACATCTGATAGATCTGAGGGAGCAGGATTCCTGGCTGACCACTTCAAGACCCGGAGAAGAAATAGATGTAATGACGGCAGCAATAAACTCAACTACTGCAGCTAGACTGTGAGACGAGATGGACAATAATGGGAATTAATCCACAATAATGAAGTGAGGATGAAAAGGAAGGAATCTGGTGTTTTGAAGCCAACGGCAGCACGACTAGGAACTGGTGCCGAATTCAGGCTGAGAAGGGAAACTTAAAGGCTATTCCACTTTGAGACTTCAGGTACCAATGCAGGTCTAGAAGTACCAAACTCAAGAGGAGTGATGAGGAACTAAAGTTTAATTAAATGCATTTGTTATCTTGCTGGAGTTTTTCCAAAGTCAACCCTTCTTGAAATCCAGTTTCTACAATCACCTCCTCACCTCTTTCTTGGTTGGTCTGTTACGATTCCTACGCAGGTTTAAGTTCATATCAAATATTATAAATATCTGACACTCACTCACTTTGGCGTTCTACCTTTAAGTCTCATTGTGTCGAGTAGAAATCAAACATTTCCCGATAAAAAAATGTAGTTTTTATGAACTGTTTGAATGTTGTTCTGTTTTGTAACTGGTTATCTGTCAACACGGTTCTGTAGTTCTGGGTTAAAGTCTGTAGAACACCTGGGCCAGTTTGGGTCAGATGGAGGTCAACATATGGAGGGACTTTGAGAGGTTCAGCTGAGTGTGGTTTCAGTCGGACTAACACATTTACATGTGATGTACAGGTCCAGGTTCAGTTGATGTGTTATTAATTTTATTGATGAATTTGACATCCGGACAGCACAGGTGCTCTCATTTGAATAAGCACTGGTCGGTATTTGAATCCTGTCTCACACTGAGACCAGTTGATTCATGACCTGGTAATATCCAGTTATTTGTTTAAAGGGCATCTGAACTTGTTTCAGGTTTTTAAAGATGTAAAGATGTCACAAGTTCCAAAGTGATTGAGTCCAAAGTTGGAGGTTTAGAGCCTCTGTTGGTCCTCCAGCTGTGACAGGGGGTGGGTGGTCACCTGAGAGTCGTTCTGAACTGGGTCGTTGACCTGGTTTCACCTGAAGGTGCATGGCCTCCTGGGTTTCTTCAGGTTTGTCACACTTGCATGATGTTGGAGTCTGTGGTCCAGATTCCTTTCGACTCTCAGGTGACCACCCACCTGCACCTGCGAGAACATACATGGATCATACATGAGCTTTATTTTGCATACAGAGTCACCTGACACATTACCACGACCAAATAAATGACCCTTGGACTTCATAGTTGGACTGCAGCACTCGAGGCAATCAAGGAATTTGGAGTCAGAAGAGATCAGGGACCAAACTCCAGGTAAGGTCGGCAAATTTAAGCTTCTATCATTGACACTTCAAGATGACATCTTCAAAAACTTTACTCCACAAGTGCATGAAAATATAATTTATGCTTGTTACATGTAGGGTACACTTCGATCTAATGTGAGATCTGTTCAGTCCGGGTGTAAAGATCATAAATGGTGAAAGTCTGAATAAAACTATAAAACAATCAAAGTTGAATTTCTGGAAATTTCACTTTCAAATCTGTTAAACCCAGAGTCTGTCAGACTTCACTGGTCAGAGAGCATGATGGGTAATCACTGTTACCGTGAGACTAGCATGCCTTATAGGTGCTGTCTTTATTTCCTTTTCTTGGCTGATGTCGCTACCTGTCGCTTAATTGTAAAATTGAAACGTAGTTCTAAAAGGCTTGAATGAATGTGAATATTTTAGTGTTTTCAAACAAAGGAAGCACTTTGCACATCTATAAAAAAAGACAGGTGTGTTGGAGAAAAAAAAGACCAAAGGGATTCCCGCACACTGTCCAACTTGCAATCAATCATATATTTGCAACGTTTCGGTCCTAGACCTTCATCAGACAAACAGAAGCCATCTTAAATAAGGAGAGGGCGTTTCTCCATGACCAATCCCGTTCTCACGCATAAACATAGAGGGACAAAATCATCATCGGGTAATTTAACCAAAGAGACAGCAAATGTCTCCAGTCTGACTAGTCGTTCTCATCGCCAGCTGGTTTCTGAAATCGATCAGTAGTTTGAATAAAGTTTTTTTTTGCACATGTGCAGTACAAATCGGGTTTCTGGGATGGATGGTTAGCAACAGCTGATATTCAAAACTGTTATTCCTTTAACTCCTCCCACTTCTTCTTCTTCCCCTGAAGGACTTTTTGAAAATGTCTGTCAACTCCTCGCTCTCGTCCTCCAACGGCTCTCTCAGTACCTTCAGCTGCGGCAGTCTAGTCTTTCTCTCCTACATCCCTACTGTGATGACCATGACCATCCTCCTCCCTGTCTCCATCACCGTCCTCTACTTGGGTTTGCAGCAGTGGAGGCGTTCTGTTTCTTCGCCATCATCCGTGAGTGTTTCCGACTTCTTCACGTACAACCTGGCTGTCATGGAGCTGATCGGACTATTTGGTTATTTCATGAAAATCGCCACATCACACATCCGTCTTCAGGCGCTGTCATCTGTCGCGGTCCTCGCTACAATCTTCCCCTGGAACGGACAGATGATTTTCCCGATCCTAACCAGCGTGGATCGCTACCTGGCGGTTGTTCACCCAATCACCTACCTGAGACAGAAACAGAGGCGTGGCGTCTGTGTCAGGAATCTCTGCACTGTTTTTGTTTGGATCTCATGTTGTGCAGGAGTCGGCTTCCTGCCTTTGCTGTATCAAAGCTACGCCCTTCTTCCCAGTGTTATTATGATGGCCGTATTCTTATTCGCACTGATTTTCTGCAGCGTCTCCGTTCTTCGCGTTCTGATTCGTCCAGGGCCGGGGGAGGCTAGTGCGGACAGGGTTCAGATCCACCAATCAAAACGGAGGGCCTTTAATACCATCCTGATCATATTTGGAGTGCTGCTGTTGAGGTTTGGAGGGACGATGGTTTGCAATTTACTGCTGGCCTCATCTGTAGTGACTAAAGGTGAATGGTGTTTGGTGGGTGTGTTTTCTGCACTGGTCAGTCTGCCCAGCAGTCTGGTGTTACCTCTGTTATTTCTGCACCGAGAGGGAAAACTTCCAGGATGTAGACGTTCGACTAATCTGAGCTGAAATAAGAGCAAATCTCAGAGGATCTTTAGTTCATCATCCCACTCTGTGAAGGCGCTACATACATTTAATTTATGGTTATCATCATGATACTGCAGAGGTGATAATTTGAGTCGAGAGAGTTTAAAACTGGTTAAATTTGAGTTACTAGTTACTGACATGTAAGGCCTGTCCAAGCATGACTATCTTTAAGGTGGGGTAGGCAGGAATCCGTTAAAGAATCGTCTTTTTTTGTACAAAAAAGCTTCTAATATCAGTCAATAGTTATTAGTTATTGATGAGATTTCGTAATATAAAGATATCGCTTTGTTCTCTTATGTCTGTGTGCCGTTCTCCACCTCCTCTAACCTGATTGGTTGTGAGGCAGACGCTGCTCCCCCGTGTCGTTCAGGAGCCCAAACAAAGTTAGCGTGCTACAATTTTGGACAGTAGAAACCAACCAGAAAGTTCGGAAAAATGTCTGAATCCTCCTTTGGCCACGACTGCCGACACAAGCAAGAAAACAAAGTAAATACCGGAGACTCGGGAGGAATAACGGGCGCTTAAAACGGAGGTAGACCGGACAAGAGCTAAAAAGCCGGGTCGACATAAACGATGGGGGACGCTTGGGGATCCTGGTGACCCTGTAACCTTTCTGCTGGACAGGTAAACCGCTTTAACAAAGTAAGACAAGTGTCTGTAACAGAAGTGTTTCTTGTCAAACGGACCTGCTGTAGCGTGTTGTAGCGCCATCGCTAAACTGTCCTCCCTCGGGTCCTGGACTATGTCACTTTATCCTCGTTGTAGAAGTCCTGCAAACAATGGGCTCTATTTTGGTGCCTCGCCGAAGACGTGCCGCAAGCGCAGAGTCAATCAGATCCGCCGCGCTGACAAGGCGTTCCCAAGCACATTTTGGTATTTTGGTGAGCCGCGCAGCCCGGCGTAAGTATCCCCCCTCCCTAACTCAGCTCCTCCCGGCAGCATAAATCATAGAAGGGGAGGAGAGAGTGCGTATAGGGGTTTAACACAGCCGAGACCTGTTTTCACCAATCACATAAGCTCCTCTCCTTGCCTTTAAATCCGCCACCGGCGAGGCGTATTACTATTTTCATGAAGTAGTCAAAGAGATCAAGAGATGTCTGAAGACAGCTATGCCACACGATGGCGACAGAGGGCAGCTGCTCAACAAGTGTCCTCCACACTCTCTCATCTGAGCACAGATAGATTTGGTGTGCGTAATGTTGGACCCACTGGTAAGACAAACACCCTTTTCCACAAAAAAGACACTCACATAAAGTTGCATATATTCAAACCTCACGTGACAAAGGTGGGTTTAGCGCACAGATCACAACATAAACTCCAAAAATGGCATTAAAATCGGAACCATCGTAATGCGTAAATGACGCATCGCGCTCCGTGGCCTGGCTCTTTCTTTCATAGATGTTGGCATATAAAATAAATTTGGCCCACAAAACTGAATATTATAATATCCGTATGTCGGCTTAAAGTAGATAACGCATCTGAGCACTGAAACAAATCATCTGTTCAGCCGCAGCAGCTGCAGCAAGACGGACAGAGGACACGGAGACGTGTCCAGGTCGAGCTGTGCGAGAAATAAGAGGAAGAAAGAAAAGGAGGGAGACGAATTACATATCTTGTTAACTTCATCATGTGTGTTTATTTACTAGATATTTAATTTAATTTGATGCAGTTTCAGCTGTATTGATTCGGTCAGGTTGTGTGCCCAAACGCGTGCCAAACGCGTGCCAAACGCGCTCATCAGATCAGATATAGATCAGAATATATCGATATAGATCTAAATGTATGTGCTGACTCAGATTAATAGTTGTTGATGATTATTTATTGCACTGAAATGTGCCTGACACTGTGGAAACCTGCCGGTGAGGCATCAGTGACGTATGTCGATACGCCGCCGGTCTACCAAAATACTACAAGACCAGCTGCGTTCCGCCTTGCGCTGAAAGCTGACCAGGTTTGAATCGGCGAGCTTTCAGCGCACGTTACACGCCGGTGGCGAGCACGAAAATGTCACTGCGCCAGCTGATTCTGTCAACACCTCCCCCTGCCACGCCACCACGCCCAGCTTGGCGGATCTCGGCTCGCCTCCGTGCGACTCAGTCCACGAAAATACCAAACTCGCCTTACGCTGGGCTCCGCCAGACGAAAATACAACTGCGCGGGGCTCGCCGCCCTCCGCCGCCTCACCGGCGCGAACGAAAATAGAGCCCATTGTGTTTGCTGGTAGTCTGTTGGCATCTACAGTTTTAACCTTTAACTGTTTATAAATCGTCTCTGTTGTCTCTGTATTATATATATAAAGTAATAAACATACTAAACTGTGAAATAAAGGTTTAAACACAATCATCAAACCTGTCCTTTTATTACAGTAAGAACTGATCGTTTTCTTACTCGAATTCAGGAACTACAGTTGGGTTTTACCAAATCGGTTTCACTGACATTTGCAGAGGAACGTCTACCTGAGACTGTTTCCAAAGATCCTTATCCAGACTCAGACGGTCCCCACTCCCTGTTTTATCAATGAATTTAATGAACAGTTTCAGACCATGAGAGGAACTGTTCATAATAAAATAATTATACCTGATAGTGGATCACAGTGGTTTCTGTTCATGATATAACATTTAAATGAATGTTTCCACTGCACGGCTGCGGGTCTGTTCCTCTTTGAATAACCACCGGTCTCTGTTCGCAGGTCATTTGAATCCTGTCAAACATGACTAACAGATGAGCCACGAACAGGTACAGGTGTAGGAAAATCTCAACAGGCAGTGATTCACGAGCATTAGCATGAATCTTTGACTCCATAAACATAACAAAGACTGATGGGTAATAAATCATAACCATGAGACGACCCTTGATTTTGATTATTCCATCCTCAATTATCAGAGAAACCAGCTTCTCTCAACATTCTCAACACAACATCTAGATTTTTTTTATTAATCCGAGCCACCAGACGACAAAGGTATAAATCTTGAAGCACAAGTTATGATTATGTAAAAGAGGAAGCATATAAATATTTGTATCTTTCGGGGATTGAGCCTTGGGGGACGCCACATGTGTCCCTGCTGTCATATCTGCAGCCTTTTTTAGTCTCACTCTATGTTTATTTTCTATACCAGCTCAATCCTTGCAGGAGGCCGGGCGATTCAGGACATGAATTGACTGTTTTTATTTCCATGAGTGATATATGTTTTCTTTACACCAGAGACACAGTAAACAGATATCATTTTACACGTACGACCTTCTGCACACTCAGATGGACAAGACTGATGGAGCGGCGTGCTTTATATTTGAGCTGCAACCCTCACACATCAGTTCAGGACTCTGGAGACGCACACGATCAGAACCAGAACTTCAGGAACTTCAGGACACCTTTGATTGGATTCAACAACATTTGACTTTTGGGGTTTTTGCCGGTGGATAGAGGCGCCTGCTCTTGGTATTGGGATTGATCTTTCCGATGCTTCAGTGTTGACTTTTTTGTCCCTTATTCTTCTGAATCTTTCCCCTCATCTCTAACTCAGTTAAAGGAAAGTCTGAAAATGTCAATCAACTCCTCGTCGAACTCCGATTGTGCTTCCATCATTCCCCCGACATGCATGCACAGAGTGACTAAAGGATACGTATTCATTAGCCTTTCACTCGCAACCATCGCTCTTATCCTCCCTCTCTCCATCACCGTCCTCCACCTGGGTTTTCAGCAGTGGAGACGTTCTGTTTCCTCGCCATCGTCCGTGAGTTTTTCGGACTTCTTCACGTACAACCTGGCTGTCATGGAGCTGATCGGAGTTTTTGGTTTTGTCGTGAGAATCGCTGCGTCATTCAGCCGTCTTCAGGTGCTGTCATCAGTCGGGCTCTTCACTACAGTTTTCCCCTGGAATGGACAGATGTTTTTCCCGATCCTAAGCAGTGTGGATCGCTACCTGGCGGTTGTTCACCCAATAATCTACCTGAGACTGAAACAGAGGCGTGGCGTCTGTATCAGGAATCTCTGCACCACTGCTGTCTAGATTATGTGTTGTGGAGGAGCGGGTATCATTCCTGTCCTCTGTCATCTCCGGAACTACGGCCGTCTGCTCACTGCTTCTCTGACAGCCATATTTTTAGCTGTTCTGATTTTCTGCAGCCTCTCCGTTCTCTGCGTTCTGATTCGTCCACGGCCAGGGGAAGCCGGTGGGAACAGGGTTCAGGTCCACCAATCAAAACAGAAGGCTTTTAAAACCATCTTGGTCATATTTGGAGTACTGCTGTTGAGGTTTGGAGGGACATTGCTCTTAGATGTTTTGGTTTCCTCCTCAACAGGAAGTTACGGTGCACAGTGTGTGATAGGTGAACTTCTCAGTTTGTTCTTTCTGCCCAGCAGTCTGGTGTTACCGCTGTTATTTCTACACAGAGCGGGGAAACTTCCAGGATGTGGACGTAGACAGTGAGTCGGGATAGGATTTGGTCGGGTCAAGGCCAAAGCTTCATTTGTACAGTCTTCCCAGATTTAGTTTACGATCCTTCCATTAGCAATCTTCTTAAATAAGAAGTTAGAAGTTAGCTAACTTCTCAAATAACCCCCACTTTGCATTGCATCCAGAATGGCTCTGATCTGAAGCGGCAGTGATTCCTACCGGATCCGTTGGTGAGGCAAATTCCGTGGAGGATTACGGACAGCTGTAATCCCAAGAACTCACAAGAACCCTTGGATTCATATGCAATTGCGCAATAACCAGTTGTCTCTTAGCCACATAGGCTAACCATATAAGCAGTAGATTGTGTCCTTCCAGAGGAGGAAATCTACTTCTTGACTTCTAGAATCAGCATCTCCTCATCCATGGTGTCATCGGGGTGAGATGACGTCTAAAAACCTTTCACTTGGGATGGGATTCGGTCATGTCAAGGCCAAAACTTCATTTGTAAATTCTTCCTAGATTTAGGTTACGATCCTCCTGTTAGCTAGTATCTTAAATAAGGATAACCCCAATTTTCACTGCATCCGGAATGGCTCCGATCCGGAATGGCGGCAATTTTCATTGTCCACAAATTTCTACCAGATCCGTTTGTGAGGCCAATTACGTGGGGGATTACAGACAGCAGTAATCATGAGAACACGCAAGAATTCACGGATTCACGTTCTGGATGCGGTAGAAACTGGGGGTAAACGTCTGCCTCATAATGTTCCTGTAGATTTCCTTTCTATAAATGGTGATGTTTATTTTTGTCTTTGTGAATTTCGATGGAAGGGGACTCAACTGTCTTTGTAAAAATGTACTGAGCAAATACTTAGCTTAACGGCAGCAATCGTGGTGTGCCACAGGGATCAGTTCTTGGCCCACTTTTTTTAAAGAAGCCAAACTTCCCTAATCATGGTGACAATGCTGGTATGAAGAATCTATCATCTGAATCCTGATACTGAACAGGAAGCTGGACTTGGATTGCCAGTCGCTAACCAGTCAGGCTGATTATATCTGTATACTGATACTGCCCCCCCCCCCCCCCCCTACCTCTCCGATCTCCTCCACATCGCCAACCCCTCACGCTCCCTCAGATCCTCCTCCTCCCTCCACCTCTCTGTCCCCTCTGCCCGGCTCAGCACCATGGGGAGCAGGGCTTTCAGTCGCTCTGCTCCCAAACTCTGGAACTCTCTCCCCCCGGACCTCAGGAACATGGACTCATTACCCCACTTTAAATCCAATCTCAAAACACACCTATTCCGAATCGCATACTCACTTTAACTGTCTACTTTCACACCTGTATGTTGTTTTTTATTTATTTTAATTATGTTTCTAGTTTTGTTTTTATGCCCTGTAAAGTGTCCTTGGGTGCTCAGAAAGGCGCTTTTAAATAAAATGTATTATTATTATTATACTGTTGTCTGTTTTCAATCAACGTACGCACTGTTATACAACGATTGTGATGTTCAATCACCAAAGAGAAGTCTTAACGAACCTGACCTGCCTTCATTTGAATAAACATCCATCTTACCTGAAGGTCATTTGAATCCTGTCACGACAGGACTGACAGGTGAGCCACAGAGGTACAGGTGAGCGGTGTCACACAGGTGACAGCAGAGCTAGGAAGGGGACGCAGACCTGCAGGAGACACAGGTGAGTGTTGCTATGTTACATTTGTTGATTATAGATCAACCCAACAATAGTGGTGACATCTATGTTATCCCAGTTTATCTCATGACCTTGTTCAGGTGTCATGATGGTTCCTCTTGTTTTGAGATTTACTGCCTCATGATTTCATCCATGGTTCCGTCTTTCTTCTCCTCAGAAAAGCTGGACCACATGAACCCAATATGGCCAACAATTCCTCTTCATCCTCCTCCAGCATCTATCTGATCCACTGTGCAGACGCTGTAGATGGAGTTTACATTTCCATCGCCTACTACATCATTCGGACTCTCCTCTTCATCCCTCTCTGCACCTACGTCCTCCACCTGGGTTACCGACAATGGCGGCAGCAGCGCTCTTTTGCAACAACCAGCCACTCAGATATCTTCACCTACCACATGGTCGCCCTGGAGATGCTCCTTGCTGTGGGGTGTGCGTTCTACTTTTATGGTAGACTTACTCCAAACTTTGTGGTGATGAATCTGGGCTTTTATCTGTCCTATCTGAGCATCCCTGGACAGATCAGCTTTCATGTCCTGACCTGTTTGGAGAGATACCTGGCTGTTGTCCACCCAGTCTTGTACATGAAGCTGAAACAGTCTGGTGGGGTCAGGATCAGGAACATCAGCACACTGTGTGTTTGGCTTTTTGCAATTGGATGGACCGGACTGCTGGACCATTGGGGCAATGCATTACCCTATAATGAGACTTTTTGTGCACTGGCTGTCTTCTTTACCCTGATCTCTTTTTGCAGCCTTGTTGTTCTCTGTGTTCTGATTCGTCCAGGGCCTGGGAAAGCTGGCAGGAACAAGGAGAGGGTTAATCAATCAAAGCAAAAGGCTTTCTACACCATCAGTTTTATCTTGGCTAGTCTCTGGTTGTGGTTTGGAGCCCTGCTAGTTGGGCTTGCTCTGGACAAATCCACCCTGCTGAGTTACAAAGCTGGATGTCTGGCGCTGGTGTCTGCAAACTGGTTTGGTCTGCCCTGTAACCTAGTGTCGCCTCTGCTGTTCCTGCACAGGGCGAGGAAACTCACCTGTAGATGTTAAAGGGATATTCCACCGTAAAATTACTTTAGGGTCAAACACACCGCAACGCCGAGTTAGACACCCCCCCTCCAGAGATGAATGTTGCCAACCGCTTGCTTCTCTAGTTTTACCAACTTTAGGATAGCAATACAGAGAGCCACGTGCTCAACCAAAACGCCACTCTATAGCCACCTTGCTGAGTTACGAAGCTGGGTGTCTGGCACTGGTGTCTGCAAACTGGTTTGGTCTGCCATGTAACCTAGTGTCACCTCTGCTGTTCCTGCACAGGGTGAGGAAACACCTGTTGGCGTTAGAGAAAGATTTCATGATCCTGTGAATTTTTGTGACGTTGTAAATGTATTTTTTTGTGCCAGAAAACCATCATATAGATTTAGTGTACGTTCTCTATATCTCCTGTTTCTATAGACGGGTTTCTTGTGTACTAACAACAGTAGGTGGGCATGCGACCACTCGATTTTCCAGGTTGTGACGTTTTAGATGTCTCTAATATCAGGAGCAGGGTCGTAATGTTTGCAGATTGTTTGTTTTGCCGATTCGTGAAGTTTACAGCACAACACCTCCTTGTCATTTTCTTTCTCTGTTGACTCGGCATGTAAACAAATAGGAGATGTCCCGCTTTCTGCCCTAAGGCTGCGCGCACGCATACCTGCATTAACGTTGCACAGAAACCCGTCTAAAATATGTGTCTATGGTTACTGGTAATAAAGTATGTTAAAAGAATTTCTTGGGGGAGGGTCTTGTCATAGTTTTTGTGAATATTGATCAATATTTTATCAGCAGATATTAGTGTTCTCTGTGTTTGTTCATGTATATTGATTTGTATTCTGTCTGTACTGATGTTGTTGGATTAAACTACCTCTGTAAACATGTTCGCCTGTAGAGATCAATGAGACTGTAAAGTGGAAATATCGGTGTGCCTTTGCTGACATTACTTACAGCTTTTCTGCATTTATTGATGTTATTGGAGTAATTTGATTCACTAAACATTCAAACTAAACTCTAAATGTGTGTCTGTAATGTATAATACGTGTAATTTGAATTCTGATCTAGACACAGTTTAATGGTTCATCTTCAAATAAAATCAGGTACACTTTCAACCACATCCTCCTTTTGTGTTGTTTTGTGTCTTAAAGCACGAAGACCCAACAGATTTAGAAAATATTCTAACTTTCATGCTTTCACCACATTTCAGAAAGTTGGGACAAGTGCCTGTTTAACGTTGTGTTGCTTCGCAAAACTCCATAAAAGTTCAGGATCTAAAGAAACCAGTTCCTGGAACATCTGAAGGTCTTCCGTGAAGAAGTCTTTGTGAAGTCTTTCTGACCACGGTCTGCAACATTAATCTCTGGAGGGGGGGTCTAACTTGGTGTAACAGTGTGTTTGACCCTAAATTAATTCTACACTGGAATACCCCTTTAATGATGAACAACATCTCCAGGTTTAGGAGCAACATCTGCTGCATTCCATACAAAGACTTTTCAGAGAAGACCTTCAGATGATCCCAAACCACTTTCTAACAACAGCATGGCTCTGTGGGAGAAGAGTCCTGCTGAGGAACTGGACTGATGCGGTCCTGACAGCATGAAATCAAAAATTTACCAAAGGAGACCCTGAAGTGCTGAGCAGCTGAAACCTCTTTACCAGGCAAGAACAGAACTGCATGTTCCAGGAACTGGTTTCTTTAGATCCTGAACTTTTATGGAGTTTTGCGAAGCAACGTTAATGCAGGTATGCGCGGGCAGCCTTGGGGCAGAAAGCGGGACATCTCTTAGATGTGACAAGGAGCTGTTGTGCTGTAGACGGCACGAATCAGCAAAACAAGCAATCTGCAAACATTACGACCCTGCTCCTGATATTAAAATTCAGTAAAATTCATGGACATTTCAGCAAGTGCTTTTCTGATTTTGATGCAATGAAAGACAAAGAGATTTTTTAATGAAATGACATTTTATTGCAATTGCATCAGGGAGAACTTGCGATCAATACGGCATCTTCATTGATATCAGTTCAATACGGAGCAGGCTTTTGCACCATGGTTGCGCGTGCACCTACTGTTGTTAGTACACATGAGACCCGTCTATAGAAACAGGAGATATAGAGAACGTACACTAAATCTATATGATTGTTTTCTGGCACAAAAAAATACATTTACAACGTCACAAAAATTAACAGGATCATGAAATCTTTCTCTAACGCCAACAGGTGAGTTTCCTCGCCCTGTGCAGGAACAGCAGAGGCGACACTAGGTTACATGGCAGACCAAACCAGTTTGCAGACACCAGCGCCAGACATCCAGCTTCGTAACTCAGCAGGGTGGATTTGTCCAGAGCAAGCCCAACTAGCAGGGCTCCAAACCACAACCAGAGACTAGCCAAGATAAAACTGATGGTGTAGAAAGCCTTTTGCTTTGATTGATTAACCCTCTCCTTGTTCCTGCCAGCTTTCCCAGGCCCTGGACGAATCAGAACACAGAGAACAACAAGGCTGCAAAAAGAGATCAGGGTAAAGGAGACAGCCAGTACACAGAAAATCTCATTATAGGGAAATGCATCACCCCACTGGACCACCAGTCCGGTCCATCCAATTGCAAAAAGCCAAACACACAGTGTGCTGATGTTCCTGATCCTGACCCCACCGGACTGTTTCAGCTTCATGTACAAGACCGGGTGGACAACAGCCAGGTATCTCTCCAAACAGGTCAGGACATGAAAGCCGATCTGTCCAGGCAAGCACAGATAGGACAGATAAAAGCCCGGATTCATCACCACAAAGTTCAGAGTAAGTCTACCACAACAGTACATCATAAACCCCACAGCGAAGAACATCTCCAGAGCGACCATGTGGTAGGTGAAGATATCCGAGTGGCTGGTTGTTGCAAAAGAGCGCTGCTGACGCCATTGTCGGTAACCCAGGTGGAGGACGAAGGTGCAGAGAGGGATGAAGAGGAGAGTCCGAATGATGTAGTAGGCGATGGAAATGTAAGCTCCATCTACAGAGTCCGCACAGTGGATCAGATAGATGCTGGAGGAGGATGAAGAGGAATTGTTGGCCATATTGGGTTCATGTGGTCCAGCTTTTCTGAGGAGAAGAAAGACGGAACCATGGATGAAATCATGAGGCAGTAAATCTCAAAACAAGAGGAACAATCATGACACCTGAACAAGGTCATGAGATAAACTGGGATAACATAGATGTAACCACTATTGTTGGGTTGATCTATAATCAACATATGTAACATATCAACACTCACCTGTGTCTCCTGCAGGTCCGCGTCCCCTTCCTAGCTCTGCTGTCACCTGTGTGACAGCGCTCACCTGTACCTCTGTGGCTCACCTGTCAGTCCTGTCGTGACAGGATTCAAATGACCTTCAGGTAAGATGGATGTTTATTCAAATGAAGGCAGGTCAGGTTCGTTAAGACTTCACTTTGGTGATTGAACATCACAATCGTTGTATAACAGTGTGTATGTTTATTGAAAACAGACAACAGTATCAGTATACAGATATAATCAGCCTGACTGATTAGTGACTGGCAATCCAAGTCCAGCTTCCTGTTCAGTATCAGGATTCAGATGATAGATTCTTCATACCAGCATTGTCACTGTGATTAGGGAAGTTTGGCTTCTTTTAAAAAAGTGGGCCAAGAACTGATCCCTGTGGCACACCACGATTGCTGCCGTTAAGCTAAGTATTTGCTCAGTACATTTTTACAAAGACAGTTGAGTCCCCTTCCATCAAAATTCACAAAGACAAAAATAAACATCACCATTTATAGAAAGGAAATCTACAGGAACATTATGAGGCAGACGTTTACCCCAGTTTCTACCGCATCCAGAGCGGCTACGAAAAGGTCGTATCCGCCGATTGTAGCTGATCATGACCGTTTAAGTGAACGTGTCAATGTCCACTGACTTCTTTCTGTACCGCCATGGATGACCGAACCCCACGGCTGATGGCGAGAGTTCTATTTTTTCTGGACACCGGGGCATGTCGGATAAATTCAGCACTGATTAACCCGTGCTGGAAAGGAAGTCGGGCACAGACACAAAATAAAACATCCGGCTTCTTTTCAAAATAAAACACTTATTGCGCGATTGCACGGAAATACATGAATTCATGCGTGTTCTCGCGATTACCACTGTCTGTAATCCCCCAAGTTATTGGCCTCACAAACAGATCCTGTAGAAATTTGTGGATGGTGAAAATCGCCGCCATTCCGAAGCGGAGCGATTCCCGGTGCAGTGAAAATTGGGGGTTATCCTAAAAACCCCAAAAGTCAAATGTTGTTGAATCCAAACAAAGCTGTCCTGAAGTTCCGGTTCTGATCGTGTGCGTGTCAAGAGTCCTGAACTGATGTGTGAGGGTTGCAGCTCAAATATAAAGCACACCGCTCCATCAGTCTTGTTCATTTGAGTGTGCAGAATTTTGTACGTGTAAAACGATATCTGTTTACTGTGTCTCTGGTGAGAATGAGACTAAAAAAGGCTGCAGATATTACAGCAGGGACACGGGAATTCAGCGCCTTGTCTGGTTCTGATTAAAAACAGTGTAGGTTTGGAATCGAATGGGCTTCACACGTGGCGTTCCCCAAGGCTCAATCCTCCGACAGATACAATTTTTTATATGCTTCCTCTTTTACATAATCATAACTTGTGCTTCAAGATTTATACAATTGTATCTCAACCTTTGTCGTCTTTAGGTGACTCAGATTAATAAAAAAATCTCACAACACTAAAAGGATGCCATGAGTGGAAGTCATTGAATGCCTGATCTCGAGAGAAGCTGGTTTCTCTGATAAATGAGGATGGAATAATCAAAATCAAGGGGTGTCTCATGGTTATAATTTATTACCCATCAGTCTTTGTTATGTTTATGGAGACAAAGATTCATGCTTATGCTCGTGAATCACTGCCTGTTGAGATTTTCCTACACCTGTACCTGTTCTTGGCTCATCTGTTAGTCATAGTTAGAGAGTGGGTGAGTTGTGTTTAGTCTCTGCTAAAGAAATGATTCAAAGTTAAAAAGATGTTTGGTGGCTAGTACTATGTCTGTGACCCTATATGTCCTGTTGATGAAGTTAGGAGCTGTTCTGAGCATTATTTGTGGCTATAGAGTGGCGTTTTGGTTGAACGCGTGGCTCTTTGTATTGCTATCGTGCGGTCGTAACCAAAGTTGGTATAACTAGAGAAGCAAGCGGTCGACAACATTCATCTCTTGAGGGGGGCGTATCTAACTCTGTGTAACGGTGTGTTTGAGCCTAAAGTAATTCTACGCCGGAATATCCTTTCAATGGAGTCTTCACAGATGTGGAAGATGCCTGTGACATGGACTCTGATGATCCCGTACCTTCAGGGATGCTGGATTTGGACTCGGAGCTGAGAACAACCTACGTTGGGAGAAGATGATAAAGAGAATTGTGAGTAATCCATAAAATCTGCAAGATAAGGAATGTAGACGGTTTGAGGAAGAATGATCTCTAAACCTGCATGACAAGATTATATCTATTCATAAAAACTGCAAATACGTGTTTTTTTTTGATTATGTAAGAAAGTAATAAATTTGATTGATTGTTGAAACCTAAACTCATCAAATATCAAGTATTTTCCTACCAGCTTTACAAACACGTCCACGCAAATCTAATGTATGTGTTTTTGATTGACAGACAGCAGCAGTCAAAATATACGCACCAAATCATTTGAATCCTGTCTGCGGTGATGTACAGATGAGTCACATGTTGAGGACAGGTGTGGAAAGATCTACACTCAGACAGGAGTCGACTTGGTTTTATATAAAGTTTAGATTTGAGGAGAGTAACTGGATCATCATCAGGATCATATGAATTATATTTAAATCTTTATTCCCACATGACTTTAGATTTAGATTTTCACTGTACTATTTCTAGTCTGAGCAATAATCTCCAACCAACAGGGACGCCAACTTCTCAGTAGAAATGGAGGACCATCAAATCAGATCCAGTGGAAATATGTGATCTCTGATTGATTATTAGTCCTAGTTATTGTGCGAATGTTTGTAAATTCGCAGGTTCTTGTGAGTCCTCACGATTCCGGCTGTCTGAAATTCGCCAGTAAATTCACCTCACAAATGCATCCTGTAGGACTTGACGGATAGTGTAAATCGCAGCTGTTCCGCAGCAGTGTCGTTCCAAATGCAGTGGAATTTGGGGGTAACCCAGGATTTCCACTGCATCAGGAGCGGCTCTGATCTGTAATGGCGGCGATTTTCGCCGTATGCCAATTTCTACTGGATCCGTTGGTGAGGCGAATTTCGTGGTGGGTTAGGGACAGCAGGAATCGCAAGAACTCACAAGAACCCAAGGATTCATGTTCAGTCGTGCGATAACAAGTTGTCTTTAGCCACAGAGGCTAACCATAAAAGCAGTGGATTATGTTCTTCCAGAGGAGGAAATCTACTTCTAGACTTCTAGAATCAGCATCTCCTCATCCATGGTGTCATCGGGGTGAAATGACGTCTAAAAACCTTTCACTTGTTCGTCTCCGCCCGTTTGCATGGTGTGAAATATGATCCTCCTGAAACATGGAGTGTTTTATTTTGAAAAGAAGCTGGATGTTGTATTTTGTGTCTGTGCCCGACTTCCTTTCCAGCACGGGTTACTCTGTGCTGAATTTATCCGCCATGCTCCGGCGTCCAGAAAAAAGGACTTATGTGATCAGCCGTGGAGTCCGGCATTCTGCAGCAGAATGGAAAGAAGCTGGTGGAAATTGACACATTTGAAACGATCAGCGGTGATCGGCAGACACTGCCTTAACGTAGCTGTTCTGGATGTGGTGGAAATTGCCAGTAAGTCTGCTCAGAAGACTTGGATGTTATTCTCATTGATTTTATTCTCCATAAAAACTGTTTTCTCCTGTATAAACCAAGGCCTGTGAAAATGTTTTGTTTAATGAACTGGAGACAAGGACGAGAATGCTCTTTACTGTGAAAATACAGATCTTCCCAATGAATCACTGAGTCAATAGAGATGATAACACTTCAAATTGAGAGAGGAAGTATTCCTGTTGATTGACCAGTAGGTGAAACAGTTTTTTCAAGGTCAACAAGATTTGCCTGCTGTGACTCTTTGTGTACAGTGATATAATTCAATGTTTTTACAGCATGCAAAACAGCCATCAGATCCACTGCTGCCTGTTCCCACTCTGGTGCCATAAATACCTTTACACAGAGGCTTTGACCCATCAGGATCAGAGACCAGTGAAGAGCAGTGAGGGACTCTGGACCAGTAAGACAAACCAGACACACTCAGTCAAGGTGGGAGATGTTTTTTAGTTCCTAACATTTTAAACCGACTTTTCTTGAAGGGTTTCCGTTGGGCACAAGGACTTCTTGAGAAGGGAGAACTAACTCTGTAATCTTCTTTGACGTTAGCATACAGCAGATCCAGGGTTTGGTTTTCTCTGGTAGGACAGGTAACAAACTGTGTAAATCCAGTCAGGTGAGAGCAGAGGGTGACATGATTGAAGTCTCCTGGTGTTACTACAAGTACCTCAGTCTGTATCATCGAGAACATCACACGGAACTTCAGCCATTGCCTTGGGTGGGCTGTAATGAAGTGTTGTTCTGATATGACTGAACTCTCTTACCCCAAATTTTCACCACATCCAGAACAGCTCCAATCCAGAACGGTGGAGGTATTCGCCAGATCAATTGGTAGGGCGAATTTCGTGGCAGATTATGGAAAGTGGTAATCGCAAGAACTCACAAGAACTCGCGGATACCTGTGCAAATGCGTTACAACAAGTTGTCTCTATAAAGACAGCCAGATAGACATGTAAGCAGTAGATGGTGTCCTTCCAGAGGAGGAAATCTACTTCTAGACTTCTAGAACCAGCATCTCCTCATCCATGGTGTCATCGGGATGAAATGACATCGAAAAAATAGAACTCTTGCAATCAGCTGCAGAGTCTGGCGATCTGCAGAGGAACGGAATGAAAGTGGTGAACATTGACACATTAACTTGAATGGTTACGGTCAGCTACGATCAGCGGATATGGCCTTTCAGTAGCTGTTCTTGATGC